AATCTCTAGATTAAATTTATTAATTATATTATTTTATTTAAAAATTCTTATTATAGAAAATATTATAATATATTTTTAAAGTTTATAAAGATTTTAATATTATATAATATATTATTAAAAACTTCTTTCTAATATCTTAATTCCTACCTTAAATTTCTAAAGAATTAAGATATTATTAGAGTCTTAATTACTACTTATACTATATATACCTACTATAAATACTAGATATTTATTACTATTATTATAGATATTAAAGCTACTCTAAACCTTATTACTATTATTAAATCTAAATTATAAGAATAATTACCTCTTAAGTTTACTAAATTTTATAATATATTCTTATTAAAGGAGGTTAAGTACCTACTACCCTATTAATCTAATAATTATAAAATTAAATTACTATTTAGAAAAATCCTATCTTTTAGGAGCCTATATAATATATCTTAAGATAAACTAAAAATTTTAAAGAAATAAATTAAAAAGAACTTAAAAAAAGATTTTATTTATTCTAGTTTCTTCCTTATTATATTCTCTATTTTATTTATAAAGAAATCTAGAGAAGATTTATAATTTTATATAAATTATTAAGCTTTAAATATAATTATTATAAAAGATTATTACCTACTATTACTAATAAAAGAGATATTAAATAATCTAAAAGAGATAAGATATTTCTTAAAAATTAATATTATCTCTATTTTTAATAATCTATAGATTAAAAAAGAATAAGAATATCTTATTATTTTTTAAATTTAATTAAGTTTATTTAAATTCTTAATAATATTATTTAGACTTACTAGAGCCCTAATATTATTCTAAAGATTTATTAATAAAATCCTATATAATTATCTAGATATCTTTTATATTATATATCTAGATAATATTCTAATTTATAGCTAAATCTATACTAAATATACTTATTATATCTAATAAGTATTAGAATACTTATAAGTAATAAGACTTTATACTAAATTTAGTAAATATAAATTTTTTATACGCGAGATAAAGTTCCTAGAACTAATTATAGATAGAAATAGCTTTTAAATAGATCTTAATAAAGTAAAAATAATTATTAAATAAAAAATACTAACCTATCTAACTAATATTTAAGCCTTTATTAACTTTAGGAATTTTTATTACTAATTTATCTATAATTTTTTAAAAATTATTAGACTATTAATTAACCTAATTAAGAAAAATATTAACTTTAACTAAATATTTATTTATAAAGAAGTATTTAAATAATTAAAAATTATTTTTATAAATACCTTAATATTAAAATTTTTTAATTAATTAAAAAATATAATTCTAGAAACTAATATTTTTAATTATATATTTACTAAAGTATTATTATAATATAATAATAAAAATATATTATACTTTATTATATTTTTTTTTAAGAAATATTTTATAATAAAATATAATTATAAGATTTATAATAAAAAATTATTAATTATTATTTATTATTTTAAAAAATAATATCTTAAACTAGAAAGAACTTTATTACCTATAAAGGTTATTATAGATTACTAGAATCTAGAGTATTTTATATTAATTAAGCTATTAAATTATTAATAAGCCTGCTAGTCTAAATTTTTATTAAGATTTAACTTCTAAATATATTACTATTTTAGGAAGTTAGGTACTAAATCTAATATATTAATTAGAAAGTTAAAGAATTTACTTAAGAAGGAGAATAAATAATTCCTTTACTAGAGTTAGATTATCTTAAAATCTAAAAACTTATTACTTAAAATTATTACTAATCTAAGACTAAATATTAATAGCTAATATTAAATATACTTTATTAAATAACTTATTATTAATAAATTAATCTCTTTACTACTAATATTATAATTACTATTTAATAAAGTTTATTTATAAGATAAGAAATTCTAGTTTATTTTAAATATCTTAAAAGATAGTCTACTAAGATATTCTAATATTATACTAGCTAATTATAAATATACTAATTTATACTTAAAATATTAAGACTAACTTTATATACTTAACTATAATAAAATAAAAGTTAAAATACTAAAACTTTATTATAAAAATTTTATTATTAGATATTCTAGAAAAATTAAAATATATAAATTAATATTATATAAATATTTCTAGCCTAGAATTTATAAGTATATTAATTAATAAATTTAGAATTATTATCTCTATTATTAAATTACCCCTTTTTAAGAAATAAAGTAAAAAGTATTAAGATCTTTATTAATTCTTAAATATATCTAGTAAGATATAAGCATGAACTTTATTATATATTTATTATTAAATAATAATTATAATACTATTCTAGTTATAATTAATTATTTAATAAAGATAAAGTACTTCCTTTCTTATACTAGAATAATTAATATTAAAGGAATAATTAATCTATATTTTAAATATATTTAGAAATTTTATAATATTTCTAAAATAATTATATTAGATTATAGAATCTAATTTATTATTATTTTCTAAAAATATTTAATATCCTATCTAAAAATTTATAACCTATTATTTATTATTTATTACTTTAAAATTAATAATTAAACTAAATATATTAATATTATTTTAGAATAATACTTATAAGTATATATATTATACTTATAAGATAATTAGTTTAAATAATTATTAATAATTAAATTTATTACTAACTTTATTTACTCTAAATTTATAAGAGTATTATTATTTATAGCTAATTATAAATTTTATCTAATATTAAAATTTAAATTAAGTTATCTTATTATTTATTTTATTAAAAAAAATATTAAGAAATTTACTAATATTATATATAAAATTTATAAATTTATTTATATTAAGATTTTATTTATTTAAGCCTATTATAAAATATAAACTAATTATTAAAAATAACCTATATATTACTATACTATAAGATAAGAAGTCTAGCTAGATACTTATAATATTTAAATACTCTATTTATAGAAAAAATTAAACTAGAAAAATTTTAAATTATATTATATTAAAAAAATTATTAATCTATATATTTATAAATTTAAATTATTTAAAAATATAAGAATTTATTTTATATTTAATATATTTTTATTCTATTTTATTATTAATAATTCTTTATTTAATTAATATCTTAATCTATTACTACCTATTAAAGTAGAAAGATTAAAAAAATAAGAAATTAAAGAAATTCTTAATTTCTAATAAGTTTATTAAGATTATAATAAACTTAAGCTATAATATATTATTAAATAAATTAAATATAATAAATTAATTAAAAAATTTACTAAATATTTAAAAAATACTTACTAATTAATAAATAATTATTACCTTTATTATTCTAAGAAACCCTAGCTAATTCCTCTCTAGTCTTAATAAAGCTTAACCTTAAGAAGGGGAGTACTATCATAGTACAAAGCTATAGTACTTATCTAGTTAAATTCTGCCTTAACTATCTACTCTTATTCCTATATTTAAGCTATATTATCCTTAATCCTATTATAGCTCTTTAAGCTATATCCTATCTATTACCTGATACCTACTATTCCACTGTTCTGCCTGGTTAGCTCCTAGTCAATGAATATCTGAATCTGACTCTGCCCCCTGACAATTAATTTATTATCTCTTATTAATTTATAGCTATTAGTTCTTAATCCTGTAGTTTATAGGACTTATAGCTATCTAAGAGGCTTAATAAATATCTTAATAGTAAGCTAGCTAGTAAGCTAGGGTAATATAAATAAGTCTACCTAAAGAAAGCTATCTTATTATAAATATATTTTAGTATAGAAGAATTTAATACCTTACAGGGGATATAAAAGAGGTAGAGAAGGTAGAGAAGATAGAAGAGGTAAGAAAAATTATTAACTTATAAAAAATAGAATAATTAGTATTCTTCTTCTTAATTAGAGTAATAATATTTAATAGACTTATAGCTAGTAGCTTTATAGGCCACTAATCTAGTAACTAAGTTAGTAATCTTGCAGGCTACTAATCTAGTAACCAAGCTAGTAACCTTGCAGACCACTAATTTAGTAACCAAGCCAGCAACCTTGCAGGCTACTAATCTAGTAACTAAGCTAGCAACCTTACAGGCCACTAATCTAGTAACCAAGCCAGTAATCTCGCAGCGCGGAAGATATAATAGAAGATATAGTAGAAAATATGGTAGAAGATATAAAAAATAAGGAGGTAACTAGGGGTATAGAGAACATGCTACTATATAGAAATAAATTTTAAATACTAGTTTCTAATTAATTAATAATTTATATGATTAGAATTACTTAAATAATATATATTTTATTACTTTTATAAGTACTTATTTTAATAAATTTAAATATATTAAAATATAGATATCTAACTCTATATATAATATTTTTATTATATAATAAATAGGTATAGCATTATTAGGTTAGGGGGTGTGGTATGATCAGGAAGGGGTGTGGTTGGATTGATACAGGGTGTGGCGTTAACAGTCCCCTATTCTTTAGCCAGTATTTATAATCTAGTAGTTAAAGAAGCCCAGTAAATCTAAACTTTATATTAGCCAATGCGAATAGCTATTAAAATTAACATACTTAATAAAACTTTTCTTGATCCGAAGTATTTATATCTCTATAGAGGTATTGTACTGAGCTTTTACTTTAGGATCAGGTTGTTAAACAAACCTGTTCTAATCAACCGGACCTGTCTATTTCGTTTTATTATTAGTTATTAGGGGAAAACAGAGTCTGTATAATAACTAAAAATCTTTGTAGTAATTTTAAACAATTCTTTGAATAATGTATATTGAATAAGATATAGTAAGGAGGAAGGACGGGCCTTTTATACTTATTCTTAGATACACTCAACATATACGCGCCCAGGGTATTAGTGGGTTAGGATATATAGAGCATGAGTGCACTAATCTAAATTTAGTATAGCCAATTTAGAGTTATAAGGTATTGACATCTAGCATGGAAAAGCCATGATTTTTGAGCCAACAGCCACGCACAGATCGTGTCCTTTTCGTCGTCACCCACAGTTACTCCGTACAGATGGACGGCCTCCGGAATGACGTTGCGGTTTCGGTCCTACTGATGGTCCAAGCTCGTCGGTCTTGGCGGCGCGGGAGCTTTGCGATAACACTCTCCGCATCGGTGGCCGCCTGCTGAAACCTCACCCGCAACCTTCCTGGCTCTCGGTCTAGGGCGTGAGCCACATTAACATGGCTCTGACATCGGTATGGAGAGATCCTATTAATTGAGGCTGCTATATTATACTGATACCCTTCTTCAGTGGAAAGCGTTCAACTTCTTCGATGCCTCTCTAGTGAAGCTTCCCGAAGAAAGCTCGTCCCTCCTTAATGTTCGTCTCAAGCACCGTTTAGTTCACCTTGCGTATGCGCTCCTGCCATCTAACGTCGTCATATAGTCCGATATAACTTGTCTATCTACCGGCTCAGCGAATGTCTTCCTTGGATCTACCGATGGATTCGTCCACACCCTATCCTCCTCTTTTAAAGCCGTACAATCGTTCAAGGCCTCGGAAAGCGGATCAATCACGCATATAAAGCAGTTGGAGAAAACATCACTTCTCGTAACTATAGCGGAAGACCTGTTGAATGAACCGGTATTGAAGGTCTGGGCTCTCGATAAACCCGAAAAGAAGACTGATGCTCCGCGCTGCTTGTCAACGACATCGGTGCAAAATGCAAGGCGGTTATTTCCCGTACGTACCTCTCCGTGAGCCCGAATCAATCTTCCTGAGACTAATTTGCATAGGTATCCGCGTTCGCAACCCTCGGTGATCTCTCTCAAGTGGCGGTCGGCTTTGGTAATGGGGCGGTAACAATCATTCGCGGTGACTTAATTCACGATCGTGGAGCTCGACAACGTATTGTATTCGAATCGGAAGAGCCCGTAACTGGGCTTGAGGTGCAAAGTGGGCCCGTAACAACACTATATATCTCCACTACAAACCGGATTCTGGCCTTGATAATTACAGGACGCGGACAAGGGCAACCGGCTCGTGTGTTAGAAGACACAGGATGTGGAGTTGGTTGCATGACATTGGATAGGGGCACCGGTGATGTCCTTGTTGCTAGAGAAGATGCGATATATACGTACGGGCCTCATGGACGTGGCCCGAGTTACGCATTCGAGAGCCCAAAAAGCTCTATCAGCATATTTAGGGATTACGTGACACTTGTTTGCCCCCCTAGAGCCGGCTCCTCGAAATCAGATACGCTGCGAACCTTTGGCGTCGGTAAAGACGAATTGTCTAGTACGGCTACCTTTACACTATTAGATACCGACCTCAAGTTCATTGCCCACTCGGAAGCGCTTGTGTCCCCCGTGAAGTATGTCTTCAAGGAGTGGGGTCATTTGTTTATTCTCACAACAGATGGAAAGGTTTGCATTTAAAAATGACAGTGGTGTTTTAATCATAGCTAAAACCGGTTAGATTTATCGGTATCGGGAGAAGACCCTCCAACAGAAGCTTGAGATTCTCTACCAACGCAATCTCTATATTCTAGCCATTAATCTGGCACAGAAGATGGAGGTTGATGCGCTCCAACAGAATGCCATTTACCGGAAGTATGGTGATTTTTTGTACCAGAAAGGGGACTACGACACAGCCATGCAGCAATACCTTCGGGCGATTGACAATACCGAGCCGTCACAGGTGATACGAAAAGTATGTGTAGATTATTTCTTGACAGTTGCCATTGTTGCTAATGAAGCAACAGTATCTCGATACACAGCGAATCCACAACTTGATAGAATATCTCGAAGAGTTACATGACCACGACCGAGCCTCAGTTGACCATACCACGTTGCTCTTGAACTGCTACGCGAAACTAAAAGATACTAAGAAGCTAGATGCGTTCATCAAGGCTCCCGGTGAATTAAAGTTTGATCTGGAGACAGCCATTGCTATGTGCCGACAAGGTGGCTACTATGAACAAGCTGCATACCTGGCCACAAAACACGGAGAAAACGACATGGTTGTGGATATCTTGATCGAAGACTCCAAGAGATATGCGGAAGCCTTGGAATATATCTGGCGATTAGAGCCCGAATTGGTGAGTGATTTGAAGTCAGGATAGTATGATAATATTCTAATGAACTCAAGGCCTACCATAACCTCATGAAATACGCACGCGTTTTACTTTCCAATTGTCCTTCGGAAACAACAGAGCTTTTTATTGACTATTATAAAGGCACGTATGCACCAAGGACACAGCAGGTCGAGCCTCTCCCAGAGCCTCAAGCTCAGCAAAATAATACTTTACAAAATTTAGCAGCCTTCCTTCCCTTGCCTCTAATGAATGCTGGTGCTGGTGCCAAGGCAGAGAAGGTTGAGGCCCCGCCAGTCTTGGAAGACAAGGAATCTCAACAAGTCAAAGAGTATCGGGTTCCTAAGCCACGGACAGCATTCTCTTCTTTCGTTGGCCACTCGCAGGAGTTCATAACATTTTTAGAGGCACTCATTAGCAAAGAGAATCTCAAGGAAGAGGACAAGGTGGATCTCTATACCACCCTATTCGAGATGTATTTGGATACAGCAGGACGGAAGAAAGATACCGCTGAGGTGGAACATTGGCAAAACAGGGCCAAGAAATTGATTGAGGGCAAAGATGTAAGAGCCGCGCTGTTCGGGGGAGGAGAGCAACTGAACTGACGTGCCCTCAGATTCCTATTTCGACCTCCAGTGTTCTGCTTCTCTCTGACCTGTCAGGCTTCAGGGAAGGATCGACCCTTGTACGAGAGCAAGCAGGGCTTCGTTCCGATATTTTCCGATCTTTCACTGCTGCGAAAGACACCCAGGGGGCTATCAAAGCATTGAAAAAATACGGCCCAGAGGAGCCTCAGCTCTATGTTGACGCTTTGACATATTTTGCCTCGAGCCCTCAAATTCTTGAGGAGGCTGGAGATGAATTAGATACTGTTCTGAAACGTATCGACGAGGATGGTCTTATGTCCCCACTCCAAGTAATCCAGACACTCAGCAACAATGCAGTCGTTACTATGGGGCGAGTCAAGAAGTACTTGAGTGATAATATCGAGCGAGAACGCAAGGAAATATCATCTGTTAGCGACCCCCCAAGATATAGGACTGAACTATAACTAATCATCTCTGCAGAATCGCCGTCTCATATCAAGCTATACCGCTGAAACCGAAAGTAAGATGCAAGAACTCGAACAACTAGGGACAAAGCCGGTTGTCTTTCAGGCACGTCGCTGCATGTCTCCTTCCTGTGGCGGAGCACTTGACCTCCCTACAGTCCACTTTCTTTGCAAGCACTCTTTCCACCAACGCTGTCTAAATAAAGTAGGCGAGGATGCGGAATGCCCTCTTTGCGCCCCAGAGCATTCTACCATTAAAGCCATCCGAAGGCGACAGGTGGAATCCGCCGATCAGCACGATCTGTTCAAGGAGGAGCTGCAGCGGTCCAAGGGTCGGTTTGGTGTGATCAGTGAATTTTTTGGAAGAGGAGTAATGCGGCCGCAGAGCACGATGGAGTGATATGCTTAATACCCAAGTACCTTAGATGCAACTTATTCTTTGTATATAGTCCATCCCTTCAGTTTTGCCTGATAACCCAGGCACCGATATATTTTACCATCACGTGTCCGCGCGTCACCTGGGACCCACTTTAATTGAGGATACGCGTTGCAGGCAAAGAAGCCAATGAATGGTTCTTGATGCCGACTTTCCTTGACTTGGGAGGTATTCTTTCTTTTTAAACCCAGGCAAATTAAAACATACTCCCGTCATACCCAATGTCCTATAATCGTGTTATTCAAGATTCTGACGACGACGATGATCCTCTGGAGCTTGTCCCCGGCCCGCCAGACTGCATGCCAGTTATGAATGGTGATGATATACACTTCGAACCCCAGGATGTTGGTCATGGATCACATATCGGTGTAAATTTTGATGAATTCATTCAGTCGCAAGATGCGGCACATGCGACCATGACTGCTTCCCAGCAGCAAAGGGAAGAAAGATGGATACCGGATGTGGGTAAGGGTGGCTCAATTGGTATGAAGCGCAACTCGGCGCATGTGTTTTAACACTCTTTGCCCTAAGATATAAGCCTCGATCATTTGCCGCATCTCAGCATTGACAGCTAACGCCTTTAATTCATGGATAGGAACAATGATGACCGAAATCGGTCTTGCGCAGCAACGGCTTTTCGACGATGACCAAGCGCAGTTCGCCTATCCGGAAGCCCCGCATTTACAGCAAGATACGACAGTTGTGTACGGGCAGGATCCGAACCTAGGGGTTGGACCGGATCAAGGTGGATTTGTTCAAGAGACGAACACATTCCCACAGCCAGCCCCAAGCGATGACTGGTCACAATCAGCGCCTTCATATAATATCTTCGAATCGTCATTACGCACCTCCTCTTATCCACTAGATAGAGCTGATTTTCTCCCTGGCTCAGAGGTCACTGTTCGTACTGCAGCTCTACAGAATACCTCTCCACGACGATGTGCTTCCATGCATGTGGCAATCTCTTCGCCCCACGATACAGAGCCGTTTTCATCCGTTATATCCCCGAAAGCTTCAAGAGCCAAAAGTGACAACTTTAGCGTTAATGCCGTGCAGCCGTCACCGGCTAGTATCGACGAACTAGCCTTACCAGTGGCTATCGAGATTCCGCAGAAGGTTGAGAAACGAGGGCGTAAGAAGAAGCAACAGCAGCAGGTTATTCTAGACCATGATGAGGACGACGAGCTCTCCTATCCGAAAGTCCAAGATCCCCCTCCTAACAAACCTGAGAAGCGCAAACCAGGGAGACCCCCCAAAACTCCTCAGTCGGTTCCTTTGCCCAGTAGAAAGGAAGATGGGGCAACTTTAGGAGAGGCAAATTCTACAATTGATGGCTCAATTGGGACTTCCATACCCTCACCTCAAATCATCGTCGATGAATCGAACACTAAGAGTCATCCCCCAATTGCCGTACTCGCAGCGACGGAAGGTCCCTCAATAGAAATCCTCGCGACGACACCCACCAGAGAAACCAAAAAGAAGAAACTGAAACGCGGCAAAACCACCTCCGCAGTGCTCACGAAAACATACGAATCGGATGTCGAAGACGATGTAATCTGGGTAGATGAAAGACCCGTGATGCTCTCAGCTCACATGGATCAACAACCAGCTCTCAATCTACCCGAGACAACCAACAGCAATCAAAGGAACGAACAGGGGCCTGCCCCAGAACCAGCCCCCGCTCCCAAGAAGCGCGGCCGGAAAAGAAAGCAGACATCAGAACAACTAGACGAAGAAACAAACACAACCAATCAGCACCAAGAACAACCTATTATTCTACAAGAAGCAGACGCGGAACACCCCCTAGAGAACACCAACACCAACACTACCACCTCCACAGGTTTATCCATTGTCTTCGAATCCACCTCCAAACCCACCGACCCCGAAACCCTCGAACCCCCATTCATCACCAGCACCAACCCCAGAGAATCCACCGAACCATCCCAACCCCCCGAAACCCCTAAGAAATCCGCAGGCCCTCAGACCCCTTTAGGCAAGGGCCCAAGACAGCAGCACAGTCCTATCTCTTCAACCACCAAGGTACCGTACCGTGTCGGACTGAGTAAAAGGGCGAGAATCGCGCCGCTGCTGAAAATTATCAAACGATGACTCTCTTGTTTTTTTTTTTTTATCCATGTTTAATTCGGAGGCCTTATTCAGCTTGCCAGGAAGCTGCTTAATGTTTATGCTTAATGACTTGTCTGTATTGATATCTCTTTTTTTTTTTTTTTTTTTCCCGGGGGTTCGACTTCTCTTGCTTGCGTTATGCTTCTACGGCTATCTGAGATATAGATAGATACCTTGTCTCCTGTATTTTTTTATTATTCTGACCACCCTTGTCAGTCACATATTACGACATAATGCTGGCTGAAACGATGTATGAACTTTTCAACATTAGGGAGGCGTTGGTGGTTATGTGATTGTGCTTGCGTTCTTCTGTATGCCCTATATATCACTATTTCCTATATCTCGTCAACAGCTACCCGGGCTCTGGCTCTCAAGAGAGAGGGTAGACCTAGTACAATATATCCTAGAAACCGTTTAGTACCATTGACTGTAGTGGAGGGTAATTGGACTATCAATTAATCTAGCTTCCAGAATGTCTAATCTACTCGCTGAACTCCACCCTTCTGAATAACTAAAAACAGGAAAGAGAGTGTAAAACATAGCCGATTTTTGCTCTTTCTGAGCTAAAGAAACATGAATAGTGGTGATTAACCGCTGTTGGCCATATGACTGTTGCGGTCTATTTTGCGTGCGTCAAGGCCTAAGAGACCTGAGAAATGGTATACGGGTCAATTTTGAATCATAAGAACATAAGAGCCGAGACGAATACCAAAGCAAGTAGCACAGAGCTACGACACAAGACCGAGCTTGCATCCGACTTGGAACCCTTCTTCCCAGAGGCGATACTATGGCTAAAAGGATCGGGGTAGCTCACCACTTCAGAGCCACCTTGATTCTCAATGAAATCGTTTTCGCAATAACCGGCGTCGAGCTGGCAACCAGTGCCACAAAACTCACTGGAATTACCACAGTGGCCTTGACTACCACAGCATAAACCAAACGAAGACCCAATACATGTCACATTCCCCCCGCACTTTCCATCTTGTGAAGGATTTGCGAGATGGGGTTGGGCCCTAAACTTCCCGACGGTTTTACCATCAAAGTTGTCATCCTTGCGATACCAGTTCGTTTCAGGATCTCCCAGACACTCTCCGACAGTCACAGCTCGGTAGCCTTCGGCCTTCAATCTTTTGAGCATATGCTCAGTGAGATTATGAACGGTTTGCTCATGAACATCGTGAGCAATGACGAGCCATGACCGGTGAGTTTTCTTCCCAGAAGCCAAGTTCTCATCGAAAATGTCTTTCGAGCGTTGAATGGAGTCGGGACTATCGTGGCTATAATCCTCAGTATCGATATCGTATAGGATGACATGATATCCGAGATCTCCCATATCGTTCAAACAGCCCGACTCTTGGGTACAGCTCGAGTAAGGCGGGCGCATATACGTGGGGAAACTGCCGAGAATGTTTCGAAAAGCTACTTCATTCCATAAAAGTTGGGTACGACGTTGAACCTGAGAAACTTTGTTGAGATCTTGGTGTGACCAGGTATGACTAGCTACCTGGTGTCCGCTTAGCAGCATACGTTGAATCAAGGACGCCCATGGTACTCCGGGACTATCAATTTGGCCCTTGCCGTTGTTGTTTCCGGTGACGAAGAAAGTCACTTTCGCATGATATTTATCCAAGAGGTCAAGGAGATCGCCAGTGTATTGGTTGGGTCCATCATCGTACGTCAAAGCTATAGTTCCTGGGGTAGTGCAGGAACGGATCGCTTGTGGACCATATGGGACACTGCCGATCTGTGGTCGAGGGATTCCCTCTGTCGGTGGACCCCCAGGAGTAGCATGAGCGTCGCAATGGCCGTAATCGATTTGGCAGTCTGGAGAACGGCAGTGGGCAGTTGTGTTCCCGCAGTAGCCTGCGTGCGTATGCTCAATTCACATTGCTCTTACCCCAAGTCAATCATGAAACATACCTGCCGTCGAGCAACAATTGCTGTCAGAACAGCGCCCTAACTCAGGACCACATCTAGGGCCCGCGTAATCACGGTCCTTCAGGTTATGAATGGTTCCTGGTTGCTGAAGTTTGGAAACGACACGAACGGTCTCATAGTCAGGAGGGAGGGCGACAATATCACGCCCCAAAATGCCTGCTAGGAGTCCTAAGCTTGAAGCACCCAAAAAATAGCGGACGTGCATTTTGAGAATATTGGAGTAAGATAAGGGTTGGTTTAGAGATATAGTACAAAATATGAAATGAGTTTGTAAAGAGACTGCCTCGTGTGTATGCCAGAAGTAGGATGAGGAGATGAGAGACAAGAAACGACAGCCAAAAAAGAGAAGAATCCAGCCATATTATCGAACTCTCCCTCCTGTCTCAAGGAAGTAACAATCGTGAATAAACAATAAACCTGCCGTAACCAGCAACCGCAACAGGAAACAGGCGGCATCGTCGATGTGGAACGGCAACCCGAGAGCTTGCAATTTCGGCAGGAGCGACAAAGGATCGAGGACTGCTTGTGAATTGATGTCTTTCAGAGTATCTCAGGGCCTTCAGAAAGTGTTGGGTTGAAAAATCAATCCTGACTGTAGGAGCTCAAATTTCCGTGTACCAGAAAAGCATTATGCGACTGCGCGCTTATTTGCTATTAAGTTATGGCGGTAGAATTTGACCAGAAGACGTTCGAAGGATCATGATCTATTCTTTTATTGTCATATGTGCCCCCGTCTACTGTAAAACCGATTCTAATTTCTGGTAAGAGAAAATCAAATTACATTGGGAATCCCTGGTTGAACAATCTAATCAGGGAAACCTACTAGGGTTCGCTCTCTCCTAAGCTACAGCTGGTATCGAGTATGAGCTGTCGGTCTGGATCAACTACTGTTCAAGTCAGAATATTGATCTCCAAAGAACAAAAAAAAAAAAAAAAAAAAAAAAAAAAATCCCAGGAGTGTCTTACCTCCAAATCATCTTCACCCACCGCTGAAAAGATGAAAGGTACTAGAGTTGGAAGATGCGGACCAAATTTCGCAGGCACTGTTCTCGCTACACTCCCAACAACCGCAATCAAATGTCGTTGGTGAACGGTGCTCAGCTGAGGAGAGTTGAACCTTCCAACGAGCTCCGCGACAAAAGATCCAAGCTGACTGTCGGAAAAGTGAAGCACCAGAGCTGAAATCGCGGCCAATGCCCGTTTCGTGACTACAGTACCAGCTGTATCGTTGTCAATAATGGACATGACCGCCTTCTCCAACGCCGTCAGTTCGTCTTCTTTCAGGAGCGTTCCGAAACATGAAGCCACTTGAATCACGACATCAATAGCGTCGCTGCTAAAGCCTTTTGACGGGTCTTTCTCCAACATTCCTTTGGTGGCAGAGCTCCTCCTTTGAGAGGACGGGCTAGGGCCTATCAAACGGGGGATGAGGACCCTGGAAACCGCAGAGTATGCTGCGGTGGCCTCTTGACTTGGTGGCTGAGCTGGCTGAGGACGTGGAAGTGCGGTGACAATAACCCTCAGCGCGGTGTTTGGGACTGATGTGTCGATTGTTTGGGAAGAAGTCAGATTCGATAGTTTCTCGAGTAGCGATGTGAGGGTTTCAGAGGGCAACCGGACAACAAGAGGGCCGAGACTGTTCCGCGATAGCTCGGTTAGCTATGCAAAGGGTGCATATTTAAGCTACCAGACACTGCTTCTTACCATTTTAGAGCTTGGTTTTGGACGTCACCATGTTGATCATCCAAGGCCTTCAACAAGCCCTCGGCAAGTTTAGCAGAGGAGAATTGGTCGTGTGGCAGGTAGCTGGAGCCGGGACTGGTGAGAATTCCGTACAGATCATTTAATGACATGTACCTCATATCCGGATCGGGGTCGTCTAGCTTGGAGAGTAGGCCATTGAGGTTCTGCTGCACCTGTTGTCGGTCTGCCATCGTGGAGAGGTACCCCGCTCAGGCGAACGGGACGGAACTGAGGGAGAGAGAAGCTGGTAGGGGGGTCGGGGGGTAGGGAATAGTGCCAAGAGAGCTGAAGTGATAAACAGGGTGAGTAGTCCGGGAGGTGACAAGATGATGGGTAACAGGGGAGGGACATAAATATGAAAGGATCACCAGATGTCGATAATGAGGATAATCCGCATTTGTTGCCTGAGGCTTTGAGCAGGTACCTTAAAGCTCCTACGGGACACAATACAGACCTTCTGCGCAAGACTTTAGGAATACAATCGTTGTGAATTTAACAGAGTCCCTTGTTAAAGTGAGGGGGGGGGGGGAAAGAAGAAAGATTCATACATCAGCCATCAAGAATAGCATGCATGATTCGAAAGCGCCATTTGAAGAAGTTGAGTGCTTTTTGGGCCGTCCAGCCGCCCGCGCGGTCCACCAAAGTTCCCAACCAAGCCAGATTCCCCCGCATTTTCCCAATTACATCATGAAACGAAGCAAGCAGCAAATGTTTTCTTCTTCCTGTCATTCTCCTCCATCAGACCTACCACTTGAATCCATCCTATATTTTGCCTTCGAAATCAATCACTATCCTGCGACCTTTTTTGCCCGCATCCCATCAACCCGCTTTTCAGTACACTCGTACTCTGACCCGGAACTACTATATAACCCACCCTGTAAATCGTCACACTATGGTCCTTGCGCGCGCCGCGATTGTCCGTGCATCCGTCAGGGGCATCAACGCCATCGGAAGAAACCCCACCCAGCAAATTGGACGACGCACCTACGCCGCGGCCTACAAGACGAGGAAGACGAGCGATATGCCGTGGTAAGTTGCAACCATCGATATACATCACATCAATCAATCAATCAATCAATCAAAGCAGCTGGCTAAGCATGATCGATCGCGCTGTAGGATGCTTATATCCGTTGCGGTTGCTGGGCCCGGGGTGTGGTATTTGTATGAGCCTCGCCCCGCAAAGACCGGTCACCATGAGAGCCACGGGGATGAAAAAACATGAAGTGGTGGCGGACCTTGATAATTGGGCCCAGGAGCTCGGAACGATGGGGATGGGTCTAGTCGCTTAATGCTATGGTTATGATATGTGACGGCGACTCAATGGATTTATGGAATACGGTAAGCCTTGTGCAGGACCAGAATGTATCGAAGAACAGCCATATCGCCCCGACAGGAGTCGGGGCATGTTTTGCATTTGCATTAGCATTAGTATTATTAGGAACGTTAATGAGTAGCTACCCGATTATAACCGCTCCTTCATGAATCATCACTATATCCATTGAATCACACTCTTTTTGACGCAAGATGAGCCAGCGTGGTACAAAAGAAAAAGGAAAAGGAAAAAAAAAAAAAAAAAAAAAAAAACAAGATCTCTGCAAGAAATGAAAATCATAACCATAGGCACATGCAATGAATTTTAAACAAGAAAATGTCCAGCCAGGAAGGCTGTAATATCAAGAATCTTCACCGTCTGTGAAGAACATTGGTTGAAGGGGGTGAAGAAAAAAAAAAAAAAAAAGCTAGTCTCGCGGAATAGCTGTGGTGAAATTGCCCAAGCGGAGTCCCGCAAGGCTTTACTGTTTGAGTGGACGTCCGTTGACCATAACCTGAGGAGTGGCATTGATGTTGCGAGCGGTCAGGGATGACTGGTCAGTACCTGTAGCAATAGCAGCAGTGCTGTGCGTTTGTTGTTGCTCGATCTCATCCTCGTCATCCTCGTCATCACTTCTCTCGTCCTTCTTCACGTTGGAGAAAATATAATTCTTCAGGATACGAAGAATCAGGAAGAGCCAGAACAAGTTCACAGCCTGGAGACTGGCAAGCAGGGCAAATGTTATGTACTGACTGATCCAGCACTTATACTGCTGGGTTTCCCAGTTGAGCTCGAAGGGGCCGACGGTCCTAAATTCGGTCAAGACCGCCCAGAGGAACTTGAGGTTCAGAATATGTCGAAGGTAGATCCAGGTGCCAACAAAGAACACGAAGTACGGGGCAGTGATGATAGAGTCGAGGTAATTGAGGGTTTTGGAGGTCTGAAACACGACACGCTGAGTGAGTAAAAGGTGGAGGGCAAGAACTGAAACATGGGCAACCATACCGCGAGGAAGAAGTCAGACACATCATGAGTGATATAAACCGCGAGACCCAAGTAGGTAAAATGGAACCGATAGCTGAGCGCGATAAGAGCCAATGTGATGATGTGATGGCCCACAAGTTCCTTGAAATCCTTCCGTGGTTTTTCCAGCTGCAGTAACAGGACGATAGCCTGCTGGGCCCAGTAACTGGCCTGGAGCAGATAGTAAGCCTTGAACAGACCATCGTGTTCTCGATGCGGGAAGCCCTCGAACATGGCCGTTGTGTTGAAATACCAGATATCGGTTCGGCTCATGACGTAGAGACCGAATGGGCCCAGGATCACGAAGTAGATGGCTGTATAGACCTGCTCCATAAATCGTGCCGTTTTCCCCTTTCCGCGAATGCCACAATACACTGCCCATGGATGAATCAAGCGCTGCATCAAAAATTCCCGTGTGAAAGACAGCACGATAGTGTAGAACGAGACGAATGCGATATCCTTGGGACCTTTTCCATACATGATTGGACCACCGGGAGTTTTCGGGGGCTGAGCGTAGGAGAGAAAGATGGCGTGGTGTAGCGGATTGGACGGGGTTGGATTAACGGCATACGCCAAAAGGAGGACAACGACCATCAGGAGAGGAAGCACCCAGGTATGCTTTAAACAGAGATCTTTGAACTGACGGATGGCCGATCGGCTCTTCCGGCGCTTTGCCTGCGTTCTACCTGCTTTCTCGGGGGACGGGACCTGGGAAGGTGAGATTGAGAACAGACCAGAGGACAGACCAATGCATACATTCTCCCATTGTGGTGGCTCCCCGTCAATGGGGCTGACTTCGTTCATTGTGGACATGGCTGGCGCACCAGTATCCCCCGGGATGTCCGCGCCCAGGTTGCTAGACTTTCTTCTCATACGAGCCATGGTCGCCCGATAGCTCTTCCGTATTCTTGTGGCTGTCTGCTGTCCTTCGTAAGTCGAGTTCCATACACGTGGCTTCCCCGTCCTTTCGACGAAGGATAGACAAGGGTCGGGGGAAGAAGAAGCCAAAGGGGAACAAATCAAAGCTTTGACATACCAGAGAAGAGAACCAGAAGAAAGGAGAGTGAAAAATTCGAGAGGCTCACCAAAGGTTTGGTGGAGTGTGTGTGTCCAACGGGAAGAACACGAAATCCAGGGGGAGGTTCGTCGTTTTTACCTTTGGTACTGTCAAAATCAGCAATTTTCTTTGTTGGTCCCGTTTTTAGTCCGACTCCACTGACTTCCTTCTTCTCCACAGTCATCGTTGCTCTTGGGCCACTCACCATTCGTATTGCCTCCCCAGTCACCGGGATTTTCGGACTAACACGCGCTATCATGAACGAATCCGGGCTGATTCAACGCGCGATTCGAAACCTCGGAGTTGAGCGGCGCAAGCACAGGCCCTGGAATAACTATTTCCCCCGCGAGCAGGGCCATGTTGCTCACAGGGCATATATGGAGTACATACGGAGTATGCTACGCCCGATCAAATTGCTGTGGACTTTGGTGGTGTTGGGTTTGTGTCCCCGATCGTTCTTCACGTAACGCGATCCGTCCTAGAAGGCTAGATGATACATAGCAGGCTTATGCAGGTTGCACGAAACGATTCCCAAAACGGCCTTTTCCGTGGATTATCCGCGGGCCCTCCCGTGAAGCTGCTTCGTCTTCCACCTACACTGTTGGGAGGTTTCCTGGATGCTGATTGATCCAAGCTTCAAGACAGCCTATGGCCATCCCAAGGTGTTATAACCAAGGCGAGCAAAGTTGACCTTGGGCAATGGGTCTTGTCCAAACACTTTTCATGAGTTACCAACAGCATCAGCCGCACATTCAAGGGGTTCAAGATCACGAAAAGCCTCATCCAGAGAAAGAGACTCGAAATAGCTAGGCAGGGTACTACCTACCTAGGTAGGCATAATACGATAGCTGACCCAACTACTATTGGTTCCTGGCATGAATTGTAGCCAACCACCACAAACCGATGCCTGTCAGCCAGCCTTGTGCAAGGATCGTATACATAATATGGCTTTAATATAGAGAACCAGGGGTATTTGGGCATGTATGCGTGCGGGGTTAATGGTCTGAAATGGGACTTTTGTTCATAGACTACCTATATTTATGATTGAGGCAGTTTCCATCGCAGCTAGTAATATTGATGCTTCTATGTTTCAACTACCCTGCCTTCTGGTTTTTGTTCACGTTTAACAGCAACTACAGGAATATGCCAGCCTCCAAGTACATCTGCGCTAATTGGAGCCCTGATCGAACGGATTGTAAGAAACAAGGCACAAAAGCTTGCAAAAACTGTCTTCTTGTTGTTGTAAGTTCATGTACATGTGGACTGGGTCGGTTGTTCTGATGCACCTAGCGACATAGTACTGCGATCAGGCATGCCAGACTTTCCACTGGCCTACACATAGATCCGCATGCAGGTCGCCCCTGGGTAAAACAACGTGGCAGCCAGGTTGGATTTTAGAGAATAGAGCACCTTCGTTTATTGGGGGAGGGATGGCGGAACAGTTTGGGGCAAAGAAGTACCTCTGGGGCAACGTCCCTGCCTTCGACATCCTCCGACTTGGATCAAATGAAGGAGCTGAATATGGTAGAGGGGTGAGCATCCTCTGTGCCGGTATGTATATATATACAATATCACACGGCAGGTCGACAACTGACCGGGGGGGGGGGGGGGGGGCATTGTTCCCTATATACAGCCTCCGGGGATATTCGAAATATTGTCAATACGATTGCCCAACTTCCGACTAGCTATAGGCACTCCCTCCGCCTTGTGATCAATGACCGGGATTTCGATATCGTGGCCCGCAACATTATCTTGCTTCTCATAGCCCTCGTGGTTGAGGAAGTGGACGAGGCAGTTGACTGCATGATTCATCTCTGGTACTCAGCGTTTGTACGCAAGTCTGATACAGAGATCATTCGCGGCCAGGTTCGTCCGCTCATCGAGAGCGTTTGCGAAAAAGTGAAAAACAAACCACCTCAAACGCTCTTGGGGAAAACATGGCAATTTGGGCGACAATCTCTCCGGGTTGTCCTCCAGAAATCATCCTGGGACCGCCTGTTGGCTTTGTTTGACGCCCCGTCTGGCCTGACAGCTGAACGCGCACACCAAATCCGCACTGCCATCACTTTAGCTGAATCAAGGAGAGACTATCGTGAGCGACACATGTGCTTCCAGTCTCCTCCCCATCGAGTTGCATTTGAACGATTCCGTGCAGACGGCCTCCTGCTCCCGTTTGGATATCCGCGGCACGAATTTCAAGAGCCCAATCTGTGAGTTGGCGCCGGGGATTAAAAGTGACCCCTGTTGTACTAAGATAAAGCAGGTCCTTCTTTCAGAATGCTCATCATACCTGGCCAATGCCTGACAGCGCTGATCCTCTTCATGGGTGGCCATCCGAGGACGTTGCGAATACCTCCAGCGGCGCAGCAACGGCTGATATATACGGCAAGCTCTTCTTTTATCTCCAGGGAACGCTTCGGACTTTTCTTGATCGACTCTCAAGCCTTGATGTCTCGTTTCGTCTCTTCCAGGTCGACGCCAGTGACCTGCCGCAATACGTCGAGAAGGATTCGTTTAGCAGAATTGAGGTAAGACCGTACCACCCACAACACGCAGCAAGCCTCTCTATATTATGCAGACTTTCCCCCTGCATGACTGAATGCCTACGGTTCCGTTCGGTCGAGCAGAATTTCTCCCTCGTTGGTTGAAGTGACTTGACATAACACAACTACTAATGTCATGGCACAGGTGTCCAACATTTCCGATGCCGGTTGGTTAGGCATCCACCGCACGCTGTATTTGATGGTGCCTTTGCTTGAAACGCCGCTCGACAACCCTCATGCGACCTTGATTACCCTATTCATGAACGCCGTAGAAGAGACTTTAACCGGCCAAGACAAGATCCATATTCTCACTGCAGATCGCATAGCCAAAGAAAGACTCTTGAAGTATCTCCCGCCCAAGCCAGGACTCGCGTTTAAGTATAGTCCCTGGATCCTCAAGTTGACCGCCGGGCAGGATCTTGTCACAACCTACGACCACATCTTCGACCGGTAAGCATTCATCACATAATTAATGAAAGGACTTATACTGATCCGGGCAGCAGATATTCGAAGTGGTTCATGTTCTCCGAGGCCCCTCTCTTTGAAGCGGCCATGAAGGAAAACCATACTGTCATTGACAAGTGGCCGTATAGACTGAAACGACGACCGGGCCAACCGGGAGCACAAGAGGAGTTTGACCGGCAACTCGGTAGTGGCGTATCAAGCAAGGAGCGTTATATGGAGTGGAGGAGGCTTTATCAGACTAGCATGGTCTAGGAGCGAATCTCGGTTGCTCGAAAGCGCTCCTAGCATACTCAAAGATCCAAGACCTCCTCCTGGGTTTCTTCCAGGATCAGTCCGGAACCTTCAGTCAGGGTAGAAGAAAGTAGATGACGACGAGAGGACAATTAAGGTGTACATACATACCATTTGCTCACTATCATTCGAGTCAAAATATAGGGATTTCATGTAGAAACAGAATCTACAGAATGGCTCTCATTCACATCCAATAAGTTTGTGTAAGTGAGGCTTTATCCCTTGGCATTCCTGCCGATTAACTACTACGGAGACAGTGAAAAAAAAAATAAAAATAAGTAATTGATGATGAATATTGACCTTTTCAATCTGATCCTGGGAAAAAGAAATTCAGGGAAGAGAACGCCAAAATATAGTTACATGGAAGGAATTAATAAAACACCCAGACACATGACCGCAGCTACCACCTTTTTTTTTTCTCTCTCTCTCTCTCTCTTTCTGTCTGTCTGTCTGTCTGTCCATGGAGATCTCGTATTCAGTGGTCGTGGGTTTCGCTTTTTTTTTTTTTTTTGTCATCTCATCTTGTCATTTTATCATATAAATTTATGCATCAGCGACGTGTTTCTCGGCCACCTCAGCATGCACTGCAACACTGCCGACACGCTTCTCCTCATCGGCATCGAAGCCGGTCTGTTGGAGAATAGCACCCCGGCTGTACTCGTTTTTGGTCTTCCAGGCCGGAGTACCGATGTAAGGAATGCCGTCGGGGTTGGTAAAGATGGCCTCGATGTCTTCCAGAGTCTTACCGGCAGTTTCGGGGAACATGAAGAACACGTGGAGAGCCATGGTGGCACAAAAGACCCCGAAAAGGATATAAACCTTCCATTTGATATTGACAAAGGCCGGGGGAACGAAGTAGCCGAGAGCAAAGTTGAAGGCCCAGTTGGAGGATGTGCAGAGCGCGTTGGCCTTGCCACGGACGCGGAGAGGGAACAGTTCAGGAGGATACAGCCACGAGACAGGACCCCAGGAAATCGCGTAGCATGCGACAAACAGGTACGTACAGGCGATCACAGCCTTACTGGGGGCACCCCTGATGATCCAGGACTGAGCTTCAATGCCGTTCAACCCTCCGGCTGGGGCAGCATGGCCATAAGTGGCCATGAGACCGCCGTTGGCGAACAAGAAGGTGAGCATGCCAATGGCACCAGCAATGAGGGTGGGACGGCGGCCCCAGCGGTCGACCCAGATAATAGCGGGGATTGTCGTGAAGACGTTAATCACGTACTGGATGCTGGAGGAGACGAGAAGGTTATTGCCCTCCAGACCAGCCATAGCAAAGACATAGGTGATGTAGTACATCATAACGTTCATACCGGTCAGCTGAGACCAGATCTGCATGGAGATACCAACATGGGTACGGTTGATCATTTTGGGCTTAAAAAGCTCCAGGTAAGAGACGTCGGCGTTTTGACGCTCAAATTCGCACATGCTCTTAATTTCTTCGAATTCACGGTGAACAAACGGAGAATCCGGGTCGCCTTTCCCATGAACCAAAGTCAAGACTTCCCGACATTCCTCCCACCGGTCCTTGCGAGCCAACCAGCGAGGGGACTCGGGAAGCAGCATCATCCCGAAGAATAGCAAAACAGCGGGGATCATCTGCAGACCCCACGGAATCCGGAAAGCGGCGGTGCCTTCGATATAGCTGCACCCATACGAGATACTAGACATTTACATCAGTGTTGATTCATCGATACCATTGGATGAGCAAGTTCTTACTAGAACATGATTAAGATGCCGATTGTAATCGCCCATTGCTGCAGGCTTACGAGACGACCTCGCTTTGTAGGAGGGGCCTACGGAAAGGTGAGTGATAAGTTGTAATTGTTGTCGTGCGAAAGGAAAGGCCATACCAGCTCCGAAATGTAGACAGGCACCTGGGCGGAACAGATTCCCACACTTAGGCCGTTGATAATACGACCAACAATCAGCATAGGAATATCCTGGGCGGCGCAAACAATAATCGAACCGATGCACCTATGGACATTCCTGTTAGCTGCAGTATAAAATAGAGGGGGGTGTGGTAGGTCACCTACCAGATGACAGCACCGATCATGATGGCAGATTTACGGCCAAGCATGTCGGACACAAACCCCGAAATCAAGGCCCCCAGCCAAGAGCCTGCAGCCATTGAGGCAGTGATACCTCCTTGGACATCTGCCGAGGGACCTTTACAAACCCGCTCTCCACTGTCATCATATTGAGGGGCGCCTTGGTCGAAGTAGCAAAGATAGGCCTTTGTACTAATGATAGCCGACATAGACGAGATATCGAAACCAAAAAGACCACCACCGATGACGGCGATGGCCGAAATAAAGTATAAGTTGCCAATGGGCATGTTGGCAGAGACTTTTCCTTCGCTTCAAGTAGACAACAAGCAAGTGTGAAGTCTACCCAAGAAGGAAGACAGCCGCCAGATAAGGGGGGAACGATGGGGAAAAGAGGAAGAGAACAGAAAAGAAAAGGAAAGAAACAAGAAAAGAAAAACTGGGGAAAGCGAGGGGAAAGCAAGAGGGCTTAAATAGTTTATTTTTTTATTTCCCCATCTCTTTTGGGAAGTGGTACGGAAGTATGACCCCGAATGAATGAGGAGACAATTACGTCGAGCAAAAGAGACGAACTTTGTTGAAACGGTCCCATAGTCACGAGTGGCAATTCTCATGCCATATTCCTAGCTTCCTTGACGCCTTCAAGTCTTCGGAACTGGGGGCGACGGCATGTTCTGATCCCGAGTCATGAAGAGTCAAGTTTTCAGGTAGCTCAGCGCCACAGCTGATTGGCGCTAGAATTCGCATTGAGCGCATCTGGTTAGGGAAATGGGAGCTGATGCCCAAATAATCGACGAAAACATCAGGATGACTCCACCCCGTGTGCAGATATATATGATGGTGGTGGCTGCGAGAATAATTCCGACTGTCTGTTTGAAATTAGAGGATGTCGCTGCCCACAGTGAAACTATTGAACAATGGGGGAATCCACGGGGAAAGGCTATGCATGTGGACTGGAGAACAGGGGCAGTTCCAACATGGATATTACAACAAATCAGAGTCAAACCGGAGGAAAGCAATCGGCAATCACAACATCGGGATAGCCGAGTGTGACCCTGGGCGGAGAAAGGAAGGACGGAAAAGGGTTGATTGGAAGCAGGAGAATGTGTTTCATTCGACCAGCCCGGGTTGAAGCGTGGAGGGATCCGGGGAACTCCAGATCTGTGTGAGGTAAGCCGATGAGGAGGCCGGGAACGACAGGCCAAGGCGCAAAAACCCGGACGCAGAAATCCCCTCCACCAGCCGCCTATGAAGACGAAGCCGAGACGGCATTGATCAACGGCCAGGATTCCTGACCCGGCGGTGACGGAATGTAAGGATATGGTTTTTGTCGTTGTTTATGAGGCTGAACTGGCGATGGGTTCGGAAAGCCATTCATTCATTCATCCTAGAACTCAACGACAACAATAACCCCAAATTAAGAGATAATCAGCCGATATCCATCAAAAAAGAAAAGAAAAAAAGGGAGTCGGGAGGAAAAGGAACCATTCTGCTTGGTGCCTTGGGGCAGCGACGACGCTCAGCCAGCCAGCCCATCAGCGCAGAGAACGCAGGTCACCATCCCCAATTAGACCTCTAACCGGTGTGTCCATCGTCAGATGAAGGCAGAATGGATTATGGTAATTAATTAATTAGCCAGTCCAATGAGATCTCTTGGGGTAAAAGTGATGCAGATGGAAAGGTGAAGTGGGAGAGAAATCCCGAGGCGAAGAGCGAAGACGTTGCCCGGTACCTGAGGCAGCCATGGCTGAATCAGGAAATTTACCCGGATGTTTTGTTCTGATTCATTCCTCCGTCTATCAAGATGCTTGAAGAATTCACAGGTCAACAATATAATCCGGCAAAATAGAATCACCCGAGTTCTTTCTCTGGAATTTACCCGATGGCCCTGATCCGGCCTTATTTCTTTAGTTCGACAGCCACCAATGCTTGAGCAGGATTTTGGATAATTCAATTTTATTTCTTTTTAAAAATCTCCTGGCGGGTATACACCCTCGGTCATGTCTGCAACACGAGGATAACAAAGTTCCAACAGGATACAGGGAGGGAAGAAGAGAACCATGTCGTCATTAGCATTATTGTTATCATTTCGTGTATTAACAAACCCCGATGCTGCGCGAGGGTCATCTAGCCTGAAAATGGGGTATAAAAGAAAAGAAATCGGGACCAAGCAGGGACTGAGTGTTCACAATGCGCGGATGAATAATTAGGAAGGGAAAAAAAAAAAAAAGACATGCCAATGAATCAATAATTATTCCACCTCGGCTAGATTGATCAAGGATAATAACGGTATAACCCCTTAAGCCACAAGCTCCCACTCTGCAATGATTGCCCAGGCCATCCCCACCCGGCCTACTTGACGCCGGTACTCCTCTGCGGTAACCCCCCGGGCATCTTGTTTGTCTCCAAAGCTTGTAAGAACCGCAAGTTGGACCTGTTGGCCTGGTGCTCCCAGAATTCTCGCATCGGGGACATCCACATACCAGACATCTCCGCCGCCAGTCGGCCCAGCGCCTCGGTAATGCGTCAAAGGAAGACGGTCGTCGTTGCGGCCGTCAATGCCATGCACCAGCAACAGAAACAGACCCGGTTTTGCCCGGCTGTGACCTTCCAGCGTCCAGTGCTCGCAGATCAGGTTGAATTGAACACGCAGGGGGCCGGGTTGGTTGACCGATATACACTCCGCCGCTGGTCGGAAAGACCGTCTTCCAATGCTGTGCTTATCTGCATCCCCATATATATTGGGCTGGGCTGCACCAAATGGTGAATTTGGGTGGCCTAGAATGTATTCTTCCCAACTGATTTCAGGCCGCCCATCGTCTCGGTAAAAGTGGCTTGCGTTCGTAGGGAAGTGCCGAAGCCCAAACTCATCGTTGGAATCCGTGAACATCGCCGGGTTAAAGCTACGAACATACGGTTGGCCCGGTCCTTGAATATGCCCAGCACCCCAACAGGGGTCGATGAGTTTCCATTGCCCGTTGTCAATCCTCACCACGTTCCAGGCATGGCCTGCCGCCTGGGGTGGGAGAGGTGCTCCTGGGGCTGGAGCGGAATAGCCGTAACCTTTGCCGTGACCGGAGACCACGGCTGCCTCCAACCCCGCTTGAATGGCCAGCGCAGCAAAGAGGCCAGCATAGCCCTCGCAGACAGCGAGCCCAGAAGCAAGGGTGCTCGAAGGCGTCGACGGCTTGACGCAACGGTTGAAAAACGAGTACACATCATAATCTACGTTGTGATGCAGCCACGTGAAGAGGGCTCTCGCCTTGTCCGTGTGGGAGATGAACGGAGCAGTGAGCTCCCTAGCCAGCCATCCGATATCTTGAGTGGGAAGTGATTCTCGCGGATACCGGGCGGCGTGGGTGTCTGGCCCGGAAAAGTCACGGCATTTCAAACATCCCGAACTCTGTACCACGGGTGTTCCATTTGTCACGAAAACTTTTGGCTTGGTGGCTTGTATCTGAGAAAGGTCTGGGCGCAACGCTAGCGGCACAGGTGGTGGTGCTGGCGGCGGCACCTCGGCTGGAATTTGCTCTCGGCCAGCGCCCTTCGTATCCCTATCCAAAATCTTATTATGCATTGCAGAAAACCCCGAGCGCTGGATTTTATCCAACTCGGCCCCGGAAGGGGGTGGTGGCGGAAGTCTTTTTGTTGGTTGTCTACTACCGATTTCTTCGCTAGGAGCCGGTGACTTATCTCGGGAGGGCAATGCAGGGGGGAGACGGGACTGAGAGAAGCTACTACTCTCGGTCGAGACAACGCTTTGGTTTGAGCTCCGACGAGGGGGGAGAGATGGTCGAGGAGCCGACAAACTTCCACTGCTTGGAGTAGTCGTAGCTTTCGGGCGCGACACCGGTAGGATGGGCTGCGACGGTTGCCGTTTAAGAGGCAAAGGGGGGAGCTCACCCACGCCCCATGCCGGCGCCCTTACCACAGAACCTGTAGAACTGGCCGCAGTTACTCTCGACCTCCCAGAGCTTGTAGACGTTGATCCGGATACATCAGAGGCTATAGAATCGCCGGAAGGCCGTCGAGGAGGTAATGAGGGAGCTAGTTGGCTCGAGCTTTTGCGGGCTGGCAGAGGCGGGGGGATCCTGGGCTTCTGCCCGGTCGCTGGGGTCACATCGTTGGGGGTTGGTCGAGGAATTGGGCGTGGTGGAACCCCAGGGATCGGAATCGTATTACATGCTGGTAATTTGGGAGGCGCAGAGCCATTAGAGCTGTTATGCGAAAGAGTGTTGTTGGTGATTGAGTTGGCCCGTGGAGGAGCTGGACGTAGCGCAAAGGCGGTTGGCTGCTGTGAGCCCAGGAACGGCGATCCTGGCCCCTCAGTACCTTGTCCAGCCTGTGCCTGTTTCAAGGCCTTGATGCGGTCCTGAATGGATAAGACCTGAGTTTCGTCGGCCATTTTGGTGCCGACTAAGTTCGTCTACGACGATACCAGCAAACCGAAACGACAGGACAGACCGCAATCAAGGGGGGGGGAGAGGGCCAGACCCGATTGGGGCAGCTTGGTAGCAGTCAGTGACTTCGACTGCAATCAGTCTCCAGAAGGTCTGTATTTTGTAAATCAACGAGTGGAGTCCCTCTCGTAAAGAGAAGGAATAAAGAAAGAATCAGGAACAACCGCGACAGGTAGGGAAATATATGAAGGGACGAGTTCTCGCCCCCGCATGGATTGTCTCTCTCAAGTAAGTGTAGGAAACTGAAGACTGTCGCGGGGATGGAAATCGATCACGCCGTCCGAGCCTTGTTGCCTTGCTGCCTGCTTCCTCTAGCCTCAGGCATTGTATCCTGTTCTGTCATTCGTTGATTCAATCTTGATAAATTACGCGTATTAACTATGACCGGAAATGGCTTCGGACAGCTACAAAAAAGGTACCGGTAATTGGTCCTGCATCTCGCTTCTAAAACACCACCACTCTAAACCCTAGTCTTGCCCAAGGGTGCCTCTGGTAAAAGCTTAGGAAGCTCTGATATATATCAAGAGTACACTAATATACATGGTTGTACACTGAAATCAAACAAGAATCTGTATATAAACCACGGTTTACCTGGGTTTCAGTATTAAACGTAATTATGATGCACTCAATCAATACGCATTACATCACAGTCCTACTAGTTAGTAGTTAAGCTTCACACATGTTGAATTACTAAGTAGTAGGTAGTTTCCCCTGATGGGCCTGGAGCTGTCAATCTACTGCAACATCATGAAATCAATTAAAATGCCCCAGAAACGCAGGAAACTTGCTTCAACTACTGTCCAAAACACTACCAACGAGCCTTCTGCAGGATACCGCGCTGCGTCTACTAGCGATGACGGCCCCTCAGAGCCAGAGACATCTCGTTTTTCAGCGAAGGGCGGGGACTTTCCACCGGAGGAAGTGATTCCCGAAGAGAGCGAAGAGCTCTTCCGAGATCCGGATGAAGAAACGCCCGAGGAATCTATGCATACGATCGCTGATACTCACGAGGACAAAAGGACAACGAGCCGCGGCTTGGAGGGAGGATACAACGCGTTGAAATCCTACAAAGGCCAATACTACTCTGGAATGGCGGTGGGAGGCTCGCACATCTGGAACTACGACCAGGGAGTATGGAAAGAGACGAAAGAAGAACCCAATCTTTGGAAGATTGATTATAGGACGAAGAAGAGACGGGAGAAGAAAGCCCCCCAGGGCAGCGGCGCCCCCGTTGGCACCGAGTACCATTGGCTTATTGTTGGCCACCAGGTAAGATTCCTAAGAATAATTCTCTGGCGAGGTGCACTGCCAGAAGCAATGGTGTCTCACAAGGGGTCTAGTTTGTTAAGAAGGTCGATGCCAACACATACGAAACTAGTCTCACGGGGTCCAAGTATAAACTAGCGTATAAAGCGACGACTTCGAATTCCTGGTCTGTGCCAACAGTCAAGAAACAGCGCGAGCGAGAGATCGAGCTCCTCGAAGATGCAAAGTTGCGTGTCCGGGGGCTGCCACCCGTATTGGCATCGGAGAAGGTCAAAGTTGAAAAACACGAGAGGGGCCAAACAAAGCTAGATTCCATATTCAGTCGCGTGGAAAGTGCTGTCCATAAAAGGAAAGCTGAGCAGTGATGTCAATGGACATGCGTTCCACTTTTGTGAGAATAGTTGGGCCTGACGAGAGTTACAACAAATAGGCTGTAAATAGTAAGCAAGTTGCTGCAAAGAGTGAAATGTTCGCGCTAAACCCGGTGATTCAACCCAAGATAAACATAGAAGGATAGCATGATAAAAGGACGAATATAGTGCTAATTAATAGCGATGTCCACGATAATAAAACCTAGGGGGGGTCAGAGGATAATATTATCCCTCTCAGCCTTTTCGACCATGTTCACCAAAGCATCTCCTATACCGTACGAGAAGGCGTATCCACCACCACCGAATCCGTATGCCGAGAGGATGATACGAGCTCCAATTTGCTTAGAATCTAGCCTGAACCCACCCTCTCTCGAAGGACGAATGCCGACGATATAGCTGAGTGAGTCTTCAGGAGGATTTTCTGGGACAATTTCAGGGGCCAGACGATGTGCACGTGCGATCTCGTCTCTGGCGATATCCATGTCTACATCTGGGGACCTGCGACAATGAGTGTCTTTGAACAGATATACATCTGGGTTGGTTAAAACGTACAAACTATCTCTTTGTTTGACACCTCCCAAGACTACACCATGGGATTGAGGACGAGGGATCACGTAGGTGTACTCTTTGCCGTTGCGGAAGTACATCGTGTTGCAGTTACTTGTTCGAAAGAACACATTCTGGCCTCGTTCAGGGAAACACTTGTCATCCTGGACATCATGCAGTGTTTTACTCCCTACTCCACTTGCATTGATGAAAATTCTTGACTCTGGAAACAACGTGTACAGCTCAGATAAAGAGGCGACCCGTTTTCGAATAAACTGACCACCGAGAGCAAGAATCTTCTCGCGAAGGTATGGCATGTGATGCGTAGGATCGGTCACAACGGATTCGTAGGCCCACCCACAATTGAAGTTCGGGGGGTATTCGTCCGGATTTAAATCACGGAACTATAATATAACTGTCAGAGATGAAAGGTATACATACACCATACACCTTGACCTTGACCTTGGCTTACCTTGGACAGTACGGTTTTCCCCCAGATGGAAGAGTTCTCAGATGGGGCGTCCTCCAGATATTCTCGGGAATCAACAATACAGACTCCGGATTCGGGCTCCTCTCGTGCCATTTTGAGTAGATGTCTGTAGGAAACGGCTTGGATATATCGATACTCAGGGCTGATTCCACCTGCTGCGTGCCATGCCGCTCCGGCCCAGGCTGATGCATAGAAGATATTCTGGTCCCCTGGTAGATATTCCGCCACCAGAATAACGGAGAAGCCCTTGAGAAGGAGCTGTCTTGCCGTAGCACAGCCAATGATACCTGCCCCAAGAATAATTATAGGGCGTTGGGGGAATGGAATGTTGGAGGAATCGACGGGGTGGCTGCACTCTCCCATTTTGACAGGATTTATCTATTGTCTGTCTCTCAATCGCGGACCCCCTTGTGAAGCTGGTAGGCACACCGGAAATGACGAGGAAAGGTTAGACACAGTCACGACCTGGGAGGCAAAATCCAAAGGACAGTCCGGAACGAGACAAGATGACAAGACCGTTCTTATTGGGGGTATACACTCTGTGCGCATATTGAGAGAAGTGGAGCACCAACAGCCAGCTTTTAACGGTCCATATCATAGTGTTATTCCACACTAGTTCGTTTGCCGCAGTTTCCAGATGGATAACTGTCCTAAAATGTACTCCTAGGTAGAGGGCGGTCGGATGTAGCCGCTGATTTGCCAGTATTTACTTGCAGTCCGCATCCCATCCCGGGCTTGCACAAGCTACGAGCTTGTCATTGACTTGTTGGGACGCGCGTCAGCGAATCGAACAAGTCTGATATGTCGGTTTAACTCACATAGGAAGATTGGGAGCGGATCAGTCCGCTAATATAGCGTGCTCACTCCCGATGCACGCCATTTGATATCGGGAAGTATATTGATTTTTCTTGCCAGGATCCATATTATTTGACACGGGGATTTTGAATACAATGAATTCAAAAAAGAATGGGGTTTGGTGGTTAAAGTGTTCAGAGAGGATGAGAGGAAAACGGTGGACCCGCGAATAGGAATGACTTCGTCTCCTCGCTTCCTTCGCTCCCCTTCCCCCCCCCCCCGCCTTCTGAACACTCTCTCTGTCGTCCATACCCACGGATTGGTATTATCCTCAGACTCTCTTCAATGAACTTGCTGTGATCACAGTATCCGGCGAGTTTTAGTTTTTATCAACTCGGTCTCTCCTGGAATGAATGGCTGTTGGCCTCGCTGATCAATCCACGAGAGGCTTGAGGACTCCACCGGTCTTCCACTATCCAACGAAATCAACGAACAATCAGGGCCTTCATCGCTGCTCGTGGGATTTAGCTGCCCCGCAGGGTAGATTACATCTGTCTCTTGCGGGCAATGGCGGAGGTTGACGGAAAACTCCTTCGGAAGGATTCCATCCAGGTGGGTTAGAATGTCTGTCGCGTCCTGCTTCGGCAATTGGTACCCCAACCTGGTTGGGAGCCAAAATTTCGATGCATTTCTTTACCCGCCTCGGCTTCATCGTCTACGGAGTAGATATTACTACATTCAGTAATATTTGACAGATCCGCCCGATAATGCAGACTTGGTGCTCCGCTTGAGTGCAGATGCCATGTACTCTGTAGGGAAGTACAAATGTGAGCTGACTCGGGGCCCTAGGAATCCCCCCTTAATAATTTGGACAATCGCGACGATGGCATCCTCAGTGATACCGACGCGGAGAAGATTCTCCCCTATGAAGCGGACGACTCACCATTCCCAGAGGTTCGTGCCGTCATTCAACCGGTAGACGATGTAAAGTTGCCTGTTAGTACGGTCCGGATGTGGACTATTGGCATTGTTTTTACGATTGTAAGCATTCTTGCCCTCATTCCCATTCAACATTGATTCCCAATTAACTCTTCGTACTTTTGACCCCGCTTATGTACTCATCATGTTTCATATATTGACTGGCTGTGGTGATAGGTGGGAAGCGGATTGAATCAGTTCTTCAGCCTGCGACAACCAAGTGTCTCGATAACTGCTCTGGTTGCCCAGCTGCTGGCCTATCCGATTGGATGTGCTTGGGCACGCTGGATACCTTTGGGTTGGCTCAACCCAGATCGCAACTTCAATATTAAAGAACATGCCTTGATCACAATTATGGCCAACGTCTCGTTTGGGTCGGCGGCGGCTACCCAGATAATCGAGGCGATGATTAAATTCTACGACATGCCCTCGCAGGGTGGATTTGAGGTTCTGTTGTCTATCACCACCCAGTTATTTGGGTTTGGCCTCGCTGGGATGGTCTCGCGCTGGCTTGTTGAGCCAGCTACAATGATCTGGCCCCAGGCGCTCTCAAATGCCGCCCTGCTGACAACCCTGCACTCAAACTGCAACCAAGTTGCTGATAGTTGGGTTATAACACGCCCAAGGTTCTTTCTTCTGGTCTTCATTGGTGGAGCCTTATGGTACTTTGTTCCAGGTTACCTCTTCACAGCCCTTAGCATGTTCAGTTTCATTTGCTGGATTGTGCCTACTAATGTTGTGGTCAACCAGCTCTTCGGCCAGCGATCCGGGCTTGGTATGTCGCTGTTAACGTTCGACTGGGCGCAGGTCGTCTTCGCCAACCAAAGCCCTCTACTTGTTCCATTCTGGGCGGGGTTGAACGTCATGGGATCATTTGCGTTGTTCTTTTGGGTTATTGTTCCGATCGTTTATTATAGAAACACCTGGGACTCTGCCTACCTACCAGTGCTGGACCCCAATACCTTCGATAATACTGGCCATCCTTACAACACTAGCCGTGTCATGAACAGCGATGGCACAGTGAACACTCAAGCATATCGCAATTACTCACCTATGTTTCTGCCGGCGGGATATGCTATAACATACGGTGTAGCATTCGCCAACCTTACGGGGATCTTCGTCCATACCGCGTTGTACCACGGGAAGGATTTGCTTGAGCAATGGAGAGGACGCAACAAGAAGGATATCCACGCACGACTGATGGAATCTTATGCACCTGTTCCTTGGTGGTGGTTTGCTGCAGTGACTCTTGTGGTATTTGCATTGAGCATTGTCACTAATGAAGTATGGCATACGGGGTTACCAGCGTGGGCAGTCTTATTGGTATTCATAATGCCTATGGTATACTTCATCCCTGTGGGGATTATCAAGGCCGTGACAAATATTACGAGCAATCAACTAAATCTCATTACGGAATTCATTGGGGGCTATGCATTTCTTGGAAGACCCATTGCGAACATGGCTTTTAAGTTCTACGGCTATGTGGCTGTATCCCAGGGTCTAGAGTAAGGACAAACGAGATAAAAATCCTAGAGAACCGAAGTGGACTAACTGTCTTCTAGGTTCGTGGCTGATATGAAATTAGCGCACTATCTTCATATCGCACCTCGTACACTGTTCGCCGCGCAGGGATTGGCAACACTTATCGGGGCCGTTGTTCAGTGTGGTGTGACAGTGTTCATGCTCACCCATATTGATGGTATCTGCACACGAGACGCTGAGGGCGGATTCTCCTGCCCCCATGGCATGGTGACTTACTCGTCCTCTCTCATTTGGGGTGAGAACCATTATTGTATTGTTTCTGTTTTATTAAAGGCTGTCACTAACACATTGAAGGTGTCCTTGGGCCTGGCCGCAGTTTCTCGCCGGGCCAGATGTATGGGAACCTCCTGTGGTTCTTTCTTGTTGGCCCGGTGGTCGTAATCATCACGTATCTCCTAGGCCGCCGATGGAAGCAATTTAATTACATCTCGTGGCCCGTGGCATTCGGAGCGATGGGTCAAGTTCCTCCCGCTACGGGCATTAACTTTTCTTCCTGGTGGGTTGTGAACGTGATTTTTAATGGAATTATCAAGCGACGCCGACCAGCTTGGTGGTCTAAGTACAGTAAGTCCTCTGCAGCAGTCATGATTCTTTTTTATAAAGCGAAGCATCCACTGACGATCCTAGATTATGTGCTCAGCGCAGCTTTAGACTCCGGTGTCGCTGTGTCCACCGTGATCATATTCTTCTGCATCTTGTTACCTGCTGGGCCTCTACGCTGGTGGGGGAATTCTGTGTTCAGGAATACGGCAGACGGTCTAGGTATCCCGTGGAAGCGTCTACCCCCCGGGGAACATTTTGGTCCGACTACTTGGGAGTAGCAACTCAATATACATTGATTTTAGGTAAATAGTAGAATAAATTATAATGGTATATCGGTTTATGCATGTCCGTAGCACTCTGCATTCATCATTAAAGATAAGCGTCATCTGTAGCTTTATAAGGTATAATACGTTGCCATCTCTTCCTGGAACCAATCATACGAGTAGAACAATTGCTCTGCCAACTGCGGATCCATCACAGGAATATTCCCCGACGCGTCCACCAACAACACATCATCCAACACCGGCGCCAGCGGCACAGGCGGCGCAATGAGCACCGGCTCCGAAGGAGGAAGAAGCGGGGGAGGCGGAGGAGGTTGTGGAGGTGCTGGAGGCAGAGGAGGGGCAGACTGTTGTTGTTGTTGTTGTTGTTGTTGTTGTTGTTGTTGTTGCTGCTGCTGATAGGCTAGATGGCTGAAAAGCATCGTGCCTTGTTGACGGAAGGTCTCAGCGAGACGCTCGACTCCCGGTCGACGTTTTCCGTATTCCTCGAGGATAATGACGACGGCTTGGATGGCGCGCCGCATCATTTGCTCGTCGGCCTGCCAAACCGGGAGGTGGCCGTCGTTGACGGCGTGGAAGTTCTGGTTTAGACACCAGAGAATGGTAATGCCCGCGAAGTAGATTTGGCTCAGCGTGAGCCAGATCCATTTTAGTTTGCCGGCAGAGTAGCTGTCCCAATAGGAGCGAATGACTTGGATACTGGCATTGCCGCAGCTGACGATGCTGGTTGGGTCTGGTGTGGGATTGCGGGGACTGGGGCGGTAGAGAAGAAGGAGGGTAGTTGCGTAGAGATAGTCATAATAGCTTGTGGAGTAGAGAAGGGCAGGCGGGTACACGGGGGCGTTGGCTCGCCAGTCGTCAAGTTCCTGGCGGAAATGTCGAAGGGTTAAGGCGAGTTCTGTGGGCGTCGGGGTGGGTTGGTTCGTGCTGTATACTGTGGTTGTATAAGTATAGCCTCTTTTTTTTTTTTTTTTTTTTTTTTTTTTTTTTTTTTTTGCTCTTTGCACTAGAGATTGATTGAAGAAGGTTAGACTTACGGTAGCGGTAGACTCGGGAAAAGATGCGACGAAGTTTTATGACTTGGAGTGGAATGGTCATTGCGCTGGCACCTGGTGCTTCGGTCCAGTCATCATTGAACTCTCGTGGAAGGAGCATTGTGATGTCCTCGTCCGCAATCCCCAGCGGCCGGCCCAATGTGCTTGCGATCAGCCGGTCAAGGTTGTACAAGCTCCAGAAGGCGCGTTTTGCCATCTCGTCATCCACTAGATTGGTCGATTGCCGGACTTTGTGCAATCCCAAGCTAGTGGCTAACCGTAGAGCTGTGCCTAGGACATGCCACACGCTGGGACCGCTGGTTGCAAACATTGTATATAGGCCCACGCTCAGCAAGGCGCGCAACGCCATGAGATCCTCATTTTGCAGTGCCGTGGGAAAGGTTTCGTTGCTCGCATGGTAGAACTCGGTGGCCTGGGCCTGAGCGCTATCTGCAGACCCTATAAGGAGGGCAATGGCGATTGTGATGTGGTAGCAGCAGTGAACTTCAGGACTGGGCACTTCACCTGCGTAGATTCGTCGCAAGTTGTCGAAGAACTCGGCGCGGTGAATGAATGGATACTGGAACCCCATACTATCGAAATACTGTGTGGCGATGCGCTCAGCTTCTTCTAGGGAAGCCAGTCGAAGCACACGAGGGATTGCAGACGTGACTGGTCGGGCGACAGACGGGAGACGGTGTTCGAGTTTGTCACGAAAGATCTCGCCTACATTGGGCAATTCGGTTCCGATAGCAGACGGGCTGGCATCTGAAGGACTTGCGCTTGATATGGTGCCTGGAGTAGACGGTAATACTGCGCTCCGGCCAAGCGGGCTCCCGCGACTCAATTTGATCACCATGGCTGGCAGCTGGTGCCACCAGTCGGGATCGCCATCCCCGTCCAGCGCACTCCCTGTTGGCTTATCAGCTACAGCAATGCCCGTTTTGCGACGAATGACCTCTTCTAGCCATTGAACACGGTTTTGTAGGTTCTCGAGCTGATCCCGTGGAACCGAGGCACTGGCGACTTGGGGACCCGGCGGCGCGATAGTGCAACGGACACCAGCTCGCGTGCACCCGGAGCAGTTGGGGTAGCGGAAGTCACATTTTTTTTTCCGTTTACGACAAAAGTCGCAGGCGGTCGAGACACGTTTGGCACGAACAGTATGGGATTGTGACGGAGAAATAGGAGGAGGAGGTTGTTGTTGTAAAGTGGCCGAGGATGTAGGATGAGTTGGCGCCGCCGTCCGGATCGAGGGAGGGGGAACAGGAGCAGAATGAGGGGGATGCGATGGGACAGGGTCGAGACGGAATTTGCCCAGTTGAAGTCGAAAATCAGGGTCACGGTTGGTCATGGTGCGCAAAAAGAGACCCCAGATAGCGGCTCGAACCGCAGGCCATCCTGTTCATTGGGTGTTGTGAGAAGGAGAAGGAAAATTGAAGCCAACATTCGACAGTTTCTTTGCTGTTTGTCAGAATTGAGGAGTTGTTTAATAATCGTGTGTACTCTGTAGTCAAGCGCCGATTCCAGGCACAACCCCTTCAACCACCTTCAACATCCGTCATTCTCATCTTTTTACTCTAATAAAGCAATCTCCGAAAGATATAGGGTCATATTCTATCTCTCTCCCCCCCTTTTCATCATGGAGTGGGCAGCTGTTGGCATTGAAGCGCCAGTAGCGTACCTAGGCACCATGTACCACACACACACACACACACATACACGCCTCCAAGAGACGTCAACTTCCGCTCAGTTCTAGTTTTTCGATCCAAATTCCAGCCTGGGGGAATCCTTAGGTGATAAATATGTCCCTGCAGACCTTTCTACGGAAATGATAGCTAGCTAACGTGGTCAGGACCTCGTTTGCTGCGCTTCTTGCTACAGAACCAGCATTATGGAATCCATTGCTGGACCCTTATTACCTATCCAGCTCTCTAGGGGATTCAAAATTCTCGTTCTCCAACTAATATGGTTCTTTCTGCTGTGATAGAGACAAGATAAGTACGGAAATAGACCGTTTCTGGAGAACCTTTTCCTCTCTCCGAAATCATCACCACCTCCATCTTCAAGACCTACCCGAACCCTCCCACTTAGTCTTCGGGGATCCCACCGTGGGGTCTGTTAACCCGGTGCTCTATGCGCATCCCGAGGCGTTTCGGGATCTTGTGCAGGTGAATAACTCGGGATGCGGATCGGGTGGATTCTCAGCCGCCAAGGGCTACTGCGGATGAATATACTCTGTATGACGAATAGGGGGCCGACTGACTATTAACTATAATTCCGGTGTAACTAGCGGTTAGTATCTAAGGTTGACGAAGATTCTGTTGCCTAAATTGATGCTTATGGGGTCCACAGACGAGAGTAGATTGACTGCGCCTCTCGGGAATTTCCGATCGGTCAATCGGAGTTAAGTGCAAGACGGAGTACTATTATATTCCTCCGCAACTGTGAGGCTGTTGAGCAGCGCACTATGGCTGCTGTTCTGCTCTGTCCTAACCCTCGAGGAATTCGCAACCCCCCCCAACCCTTCCATCCTCCAATGTCTCGTGGGCATGGGCACCACTTTGAAGATGCTGCGCTGCGCGATGGGACACCATGGAAGACAAGATATGGGCATCCCTCATAACATTAGGAATCATCTCGCGAACTGTTTACCCAATCTAGGATACGGAGGCGCTTAAGTGGAGCATTTTTAGCTTCTAGGGGTTTATCCTCTGGCTGAATTCTGTAGAGGGGTGGAAGATACCTAGGGGTGCATAAATACTTGCCATCAGCATGCTTCGTCTTGTTGTTCATTGATTAAAGCATCCCCGTCTTTCGAAATGTCTTCACCCCAAAACCAATACGGCGCCTATGTGCCATCTAGAGTGGCGGCAATTATTGGATCGGTTATTTTTCTGATTCTAGCAGCCCTTCACTTGTGGAGGATTCTCGCGTCTCGCAAATGGTTTGGTTTTGCTATTGTCGTTGGTGGACTTTGTATGTATCATATCCTCACTGGATAGCTGAGATCTCTTCTGCTAACAATTCACCTCCTAACAACAACAGTCGAAGTCATAGGTCTTGCAGCACGAGCCTACGCTAACAATCACGTCTCCGAAAGGACCCCCTTCATCATCCAAATTCTCCTCATTCTCCTGGCACCCATTCTCTTCGCCGCTGCCGTCTACATGTTCCTGGGCCGGTTGATCCGCGCATCAGGCCAGCCCAAGCTCTCATTTATTCGCATCAACTGGCTGACCAAGATCTTCGTGGCCGGGGACATCTTATGTTTCTTGATCCAGGCCGCTGGGGCATCGAAACTGGTCAACGCAAAGACACCAAGCGATCTGTCCACGGCCCAAAACATCATTCTCACCGGTCTCGGACTCCAAGTGTTCTTCTTCTTCATCTTTGCCCTTTGCGCCGTCATCTTCCATCTTCGCATCTCCTCATCCCAATATGCCAAGCTTGTGGACCCGACGTTGCGCCTGGGCGTGATGCTTGCGTCGCTCTATATCTGCAGTGCTCTGATCACGGTCCGAAATATCTATCGTCTGGTCGAGTACAAGAGTGGAAGCAAGGGCTACCTTCAGGAACATGAATGGCCTACTTATGGGCTGGATGTTATTCTCATGGGGGTTATTATGGTTATCACTTTGTTTTGGTATTCCGCTAACACCGACGGCTCGCAAGATGAAGGAGGGAGTTTATACCCATTGGTGCCACAGGATGACCGTGTATGAATGTTTTTATCCATGTATATCAAAAGAAAGAACCCAATCCCTTTCCGTTTTCTACTACTCACTTCCTCTTGTAACCACTGAACCCATACCAGACCCTGCCCTAGCTCCCAATCTCAGAAATCCTCCGAGTAATACACCACCGTCTTTATCAAAGATCAGTACTTAGGGTTTGGGTAGTTAGTTTACTACTAAGAACACATCTGACAGCTTCCCAAGTCTTAGCTAGATAACTAGTGTCATTGCTTAACTAACTAACTAATAGGTCCCCACCACGGATATCAATCAGCAATGACAGGACCACCTTCCACAACATCATCATCATCATCATCATCATCCTCTTAATTTTAGTTCCCCTAATTTTATTATTAAAATGGCCGCCGGCACTATGCGCGCAATTGGTATGGACATAATTCAACCCCTCCATCTTTCAAAGCCAGATGACGCCAACCTACTAACACACTCACTAGCCATCAAGGGTGGTAAAGGCCCCGCGGAGGCCCTCTTCATCGATACAATCCCCATCCCTACCATTAGCGCACGCCAAGCTCTCGTGAAAGTAAAAGCCTTTGGATTGAACCGGATGGACCTCCTCGAGCGAGAGGGCAAATATCCGACTCCTCCACAGGCGCCGAACACCATGGGCGTGGAGTTCTCGGGGACAGTCGAGGCTTTGGGAGAGGCGTGTACGGGGGAGGTTAAACTTGGGGATGAGGTTTTCGGTTTAGCTTATGGGGGTGAGTATCCCCCCTCTCCCTTCCTTCCTTCCTTCCTTCCTTCCTTCCTTCCTTCCTTCCTTCCTTACACCCCCCCTTTTCGTCGCGAGGTGGAGGAGGAAGGAGGGGGATTTGGTCTGTAGGAAATGGTGGGGCTGAGCCGTGTTTTTAGGTGCTTATGCGGAATATATCGCCGTATCAACGGGCATGCTCATTCATAAACCGACCGAGGTATCGTGGGAAGAAGCTGCAGGGATTCCAGAGGTCCGTCTATATCTATCCACCATCGCTTGAGTTTCCACCGATCTAATGAATGAATGAATGAATGAATGAATGAATGAATGGTGCATTAAGACCTGGATCACAGCCACTCAAGCCCTGTACCTCGTTGGCGGCTTCCAACCCGGCAACTCTGTTCTATGGCACGCCGGGGCCTCCTCGGTCTCGATATCCGGCATCCAACTGGCGAAAGCGGCCGGCGCGAGCGCAATCTACGTGACCGCGGGGTCGGACGAAAAGGTGGCTTTCTGTGTGGAGAAGCTCGGCGCCACCGCTGGATTCAACTACAGGACGCAAGACTGGTGCGCCGAGCTGCTCAAGGCAACGGACCACCGCGGAGTGGACGTGATCATTGATTATATTGGTGCTGGGTACTTCCAGTCGAACCTGAATGCCGCCGCCCAGGACGGACGCATCGTCAACTTGGCTTTCTTGGGCGGAGTCAAATTACCGGAGGGAGTGGATATCTCGCCGTTCCTGCGGAAGCGTGTTCGCTATGAGGGGAGTACCTTGCGGAGTAGGGATGAGGGGTATCAGCAGAAATTGCGCGATATGGTGGTTGAGAATGCGCTGCCGCGGTTGGTGACGGGTGAGTTTAAGGTGTTGGTGGAGAAGGTGTTTCCGTTTGAGAGCATTACAGAAGCCCATCAGTTGTTGGAGAGTAATCAGACAAAGGGAAAGATCATTTGTACTGTTTAGTTTTTCTTTGTCTTCGTTTATGATAACAATGATAATAATACCACCATAATCTCTATCTATAGAGCTACAGGTAGAATCATCTGCTTTTTTTTCGTTAATTTGTTCATCTATCCATATTGTATCCATATCCGCTATATATATTCAACATTGAGTTGTTTTTTTTTGGTGTGGCCAGCACACACACACACACACACACACAAAATTTACAAAATAACCTTGTGGTCAGCAGGCTTCTCCTCCTCCTCACCGAAAATGTTAATGTTCCAGCGAGGCTTGTTAGCCACGTAGGGGGTGTTGTAACGACGGCGGTTCTGGCCCAGAGCAGAGACCTTGGCGATCTCAGCGGAAGTGAGCTCGACTTCCTGGAAGTTCTCGGCAATACGGGACGCAGTCACCGACTTGGGGATGACTGAGTGGCCGCCCTCCTGGGACCAGTTGAGGATGACCTGGGCGGGGCTGACGGTCTTTCCGAGGCGCTGGGAGGCTTCCTCGGCGACGGCCTTGATCTCGGGGTGGGTGACGAGGAGGGGGACGCCAACCATGTTGTTACCGAAGGCCTACACATTGATTAGTTAGTTTCGCGTCTCTTCTCGGTTCATCTCAGTTCTCCTCGTTTATTTCTATGTGGATGAAAATAGAGACTAAGAGAGGGTAACGTACGGAGTAGGCAGTAACGTGGATACCCTTCTCCTGGCAGAACTTGATCAAGTCATTGCTCTGCAGGGAAGGATGGCGTTCGATTTGGTTAGCAGCGGGGACGACACCGGTGGCCTTGATGAGAGCCTCGAGGTGGGGGATGGTGTGGTTGGAAACACCGACGGCGCGGGCCTTGGACTTGGGAAGCTGGGTCATGGCCTTCCAGGTGTCGACGATGGAGATGTTGCCGTCAATGCTGCAGTCGCCGCCCTCGACAGTGCTGCCTTCAACGAGAGGGAAGTAATTGGGGCCAGTCTTGAAGGCGACGGGCCAGTGGACAAGGTACAGCTGTTACATTTTAGTTAGGTTGGTGTGGTGTACAGCAAGAGAAAAAGACCTACGTCGAGATACTCGAGCTCAAGCTCAGCGAGACATTCGTCCAGGGACTTCTCAACGACTTCGGGAGCATGTTGGCTGTTCCACAGCTTGGAGGTCTGCACAATATTAGAAACTGGGGTTTAGCAGTGTGGTCGAGAAAAGGGGACGTACGATGAACAGGTCTTCACGCTTGAGGCCGGGGATGTCGGCAAAGGCGCGCTTGATACCAGTAGCAACCTCACGCTGGTTCTGGTAGCTGGCTGACGTTTAGTATCAACCGAAGAGCTTAAGGAAACGGCTGTAAAGACGGAAGGAAACCTACATCGTAGCCAGATCCTAGGAAAGTTAGTCAAAAGAAAAGCTTAAAGAGTTCGAGAGGAAGGAAGAGCGTACCAAATGACGGTATCCAGCCTTCAGAGCCTGGTAAACAGCCTCACCGACCTGGCCGGGAGCAGACTGCCAGGTACCGAAACCCAGTTGACTGCAATTGAATTAGTGGGGTTCCAATTGCTTAGGATCAGGGCCTTGAGACGCACGGGATCTGGGCACCAGTGTTGAGAGTAACCTTCTTTCCGAGAGACATGGTGATGGATGGGAAAATAAGGGATGATGGGAACGAGGGAGAGAGCAGAGTGAGTTGATGAAAAAGAAGAGAGAAGAGGAGGAAGAAAATGGAGGAGGGGAAGGCAATAAAAAGGGCGCTGGAGTGGAGCTGCTCCGGTGGGGGATCAAGACAGGAATGACGATGAAATTTAAGAATCTGATGGTTAACTATTAGTACCGGGATCCAATGCCTCATTTCATGAATATGTACGTCCTCTATATTCTGACCTAACTATATAGTAATTTCTCCCGTACTTCATTCCTTCCTTCGGTATAGGAGGAGGAAACGGACGGACTTGGGAGGGGTTTTCCCCCTCCAGCAAGAAACCCTCCCACAAGCCACGACTGCAGCACATTCTGTAGCTGGACTTGAGATCCAGTATAAAAGCATCTACTTGACTCCTTCCATTGGTATATCAAGTAGGTTTGATTAAAACTACTGTAGAGTAGACATGCACGTCTTCAATGCCAGTCATAAAGAAGTCGGAATGATGTCACTCGGCAGACATTCCTCAGCGGGGAATCTGGTAATACCAATACAAAATTGCATACAGCACATCCCAAACAGGAAAACTCCCGGATCTTTTCAACAACACCCACCCAGATGAGGTCGAGTTTCTCTTCCCCTCGTCTCCCCCCGGATAATTTCCCAGATCAGTTCGGGTCCAATCGAATTCTCAGGTGGATTTCCCATGGCCAGTCGATTCAGAGGTAATGACGTGGCAGTTCAACATGCATATACCTAGTTATAACCCGGGGCATTTGTCTAGCCGTCGAAAGCATCCCGACTCATAAGAGTATTTCTAGCACTGAGTTGACATGTTACTGAAGTATTCATCAAATTAGCCTCTCATGATGGTACTAACCCCACTGATGAACAGGATGGTTGGTATACCCATTTCCATTATGAAAATGACAAACATATTTCGGCAGAAGAAGCAATTCAAGTCAAGAAGCGCTTTACAAGGAACATACACGATATCAGCCTTGAGATGGCTCAAACTGGGTCCCGTCTCCCATTCATTGACAATAATTGCATGGCCTCCGATCAAAACAAGGTGATTAGAGGGGTAAAAGAAACATCCACATCCAGTGAATTAGATGGCACAGTTAATTGCCTTCTTGGATTTATTCCTGTATCATTCCAGCTTCATCAAAAACAACCCATCCTTACCACAAAGAGATTCTTTTACAGTGAACTTGTAAATCCAAAAAAATGGTGAAGAAGGGTGACAAGAAGAAGAATCGCAAATCCGGCCTTGTAAGAGAAGAACCGGAAACGCCTTTAGAGTGGGATCCTAGCGAAACTGAGATTGTTGAGCCTGCTCCTGTCTGTGAACCTGACGTTGAAGAATGCATTCAGCCCGAAACTAGGTAAGGCCTACCATGCTTTCCCGAATGATGAACATCCGGCGCTAATTAGACGCATTTGATATAGTCCGTACGAAGGTCAAGCTGTCACCGTCTTGATCGGAGCCGGTGAAAAGGCATACACAATTTCGAGAAGTCTTGTAGACCAAGTTCCAACCTTGCAGCCTTTGATCCAGGACCTCTCGTGTCAATTAAACCCCGATGAATGGGGCGGGGTCTGTAATAACAAATCGTCAATACTCCGACTCGCCGATGTGGACGAAAAAGTTGCGCACACGCTACTTCATTATTTGTACACGGGCCAGTTCGAAATACTACAGCAGGTATTGCCAGTTTGGACCTCAAAGAGGGCTGCAGAGTACACCCGATGCGTCCTCGCTTATCGTGCAGCGGTGACTTACAAACTTGGTGGACTGGAGGAACACGCGAAGAGATATATCGAGACGTTCGACGAGCACACTTCAATTTTTGAAGTAATTCCGCTTGCTCGGGAAATCTTTCCTCATATTTCAGAGCATAGTTGGTTTTCGCGATATCTAAGCCTCAAAATCATGAACTCTTTTCTTGTGGATGAAGGTATCTTCACGAATGAAGCATACCTGTCGGATTTTGGCAAAAACTCAGAATTCGACAGATTTCTCTTTAAAACAATGCAGGAGGCGTATGAAATGAAAGTGGCACGGTTGCAGCGCCAGCTAGCGGAGAGGAATCCGCCTATAAATTCTACTGATGGTGTTGTGGAGAGCCCTCGTTGCGAAGAACCAATTCCTGAGCCAACTGAACAGGGGAAGGAAGAACAAGTGGAACATCCACTCTCTGCCAGAATGAGAAATGCCATGGCCTGGAGAGGAAGAAGAAGCAGAATTCCCGACCCCGAGTTCGAGCGCGGTTTTGAAGAATACACAGGGCCGGTTGATATTGATTATTGATGCTCTTTACTCTTCAGGTGCTCCTCGCTACCAAACTCGGCTTACTAAAAAGTGTTCACACACTCCACTAGCTGACATCACATATATTTACTAGTAAGTTAGTTAAGTTATGGTAGTATTTGCTTAGTGAGCAAAGTCAAGGAAGGGTCCAAAGTCACCAGGATTAGAACTAGCCTCTGTGATAAAGTGCGGGCTTGCGGACTAGACGCCAGATAATCTATGGATGTTAGTATGTTATACCTTTAGTGCGGCTGCGTATATTTTTAGAACTGCCAGGCATCAATTAAACATGTGGAAATGCTTATGTAGGGAAAAAATCTAGCCAAATATAGATATATACAAGCTATTGTGATTCGTGACTGGGAGTGTAGCTACCTAATTTCTTCGCACAGATGCTGGTGCGGAAACCAGTTTAAACTCTAGGACCCACCTCGATAGCTGCCTGGCTAGATTCGGAATCCAACGACTACCCTAGATAAGTAATTCATCACCACTTGCAGTCAAATTGAACATCAACCCGACAGCGAACCCCGAGCCAGATTAAATCCGATTAATCTCATTGGATGAGGCTCAGTCCAAATCCAGCATGGTGTGTGGCACTCCCCACTCCCTGTCTACATCCGGTTAAAAGCATGTAGATCGGCAGTCTCCACAGTGGAGTCGGCATCCACGCCAGAGAGTCAGTGTAGATTCTGATTGGACTTTAGTCGAAACTAAACAGTTGGCGTTATCACCATTCGCCCCTGAAGGATCCACTGTCCCATTTTCTTTTACTATTTCTTTTTATCAAAAAGGGTCAAGTTTCGTGTACATACATACTGTAGATGTATACTTATCTACCTACTACTAGGTGCTGAGTACATACGTAAGTGCTGCTTTTTATATATATATATATATATAGATAGATAGATGATGTTGCTTTCTGCTCTCCATAGAAATCGAATGCGAGAAAAATTATATTAGATAGAGAGAGATATTTATAACCAACACAAGCCTGATAAATCATAACTTCCTCTAACCCCCCAAACTGGGTTAGCAACTGAGTGACGGCGTACTACATCTATGTATCACTGATTGTGATCTCTCTTCTTTCTTTGCTTCCCTCTTCTCTCTCGTTCTCTCCCTCATTCTTCCCGGTACTCCTGTCGCTCGTTCCATCTCCTTTCGTCCCCCCATTTGCTTTCAACCTCGCCCAAGCTGGCGAAACGGTTCGTCCCCCTGTCCAGGAGGCGGCTGCTCCGCTGGCCTGCCCCCCGAGAAACTGGATTGGGATTTCTAGCCTTGCTGGCCATCCTGGGAATGTTCATTTTCTACGGCAGTGGTTCGTTTCTTGATGGACTTAAGCAAGGTATGTAAAGAAATTTTTTTTTTTTTTTTGGAGTTTTCCTGATCTGACGGGTTAGAAGAATCGCTCCATGACCAAGTAATCCGCCAACTCGCCGAGCTCACAGAAGCATACGTCAACACCAGCGAAGTCGGCCTCATATTAGCAACTACACAATCGGAAGACTTGACTTGGCTTTTGGAATATTGCAACGAGCAGTAAATCTCTTTTCACCCATGCATGATATTGGGTTTAAAGGAAGTGGCTGCTGATTTTGGGATAGTGGCGCCGAAACAACACCGTTTATCTACACTACCGACCCCGACCCCGACCCCGATCTCCGCCTCCTCATCCCGCGCACAATTCGTGGCCGCGAAGCTGCCGCCTACCTTTCCTTCATCGTCGACTATTACGACAAACTCCCGCCTTACTCCATCTTTATCCACTCCAACGTGAACCAATGGCACAACGACCTTTTCGGCCCATTGACGAGCACCGCGCTGCGCAATCTCCGCCTCGACGCTGTTGACGCCAAGGGTTACGTCAACCTGCGGTGTAAACATGACCCTGGTTGCCCGACCAGTGTCCATCCCTGGAGCCCATCACAGGTCGATATTGAAGGCAACGACATTCGTGCGTTCTTCCCCGAGGTTTACCAGGCCATCCTGAATGTGGGGCCGGAGAAGGTCCCTGACCATATCGGCAACGTATGCTGTGGCCAATTTGCCGTGAGTCGCGAGCGCATTCGCCAGCGACCACGCGCCGACTACGAGCGCATGCTGAAATGGGCTGCGGAGACGGACCGCACGGACAGTTTCGGCGTTGGTTGGGTATACGAAAAGATCTGGCACATCATTTTCGGCATGGACGATATCTAGTATGTTCATTCATTCATTCTTTTTTTTTTCTCCCCGCAACCACAACAGCTAACTGGAGTAGCTGCCCCGGATACGAGCAATGCCGCTGCGACGTTTACGGATGGTGCGGACCACTGGCGGGAACAGGCAAAACACTGCAGGCAGTGCGCGCGCCGTCTCGCTTGTCTTCCACATAATACAGCTACCTCATATTAGATGATTGATGTGAAATACCCTCCTCCCCTTTTCTTTTCATTTTCTTTTCTCACTTTTGTCTCTTGTGTGGGGAAATACCCACCGCATGGTGTTTCGTTTCAACATGCTGTGACCTTGCCTGCATTACACATACACTTTGTTATCATTTATCCAGGTGATGATGATGATTTGGATAGCGCTGATGTTAATACCTCCCCCCCCCCCCCCCCCCAAGGCCGTTTTCATAGTCAACCATTCTAAATATCTACTATGGCCTTTACAGATGACACTATGTACAGTGCAGTGTGTCTAGTCCTAGTACCAAATATCACACAGAACATTTCACCCACCTTACACAAACCAGGCCCTCAAGTCCTTCCATCTCCAGGACAGAAGAGCGGAGAATATGAAGCACAATCACTATTGATCACCCTCTGATGCACCGCTGGAACTGCCCCCGCATCTAGCTCAAACACTCCCGTTTCGCGCTGCCTCTGCGTCGCTGCCGTCCCAGGCGCCCCCGACGGCGCCTCATGCACATCCGCGCTATCTAGCATCGGCATATCCGACTCGGATAGTCGACGAGGTCCGCGGGACGGTCGTCCTGACGCGGGGATATCGCCTAGGAAGGGAGAAGCCGCCTTATCTTCGGTATTCGTATTCGCACCGGATGTAGTTCCCGGAGTCAAAGAAGCAGGAAGCAGTATGGATGTGCGAGTCGTAATTGAGCCTAGTGCCAATGAGCATCTTATGAGTGCGCGATGGGGATAGGAAAAACGAAATATGGTATCAGACTTTTGGAGACGCATTTGCGTGGAATAATTGTCTTTGTACCCTGGATTGGTAGAGTCCCTGGTCCTGCTGCTGCTGCTGCTGCTGCCGAGCTATCTGGTGATATAGTGAAACTACAACTAGATTTCCGTTCCTTGGATTCGTGCTGCTTTTCTTCGTCTCCACCCGGTCCGATTGGTCTCGCTGCGGCTATGGTAGAGAAAGATAGCTGCTGCGTTTGTTTTTGGTTTCTTCGTCGGAAATACAGCCAGAGAAGGAGGAGAGCGATGAGTGCGCTGACTATAAGCCCGATTACGATTCCTGCAATAGCGCCACCACTGAGATCAGAGCTGTCTTCGATTAATGCCGATGACGAAGTAGCCGACGGTGTTGAACAAATGAGCGAACTCTGGAAAATGGTGTCGCCACGGTTGAGGAGCGACTCTATCGCAGAGCATGCAGCCGAACCCGTTGTCACGATATCTGATATTTTGCGGACGAACTTCAGATCATCGAATGAGAGGCTGATGATGTATATTTCTTCGTCAGCTCCCCCAACCCTTCGTAACGAAACCAACCAACCCAATAAGCCATCTCCAATACCTAGCAAGGAAAACGAACATACGTATTAAACCCGCCTTTCAAATGTAATCCCCCACCAACGCTCTCCAAAGCAGCCAGGGATAAATCCAACAGTGCCGAATTATCCACGATAGTCAAATCCCCGCCCAAGCGCCGTAACCCGGCCATGCCCAGCTGGTTGAGATTTGCATTATCCTTAGCTGTGACATCTCCCCTGACGGTCTCGAGACGCGGAAGATCCAGCGAATCCAAGCTCTGCGTTCCCTGGACGGCAAAATCGCCGCGGATGGCCTCGACATTGTCGAGGTGGATTGTGCCGCTGGCGGCGGCGTCAATCCTGAGGGTTCCCCGGATGTCTCTGCAGTCAGAGTAGCGCTCTGCATCGGCTTGGTTGGAGATGGTGATATCGTCGGAACCTGCCTCGTCCATCCGTTGGTTAGTTCCGCTTCCTGCGCTTCTGGGATACGGGAGAGTGAGACCGACACGATTGCCCTGCTGCGACCGGCTGTGCAGCGGCCAAAAGGGCGGAAAGGTAAAGCAGTCGGGGTACCATTTATACCATGCCATGTGTTGACTTTGTGGAGAGTAGTCCGTATGCTACTTGGTACTGCGGAGGGTAAAGTTGACGACCCAACATGACAGGAGTTGTTGCGCTTCTGATACGATTCTCCCGTTTCTCTTATTACTCTGGGAAGAGGAGCTAAGAACCTTGGCTGTTTCGGGGTATTTGCTGATTCTTACTCTTACTCTGCTCTATGTACATACCTACCTTGTGATACTAACCTGACCCGCTCTTACAAGAATCCAGTAACCTAGCAGGTGATCAGCAGGGGATACATCAAAGCTCTCTGCTTGTTATGAATGCACAATATGATATCTTCGCCAGGTTCATATTCCATCCTATGTGGTTTCTGCTGTATTACCTCCGGAGTCTGGCTCCTATATATACTATCGGATATTCACGTGCCATCACAAGCAACGACAGTTGCTTAGCATGAATGGGCGATGAGCACGAGATGCAGAGCCGAGGTATTTCTGTAGTAATTTGAAGCTATGGACTTGAAACATACATCAGTATCATCCTGTAGGCGTTTATGTTATGACAACGACTGCCAATTCGGACAACGTTGAAGTCATGATTCTAATGTTTCTCGATACATATATAAGATGGGACCCCCAACTCTGCACAAATCCAGGGTACCATACTCATAATGGCTGGATCTTGGGAAAGAGGGAAAAGACGGTTAACCATACTGTTGTCTGGACATACACAGTGCCATAGCTTTGGCTCTAGTCTTTCATACTGCATATCCTGATGAGAAACACAATCAACATAAAACGACATTGGATACAATAAGAATCATGTCATGTATAGCCTCAAAAGAAATAATCTCCATCTTATACAATAGGTATTCATAGGATAGGGGGACCGGATTTCAGGATAAACCAATAAATTCAACAAGAGAAAACTGTTGAGCCACGGACAACTCGTCCGTACTCCACTCCCTTCGAAAAAGAGTCTGGCCCAAGAATTATCCTCGCTTCTGCCGTGGATCCCGCGACATTCTCTACCTATCAGGCGAGTTGGAAAACGGGGACAGTGCAGGAACAGAATTGTCAGAACTCTCTTTGTCTCAATCTTGACTGCATTGAGCCGATCTGGCGTTGGACGCTTTTTAGGGTTATTTTGGCTCGTCGTTTGGGTCCGAATACGACGTCCCTTTGCTTGGTTTTTTTTTTTTTTTTTTTTTTTTTCTTCTTTAAATATCGAAAAGATCAATCCCATTGGAATCCTCCTTTTTTTTTCCCCCCTATTTCACGGCCCCTTGATTGACTCTTTGGTGTGTTTTCTCCCTTTCCTCAACTGCTTGTCCTATACAACACCCATCGAGAACATCATGGGTGGAAATTCATCCCCTAGAGTAGGGGAGCAAAAGGTACGATCCCCCCCTCCCCTCTTGCCAGGGAGATTCGAGACTGATCAAAAACTATCTAGAAGAATGAAGAAATCACCCTCAAGACCATCAAAGATGCCATCCCTCCCTCCTGCTTCGAACGTTCCCTCCTCATCTCCACGGCCTACGTGATCCGCGACTGCATCTACGCCGCCACTTTGTTCTATCTGGCTCTGAAAATCGACCTGATTCCCTCACAAGCTCTTCGTGTTCTGGCCTGGATTGTCTACGGATTCTTCCAGGGCTGCGTGGGAACCGGAATCTGGATCCTCGCCCATGAATGTGGCCACGGCGCTTTCTCTCCCTTCCCGCTCTGGAACGACTTCATGGGATGGGTGATGCACTCTGCTCTCCTCGTCCCTTATTTCTCCTGGAAGATCACCCATGCCAGACACCACCGCTACACCAACAACAAGCAGAGGGATACGGCGTTCGTTCCCCGCACCGAGAAGGAAGCCGCAGATTCCCCCAACTACCTTCCCGCATGGCTCGAGATGCTGGAGGATACCCCCATCTACTCCTGCCTGAGTCTGTTGGCCCACCAGCTGGGTGGATGGCAGCTCTACCTCCTGTGCTACGTGACCTCGGGCCCCAAGAGCCGTCCGATCCAGGCGAAGAACACCAGCCGCTTCCAAACCCAGAGCCACTTCGACCCTACCAGCTCTCTCTTCACCCCCTCGCAGCGCATCCTGATCGTGATCTCGGACATTGGTCTCCTCCTCACCGGTGCAGCGATCTACTATCTCGGCCAGCAGGTTGGTCTCCTCAAGACTTTCCTCCTCTACTTTGTTCCCTATTTCTGGGTCCACCACTGGCTTGGTAAGTAGCGACGCAACCCCCTTTCCCTTCAATGGCAATCCTAATCTCGCTTAAAATCAAGTCGCCATCACCTACCTCCACCACACCCACCCCACAGTCCCCCACTTTGACGACGAAACCTGGACTTTCACCAAGGGTGCCTTGTCCACCGTGGACCGCGACTTTGGCTTCATCGGCCGTCATTTCTTCCACCATATCATCGAGCACCACGTGGTCCACCATCTTTTCCCGCGCATCCCCTTCTACCGCGCCGAGGAAGCCACCGATGCAATCATCCCTGTGCTCGGCGACCAGTACCATCACGATGGCACGAACTTCCTCAAGTCCCTCGTGCAAACCTATTTCTCGTGCGCTTATGTGGTCGACAACAACAAGGACGGTATCTTTCACTGGGCACTCCCGGCCAAGGTTGCCGCTGCTGCGGAGTAAAAAAAAAAAAAAAAAAAAAAAAAAAAACCAGTTAATGCATGTTGACTACTTACTACCTATGCAATGCAAATATATCTATCTGATCTGATCTGAGACAGATGGGATATGTATGCATGATTTTTCCTCGCTGGGTATACATATACCTTTTTTTTTTTTTTTTTTTCTTCTTCTCTCTCAACTCTCAGAACCTGCCAGGAGGTTCGAGCAAATGTGGGGGGGAAAAAAAAAGGGGGATGTTCTGTTGGTTCTTTTCCTTGCACGTCGAGTTTCGGTGGTAATTGTTTTTCAATTGACCGGACACACCCACATACATACATACATACATACATACATACATGCACTATCAATAGATCTACATAGACGGTTTAATAATTGGAATTGCTCCATCTTTACCTGGAAGTTCCCTATGTTCTGCTACGTCTCCTGCAGTACGGAGTAGGTAGTTATTGATCGAGGTGTCCAAATGACCTGTCACAGGTTTGATTCGGCAGCAGCGCAAACTCGATCTTTCGGTTGGTTATTGGTATATACATATACGGATTGCTGGAGATTCAAAGAAAAGAAAAGAAAAATGTCATCTCGTTCATTGAATCCGAACCTGGAAGATGGAGGGAAGGTCTATTGATATTGATATTGATATTGATATTGATATTGATATTGATATTGACATTGACATTGACGTGAAAATGTGAACTGGGTGGTCATTAACTACATCGACTCGCCTCGAGTCGACTTTTGGTCTAAACACTGATCGTCTTGAAAACACTAGAGAGGTAATTAGCTTGATATGTGTGTGTGTGTGTGAGAGAGAGAGAGAAACGTACCCGAATCCACTGCCTCCCGTCGCCATGAGAGTGCCGGGCATTTGGGCCTGCCAGTGCACTTCCTTGACGGATTCCATGTAGTGCACGAACAAGAGCTGTGGAGGCACCTCCGATAGTCCTGCCTCGCGGTTTTCTTCCTCGTCCAGCTCCACCGCAAGATCCCACAGAGTAACGGTGTTATCGGCCGACCCGACCGCCACGACACTGTCGTCGGACGGATGCCACTCGATACTTGTGATAGGCTCCCGGTGGAAATCGAACGATGCCACGGGAGTTGCTTGGATCGGCGCCGAGGGCGCGGACGCGTTGGGCTTCCAGTGTCGCAGATCCCAGACGGCCCATTGACCGTCGTCGGCGCCCGTGGCGAGAAGGTGGAAGGTCTGGTTCGACCAGCTCATCACGTTGACGTCCGTGTTGGAGATCCGGACGTCCACGGCCGGTTTGCGCGACTTGGATCGCACATCCCACACCTTCACGGTTCCGTCGCTGCTCGCGGATGCAAACACGTTCTTCTCGTTCGGCGACCATTGGAGTTCTTCGACGGATGAGCTGTGGCCCGTGAATGCCCGCGTATCTGTCACCCATCCACCTCCTTCGGTGCGTGTTGTCACGTAGATGAGTCCGTCATTGTCACCGGTCAGCAGCTTGCCGAGAGGCTGAAGCGGGGACCAATCCAGCGCGTATCCTTCCGACTTGTGCATGCGAAGCGTCGACAGCGGCTTCGAGGCCGACGGCGGGAGCATCGTGCCAGGGACATCGAAGCTGGTGAGGTAGGGAGTGACATCGTGGATAACCACCTGCGAGTTTTCCAGCATGGTGGCGGTGATGGTTTGAGGCGGCTTGGAGTAATCGCCAGATTGGGACGGGGTTTGGTGGGCGCGAATCCGGTTGGTCGTGGAACCTAGGGGGATGCTCTTGGACTCGAGGATTGCTTCCCCACCCTCGTCGTCGTCGTCGTCCGAATCACTCTCGGAGTCTGTCTCGTTCTCTCGCTCCATCTTGCCCAGACCACTCAGCTTGAGAACCATGAGCTCGTTCTCCTTGGACCGACGTCCTTCTGCCTGTGTTCCGGCAACGGCGTACACCGTTGCAGGGTATGTCTTGCGGTTATCGCCCAACGAGTCACGCACGATATCGAACGACAAGCAGGGCCACGGGGTGCTGAGGGGGTGTAGCATATCGTATGTCGACGGATCCGGCGACAGAACCTCTCCAGGGGCCAGTTTTGTGCGTCCCGGAATGAATGTCTGTTGGTCTACTTCCATTGCATCTGCTGTATTTCACGAACACTGTTAGGTCGGGCATCCAACCCATTGCAAGAGTGTCTGTCATTGAAAAGGGACATTTACACACCTTTCTCCTCTTCCTCGCGCTCAGCATCAGGGCGTCCATCGACCCCAGCCTCCAGGATCTCATCCTCGCTCTCGAATTCGTCCTCGAACTCATCCTCAAATTCCCCCACCTCGTCGGGAGGGGCTTCGGCGACCGGGCGCTCACCAGCCTTGAGAGCAGCGGTCTGCTCGTCGGAAGCGTCCGCAGATCTCTTGGACATTTTGGATAGGATTCACAGTCTCTGTCCCGGGGAACTGTCGACGAGCCAGTCGTACGGCAGGATGAGAAAGTCGGCAGAGCCTGGGGAGATTTTCCAACGATGAATTTCTTCTTTACGAACTTTTTTTTTTTTTTTTTTTTTTCCTTTTTTTTCTGGCCAAAAATTGGGGGGCAGCCGCTAAACCTATCGCGGACTAGTGCCGATCGTCCACCTGGAGCTGTGTTGTTGACCTCAGGCACGCAAGTCTCCTTCTCTCGCTCTCTCTCTCTCTCTCTCTCTCTCTCTCTCGCTTCGTCCAACTCGATTCACTCCTGCTCGATTGTTAATTCGGCTTTCAGGCCTGTTTCTTTTCTTGTCGTTTCTATCTTTTACGGACTGCGCTCCTGGTGTCGTCTCCCTACTCGACTATTTCGTTTTTGCCCCTGGTGAGATGACCCCCCGCCCGCGCCTGGTTTTCAGCTCACTTTGCTCTTCCTCAACTTAGCCCAACTTGGCCGCCAAACCCCCCCCCCGGAGACCGTCGTTATCATTCTATCCGCTAACAAATCAGTACTCCTAGATTTTACATACGCTCTTTAGCCCGAAATATTACCGCATCAGATGAGTCCCTGCATAGCTGTGTGATCCCACCTATCCTCGAATTCGGTTGGTTCAGGCATCCCCGCTCCACCTTGCCGCCGCAGGTTAACCATGTTTCCTCACAGCTTAGGCTACGTTGGACCTGTAATCCACCCAAAGGCTGCCCTGCAAACATGGAGATGCCACTGATTCCAGCCGCTGAGGCCCCCGAGGTTCCCTCAGAAGTGCCAGATCATGAACTTCCAGAGATCCCCGTCGCAAGCGTAGAGCCGGCGGCGCCCACCCATGCAGCAGATGAGACAGCCCTTCTTCCTTCTTCCAGCTATCACCACAATGGATACAGCAGCGATTCTCGGGCACACTATTCATCTCGTTCCGTCGAATACAACACTCCCACCCACGACTCCCACCCACAGGAATATCACTCACAACCGAGCTACTCCCCCTTGACGCAGCAGCCACAACACCCACCAACTTCGAGACCTGGCTCCGGCTTGTCGAACGGCCCGGGACAACATGGCCTTTCTCAGCCCACTCCAGACCTCACAGCGGCGCAGAAACCGTCTTCGCAACAGGCCAAGAACAGCGTGGTGATCAAGGTCGGCATGGTGGGAGACGCACAGATTGGAAAGACAAGTTTGATGGTTAAATATGTGGAAGGCAGTTGGGATGAGGACTATATCCAAACCCTGGGCGTCAACTTTATGGAGAAAACCATTTCGATTCGCAACACCGAAATCACCTTCTCGATCTGGGATCTGGGCGGTCAGCGCGAGTTTGTCAACATGCTGCCACTTGTGTGCAATGACGCTGTCGCAATCTTGTTCATGTTCGACCTGACCCGAAAGAGCACGCTAAATTCCATCAAGGAGTGGTACCGCCAAGGTCGGGGATTCAACAAGACAGCCATTCCCTTCCTAGTCGGCACCAAGTATGATCATTTTGTGAACTTTCCACGCGAGGACCAAGAGGAGATTTCGATTCAGGTACGACCCTTGCTTCCTATCAGTCGACACAAAACCTAATTCTTTTTTTTAGGCCAAGCGATTCGCCAAGGCGATGAAAGCTAGCTTAATCTTCAGCAGCACTAGTCACAGTATCAACGTTCAAAAGGTTTGACCTGTGTATCGATCTTGTGTCTTCTCTGCTAACATGAGACAGATCTTCAAGATCGTTTTAGCCAAGGCTTTCGACCTCAAGTGCACTATCCCCGAGATCGAGAACATCGGAGAGCCTCTGCTGCTCTATAAAAATGTGTAATAATTCCGACAAGCAGACGCAGGGTTACAATTACGCGCGTTAGGATGAAACGATGTTGACGATCGACTTTTCCCTTAGACCCTGGTTGAGATATGGTGGCCAGTTATTGAAACCTGGAATTGACTGTTGCCGGTCCTTGTATTGGTGTTGACCTTTTTCTTTTCCAACTCTTTCCTTTGTCCGTTTTCTGTCAAGCATTGGGATGCGTCTCGGATTCTTCATGTTCATTTATTTCCTTTCTTTTCTCTGTCTTAAATTCCCCAGATGTTGCCTTTTTCCTTACTTTCCTTCTCATTGCCGGAACAGGCTTAATGCCAGACTGATATTTCTTGACGATTTCCTTCTGTGAAGAGTTACGTTCTCAACCATTCTAATTCCACCCAGGTGCCGCAATTCGGAGTCTTGAAGCTGTAGATTTGCTCCATCTAGATGACGTTCTTGTTGACACGATGGTAGATAGCGTGGCCATCTGACGATCACTCACTCACTCAACCTCTACCAGTTTATCCTCCAGGAGCCCTCTACCAAGTACATATGAAGGAACAAAGAGAAATATAATGAAAGGTTACAAGAGAGAAAAAGAAATGCCCATCACACAACACTGGGGCTGGGTCTCCCACCTCCCAGAACCAATCTTCCCTATGCAGAGTTGGCGCGCATCCAAGTTGCAACTGCGATCTGCTGGCGGTAATACATGCGCTGAGAATCTCTTCGTCATCTTCAATGCGCACCTCGATCCGGGTTCATCGGTTGAATTGGTTGGTTGCTTCGCAGTCGTGTCTCCTATATCCTGCGCGGCGCTGGGTGCGACATCCTCGATGCAGAAATCGACCTGCAATGTAACTATCTGTTGTCATGTTGTTTTGCTGTACAGGAGAGCAGGATGCAATTGAACAAACAAACTAACTGGTAGTATATAATCTCAGCTTCTTTGAATTATATTCTTTTCATGACAGAACGCACAATTGTGTATGGTATCAACGATGCTCACCTCCGACACCGGGCGGGGGAGATCGCGGGGTAAAACGCTCCCCCGGACATCCAGGACAATTATTACTGATATTCTTTTCTACGACACTATAACATTCTAGGCTCTGGTCACAATGTCTAAAACCCAAGTTCGCCATTCTTGATGACTACCAGGGGATTGCCGCCCCCCCCCCCATTTCGCCCATCTCGAGGACCGCATCGAGATCGCGCATTTCCCTGAAACGCTGGACCCGCACGACCCAGAGCAGCATGCAGCGCTCATTACGCGACTTCACCCCTTTGACGGGATCCTCGCGATGCGCGAACGCACGCCATTCAAGAAAGAGACCCTGACTGCACTCCCGAATCTCAAGCTGCTCCTCACAACCGGCACGCGCAACCTCGCCCTCGACACCGCGTACTGCGCGGAGCGTGGGATCCCTGTCGCCGGCACCGCCAGTCGGTCGAGCAGCGGCGGGGTGGATTCCGCCGCCCAGCATGCGTGGGCGGTGATCCTGGCGTTGGCGCGACATGTGGCGCGCGACGACGCAGCGCTTAAACGCGGCGAGGGTCTGGCAGGGGTCACTGGGCGTGACGTTGGGCCGGGAAGACGCTGGGCGTGGTGGGCCTGGGAAAGCTCGGGGTCCAGGTTGGTCGCATTGCGATCATGGGGTTTGGGATGCGAGTGGTTGCGTGGTCAGGCAACCTGACGCAGGAGACGGCGGAGCTCCAGGCAGCGGCGTGCGGGTTGCCCAGGGGCAGCTTCCGTGCGATCACGGATAAATTGCAGTTCTTCGGGCAAGCGGATGTGGTGAGTCTGCATCACGTCTTGTCAGAGCTTAGTCGGGGCATCGTGGGCCGGGCTGAGTTGGCGGCTATGCGGCGCACCGCGCTCTTGGTGAATACCTCGCGCGGGCCCTTGATTGACGAGACGGCGTTGCTGGAGACTCTGAATGCGGGGGGGGTTGCTGGTGCGGCGTTGGATGTGTTTGATACGGAGCCTCTGCCTAGAGATAGTCCCTGGCGGACAACGGCTTGGGGACGAGACGGACGCAGTGAGGTGCTTTTGACGCCGCATATGGGATATGGAGATGAGCAGATTCACGGTTGGTACGAGGAGGTGGCAGAGAACCTGGAACGGTGGTTGGATGGGACAGAATTGAAGACTCGATTGAATTAATTCCTTCCATTATTATTATTATTATTATTATGATTATGATTATTATGATTATCGTAATTATGATTATCCAAATACAGTTCAAGTCAGGGAATCTGAAGATCCTCATTGCATGCACAGAACTCATTCAGGTACCGCCAGTGGAAGTCATCCATGTGAGCCATTTGCAACCTCGGATAGAAGGAGATCTATATTACTGGTCTTAATAAACAATATGGAGCCTTTGAACTAAATTATTATTCTTGTCTTCAGTCGCAGCCCACTCGCAAGAGGCCCACCGGTCTGCCGTCCCTCATTCACTGCAAGTTCCTCGGTTCATCTGGCAGCTACAGAGCAGCGTCATGGAATATAAACATCCCATCCCACTTTTCCTCTCCATTCCCCCCTCTCATACACACTCTCTTTCTCTCAGTTATCGTTCGCTTCCTCCTCCCTTCTCGAATACCACCACTCCAAATGGCTCCTATCGCAGTAGAGCAGCCCACCACCACCACCACCACCCCCTCCATCCCCAGCCACCCACCAGCGACACACCCCGGGCTGATCCGCGTCATTCGCAGTCCCAAAGCGTTCGCCAGCGGGGCAGTGTCCGAAGTTGCGCTCCCCGCCGGCGCTGTCCTGGCTAAAATCACTACCGCGACGCCCGGAACCAAGGCCTACACCTCGGTCCAAACCGGCCGCGACACGCATATCGAGCTCAACTCCGACCTGGTCTTCTGCAACCACTCCTGCGCCCCGTCGCTCAACTTCGACATGCACCGGATGGAGGTCCGCGTCGTCGACGACCGACCGCTGGCCATCGGTGACGCCTTGACTTTCTTCTACCCGAGTTCCGAATGGGACATGGACCAGGCGTTCCAGTGTACCTGCGGTGCTGGCGAGAAATGCAGAGGTTGGATCCAGGGAGCGAAGAGCCTGTCCCGCGAGCAATTGGCGGGGTACTGGCTGAACCCTCATATTGAGGAAATGCTGCAGGAGCGAGAGGGCACTGATTAAGCTCTTTTCGTTTCGTTTCTTTTCTGTTCTACGCTTTACAGGGTGGCGGGATTTGGGGGAAGCAGGGCAGGTAGAGAGAATCACTGTATATATTATTTTGTGTGGCTACATACATACATACATCTGCCTAGAACAATGTTTTGTGTGATCTGAATCGACGGATGTATAGAAATGTAGACATGTCCGATCCTTGTGAGAGAGAGCCCAGCCCATTCATGGATCTACATTTCTGCAACGGTTCCGAGAGGCTACACTCACCAACTACCCGATATAATTATTACCACTTAAGAGGGGGATAGAACCTGTGAGTTAGTTCTTGAACGTCATGTCTCTTGAATCTGCCCAGCGTCCTCTGTTTGTTGGCCCTGACTTGGCCATGTTTTGTTCTCCCCGTACCTTGAACGTACCGGTCATTCCGGAGGCAGAAGTCCTGGGCTTCACGGCAGCCCCAGTGCATAATTACATCCCCGTGGATCCCGATTTCCACGTCTCGCATGGCAGCAGGGGCCCTGATTTCTGCAATGTCACTATCACCTTAACCCATCCTGGTGGCGAGGATACCGTCTTTGTTAGTATATGGCTGCCCCGGCACGGATGGAACGGACGGTACCAGGCAACCGGCGGCGGCGGTCTCGCAGTCGGCCACGACCTGGCCATGTATCAACCCGTCCTGAACGGCTATGCGTCCTCTTCGACTGACGGCGGTCTCACGTTGAAACACACCGTCGATCCCCAACTCGGTTCCTGGGCCTTGCACAAGAACGGCACCCTGAATGAGCCTCTGCTGGTGAACATCGGGTGGCGCGCGATCCACGACGCAGCCGTTGCATCCAAGTCCATCATCAGACAGTTCTACGGCATCGACCCGCATTATTCTTATTACACGGGCTGTTCGCAGGGCGGCCGGCAAGGCTATGCCGCCGCCGCCAAGTATCCGGGGGACTTTGATGGGATTCTTGCGGTCGCCCCGGCAATCAACGCGGATTATGTAGGGCCGTTGGACTTCTGGCCTGCCGTGGCGATGCGAAACGAACACGAAACCCCGCCGTTCTGCGTGTTCGAGGCCTACCAAAGGGCCATTACCGCGGAGTGCGATCCGCTGGATGGTGTAGCGGATGGGTTTATCTCGGATTGGGACGTCTTGACCAGTTGTCCGTACAATCCCGATACCTTGATCGGAGCTTCGGTGCCCTGCGAGGCCATCTCCGCGAACGTCACGATCACCCCGGCCCATGCCAAGCTTGTCTCCATGATCTTGGACGGTCCGCTCAATGAGTCGGGCAACCCTGTTTGGTGGGGCCTTGCGCCTGGTGCTGCGTTCTCGACCACCGCAAAGACAGTCCGGAACGACGACGGCGTCTGGACGCCAGACCCGTTTGTCCCAGGTGCCGCATGCCTGAAATACATGTCCCTTCGCGACCCGGACTACGATCTCACCAACATGTCGTACCCCGATTTCTTTCGGGGCTTCGAGGCCTCCAGGGCCGGAATGGGGAAGTACTTTGGCAGCGAGTGGTTGGATTTTGCGGGATTCCAAGCCGCCGGGGGCAAGTTGCTCAGTTGGGTCGGATTGGCAGATGAATGCATCCCGCCCTCAAACGTTCTCGACTTCCGTGACCATGTTGAAAAGGTGTTCGGGTCTGCGGACAACACCGATCAATTCTATCGGCTGTTCACGGCCCCTGGAGTTGCGCATTGCCAGGGAGGCGCTGGGCCCCAGCCGCTCGATGCCTTCGGGGCACTCATGGACTGGGTTGAGAACCATAACGCCCCTGAGTTTCTGCAGGCCAGGATCGAGAATCAGGATGGCCACGAGATAACCCGGAGCTTATGTCGATACCCAAGGAAGCTTGTGTATAAAACGGGCAATGTGGACAAGGCTGACAGCTTTGAGTGTGAGTGAGAAGATTTCCTACCGAATTCTGGATGCATCTTTTACTCAAGGTATATATATATATATCTCTCTCTCTATATCTCCAAAAGAAACATGTCTACCATGTAGCTAGAAACCAACACCATCTACACAACCTGACTCCAAATCTCCTGTCCTGAAATCAACGTACTCACCACCATAGTAATCCCCACCACCAAATCCGACACCTCAATCCACCGCAGGAACAAGCCAGGAATAAGCAAATCACACCCGTCAGCCAGGAGACGCCTCACAAAGGGCGCAACAGAGGGGTTAGTAGCCGCCTCTTTCTCTTTCTCTTCCCCTTTCTCTTCCCCCCCAGAGACAGGCTTCTCAGGAACAGACTTCTCAGGAACAGGAACAGGACCAGTAGCAAACCACCCCAACAACCCAACCGCCGTCCCCGCCAGCGAAAACGAAATCGCATAGAACCAGAACTTGAACGCCTCGGTCAGAACCATATTGGTCCACGCGACAGGCCAGACGTTCATCGCGTGCAACTACCACCCCGGAGCCAAGTCAACCATACCGCACGAGCAAAACCAAACGACTCAGCAAGGCAAGGGGGGAAAAAGGAAAAACAACATACCAGAGTCAAATCCTCCAGGGCCAGATAAAGCCCCATACAACTCCACCGGGCAATCTCCAGCGTCGCCAGAAGGACCCGGAACCCCTGCGAATCGCCATCAGACGCAGACGCAGACGCAGACGAAGGTCCCGATCCCCCGAGAAGGTCGACAACGCGATGAAAGCAGTCGAGGAAGTTGAAGAAGCGCAGATATCGCCGAGCTAGGCACCATTCAGTTGGCTGTTTTGTTTCCGTCCGTCTACTCTGTACGTAGGGTAGGTACGCGAGTAAAAGGGTCCTGGAAGAAGAAGAAGAAGAAGCTTACATAGCGCGATTTGAGACTTTGCGAGTAATAATTTCGATACCGAGACGCTGTCATTGCTTACTTCAATGGCTACATGGCAGAGTGCTTGGATGAGCCGTAGGGTTTTCTCGAGTCCGGCGCTGGTGCGCGTGAATTTGGTGAATTGGCGGAGCATTGTGGGTTTTCTTTTACTCGTCCCAAGTAAGGATGAGTATGTTATTTCTCACTGGATTCCTCAGTCACGCAAAGATCAGGTTGGTGGTTAGGGACAACTCACTCCTGGCGCGGTTGATCAGCTAGACTAGTCTCGGAGTCGCTATATTTACTCCGAATCATGCGATGCGCGCGCTCTGTCTCTTGTGCGTTAAATGCATATTAAGTAGGGTGGGTAGTTTAATGGGTTTAGCATTTTGCCGTGACCTTCTTTGCAGAAAGGGAAGAAAATTCGGTGAAACTGTGTAATTGGGGATCAATATATGCAGAAAAGCCATGCTCGAGAACAGAGCAGTTTCATTTACAACACTACAGACACACAGCTTTTTATCTCAATATCAACAGCGAAGCAACCTTTGTACAACTCCATGAGCTTCACCGCCCCTTACCCCCCGAAATATCCTGGCCGAGCCGGTACCCTCCGACCTTCTCCCACTCCACCTTTTGCCGCGTAATAGGGAGCTGTCTCCGAAGGGACTTGAAGGTACCTTCCGCCATGTGCACGAACGCCTTGTTCAGCTCTTCCTGGTAGTTCCTCTCTGCAGCTGCGATGCGGGAAATGATGCTCTCCGCACTGGCGCTAGGGATAGAGATACTAGCGGGCTTGGTGGTGTTGAGAGAAACGTTGCCATCCTCGTAGTAATGCACATCCACTTGGATCTTGCCGGTCACGGTCGTCGAGTCGCCCACCGCGACTTGGTAAAGAGAACGGAAGCGTCCGTTCCTGTAACATGTTCCGCACCAATCAATCAGCAATCTTCTTTCTGCCTCTCCAGCAGCCCCTTTAATGCCAACGTTAATACTAACCAGAAATTGTTCGGGGAGTAGCGATTCGCAACCAGCACAATAGCCACGGCGGAGTCATTCTCAATCGGATACACGCCGTACGAGGAGGCGGGATAATGTTCGCGAGTATGAGCAGCAACCGACTTGAGCAGTGATTTTCTAGAGCAGAAAAGCAACGCAATGAATCAGCTCCATATCTCAAACCAGGTACACATGATGATATCCCCGAACTCTCCACTCAGCTTACATCAAATCGGCATTCTGTGATTCCAGGACATATGATTGCGCTGCGGACGCTTCCTATCACCACCAAACCCCGGTATCCATGAGTAAATGGCCTTGTTAGAAGAGAGACACACCAAGGGTTCTGATCCTACTTGTGTAACGTGGTCGACCTCGAACGATGTCTGGCTCTCCACGTCGAAGTATCGGTTTCCTTCTAGCTTGTTAAATTCGCTGACGATGACCTTTTCACAAAATATGTACTGTTAGAGCACAGTTCGTGACTCCTAGGTAAGTGAATATACGTCGCACCTCCTGACTCGCTCCAGGCAGCTTCACGGTCGCCAGCTGTGCCTCGTTATAGCGCGCAAATGCCGGTGCAAGGGAAGGAATAATATCCGGTCCATCCGAAGTAAGCGATTTAATGTCTATATCGTGATAAAAACGAAATTCAGTTAAACAGTTGGGCTTTGCGTGTTAGGTCGGAGGTGCGGGGGAAGCCGGAGGGAGGTTGAGTCCACATAGGGGGGGTAAAGGGTGTGTTACCAGCAACAACATCTGCAAGCTAGAATATTCGAATATTTAGTTAATGAATTTACAGCTAGGTAGTTTAACTCGGATTGCAGGAATTGAATGTACCTCGCCTGGCGGGGCTCCCTCAATAAATGAGGATGCAAGTTCGACGGTCGATGCCATGAGTGGAGATTCTTTGATCGCAGGCCGACGGAAAGAACAGCAGGGAAAATAGAGGGTATACTGAAAAAACACGGCTTAAAGTAGCAGAGGGAAGAAAAGAAAAGCAGCTCGAGCCTGAGTGAGTGACGGAACCAACTTGACCATGAAGCCGTTTCTCCCAGTGTCAACAACAGTAGCTCTGACGCGGTAGCCGCCGATCTTGGCAAGGTAGCCACTCAGAATGCATATTGCGGCTATTACACCTTATCGGTGATTGCGTCACAGAACACCCCAAAAGTACTCCGTATCTCTGGTGTAAATATAATAGGAAGGTCAATATTATAATAGTATATCTATTAGAGGGGGACTATCCCATCCAGCAATAACTGACACCCTTCTAGAATTAGAAATCCAACGCCGTGCTTGGAAGGCACTGAACCGGGTTGAAACCAAAAGTCGAATGTATGAGTGGTAGTGTACGGTACGTAATGAATTGCAAAGAACGCTCAATTGATACAGCACAACTTGTGCGGCGCACACGAGTCCGGCTCGTAAAGGAAAATGGGCCCAATTCGCTTCAGAGAAGGGTGAGCACTTACTCGATGCTCATGTTCATAAACCCATCATTGGTTTCATTCATGCCCTGAAGACCAACTCTCTTCAAGGTACCGGTAGGGCCAGTGGTGGACGTATTCCGACCCCCGCTCTCGCCACCAAGACGATCAGTAAACAGTGGGCCGAGATTTGACTTGGGAGGAGGCCCCCAGATATTGTACCCTGTATCCTTGACTGCTGGGGAATTGGGCATAACCGGGCTACTCTGAACACTCATACTAGGTGACACGGCTCGCCTTTTGATAAGATTGGGGTCAAAATCATCATCCCGTCGTCGTTTCCTCCTAAACTCGGAAATTAGGCCAGGCTGGGCGGCAAAGGGAGTCGATGAGCCTGACGCAGGCCGTTCAACAGGTTTCGCAAATTCAGTAGTGCTTGATCCAAATGTGGTAGATGGCGTGAGTTCCATTGCCAGATCTTCCTCGGACACGGAAGAGGCATGTGGCCGGAGAGGAGGGGGAGGGGTACGATAACGTTCGTCGAATGAATTCCAGAACTCATGACCGCCAGAGTTGCGGTGGGCCTGGTCACTAAAACTCGTCGGTTCGTCCGGTATCATAGCACCGGACTTTCCTCCGTCCTCCAAGCTTGTGGACAATCCCCGAGAGATAAATGGATTGGGCGAGGAGAAGGCAGTCAAAATAGGTGAGGTTTGCGGCATCTCGGGTTCACTTTCGCGAACCTGACGAATAACCTCGGCTTCGCGCTTCGCCTCACAGTCAATTGGGGCTGACTCTTCCATGAGGGCGGCCCGAATTCGAGCGAATGTCTTTGTTTTAGGCTGCAAGATACCAGTCAAAAATCCGAATCGGGTTCACAAATCAGAACAAACACTTACTAGTAGGCTGCTTCGTCGGGTGACGGCACGCCGAATTACCCCCAAAGGCCCACCGTCCGACTTCGTAGCAGTTGGACTATGAGCACGGGTACTTCGGTTCTCGCCCTCGTCACTCACATCGGACAGTCGCAAATCACGGGTCCCTAAGCTCAAACTCTCACGTCGGGAAGCTACACTGCCCCTGTGACCAAAGTATCCATTCTGGTTTTCGATGCTTTTCATGACAGGTGGAGAGAGAGGGCCGGGGCTTTGCTTAGAGCTATTCACACTAGCACTGCTCGAACTGTGCCCGCTGCGTCCTTTGCGAAAACGCGCTCTCTGGAAACTCATCAGGCTAGCTGCAGCCTGAGAGTAGTTGCCCATCCAATCATTGCCGGGGCTGGGCAGATTCCCTGCCGCAAAAGCGCTAAACCCCGCCCCCAGCTTCCTCGCCTGCGGAGTGTTCACGATCATGTCATCTCTATCCCCAATCATGGGCTCATCATCTTCCTCGCTACTACTGGTGTCGGATTCCATCATATTCACACTGGACACGGAGCTCGAAATAGTGGTCCGATCAGCGGGGTTGGATGTTGAGAACGGTGGAACAGATGTAGAGCCTAGAGACACCCGGCGCTGAGGGATGGTAACACCTCTTCCGCCAATTGTCGGAGAGGAGTCCGGAGAAGATTCTGCAAGTGTAGAGTGGTGAAGATTTGTACACGCACGCGAGAAATCGAGCCCTCGCGAGCGTCGTGGGAGGACCGACCCAGGGGAACTATAGATGTGGGACGAATCGAGCTTTGGAGAAAGAGGGGCACGAGTAGACAACGATACGGTTCCAGAAATCTTTGATGAGAGGTTTAGGGAAAGGCCTGATAGGGATGGTCGCTGTGGTGTTTCCGGGGCGGATGGGAGGGAAGAATCATCTTTGCTGGAAGGGCGCCCTTCACTAGCGACGGACGGAGTGGATGAAGACGGCTTCGAGGCGTCGGACAGAGATCGTGATTTTGGTGAAGGACGCAAAGGGGGGCCCAACAAGCTGGCTTTGTCTCCTGCAGAGTCAGTTTCGGTGCCTGATTCACCCTGTCTAGTCTGCTGAGACAACTGTTCACTCAGTCTGCTCGCGAAAGGAATAGGCGGCACGCTGTGAGAGACTGTTGACGAAGTAGTTGACGATGCCATGTTATTCGCTAAAAAGAAAGATTTAGGATCTGATCATGTTGCAATGGCACGCAATCCACGGTCTACCGCATTATAAACGAGTTCAGAATCCGAATAACTGTAAGATATGGCGACGAAACGTGGGATTGCGAGCGTAGACGCCGTGGTGGGACTGAGGAAATGAGGAGTATCGAGAAGCTTTGCGATATAACTGGCTGGCCTTGGAATGAATAGTTCGATGAGAATGGGCGAATCAGCCGTACTGGATAAAATGCGCGTTATTCAAGATGCATAGCGCGACAGCAACGACGCTTCCAGATCATTAGAAGATGCTCCGTCGTGGTTGGATCAATCCCTCTGACGTCCATCTTGTCCAGTCCGGCGAATCACGCGCATCTGGTCCCGCCATGGCGCGGGGACGGTTTTCATTGGTGCGGCTAATTGTGACAATACAATACGTAAGAAATGTAAGGCATCCATGGATCTATTAAGGCCTTCCTCGTATAAAAATGAGCAACAATCTCTATTAGGTAGTTTGAAACACTCAAAAACATGCTGATGGATCATATTTATATTTGATTATTGGGGAATACCAAGAATGAAGACAATTATAGGGAAGATTTAACAGCTAGGTCATCCATCCCAGTCTTCGCTGTGTTGAGTACTCCGGAGATGATGACGTCCCCGGTGCCCGTGAGCCCAATCGAACCCCAATCGTCGGTGATGTTGACAGCACTGTGCTTAAGGATTACAAGCTAGTGGTCGTGATCATATTAGAATTCTTGCTGATAAACTTGGCCAGATCTTCAACCGAGGACTCCCCAGCGTGGGGAGGGGTGGATCTCTGTCGTCCAGTGGCATTTATTAGCCTGTCAATTCCACCAACCAAAAAATGTTGAGCTTTGCAAAGTGGGTATCTACAGTAATCTGGATCTGTCAATCTGATGCATTAATGAAGGTCTTGTTTTTCTAAACTATCTGTTTGTGATGCCTTAAACAGTCAACTAAGGTACTATGCTGGTAGGCTCGTGGTTGAAGAACTGATTGCCTAATTAGGTATCATCATTCGATATCATTTCTCAAAGTAGATGCTCCACGCATAATCATAGCCTCCTTGAAAAGGCAAGCGTTTCTGGAAAGTAAAGACTATCCATATCTCTAAACATTAGAAGGCTCCTCAGGATGTATAGTATAATAATCTGTCTTGTTTGGTGTTCTTAGACCATTGATATCACGTGCATATTTGTCGCCAAACAACATCACCACTATTGCGCTGGGAGTTTTCTCGGTTTTCTCTGCTTGTCACCAAGAATTCCTGTCACTATATCGAGCGTCCTTTGCCAAAATGATCAATGCAATAAAAAGAACTTTCTTAAAAACTCCATCCCAAACATCCAAGTTCCTTGGGTCACCATCTTGGCTGGCATCAGTAGAGCGTGTGGACCCATGCTCAGCTGCAGAAGAACCAGACCATTACAAGACTGGGGGTTTCCATCCCATTTCTCTAGGCGATACATTTAATTCCGATCAATACACTATCCTGAGGAAACTAGGATATGGGCAATATTCTACTGTTTGGCTAGCCAGGGATTCTAGGTGAGTCGTGCTATCACTGTTGTACACTAAGCTAACTGGTACTATAGGTATCAAAGATATGTAGCACTCAAGATGCTGAGAGCTGATTGTTATGGAGGCCCCCATGACATCTTTGAGAAAGAAATGCTTTTGAAAATCTCGGATATTTCTGAGAAAAGCCCCCACGAAGGCCGCAACTACGTATCAGGTGTTCTCGATCATTTCAAGCATACAGGGCCCAATGGAGATCATGTGTGTTTTGTACTTGACGTGCTAGGTCACCATGTGGATTTTCAGAGCGCCAAATTTGAAGATGGAAAACTGCCAGTGAAGGCAGTGAAAGCGATTACACAGCAGCTTCTGCTTGGGCTCGACTTTCTCCACAGAGAGTGTAATATCATTCATACCGGTATGACATAGGATACCAGATAAATAACCGGCATAATTTGCAATGCTGACATACAGATCTCTTCAAATAGACCTGAAACCAACAAATATACTTCTAGAGTTGGGGAAATCCGAACGGTGCTATTTCCCAGTATTTGGCAAAATCCCCCCCGCGAACCAGTCGTGGTGCGACAGCGCCCCTTCGAGAGGTCATCACGACACCGCTAGTCTCAGAAATGAAAAAGCCTCACATCAGAATAATTGACTTTGGCGTAGGTAGGTAGCCCCTGTGCCTCCATTCGCACATAAACTTATCCTGTCTAGCGTCTTGGAGGGGAAATCATCTGTCAGAACCAATCCAGTCCCCAACTCTGAGGGCACCTGAAGTGACTATCAGTGCTTCCTGGGATGCTGGGGTTGATATATGGAGCCTCGGATGCCTTGTAAGTGTCTCTTATTATTTGATACGGTTTGCACCACTACACACTTTTACTTTTTGCGTTTTTGACACTGAAACCGGCCATATATAGGTAGTGGAGTTGGTCCAAGGGATAGTCCTTTTTTCTGGTGAAGCATCAAAGAATGGGTCCTGGACCGCTGAAGATGATCATCTAGCAAGAATTATTGAAGTCCTTGGCCCATTCCCACTTCACTTGATAGAACAAGGGAACCGTGCCGCACACTTTTTTGACGACAAGGGTAAATTCCATCAACAATCGTCGATATCTTTGGATCATGCCGCATCTCAAACAAGTACGGTCGTTGGGTTGGGTAGAAAGCCCGAGGACACTGGATGGAAGTTAATAACCGAATTATATATATCATAACTAGTAACCTGTCACTTCAACATGATCTGATCAACTGAATGTAGCAGTATCTGGCTACTAAATATCAAAAAAATATCGATAGAGTGAGCGCCTGCTCACGTCAAGTTCATCGTGTTGAAGTAGGAAACAGCATCCTCGTCGTATCCAAACCAAAAATTGACAATAGCATATCTCGTTCCTGGCCTATTTATTCTCTATTTACCCAGCGTACTGTCGCTGTTATCCATCAAGCCAAACTCATTGCTGCACTCACCGGTGCAACATACCATTCCCAATCATTGCTGCTTGAAGGATCGTCTACTACCTCATTTCGAGGGGCCCCCTTGAGAATATCATTATCTCGAGTTTGCCAGACCTTTGAAATGACAGCTCTCGTGCGAGAAACACTGGAAACACTGGATTCCGCCATTGCTGCCAATGCACGTAAGACCAACGGCCGTCCGTAGACTTCACTTCCATCCGCATCTTTCCAAATGACATCGTTGAGTGGATCGAGTTCCACCCCAGCCACAAATACAGGCCAAGCTAGACCGACAAGGGATCCAGCATCCAACATTTCCGAGACGAGCTTCAAGATTCTTCGAACATAGCTGACAACGATAGTGGTAGACGGCGAAGCATTGTGCAGCGCGCAGTGGAGGTACAGGAGCGCGGACAGTCGCCTCAATTCCGCAATTGGGCGAAGGTCATCTTCCTCATCGTCAACTTGCTGCGCCAACTCTTCCAGCTGGTGATCAAGGGTTGCTGCTTTCAAGGAAAATGCAGCGCGGTCTGTATCAGATACCTGCTGTCGCCTGCTGTGGCTCAGCTCAGTGACCGTCGATAAAATGGAAACCAACTCAGGACTGCACCCCATCCAGCAATCAACTTTGCGATCATCCGAATGCCAGTAGTCGTCTCCGAACAAAGCTTTCTCGCCACAAGCAGTGCGGCCCATAACGTCATGAAAAGCAAAAAATTGTTCCGCAAACGCAGTCACTGGCTCTTGAGATGGAGAAGGTTGGATCGCCTGCTGCCGTCTTAGGCGGATTAGTTCCTTGGCGCCTTTCAAGTGAATTGTCCAGCGTTCATCACAATGATCGGCTAGTTCGTAAAGACAAAGCATCATCATGACCAGCAAGGTCTCCGGATCTGATGAGCCGCCCAATGGCCCAGTGGTGGCCAATTGGTTCCGGAGTCCTTTTATGGCCTCGGATTTGAGTCGGAGCCCGATAACCGCATATGACGGGTTGAATCGAGACCGGTAGCAAGCGCCCAAAGCCTGGATTGCTTTGAAGAGGGTCGGAGATGCAGTCAAGCAAAACGGAAGGACGGCCGAGGCGAAAGGAGATGGAGAACTTGAGCTTGCAGTCGTCCGCGGACACACCTGTCGCACATAGTACTCTAACAAATTGCCATGATTCGACCCAGATAAGTGAGGAAAGAGCGGTAACGGTGCTGTTGGTCTGGCCAGCTGTCCCATGATACTTTGCAACGCACCGTCAGAGAACAGATCATCCCCGTCCTTACCCCAGGGAACAAGGGCAGTGCATTCATTACGCTCAATATCTACTGCGTATGGGCGTTCAAAAGCCCCGGCAAAATTATTGATAAAGCCCCAGGACTCAACCGGGGGAATAAGACACCAATCATGCTCACCACGCGAAGGAGACCGCGAGCCGGAAGGCGACGGTGTAGACACGCCTTTCCCGTCAACTTTGGATTTACTCCAGACGCCTGCTCGTCCAAAAGCGACTCCTCTCCTCACGAATTCGGACTCCCATTTCAACACCAGCTGAGTGGAGCAGGACAGGCCCTTCTCCTGACACCTCGTACAGACTGGTTTCTTGGTGTCACAGCGGACCCGACTCGCGCGGCAGGCTGAGCATCCTGCGCGACTCCGCGTTTTCACCGGACCCGTGCGATCGTCAGCCTTTCTACGAGGCATTTGATAAGGTAACTGAGAGAAAGGGCTTTCATGGCCGGGGTTCAGAGCAATGATGATCCCTAAGCCTGGTTGAAGAGGAGAGAGAGAAAGAAAGTTGAATTCGGGGTGTTTCCGAATGCTTTACTAATGAACGATTCGTGCTGCGGAGAGGCCATATTTCTCAGGCAACTTATATTCACACCTCAGGCTCAACATCAGGCACCAATAAAAGTATAGAATTATTACAAGGCTATGGCAAGGGCTAGATATCAACAATAAAGTATAGCCAAAAAAGTAAACGTCGCTAATAATCAGAAATCACAAGAACAGTCATGGATAAATCCAGATTAGATTTCAATATCCCTGGAAGTAAACTTTGTCGTAAAGTTGTATTGCCTCACAAACCATGCATTCCAAAGCTTCCATTCCTCGTCAGGGTATGCGAGTTGTACCTGCGAATAGATTAGCACCGGAGCCTGAACATCAAAGGCAGAGGAACTTGCATTAAATCTCCTCAAAAAGCTGGGCACCAGCTTGTATATCTCCATCAGCGAAATATTCTTCCCGATGCATGTTCTTGACCCTGCTCCAAATTGAAGCATCATCCCGTTCATGGTCTTCAACTTGTCCTCCGGCGCGGTAAGCCATCTATCCGGGTTAAATGCGTCGACATCGGGACCGAATATTTCTTCGCGGCGATGAATCACCCAGGGACTACAACCAACGATGGTCCCACCAGGGATGAACCGGCCAGCGATTTCGATACCAGAAGCCGGCACGACCCGTTCAAGGGGCAGCCCTGCAGCCGGATGGATACGGAAAGCCTCCTTTATGCAAGCGTCGAGGAAAGGCAGTTTCTGCGACTCCGCCCATGAGACAATACCCGTTGCGCGGTTCATAATCGACCCATCTCGTACGGCATCATCTATTTCTTGGCGTGCGCGTCTCAGACCCTCTGGGTGCTTGAGGAGATAGTAGAAAACAGCCCCGAGACTGATCGCAGTGGTCTCCGAGCCGGCAAAGGCCATGGAAACCGCCATGGTGAGCACGCGTTTTTCGGTCATAAATTCCGGCCGGTCCTTGCTGGCTTTCATGAACATGGTAAGAAGATCGTCCTTGTGGTCGGCTTTTCTGGTAGCCATGTTGGTCGCGATGCGTTCGTGCATACGCTGACGCGCAAAGACAGCGACAGGGTGGGAGTTATCCAATATCCCCCATTTCTGCAGGGCATCGAAGATCGGGTTCTTCCACAGCAGTTTATCCAGCCACGGCATTTGGCCAACAGGTCCAGAGTAGTCGAAGATCCGTGCAAGTGACTGGATGATGCCATCGATATCTTGGTTTTTTTCAATGAAACCATGCCGCTTGCTATATGTGATGCTACCAATGACATCGAATGCGAAGAATTGCAACCATCGAGCGAAGTCACAGACACTTTCCCCATCCGCGAACAACTGGGCGGTTTGGTTCAGGAACAGTTCTGTGGTTTCGTTGACCATGGGCTCATACTGAACCATAGAACTCATGGAAAAGGCGTTATTGACGGAACGGCGGAGGTTCGCATGGAAAGACTCGTCCAGCGTAGAGAAAAGTGAGGGCAACGGTTCGCCCTTGGAGACGGTCATCTGGACTGGGTAGAACCCAGACTATGCTCCCTATTAGAACCCCTAGAGTATTGAAGGTAGAAGATCTTACCTTGGTGAATCCCTTGTTCAGTCCGTAAATCACCTTGATCGCACTTGGGCTTGCGAAAGACAAAGTGTTGGGCCCCAGCCGGACAACATCGCCATACTTTCGATGTAAGGCTATGTGCGTCACTTCAGGATGTCGACCCCGCACATCAAGGAATCGCCAAAGATCTGAAAACTTGGCCAGAAACGGCCCTGGATAGTGATTAAGACCATTGTGGAAATACTGTTGAAGCAGATAAAGCAAAAGAAGAGACGGAAGTACATATATGGCGTACTCAGACGCCGTACGCGCCAGGGCCTCCGAAATGAAGGCCATGATGATAGAAATGAACCCAAGAGGTAGTGGTTGTCGTTGTATATATGGTCACACAATGAGCCGAGCGTTATCCTATTGAAGGAGAAATAGTGGTCTGTGTTCGAGGCGCCTGTCCAGGTGGGACATCGGCAGTTGGCAGTGCCCTCAACCGATTCTCACGGTCTCACCTCCCTGTCGACGACGACAATCCCTAGCAGGAGCCAGTAAGGAGCATTCGTTCGTTCGTTCGCCATGTTTAGAGCAGATCGGGGTATCCAAAAATTGGCTAGTTGATCAACCGGGATAAAGCGAGCCCCACGTTTCAATAGGCCACTGCGTAAATAATTCTCATCGCCAGATAACTCCGCTGGGCAGGACATGAACGGTGAGACGCTGAAGAGAGGGCGATTTCCCCGCAGGCCAAAGATGGGCAGATTAGCAGAAAGGAGATGAAAAAGGACCGGCACATGCATCAGTGGAGAAATGGTCCTGAGAGACCTTCAGGACGTCGGCAATCAAAGGGGCTTCGATCTCCCGAAACCCACATCGCCAGTTCTACCAAGAGATCAATAAAGTGAACATCTCCAATGTTCTCTGTGTGCACGTTGGATGGCTGCGATGCTTATCGACCTCGAAGAAAACGGTCCGAGATCTATGTATCTGACATGCAGAGTAATGTATGAAATATCTTTTAACAACCCCATCTCGGGGCCAGTAGTCCATCAATGCCGCGTACGCTCCCACAAAATTCTAGACATGCCTATGAAGGGAATATGTTACCAAATTCTTAATAATTGCAAAGCTACGAGTACAAATCCTTGCAGGACCCGGGCCCTCTAAATCAAACCCGCTTGATGCAAAATGACAGGGTATCACAAGAGTCATCCAAACATCTCAACACCGACAGGAAAATCGACGAAATACAACCCCATGACGAAACAAAGAGAACCTTCAAATTGCCTGTCGCTCATGCGTGGAGATCGTCTCATCAAGCTGATAAGACTCTTGCGCTGACCACTGCCGAGAGGCAGGACGGCCTTGCAACTGTTGCTCCTCGTCATCTGGAACTTTAGAGAAACCCTCAAGACCTATATCATCCTTTCCGTAAGGAATATCGCATCGGAAAGAGCGTAGAGGTGGGTAGTAACGTCGGTAGCAGAAAAAAGCTACCAGCGACCCCAGAATCGAGCCGACTGTAACATCATAGACGTCATGGCGATAATCGTCTAAGCGTGAGATTGCGATCATCAAAGCACAGAGAACTGGAATAAGTGCTAATAGACAGCGAAATAGATCCGTTCGGGGCCGGAATACATGCATCTGGCCGGACAGGAACCTAATATGGCAGGTTAGCATGGAATGCTTCGGAGGGAAGTGACAGCTAACTAACAGAGAAAGATATCCCAATCCACTAAATGAAAAACTGCTATGTCCACTGGGGAAGCTCCTCCAGCCCTCCTGCAGGATGTGCTGACTTGGTTGAGTACAGACCGTCCACAGCACAAGCGTACTCTCCGGAGTACCTTTCCGAGGCATGCACCGCGAAATCAGATCTGGACGAGGTCTTCCAACTGCATTCTTGATAATATCCGTCACAAGCGAGGTAAGCATGAGGGCAGTAAGGAATCCAAGAATCGTAACTTGGACTTTCTGCGGATTTGGGCGGAACACGGCGGCCCAGGCTACGAGGACGGCGAAGGGGATAACCCCAGCGTAAATAATCGACCATACTGGATATCATGTATCATGAGTGACTGACTGGAATTCGGTCTGAGGAGGCAAATACTTACGGACAGAGACTCGTTCTACAGTCGCAAAAGGGTACTGAATGGCTTTGTTGTCAAGGGAGAACATGCGATGGAAAGGGTTAACGAAAAGCTGAATCTACACGAGAACTGTAATCAGTGGAAGCATATTAAAGACGCCAGCACGACAAAACGAACCAGAATCCAACCCCCTACGATAAAAACAAGAGCCGCAGAATCAATCAGCAAGTATGAGCGCTGGAACGCACGCGACCAAGCCCCAGACACCCCCCCGGACAGAGGGGAGTGAGGGATTGCTGACCCAGCAGACAATCCGCTGCGAGGCATTTTGAGAGTCTTTAATCAATAACGAGTGTCATGGAAATATAAATGCTCCATCTGAAATCCGGAATGATGTCCTAACAATGGCGATGTTGTTGACGGGGATCGAAGAATGGCCGCCAGTTGGTCTCTGGGAGCGGAGAGCACGGGCCATGGGATTTCCAGCCGTTTCACGGAATCTCCGCGCGCCTCTGCTGTCCCATCCACCTGAGCTCCCCAGTCGACTTCGTCGTTGCAAGCTTTCTCTCGGACTTGAGCCACAATACCTAGGTAATTTAGACCTAACTGAGAAAAGCACGGCGACCATGGCTGAAACTGGACAACCACGAGCACTCACGACCGCGTTTGCCCCTCCACCGCCTCTGTGGAAACATTTCACCCCCGAGAACGTGAAAAGGTTGGAAGAGGCCAAGAAGGAGGCGTCAAAAGGAGATGATGGGAAGCCGCGCAAAAGGAAATGGTCTCCCGATGACCTACGATCTCTGACGCTCCCACCAGAGCTCCGTTTCCTGGTACCACCAGAGATCCCAACCTCCGGGCAGTACAGTGTCTTCGGAGAAGTACAAAACGTAAGATGAATGATGATAACCTATCTATTATATCTTGCAACTAATGAATGATATGTAGCTTTCAACAGCCCTTCCCTCCTTAGAAGAACAAGGCATTACACAACTCTATCCCTCCTCCCCGAAACATGACGCCAGCCACGAATCTTCCGCGGAGCCAGCACAGCCGTTGAACCACGCATACTACCTTCTGAAAATCAGCAAATCGCTGCTTCTGAACTTCCTGGAGTTTGTTGGGATTCTTTCCATAACGCCGGAGCACTTTGAATCCAAAGTCGAGGACATACGAAATCTATTTATCAACGCACACCATCTGCTTAACCTCTACCGGCCACACCAGGCTCGCGAATCTCTGATTGTAATGATGGAGGAGCAATTGAACCGCACGAAAGAAGAAATCCGAGAAATGGACCAGCTGAAGGCGGAGCTCATAGCTGTTCTAGACCAGCTCGCCGCAGAGGGAATCGATATAGGTGCTACTGCGGAAACCAGCGCCGAAGAAGATACAAAGACCGTGAAATTAGACGAACGATTCGCCGAGGATTCACAGCTAGTCTGGGATCTCATAGACGGGAAAGTTGAGTGATCACTATGCAGATTGCAAGTGTAGCAAACCATGCTTTTTGCTGCATTGATCTGACATGAGCCCACCACGCGTGCGCACCCAGGGGCCAGCAAAATCAGGACCCACACACTTTACCCGGTCTACGTATAATTGAAGCAGAACTTAGAAGCATCTGTTGGGCGGTCGCATGTCGCGTTTGGTGTCTTCCACTCAGGATTAACGTTAAACCGGGTCACGTGCCGCGCTAATCTCGCTACTTTAAAATCCCGCCGAAATTTTTGCAAGCCGCTTTACTTATTGACAATCCGATGAACTCGACACACCAAGTGTTTGAGCACAAGAACTCGCAAGGAATCCAATCTCATTGATATAATGGAGTCAAATTAATTGGGTAACATGCAAGTGTTCACGTCGCAGCTTTTTGGTCTTCTGCCATACTTAGCGATTCCAGTCTGAGTAAGTCCGACATTGAGTTTTCTGTCTCTTCCCGCTCCTAAATGATGATTGATGCCTTTTTTCTTTGTTTCAACCCCATCTGAACGTACAACTGTACGCTTTGATTATACCTGCGCATCTTATATCTGAAATCGAGCCTCGAGAGCCCTTTTGACCACGAAAATAACAATGCTTGCTGCATTTTGTGGATTGTCGCTGACCTGCTCTAGTTCTTTTAGCCTATGCCCACCGATACCCCATTCAATACCTTAGGTAGCTTGAATAGAACAATGATATTAATTCTGAGAAAATAATTTATTCCTCACATATATGTGTGTATATATATATATATCCTATCCATGCGCCTGCGCTTCCTTTGTATTCTAATGTCTATGAATCACCCTAAACATCCTTACCACTTCCTTAATTTTTGTACCCTTTCTCAATTCCCACTCTATCTCTCACTCCCAAACACTATAATATAGAGGTATCCCATTTCACTCCTCCCCCGGCTACTGACCCCCCTGACCCTGACCCTGACCCTGACCCATCCCTCGCACGCTCACTCCACGCCCTATCCATAGCACAAGTGGCCAAGCGACACAACTCCTTGACGAATTCCACAACGAGCTTGATATGCACCATTTCGTTGACTGAGTAGGCTTGCCGGAGAAAGACGCGCTCGACCATTTTTGTGGCGTTTCGGAGCAGGCCGAGGTCTTTGGACGCCTGGAGGTCTCCGGGGTTTTGGAGGATGTTGCAGAATATAGCGAGGAGGGCGGACATGGGGTAGAAGATTAGAATCCTAAGACTAGTTAGATAGATGTTCTTCTTTTTTTTTTTTTTTTTTTTCTTGTGTTTTCTGTCTCTAGGTTTGATTGATTGGTTGGTTGGTTGATTGTACTTATAGTTGTAGTTGTAGTTGTGGGGGTTGTCGTGTGTGCGTTTGTGTAGGTATTTGTGATGGTTGTATGGATGATAGGTAAAGGTAAAGGTAAAGGTAGGCGGGACTCACCAAAACGCTCCGTCAGCGAGAACGTGCTCGGCTGTTCCCAGGTATAGTAGTGTTGAACGACTGGCTTCAACTGAAAGCGCGAGACTCGAGCTCACCCCGTCCATAATACCGGCTTGACCGGCGCGCCAGGATTGGCAGCGACTGCTGGCCTGGTGGATGATGGTCATGCAAAGATGGTAGTTGAGGCGAAGGATGACAGAGTGCATGCTCAGGTTGGGATCGGGGGTCTCATGGGAGAAGGATAAAGTGGGTCTCCATTGCGGCGGGACGGAGAGACGCCAGCGCTCGAGTTCGTCGTCGAGTTCGCGGATGTGCTGGAGGATCTCGGCGTCGGTCTTTTTGCGGGACCGGAAGGAATAGAGAGCGCTGTAGGCGCGGGATTTGATGATGCTGAGTCGCAGGTCCATGGGGAATATGGGGGTTTCGGGGAGTTCGGCGGAGTGGTGGTGGAATGCAAGGCTGGTGTATAGTTCGTCGACGTAGCCCGGTGGCAGGGTTAGATCACAGTTTTCTTCGGAGAAGGGCTGCGCTTGTCCGGTTCGAAGGGAGACGTCTTGGTGAAGGGTGTAGCAGAGCCAAAATATATTGCGGAGGTGCGTCTGTACCCTGGAGTCTGGGTTATGGGATGATTTGGGATGCCACGAGGGTTGGTCAGAGTAGATGTGAGCACCCAGCATGAATATCATGCGGACAGCGATTGAGCCATAGTAGTCTGCAGATTGCAAGTTCCCGGCGACGAGCTCGATCAACGCCTGGAATGAGTTAGACAAACCCCAGGGTCGCGGTATACACTAGAGGCTAAGGCTAACTCACCAGCATGGCGACAGCCTGCAATCCATCTAATGTGGCATTCTCTTGCAGAACCTGTGACACAAGATACTGAGCCTTCACAGAACATGCTTCGCCGTCGAGGGGTGGGAAATCCCGCCGCTCTTTGTTGGAGCCCGGCGCAAGAACAAATATTACAAACGCTGCGAAAGCAAAGATGCATGCCTTGGTGCTACACTGCCCGTTGTTTGAGGGGTTGGAATGTGGTTGGTGATACGCAGCCTTAATCGTGTCTAAGAACAAGACCGGGTCAATTACAGGAAAGATGCGTCGCATCAGCGAAGTTCGATAGATATCCAATTCCATCTCCACGATGCTTCGATCCGGAAGTTCACGGCTTTGGAACGGCTGAAAGTCCGCTAGTAACGTAGTAGAATTGAAATTTCGCTGTCTTTCCCATGGTGCACGACCGGGGGCAAACCTGTCAAAGGCAAGCCTCTCACCGGTCCGTGACTGAACCCATTCTTGACCCTCCGGTAGGAGAAAAGGAATGCCTGTGAATAAGCTGATAACGCCTAGCTTGCGCCCAGCGAAGTGGAGTGGAACGGAAGACGACACAGATGATTGTGTGCGAGATAGCGGGCTGTCCGACCCCTCTATAGCCGAAATCATGGAACTAGCTTGGGTATTTTGCTGGCTCCGTTGTTGCGATATGAGAGATTCTAGGGACGTTAATTTCATACATATCACACTGGAGTATGAAAACCAACCGGGGTCAGGAAACCTATGGGTTAAAATCTTCTCAATCCTAGCGATACGCTCTGAGAGCTGATGCTTTGGGAGAGTAGAGCTAGACTACTGTTACCCTATGCTTGCATGCATCCAAGGAATGGTGGCGCACTCATTTACACGGGAGACAACTTTGCGTCCTCTCTTGATCTTCCGCTCAAACAGACAGGGAGTGTTGTGGTGACTACACCAGTTACACCTCGGAACAGCAGCATCACATTTGATCTAACAGACTACGGATTAGTAAAACAACAAGCAAGACTTTACAGACACGCAAGCAGTACCTTTCTCTTGTAGCAGGCGTCGCAGGCGCGGGTGGTCCGCTTGCTCAGCTGTAGGGTCTCATCTGCCGACCTTTCTACAGAGCTGGATGATGGGTACATGGAGGATCGATATTGTGAAAGTCATGAAGCTTTCGATATCAAATGTGTCAGATAAAAAGCTACTCATTCCAGAGGTTTCTGGGATGGATGTAGACCAGCAGTAGAGAGAAAGCTTCGACCGCGAAAATTGGTGGTTGGATAATAAGAGGGCTTACGGAGTACAACCCGGAGATAAGCTGGGCGTAGGTAGAAACTCGGAACGGATTAACCTCGGTGTGAGTTTCCACCTACGGAGTACGGAGTACAGAGTATAATAAGCTATATTCTCTAAGATTAATACTATACTGAAATTCTAAAGAATAGTAATGCTTACTATACTTGCAAGCATAGGCGGCATGCCCAGTTGCGTGAAATGAAATAAAAGGAAGTGATTCCATTCGATTCTCATGATAAAACAGAGGATCTAATTTCCGTACCGCTGTTTATACCGCAGCCGGGGATTTTGCCGGCAGAACCCGTTGCCAGAAGAGCTTACGGAATATACCTTAGGTACCTCTTTGACTTTGACTTGAACCAATCACACTTCTAACCGTCTGAAACTTGACTACCTAGGTAGAAGAGCAACTCTAAGAGCCCCGATTGATTGTTGTTGCCATATGGAAGATGGCCATGTACCTCGGAAGGATTATTCAGTCTGTTCCCTGCAAGCCCTCCCTACTCCCGGCAAAGTTACTCCCTACGAGAGCACACGCCCCATTATAAGCCGATACCAAATCGCCGCCAAAATAGGCTGGGGAACAAGTTCGACAGTATGGCTAGCGCGTGATCTCCACCAGTATGTGAAGATTATCTGATAATTGATCTAGTTATTCAAGCCTTGTCTTACTATGGCATAGGTGGCGATGGCTTCCGCCCCGATATGTGGCCATCAAAGTTAACGCAAACAATTATGCATCTCAAGAGTCGGCGGAGAAGGAGCTGCGCATTACTGAGCATATAACCAAAGCAAACCCCCAGCATCCAGGCCGCAACTTTGTCGCTACCTTGTGAGACTCGTTTCGTCGACCGGGGAAAAGAAACATCTCGGTATTTTGACGCAAAAGGTATATGTTCGCCGTGTCCTAACGAGACACAGCTAACTGATGTGATAGGACAATTTAAATTCCCCGAGCTCATCGGAAAAAAGGACCTGGTCTCTATGCTTAAGGGAATGGATGATGACGACGGAATGCCCCAGTTTGTAGACTTTATTTCTAGAATGCTGTGCTGGAGGCCCGGGTTCGGCCTCGAACTCCTGTTGAAGTTTTCTGTCATACTCCTTCTTGTCCGAAAGGTTGTCATTTGCGATGCGTCCCACATTCCTTTCCCAAAGAAATGGCATGACCAAATGGAAACTCTTCGAGATAATCCGCGCAAAATAGTGGTCGTATATGCTGCTTAAAAATCATGAACAAGCCGGAGGGGCTGGAGAGAGCCAGAGTATACCAAACAGTTCCTGTCGCCCATGTTCTACTCCTACTTTTCACAGTCTAAGGGGTTCAATGCTGAGAAGAAAACTATTCATTGTGACCATAGGCACGATGTTCTGAAAGCAGAGAGTGGATGTTTGTTTTTGAGAGATTCAATATACATAATTAGGCATTATAGATGCCTGAGGCATTGATTATTAGATCTAACATCATCATCAAACAGGGTATATATCCAAGACACATGTATGCATATACATCTGCCAGCTTAGACAAAATCACTCCTTCGCCGGCCAGTCTTCATCCGCCTGAGTCGCGCCGTAGCTTCCCCAGGAAACAGAGTCGATATACCCGCCATCTTCTTTCCATTTCCTTTCGTCTGCATGGTCGCTTGCTTCGTAACGTTTTGGACTTCATCCTCAGAAATATCAATGGCCTTTGGCGGTTTCGTCGACCGTCCTGCCGCCGCAGCCTCTGCAGAATTATCCAAGATCGCCAACACTGGCTTGGTGCTCGCCGATCCGCTGACTGGTTGAGGTTGCGAAACCCTGCGGTATACTTGCAAGAGTTCACGCCTCACAAGCTGATAGATCACGGAAAAGAGGACGATTTCAAAAATAGCTACAACCGGGATGTAATCGGCGGTGGTGAAGATCGACGACCAGAGCAGGGGGATGAGAAGTCGAGCATACATCAGATTGAGCAGTAAAGTGGGATGCTTGAACCGACCCCACATGAATATGGTCCATGCCATGCAGTCCACGAAGGTGAGAACGTACTTCTCCGGTATGGGAAGGTATTGGTGTAGGTAGATCAAGACTCTGTGCACCCATTCAATGCCGATCTGCGTACGGGTCGCATAATCGATCTTCTCGGAGCTTGATGGCTCAGCCCACGCTTTCCACCCCGCGCGAAGACAGGCCTGGCAGGCCATGGCGTCGGGAGTGTGTCTAGTACAGTTCGGAGAGCCGCAGTTGAAGTATTTTACAAGGTCGGCCTCAAAGGCTTTCAGTCGGTGATCCCAGAATGGTAGCAAAAGGCCGCCTTTACTGTACGGGGCGTGCTTCGCAAACCATTTAGCCCAGAACTCCAAAACATCGAATGCAGATTGTTCCCGCCCCCAGAAATACCCCCCATGCTGTGTGGCGCAGATACAATTTGGATCGTAGCTGAAATTCATCAGCTCCGCGTGCGCCAGTTTCTCCAAACGCTTGTATTCTCGAATAGGGGTCGCGGGCCTTCGATTCATGCCCCAGAAGGAGAGGCTACAGATACTTCGGTGCTCGTTCGCCTTCCTCGAGGCATTTTTGGAGCTCCCGATCTTGTAGAACTTACTGCGACCGGTCGGATCAGCCAAGACATAGGCAAAGCCCTGACTGGTAGGGTTCGATTTCATGCGTAAAACATAAGCGACTTCGGCAAAGACATCCTCGATCGGCAGTTGTGGAAAGACGATTGATTCGTCATGGCCGACATCCAGATCCTCATCGGACACTTCAGAGTATAAATCGGTCATATCTGCGGGATGCGAGTAACCGAATGGGACGGTACGTGGAATCGCCTCGATGATATCGCTCTCCAAGTCCTCTGGTTCTGTATCGTGGAAATAGCCGGGAAGATTGGCGTCGCTCACCACAGGATTGGCATCAAAGGTGCCCCAATGCCCCGCGACCGGCCGGAGCGATTGTCGTCTTATCATCTCAGGCTGTTTGGCTACCCGGACGACCTGAGGGGCAGGGCTCTTCTCGCGCTGCTGGTAAGTCGGGTAGACGAGATGATCTCGCGGGGGGTTGAGATTCGGAACACCATCATAGACGGGAATATCGAGAAACGACTCGCGATCATTGTCCGGTGTCATGAGTTGATATCGTGGGTTGGAGGGAGGCCCCGTCGAGGGCCGACGTCTACTGGTCATGACGATGATTGTTGCTGGCGTATGGCATGAGACCAAGCGCTTTTCGACGTGAGTTTATGGGGTGTAGCGACGCGAGAATGGTTCCTTTTCAAAAGGAAGTTGAATTTTGGACAGAGGAAGACGAAGTCGGTAATATCATTCAGATGGTGTGTAAGTAAAGATGGTCGAAATTTCATCTCCAGCGCGTCTGCTTGACGCAGTCAGCCCAGGCAACCTTTCTTTACACAAGCCTCTTTTTCTCGCCTGCACCACCACCCCCACCACCACCACCACACAGAAATCGAGACTGTGATCTCCATCCTGGTCCGGAGGTGCAGTAGCTCGAACAATGGTCACCAGAACCAACATGTGATGCTCCTGCCAATCGTCTCAATTCGACTTAGTTTCCGAATCCTGAAGCTTTTCATTTGCTCCAGGCCGCAAAGCCACACTCCGATGGGCCTCACGTTATTGGTGACTGAGAACTCGGGAAAAGGTCTAAGAATGCGTACCACCCGTGGCTAGTCTGGAAGGAAGACGCTGATTTACGATAGGTGGTACGGAGTACGGAGTAGGGCCTGCGAGCGAGCCTAGTTATACATTCGATAGACGATGGACAGACACTCCACTTGACGTCAGAGCCGTCTGGTACAGATTTGGGAGGATCCAAGAAGATACAAGATACAGACAATCTGACAAATGGATTGTTTACGACAAATATTGTCAGGTTTCTATATACGGCAGGTTAACGCACGTTGTATTCTTAGTTCCTGAGCTGACCCATGGATACACCCAACGTGCATTAAGGTTAATTTGGGACTTGCGGCGGATGAGGCTCATTGATCTATAGATACTGGTTGGTTCGAGGCTGCGTTTTCTAACTATCATCACTGGAGACCTTGACGGTCTCTTACCAGAGACTGATCTTTGCATACATCGCAAGAGACAAGAACCCCGGGGCTGAATTCATGCATCCCACCAAGAATATGATTCAAGAAGAGATGAACTCTCGCGCGAATCGAACATTTCTGCACCAATACTGAGCTGATCCCTTGACCTCCTCTGGTTGTGACTACCTAAACAGACATATTCTAAAGATTAGCCATGCCCGTAACCACACACAAAAGCAGAAATGCCCGGAACATATACCTATCTACCTCACATCACAGAGCAAATGCAACAGTCGCATTCCTCGTCGCCGCAGTCACACCCAAAACAGGGTTTTGAGACGGTCTTGATGGGTTTCTTGATGGATGAGCCGGAGCCGGAGGACGGAAGGATCCAGTTGATGGGAGAGGAGACGGACGACGCAGCCATATTCTTTCTTTCTATCCAAGTCGTAGAAATAGAGGATATAGTAGTAGTAGGAGGAGGAGGAGGAGGAGGAGGGAGATCAAGCAGAGAATTAATTCTACAAAAATGACGATGACGATGACCAGGCAATTGGAGCCCAATCAGTCAACCGTCGACTGCCAAGGGTCGAAACCGGGCCTATCATTACGAAAACAGAGGAATGTCGGTCAACACTCAAAGCACACAAAGCAGGACAAGGAATCCAAGTGTTTTGTTTCCAAAGCTCTACATGTAGATCTTCGCAAAAAATTCATAAATAGCTATTTACATCAAAGCTTTTGTTCTTGGTTTGGTGGTGGTTCCCATTCGTAAATCATTTGTCTTCGACGTTGTTTTTCATCACACATCTCGCAAGGAGGGTTTAGGCCGCGTTGCGCTCCGGGGTATCTTTCTAACAGTCATCCGTAATATTTTTTTTTGGTTCCAGTCTATCCATTAAGAGCTTGTTTATATCTTCTGTACGTCATTAGCGGTTTGGTCTTTACAACTGCTCAGCCCAAGGGGCGACGCCAGGTTGCATCTGGTTCAACCACTTGACGAGCTCAATAAGTTCGGCACGGCGCTCGTCCTCGAGCTGGTCCGCATCGCCGCAGAGGACAGTCTGGAAGATAGGCAGGAACTGGGGGGTCAATTCCCGAATGGTAGCATCTTCCCACTTGTCTGTGGTCCAGTTAGTTCGGGTCTTGATAATCACCATAGATATAGAAGAGTAAAACTTACACATCTGGCAAATCATGCGGTACAGAGGATCATTCTCCTCATAATCGTTCTTCAGAGGCAGGATAGAAACGAGGACGGGAAGGACCTCCTTGATGGGGATATTGTCACGATGGCGGAGGATCATACGGCTGAGACAGCCAGTAGCGTTGTCCTGTAGGCGGGAGACATCCTGGTGAAGGCACTGTTCGAGTCTGCTTAGAATGGTGGGGAACTCTTTGACGATTTCAGAGTTGGCGTTCGAGTGCTCGATAAGACGACCGACAGCATAGGCGGCGTTCGACTTGGTCTGAGGATCCTCGTCGCTCAAACGGTGGACCAGGAGCTTGAGGAAGGCAGGGGTGAACTGAGTACAGGCGCCACCCATACCGTTAATGCACTCAGCGAGAACACCAACAGCCGTTGCACGCTCAATGGACTCGGTACTGCCGGCATAGCGCAGGATAGTCTTCTCGAAGACCTTCCATAGCTCTGCAAAGCTTTCACCGAGAGCTGCAGCCATGCCGGAAACAACATCAAGAGCAGTGTCGACGACAATCCAGTCGAACTCAGAGGTCTCCTCACCCGCATCGGCAGTCTCGTCCTCGGGAGCGAACTCGAGCTGACAGGGGTGCTTCTTGGTGATGATGTCGGTGACCATCTGAATGACGTTGTGGAGAGTGGTTTCATCAGCGATGAGAGAAGGACCGCAGAAGCGGAGGTTCTCAGCCATGTTGCGGTTGATGTCAGCGACAGTGGATCTGGGGATTGACTAGTTAGTAATCCGCCAAAAAAAAAATATATACCAAGAAAATGTAAATCAAATGAGAAAAATTGGGGCTGATCAGGACAGATAATCGTCGTTCACATCAATCACGCTTTGCGTGTCAAAGTGAGCTGGGTTAAACGAGTGATATCATCATTTCAAGCCAAGCGAGAGAAAATGGATTCAAGGATGGGATGGAAGATTAGAATCAACGTACCGGTCATCTTCTTCGGTCCACATCTTGATGGTAGCGGTCATCAGGATTTCGCCGAATTTCTTGACTTCCTTAGCGGGCTCGACCTGGAGGGGAAGACCAGGCTGCCACTTGCCCATCTGGCCAGTCTCCTCGGCGATAGAGAAGAGCATAGCATAGGAGCGGTGCATGGTGCTGATGGTGCTCCTGCGGACACCTTCATAAGGATGCTCTGCGAGGGGCATAACCATCTCAATAGTCTTCTCAAAGTAGGGAAGATAGGCGCTCTTGGTGTGAGTGATGAGATCGCCGATAACGTCGACGGCAATTTCCTTCTCGAGGGCAAGGGGAGTGGTAGCAGTAATATCGTCCCAAGCATCATCGTCATCGAGATCAACATCCTCAATCTCACCATCCTCACCGACTGGCTCATCGTCATCATCAGCGCTGGCAACCTTCACCTTGCGGCCGGCAACAGTCACCTCCTGGCCAATGAGGTCCTTGGCGGCCTCGCCGAGAGAGAGTTCAAGGTCATCATCATCCTGCTCGAGGCAGTTGAATAGACCCTTGACAGCACCGTCGAGGAAAGCAGCAAAGTGCTCAGCATACACCTTGGCCATAGCGGCCCAGAAGAGGTATGTGCTCTCCTTGAGACGGGAGTGACCCAAGTGAAGAGCCTCCTCGGTAGCACGCATGAGGGGCTCAACGTAAGGCTGGTAACGTTCAGGGCCAGCGGCAGCAGCCATCTCACCCATAGCATCAGTGACGCTGGCACGAAGGTCGAGTTCCTCCTCGCTATCCTTGACAGCAGCATAGTCCTGCAGGAGGTGCATGGACTCATCAAAGAATGGCAAGAAGGAATCGCCAGCTGAGGAAGCAAGGGAGCCAAGAGCTCCGGCTGCGAGACCCTTAATTCTGAAGTTGGGGTGCTGGAACAGCTTGTGAAGGATGGGGACCAGTTCGCTCTGGTAAGGAGCAACCTCCTTCTCGTCCAAGCCGTCGACAACAGCGTCAATCGCGCTGATGCCAGCCTTCATGATATCAATGATAGGGCCTTCCTCCTCACCCTTGTACTCCTGCATGGCACTGGCGACGTTCTTGAAGAGCAGAGGCATCAGTTTCTCGTGCTCACGGTTAAGATCCTCAGTGAGATCATCGGCCAAGCGGGCAACGGTGTGCAGAGATGCCTGGCGAACCTTGGGCTCTGGGTCTGCAAGGAGTTGCAGGACCATGGGGAAGATCTCCTTCATCTGAGTGCTGATAAAATCAGGAGCACCCTCGACGACCATTCCAAGAGCCAAGATACCAGCGCGGCGGTAGTCGGGATTGCTGTTGTTGAAATACTGACCCAGAGAGTGCAGCAGAGGAACAACGACCTGGCTAGGCGGCAAGCTTTGGGCAAGCATGTCGAGAAGACCAAGAGCAGAGCGGGCAGGAGTGATATCATCGTCGCTCGGAGAAGCATCTCCAAGTTCGGTAACGATCTGGAGGGCGGTGCGGGTCAGCTGCTCACCAAGACGCATGCCCTGGATCTTAAGCTTGCGGTACTGGATACACTGCATCAGGAAGCTGATGGCCTGAGTGCGGGTATCCTCATCGATCTCAGTGTTGGCAGAAATCTCGTTCATGAAAACCACCAAATCTTTCAGGTAGACAGTCAAGAGAGCGGGGTCGAAGCCGAGCAGGGTCTGGAAGACCTCGAAGGCCTGCATGATGCGGTCATCCTCCTGCTGATCGATGGCATCTTTGAGAACGGCAACCATAGAGGGAACAAGGTCCTGGAATGCCTTCACAGGGGCCTCGTTCTCTGCAGAGTCAAGGTACATAGCCAACTTGCTCAACGCTAGAAGTGTGTTGATACGGACCTCGGGGCTCTCGGGATCGCGAATGGTCTTGCCAAAGAGGTTGAACAAATCCTGGAACTTCTCCTCGAAGCCCTCACCAAGGGTTTCGAGGATAGTAAACAGAATGTAGACAGCCACAGCTCGCTCATCCTTGTTGCCTCCGTCGGCGGCGCGCATCAGGAAGTTGGGCAGGTCAACCCACTCGCCATCCTGGAGGTCCACCTTGGCCACGGCAGAGATGACCCGGGCAACAGAATGGCGGACCAGATCATTGCTCTCACTCACACCGGAACGCAGCAATTGCTCGCGGATGGCGGGCTTCTGGCCAGCCTGGACCTTGACCCAGTGCTTGCTGACCAGAGAGCGAGCCTCCACGGCAGCTAGTTGTCTTAGATTTGCATCTTCGTGTCCAGTAGCGACCTGGATGAGGAGGACAAGCGATTCAGGGTACTTGTAGTACTCACGTTGAAGGATGCCGGTAGCTTCCTTAACGTTGCCCTGGGTAGCTAGAATGGTCCTTGTGAGCACGACGATGCCAGAGAAGACTGTGTGATTTACAGCAGATGTAGGAAACACTCACGGTTGAGGACAATCTGCAGCTGTTGCAGAAAGCGTTGCTGATCCATAATGGAATGGAAGAAATTTTTCACCAATTTTCAACCAAAAAAAAAAAAAAATGTGGGGGGTGTATCCCTAGGCCTCAACAAATAAAGAGGGGCCTCGTAAAAGGGACTCAGAAGGCCGTCTGCACAGAGACAGACAGCACAAGGGGTATCACAAAATATGAACAGAAAGGAAAAGAGAAAAAAAGAACAAAAGGAAAGAAAAAAGGGGGAAGGGGAGAGATGAAAAGAAGAAGAAGAAGAAGAGTTGAGGAGGGGAGGCCCAAAGATTAAGAAGAGACGAAAGAGAGAGAGAAAAAAAAAAAAAATTTAGGGGAAGCTTAAAGTCTTGGCAGAGTCATGTGAGGGCTCCACCTTTTTCACGGTCGTCTTGGGATAACTTCATTTACTTCCATTCTACTACTTCCAGCTTTGCTTATTGACGAATTCTTGCCTTTAAGAGGGGATGTTATGTATCTTGTGATAGCCGAATCCTTCTCACCTTCTCAAATCCACTTAAGCATGGCAAACCAATTCCGCGATAAAACATGGCGGTATCGCAACGTCTTTGTATACTTCCCCAAGGAGCTTTTCCGTATAGATGACGGTCCGCGAATCCAAGTCAAAGTAAAGAGCAGGTACCGGAGATCTGGACGTGGCATTGAGATATTGAGCGACAGATATGGATATGTCCGTCCGAAGGCCTTGAACCCGCTCACATACCAATGTAAGAAGTCGTCTCTTCTTCTCCCCCAGGCTATATCTGAAGCAGTATATCTAACTCGCGGTCTAGTCCCAAATGGATTATCGGTCCATCCAAACACAGCACGCCAACAGACATTCATCAAGAACTACTCTGGCGAGGCGCTCCATATATACTCGATTCCTGCGGGTCTGTCCCGCCCTTCCCAACTCTGGCGGGCCTGATTAACATTTTCACTCTAGGAACTATGCTCCCAGAGAAACTACTCCTGGTTCATGACGCGGAAGATCACTACTCTATTCAACCGAGACGACATATGAGATTGAGAGGTGAGGCATCATTCCCCGAATCCTCTGCATCCTAGAGTTTTCGCTCACTTACTGGCTGCTCATCCAGAGTTCCATGACACGCTGATAGAGCTCTTTCGAAGGAGCTCAAAGTGCTTCACGCAGGATGAGTGGTTGGCGGCGTACCCAGAACCCACAGACCAAGACGACCTCAAATCGTATTGACATCTGGGAAGAGATTCCTTGGCGGCTTCGTAAGCTTCGTGTATTTTAACTATATTTACTCTACTCCTTTGATATACCCATATATTAGCGCTATACTCATAGTCATTCTCCCATAATTACTAACATCTCAAATCCAACCTCTTCTACACGTTACCCCAATACAGACATCAGAGCACGGCATGGATAATAAATAAAACCCGCCATCGTTAATCAATAATCTGTCTTGCTCTTACATAACAACTGGGGCTAACAAATAAGATAAAGCAAGGGTATCCTGTTCTTGCTATCCAAATGAAAAATTCCGCTCAATAAGAATATCGGGATAACCAAGGCATCAAGAAATCAAACTCCAATGCTGCCTAATGCTCCTGGGCGCGCCGTAGTCTAACAATAATCATGGGATAGGGGATGCATATGATGCATATATAGATTGGTAACGCGCCATCTTTGTCATTCGTATGCAGCTAAACGTGGCGACATGGAAACTGGACATATAGGATGGTTCAATTGCTGCGCACCAGCGCAGAGTCATAGCTAGTACTCGTCTGAGTCGTAATCATCGTCAACTAGCAAGGATCGGTAGCCTCTGGAAGCAAGGTTTTCTTCCAGGCCCCCGTCAGTTTCGGGGCCCGCGTAACCTGGTTAGCTGGTTAGCAAAATGGTCTATGGGAGTATTTGGTGCAAGGGTAGAGAAGATGTACCGTCCCCGCCAAAGTAGCTCAGAGCTACGGGCAAAAAAATGAGCGCATGTGTTGCGGCAAAAATGATGAGTGCTAGCCACACCCGAAAATAATAAATCTCAAAGATTTTGCTTCGAGTAAATGCTAGGACACAGACTCCAAGTAGCTTGGTCACGGTGATTCCGCTGAAGACACTTCCACCAACATTGACCAACGCCGTCCAAGCGCGAGCATCCTTGCCGCGGAATTTCGTAGGCACTGTCTCCATGATGGAACGAGACGGGAACATGAATGCTCGGGCAATGTGTGCGCAGAACTCGACACTAATTCCGACACAGATCACCAAGTTCACAAGTGACACGGCATTTAACGACACACCAGCGATCGCCATGGAGCCGATAATGTCTACCACAATCATGACAACGGTAGCCGTAACCACCGCTCCTGTGGCGACCGAGCCGAGAAGAATGGAGGTGATGGCAAAAATAATTGCCACTGCAAACCCAAGTAAGGTCCCTGTGAGCTGCACAATGGACACATACTGGTCAAAGAATATGTAGGTCTTGGAATATGGGAACACGTCGATGCCGAAGTCATCCGAAATACCCTGTGCAATGCGTCGGGCTGAGATGTAGGATTTGATAAAGTCATCCTGAGTTCTGAGTGGGGTGTGGGATGTCCTGAAATGACTTGCGTTGGTCATGGTTCGTTTGGGATCGACAACGAGGGCGTTGCTGTATGGCGCCTTCCCACCAAGTGGGCATGAGGCGTCAGTGGGCGACTCGATCCATTTTTCAACGTAGCGAATGAACTCCTCTCCTTCTGGCATGCCGTATAAAGTGATGTTCCAGGCAGGAGTTCTATCCTCAAAGCATAGCTTCCCATCTTCTTTACAGCAGTCCTGCTGGGGGTTAAGCCAGTAGAAGAAGTCGTCAATCCAACTAGCTGTGGAGCCAGAGATGTACGAGACATTTGGTCGTTTGGATTCTTGCTCTAGCACAAATGGCAGGGAAAATTCCTCGCAGGTGGTGAATCGTCCACAAAGCTGCTGTTGGTGCTGTCTTTCGGTTAAATTCACATTCCGGGTCACAAAATAAACAGGAGGACCACTTCCAAAGTAATCGCTCAAATCATTGAAATACTGAATCAGGTAGGAATCACTGGGAAGCGCAATACGCTGGTCTAATCCAAGAGCCACCCCTGGAATCAAGGCTAGTCCTGCTGTCAAAATGCCCAGGAAAACGATCACTACCACAACCTTGACTCTGCGATCAAGGAGGTTGGATGCATAAACCTTCCGGATGACTTTTTGAAGGGCACTCTCTCCATCTTGATCATCAAAGACGCGGTCCTCAGACATGCCAGAATGTGCCTTGCGCACGGTGAGACACGGTATGCAGTCAGCACGGAGGCTCTCGACGCGTTTTTGATTTAAAGCGAGAACGGAAATGAACATCGTGACTTGTAAGACAGCATTGATGAACACGGCACCAGCGGCATATATAGCAAAGTTTCTCACGGCGGGCATTCCGACAAAGACCCCCATTGCGAATGCAACAGTCTCTGTAAGGGCAGAGAGGAAGATACTAGGTCCAATTCGACCTACTGCCCTGGCGATGCGTTCATCGATTTCTTCATCAGGATGGCTAACATTCAATCTCTCGAACTCATGGACGATCAAAAAGATATTGTCCACTCCAACAGCTAGAACGAGGAAAGGAATCACCTCTGCGATTATCAAAGTCACTTTGATACCAGCCGCAGAAAAAAGCCCGACCGACGCGGATACTGACATGAGGACGATGACAATACCCACGATACCAAGGGTGAATTTAGATTGCACAAGGGCGTTGGCGGGGTTTGTAGTCAAAGACTTCCAAGTCACTGTCACCGAGCCCAAGGCTAGGGATGCATACATAAACATAATGATATAACTGATGACTACGATTTTGGCATCAGTGTTGGTAGACTTATTCAGCTCCTGCTCAACACTTGCTTCGGCAGTGAAGGAGACACGGAGTCCGCGCTCCTCGGCTTCTGCTTGCACATCATTCAGGATGCGCATGAAACTGTCTTCCCAGTCGACGGCGTTGCTCTCGCCTTCTGAGCCCTGTGCGTGGTTATTCACGACCCACGTGACGATAAGAGCCTTCGCATCGAGGATGTTGCCGGAATCCTCATAGCCACCCAAAATCATTTCCGGTTTTAGCGGTTGCTGGAACTCTGGAAGGCAGCTTACATCGCCGGGTGATTCAACGCAATGTTGCAGCCTGTCCTTCCAGGTATCGGGATCGAGGTTGGACGCGCCACCAAAATAACCCGTCACAGATTGAACCACGCAAGCATCCCCAGTTGGTTTAAAGCAAATATCATCAAGAGTGAGTCTTCGATGCGTAGAGACCATGCGGCGGACTCGTGACTCAACGCCGAACCACCAATTTAACGTATCATAATCCAGAACCCGTCCGTCATTGTAACTGGAATTATCATTTACAAGGAAGGCTTGTTCTGCACGATAAAAAGGCCCGAAGTTGTCATCAAAAAACTGCTTCTCCTGAGCCGCAGCCGATGTAGGGCTCACCCATAGCCGCACTGGGTCCGTCTCTACGGCGAATCGAAACCAACCCAAGCTTAGTAACGCGACCAACAAAACACTCGAGATGATGGTCGTGGCGGGAAACCGAGCGGAGGCCGATCCGATCCGATTGAACATGGTGTCCAGCATCGAGTTCAGTTTATACACGCCGCGGGGATACTCCAAGTGGCCGCCGGAGTGGACTATATCCCCTTCGTCCTCATCATCACTCGGAGTTGGATCTTGCAAGAGTCGCACCCTTTCAGGTTTCCGATACCGCCGTTCTCTGTACGTGAAGTAGCCCGAGAGCGCTGTGACAGCGAGCAGGAAAACGGAGTAAATGAGAATAACGGAAAACGAAAGGCAAGGTAAAAGCCCGACGTGGCAGTTTTTGTCCAGTTTTACTGGCGGAAGATCAGGACATACATCTGGGCAGTCCACGCACGAACAGCGGAATGTCGGGTCCGGATCATTGCACGCCTTTGGATGGAGCGGCAAGGGTTTCATGCCCTGGGGATCCGCGGCAGGCGGTTCAGTATGGTAGTTGATCTGAAAAGGACTTCCCAAAAATTTCTTATCGCCCAGAAATTTCAAGAACTGGGTGTAATTTTTGGCCCCGCCTCCGATGAAATCCATCGCCTTCCCACCAGAAGCACCATTCTTGACATTCTTGCAGCTGTCATAAAACCCGCTTTGGTACTCTTCGGACCAAACATTGTCCAGTTCCGTCACTCGATACTTCCCGGGGCTAGCTTGTTCAGTTTGCGTGACGTTGATGAACAGCGATTGATCTGGTGAGCAGGTAAATGTGCAGAAGATGTCAAAGAAATTCTCTCTACACGCAGGGCAGGACGAGATGATTCCCTCGGCGAGCTTCAAGTTCTTCGCAAGAGCATCGACCTAGACATCCGGATCTTTAGAGACAACCCTTTACAACGCAACCGGATAGCACGCGATCTCTTACCTGCTCTTCTAGGCAGCACACCGGCCCTTGCTCCCATTTACTGCCGCAAAGATTCACTAATTTCTCCCTCACCGCCGCGTCGGGATCCTTTGCAAGACCGTTGTCGGAACATGGAAGCTCTCCGCCAAAGAATGACTGCTTACCACAGTGGCCACGGATCGCACATCGACCTTCTTCATGGATCTTCGTGTCACCCTGGGCGAGTGACTGCGGAAGAAAGCCGAGGCCCGCAACAATGGGGAAGAAGCGGAGTCCCCGCATGATGCCAAAGACCAGGGATTAGAGATCGACTTCTAAGACAGTCATCCAAATCGATTAACGATAGGAAATAAAAATGAGATGGAGTCAGGGGGGATGAAAGATGATCCAGAAACGAAGGTGTGGTAGTTGTGTTGGTTAAAAAAGAGATGGAATGAGGATGGAGTGGAATGATGGATGACGACGGGAGGACGGGATGGAGACGGTTGACGATACATACCCCGGCCTGAGGCGCCGAGGCTAATGCCAGGCACCCACTTCCTCTCAACCCTGAGGGTTCGAATCCTGCCCTTGTCAATTCTTTTTCTTTTCTGCTTCTGCTTCTGCTTCTGCTTGAAATACTTCTTATATCTAGCCATAATACACTGAAAAAGACGATAATAATATCATTTGATTCCTATTTCTTCAAGGATGAAAGGTACATCTCATGGAGACATCAGAACTGAATTCCAACCTTGAGCAGCCCTTGTCCTGAAGGATTCTGAAAGCTCTTATAAGCCTCGCCGATTTCCGAAAATCTATAGTCTAGACCCGGGATTTAGCAGTAGCAGGGCCGCAATGACTGATGGAAGAAACACTTACGGTGCGTCAGTAGCTTGGAAGGATCGAGCTTGCGGGCACCATATAGTTGCAGAAGCATCGGAATCGTCACAGTGTCTACCAAGCGTGTCTTGATGGCTAAAAATGACATTGAGTGACGAGTAAACATGGAAGACAAGCTCTACTTACTAATGTTGTGTTCCCAGAGGCGATCCAGAGCCAAATCTACCTTTTGTCCATGGACCCCGATGTTCGCGATTGCACCACCGGGAGCTACCAGGGTTTGGCAGAGCTCAAAGGTTCTCGGAGTACCAACGGCCTCAATCACTGAATCAAACCCCTCATCTCCGACCAGACTTTCCAGCTTCAACATTGAATCCTTTTTATCGGGGTTGAAGACCTTATCGGCCCCGAGTCTCTTGGCGTGGGCGAGCCTGGACTCATCTACATCAAACATCACGAGGAGCGACGGCGTATATAACTTCGCTGTCAGCAGGGCGGCCAGTCCCACGGGGCCTGCACCCACAATGGCAACCCGACTGCCTGGCTGCACGCTAGCATTGGTTGTGCCACATTCAAGACCGGTAGGCAGAGCATCGGAAAACGAAACGCAAGCCTGCATATCCGCATCCTGGGGGAGCTTGTACAGAGACGAAGCCGCATGTGGAATCCGGACATACTCGGCCTGTGTCCCGTCAAGCACACTTCCTAGCATCCAGCCGCCAGAACGACAGTGTGAATTTAGACCCTTTCGGCAAGAGGGACAAACTCCACAAGAGCTAATGCAGGAAATCAAGACGATGTCCCCGATGGCCAACCCGCGGACAGCGGATCCCAGCGATTCGATCATTCCAATGCCCTCGTGGCCGAGAATTCTCCCCGGTTCGACGACTGGAACGTCTCCTTTCAAGATATGGAGGTCTGTTCCGCATATGCTCGTATAGAGCATTTTCAAGACTGCATCGGTAGGTGATTCGACTATGGGTGCAGGTCGATCTTGGACCTCGCACTTCTTTGATCCCACATAAACAAGTGCTTTCATTGCGGCCTTTCTTTTGGAGGATGAGGATGAGGACGCTTTCGGAAACGAACAGCCAAGGACAGTCCTCTGTGTGCATATTTTGATGATCCCGACAGGGTTTAAATGTCGAAATACAGCTCAAGCGTTAGACGTCATACTTTACATCACGCAGATGACATTTTCACACTTGAATCCCTCTGGAAGAAGCTGCCGACCGATTAACACAGGGTGAGGCGTCAAGTGTGTTATGGTTTTCGGCAATCCATTCCACGCAGACCAGATTGTCTTTCAATCCATGGTTCAACCAGGAGTGGGCTCACTTTGAATTTCGGGTCCTAACTCATCTACTCTTAAGATAGTATATATCAGATATCTTGATCTGTTGACTCAGATTCTACTAAACAGAATAGTGAGCGAGGAGAGGGAGATACCAGATTAGGCACCCAATTAACTAACTAGTGAACTAGAACCTGTAAAGTAGGATCCATCGCTGTTTATTCTTTGGATTTAAACTGTGCTTGGAAATGATGATATCCGCACCATGATATTCAATAAGAAACACAGTTCAGAATCATGACGCAAGTACACAAGAGGTGCCTATTTCCTATTATTCTAGTCTGCTAACCAATCGCCTCAGCTAGTATGTTGAAGCCAAGGCTCATCCAGTAATTGTTTTGGCATTAACCGATCACGAGGGTCGATTTTCATCATGCTTTTCAAGAACATAATGAACTCTGCCTTGTCATCCCCGGCCAAACTCTCAATCCAATTCTCCAGCATGGCTTCTGGCCTAGGGATCGGATCGCGAATTCTCCCATTCTCGTCAAAGAATTCATCAACTACTTCTTTCTTGCCCTGCGCCAGTAGCCACGAGGGAAACGGCCCAAAAAGCGCCACCATTTCTTCCAGGTGATGCTTGGTTTTATAGACTCCTCCAGTTTGCGCTGCTCGGCCATCAACCATTCGTACTGCGTCCAGAACTTCAAGTAAGACCGCGCCAAGGTTCCAAATATCAACCGGAGCTCCCCACGGAGCCCTGAGGATCACTTCCGGTGCTCGAAGAAGCACCGGCTGTATAACCTCAGTGAGGTGGTTGTCAGTCCAGCTGGCGGCGCCCCAGTCACAAAGAGCAACATCAAGGTCCATCAGATTACTGGATTCTGGGATAGTCAAGTATTTATCAATGATGGATAAGTCGGAAATTTGGATCATAACATTTCGGGGTTGGATGTCTAGATGTTCTTAGCATTCGACCCCGCTTGAATGTCGGGGTTGCTTACCTGTATGGATAACTCCCGACCGGTGTGCGTAATCTAGAGCCAGGAGGAGAAGTTGCTTGGTGAAGCGTTGGATGATGGGACTTGGAACCTGACACTTCGGAAACAGGGTACCAAAACTTGCCAGGGTTTCTCCCATAGGCTCCAGCACAAGGCATACATGGCGACCGTTGGGGCCAACATGTTCAAATGAGTCAACCAGCGTGGGGATATAGTTATCGATGTCCTGGATCGTCGGGGTCGAAGTCGTGTAACCGGTGCAGGACTTCCAATTCGAATAGATCATTAGATCCACCGTAACATTCTGCGCTGAGAATCTTCAAAGCCTTGTAACAGCAGCACCTTGATTTCAGGTAAGCAGGCATACTTCAGCTAGGTCGTTACCTCGCATGCTCACCTTTGGTCTTCCACGAGCCATACCGTCGAGTACCGGCCGTAACCCAGTTTCCTGAGGACCTTATACCTACAATGAAAAATGTCCCCCAGATGGACGGGGTGAAACCCGTTGGGATGGTAAGAATGCAGGCCTTCTTCAAAGGATTGACCAGCCATCGCAAAATGAATGTTGATGTATGAAAGAAGTGGTTGGCCACAAGTAATCATGTAACTCGCAGCCTACCACTAGCCTCTAATTTCGGATATATTGTACTATAACTATTTAAACAGCTCTTCTGTATTCATAATCAGCATGTAGGTTACTTCTGAACTTTCTGATCTACTTCCACTGTCTTTGTCCTTCTCTTGACCGACAGCCCTGCCGAATTTTACTGGTTCTACCATGGGCTGAGCAGGGCAAACAAAGCCAGGTAATAATAACACAACCTTGAGAAATAACCCAGCCAAGCGAATTCTAATATTCATATTCTGTTCCCTCGAGAACAAATTTAGCATGCCTGAAGTCTGGTTGGTTGGGAGATGCTACTTCCGAGCCAGAACCCTAGTTCTATCCCCATGGTCTAGGCTTCCGTTTGCCCGCGGTCATCCAGCTGCAGCTCATGGCCTGACCATATGCAAAGAGAATGCAGAAAATAGAGGATTTTGATCCGTTCTTCTACTGTGATGTCATGAGCTCGAGTGTTCAGGGGTGGTGTGACAGTCGACATCCCATAACCCAATGATACCATTTTATATATAGAGTCTGTCATGGTTTAAACCAACACCCAGCGAAGCCTGAAAAAATTGATTTATCCTACCAGCCCCCCCCCCCTTAGACAACTGTTCAGATTTATCACGATGGATTCATTTAACGGAATCTCAGACAACCTCTACCACATAATCCTCACCACGTCCCACATCCAAAAGAATCCCAACAATGTGGTCGAAAAGGTCCGTGTTCCCGGTACCTACACCTCGCTCATGACAGCCAAGGCAGCGGCCCATAGCTGTCTCTACGAGGCCGGATACGAAAGAGACTGGTTCGAAGTCTACGAAACTAAGATCGAGGCCATTGCGGGAGAGGCACAGAGAGGCAATCTCCCGGAGCGCAGAGGGTTAATGGTCTATGCCATCGCTCCCGATGGGACAACCTTCCGAGTTCGAATCAACACCACGGCCAATGATAAGAATCTCACCAGTGACCTTCCGGATGGCCGGATCTCGGTACCGCTGTACTATGTCATCCAAGCGAACGTTGAGTACAGTGGCGATGAAGGGAGCCTGGTGCGAGATATCAATGTGGAAGGAACATTCACTTCTTACGACGAGGCGAGGGAGTTTGCGAGTGGCGTGCTGCTGTCTGCAGAGGATGGCATCACGAAAGAAAGCTTTGCAAACTATACTGAGGCAGCGCCGAGTGAAACGGACTGTGGGTTTGGAGAGAATGTCATTGTGCATGCGGCTTCCGAATATGGGACGAATTATATGGTGACTGTCATTAAGAACCAGGAACTCCAGGCTGTGAAACTGGCAGAAGCGGCGATGAAAATCCGCTGAGCTTGTACCTCTGGCAGTCAAGCTTGACTCGTAAATAATTAGCATAGTTGGGTGTCATTAATCGTATGTAAATCACAATGTATAGCTGAATATATGTGTGTAAAGAGGTAATTGATAGCATTCTGGAGGTAAGAGACTCGGATATCGAGGTAGACTATGTGAATATATCCAGATTTAACTCCATTCCAGTATCTGATCTAAAATCCGGTTCTTGTATCAATTCACCTTCAACCTGTTAACTCCGACCTCCGCCAAAACTCCGCTCCTTCATCCATTCATTCATTGCCAGTAACACAATGTTGCTCGAGTACAACACCAGGAGGTACTTATATGCTATGTCTCGGATGCCCCTCTTCTGCTTACTTCTCTCATCATCATCACCGAGTCCACTTTCTCTCTCCCCCAGTTTCACGCATCATATATCATGTCTCAGCCGAAGGTCTTCATCACTGGTGCAACAGGCTTCATTGGCCGCGTTGTCACTGAATTCGCAGTGAAGGAAGGATACGATGTCCGTGGTCTCTCGCGTCGCGAGGAAGGCGACGCGCTCCTGAAATCTCTCGGGGCGACGCCCGTCCGGGGAGACCTAGACAACCATGAGCTCCTCACCCAGGAGAGCAAAAACGCCGATATCGTTCTCCATCTCGCCTTCAACCATGACTTCTCCAAGCCATTCGACCAGCTCGTGGCCCTCGAAATCAGCGCTGTGACTGCGCTCGCCCAGGGTCTCGAAGGAACAAACAAACCCCTAGTCGTCACCAACGGAACAGCCTTCGTCAAGCCCGACCCGAACGGCGACGAAACCGACGAGACTGCCCCTGTTGCAGATCTCGCCCTCGGTCATCGCCAAGTAGCCGAGGAGCACGCTTTCTCCTTCGTGGCCAAGGGCGTGCGTGTGGTCTCCATCCGTCTGCCCCAGTACGTCTACGGACGGGCCAACTCCACCGGCTTCGCGGCGCAGCTCATCAAATTTGCCCTTGCCTCTGGCGAATCGGTCTACATTGGCGATGGCGAATACTGCTTCTCCGATGTCTACGTCGACGATGCCGCCCGGTTGTACCTGCTGGCAGCGAAGAACGCCCCGGCTGGAGAGGCCTTCAACGGCTCCGGCCACACTACCACCACGTACCAGGCACTGGCCACGGCCATCGGCAACCTGGTGCAGGTGCCTGCGAAATCAATCACGGAGCAGCAGGCGACGGAACGCTGGGGGCCTTTCTTGACTTCTTTCTTTAGTGTGCGGAACCGGGCGTCGAACCGTAAAGCTCTCGAGCAGCTTGGTTGGCGCCCTACGGGGCCTGGGCTGTTGTGGGAGATTCATTCCGGTAGCTATGTGGAAGTGGCGGAGAAGTTCAAGCAGGATGGCGCTGCCGAATGAATCCTGAATCTGTAACTGTCGAACTCTACGGACGTGTAATTTTTTTTTTTTTTTTTTTTTTTTTTTTTAGCTCAAGGGGTCTCTCAATCCAAGGACTGCTCCCCTAGCTAACAATTCAATTTGATTTATAAACTAGCTGTCATGAAAAGACGGCCGTTCTCCATAGTACTTTCTTGGTAGAAAGGCTGCTTGTGATGTCCCACATAAATGATCGGATCTGGATACCAGTCAGTACTCGATGTCCGACTGAATCTTTCTGCAATTGTGAGTGGGGGAATCAACTAAACTACCAAGATGTCGCCTCCAATCATCATACTTTACTGCATCCATCCCGGAAAGGCAGCTACCTACTACTACCTAGGTAGATTTTCACTGCTAGAGTTCATCTACGTAATCGGCAGCTAGTATAACTATCTATCCAGGAGAGAAGCTGTGAGAGACTTGATACCACCCGACTTAGTTGCTGATAGTTTGATTACCTCGGTAGTTACCTAGGTATACTAGAAAAGATCCAAGATGAGCTCAAGCAACCAACCTATGAGGGACAGATCGTCGTATATTAAGCAAGAGCCCATCCAGGTAGGTTTTATTCCCCGGGAATACACGGCAACTACTACTACTAGTAGAATTTTTCGTTTTTTCTTTCGCTTAAGAGGAATTTGGGCATCAACCCCTCCACTCTAGATTAACCATACTAGTTGTATATAGAAAGGAAGAAGTACTAAAGTAGTAGCTCGGGGCCATTTTCATGAGAATACCTACCTAGGTAGGTACATACCAATTACTTCGGTGGGTAAAGTTACTCCGTCCAAGAAAATTCAGAAAAGCGTACTGTTTCGAGACCCACCGGAATAAGGAACTGGAGTGGCGTCGAGCTAAGCTGGAATTTCGCCCACTAAGGAGCCTACCAGAAGGCAGAGAAAGAGGAAAGCTGGAGCTCCAGCCTTGAGAGCTTTCATGCAACCAACCCGAAGCTGGGGAGAGCTGGAAGAGAGAGCCTACCTAGGTAGAAGGGGGGGAGGGGTAGGTTGGTTGCACATGGCATTCCTATGATATATATAGATATATATATATATAATAATAATATATATCTATATCATTTAAAAGTAATAATAATATAATATTCTTATATCTAAAAACCTTGGAGAATAGAGTCCGCAATTCAGATGGTGAAAACTCAACCTGTTGGAGGGACTCCACTGTATGGAATACTCACGGTACGGTATGGTAATTCCTTAGTGCTACTACTGTACTACTCACGAGTACTCCGTAGTTATACAACGGTGATTAAAGATATCCATCACTTAGTTAAGTAAGTAGTAGGTCCTAGGTCAGCTCGGAGCCCCTCCTTGTATTGTACGGTAATGTAATCTTATCCGATGTTACCGAATCTGAGCATCATCAACTTCCTGACCTTTTGCTGCTAAATTCTTCTACCTAGGTCTACCTCCTACCTAGGTGCCTACCTAGGTGGATAAAGAAACAAAGTAGAATCAATGGTCACAATTCATCTACTTTGAACTACTTCGAGCTGCGGATCTCGCGGTGCCCACGTTCGGGGCTATCGATAGGGATATTGAAAGCCGGATTTATGCCCGGATCGGTCGCACATGCAGATATAAGAATAAGACAAGTAGCATTATCTTATCAGGAGAAGACTGTAATACGATAATAATAATAACCATTGGATGTTGTCCAATACTACTACTGCTAACTACCTCGTTAACTACCTCGTTAACTATTAATCATCCTTTTCTCCTTCTTTTCTTCTTCTTCTTCTTCTTCTTCTTCTTCTCCCGCTCGCCGTTTTTCTCGAATCAAATTTTTAGACTTTTTTCTTTCCCCTCCCCAATTACTCGGGTTGCTTATTAACTCAGCTTAGGAGCTTTCCACGAGGTCAAAGAGAAGCTCACTTCTTGACTTTCCCCTCCCCTTCCATTCCTTCACCTTCCGATGCATGACTCCTAGCTATTATTACCCTATATTATTCCCTTGCTCTTACTTCCATTACACAAACAGAAGAGGTCATTACCCATCCTGTCCTCCGAGAAATCTGGAGCTCCTCTCCTTTTCTTCCTCGTTTCTTCCCTACTCACAAGCTCTACCCCTCCTCCTCCTCCACCACCCCCCCATTGATTCATTCAGCTGCATGCAACGCATCTTCTTCCACCTCTATATCTGTCTCATCCCTGGAGCATGTATCCTGAATTGATCTTTCTCTGAACTGTCGCCTACTCCAGCTCTTCATCTTGTACTCTGTCCGCTCTCCTGGCTTGTCTCTCCCACCAACCCCGCCAATAAGACGGGATTCATGCAGACCATGCCGCCCCGAGCGTCCTTGACCAGCTCTTTCTCCGTCACTGATGCCAACAATGAAGTCGTCTGTCCGTTGAAAAATAATGATGGTTCCAATTGCCGGAAAAGATGCTTGGGAGTAAGTAATTTTTTTTTTTTTTGCCTCTTTTACTGTGCCTCTAATCTCCACCTTGCTTTCTCTCTGCTGTTCTCCTTCCCTCCCGCTATCGCCCCAGCCCCACTTTTATGCAGTCTGCGAACTCTCCAGCAATGAAAAGGCAAAAGGGTGATATATACACCCCCAATAAATGAACAACAACATATTGACCCCGGCTATCTTGTATGTATCTAATATGTCTCTTCTCTCGTCTAGGAAAAGCGCTATCGCTCTATGCAGGAGCACATTCGACGGGCCCATCCCAATCACTACATTCCGAAGCTCCCGGCTACCGAGGAGAGCTTTATCTTGATGGTCACCACCCCTCCCGATCAGCGGGCCAACCTCTCTCCTCCAAACCAGACTCAATCCAGACGGCGCAATGGTTAGTAAACACTATCTAAAGAGTATCTTTTTTCGCGGAGGGAACTGATTGCTCAGATGTCGTCGACCGTGATATCTATGTCGCAGATGCTAGCTCTCCCGCAACCCCCCGCGGCGTCGATGAAGCTCATCCGGCTGCGGCAACTGCGGCTGTTGCTCTAGCCCAGTTACATCATAACCGCCTGGCCTCGGATTGGGACACAGACATGGTATGGTTATAGCATACAATTCAACATGAATGAGGAACAGTCGCCTTGACTGACTCGGTTAGGAAACCCACTCCGATAATGACATCGGGAGAACCCCAATGCGATCGACCATTGAACTGCCGTCCCTTCGCGACCACTTCAAGCAGGAATCGCTTCCTCCCTTTTCGTCGCCTCGCCCAAGAGAGCTTCTGCCTTCCATTCTTACTCATTCCCCCCCCGGTCGCTCCTCGACGCTTCCCCCGATCCAGAGGAGAGATAAGCTTCCCCGACCCCGCAAGTCCTCCATTTCCGGCGCCCGAAAGCCAAAACACGAACGGTCCAAATCAAAGGAATACGCACGGCGCCCAAGTTTAGGTGATCGGAAAGCTCTTTCGGCAGAGCCACAGACTGCTGCCTGGGCGCAAGGCAAGCGTTGGGAGGATTTGATCGAGGCCGCGACATCAGCAACTGAAGTTGACGATGATCGCCAATCAGAGGTAAACCTAACCCCCTTTCTTCAAACCCGTTGATCCCAAATTAACGCAAAAAAAAAAAAAAAAAAAAAACAGATGGGCCGGTCGCCAACCATTACACCCTTGATTTCCAATATTACCTCGGCACCGTCAGCACACAAACACCGTTCATCCCTGCCGCCAGCGTTCCAATCGGCTTCCGGTTTCCCTCCACCCACGTCGCATCGCCCGTTTCCACCACCGCATTCTTACACCGCCTCGCCTTTGCACAAGTCACTCACCCCGCCGCCGTACGAATTCTCGCGCAGCCGTGACAACGATCTGGAGCCGTTCCCGTCGATTGAGTCATCCCTGGATTCGGCGTCGTCGGCCTCTGGCAAGACTTTGGGATTCTCCAATCATCTCAACTCGACCGCCAATCCGGATTCCAGCCCAGTCTTGAATCTATACCCGTCTTCTGCAGTCCAGCGACAGCACCATCGGTTCAGCAACCCGACCCCCGCGTCTTTCCGTAGCAGGGAAATCCAAATTTATTGTGCCCACTGCAAGCGGCCATGGGCGTTGAATGAATGTTACGCCTGCACTGAGTGTATTTGCGGGGTATGCCGTGAATGTGTCGGCATGTTCATCGGCAGCCCGCCGACCCCATTCAAGAACGTCACGTCCAGCCCGGGCAGCGCCATGTCCCATGGACCAACTAGTTATCCCGGTGCCCGGGGATGCCCTCGGTGCAGGACGGTAGGCAGCAAATGGAAAGCCTTTCAGTTGGATTTCAAATGACACATTCCTCTTCATGGTTTACGGATGATTACGATTTTACGGCTGGGTTTCTCAAAATGATTTTCGATATTGTGATGTCTCGGATGGTACACAGGTAAACAGCGTCATCTATGCGACGATCCGATACTGTCGTTTCCTTGGATGAGGTAACGCAAGGGCTGGCCCAACCGAGCGAAGTTAAAAGACACGATACTCTCCCTACGCTGCAGATGACTAAAAGCTGGACTTTTTGCCTTCCATTCTTTTTTTTTTTTTTTTATCTCAATGAGTTTTCTGTTTTGGATATTGGGCGCATGTTGGTTCGTATTATAACTCGGGCGGTTTATACACGATGGTGGCATTTTGGTACTGGTTTATTTGTGATGAGATTTGACTGCTGATATCCAGTGCGACACGCCGGGGTTGAACAGTACAGCTAGGCTATGAAAAGACATCTATCTATCACAATCACTTCATACAAGTATATCGATCCCTATTATCGAACCCTAGTCAGCCCGAGTAAGATGGCCAGATGAAGAGAAACTATTCCGCCCAAATCACACTACTCAACCCCTCCATGGTATCCGGTTGCCCCGGCACTCCCACCTGCAAAACCGCCAGGGCCTCACCCAGTTTCCCCGTGACGACATCCCTGGGCACAATCGCCACGGTGGACGAAAGCTGGTTGCCGACGGCGACGAGATTGCCGGCCTTATTGACCGCCATGGTGCGCGGCATCACACCGTACGACGAAGTAATCTCGTCCAAGCGCAAGGTCCCGTTGCGGTGGCGGTTGAGGGTGGCAACGGAATCGTCAGGCGGGAACGCGCCATCCAGCCGGACAGACACGTAGACATGGTCCCGGACGAGGCGGATCTCAGCGAGCGAGGCACCGGCCGGCAGCCCAGGGTCCGGGTAAGGCGTGAGGGACTGGATTCGGTTGAAAGACAAGCAGCCGGGGGTGGTGGTGGTGGTGGTGGTGGCGGTCTTGTCAGACGGCAACGGGTAGGAAACGACAAAGGCTTCGACCTCCTTGTTCAATTCCCCGGCTACGTAGAGGATTGTCTGCCCTTCTGCTGGTGGTGGTTTGTGGCCCTTCACCCTAGAGACGGGGCCCCCCGCCGCGAAAACGCCATGTCGCGGCCCCCCGCCCGGCGTATACGGCAGACTTGGACAGCTGGTCAACTGGCCGGATTGCTTGTCGATGGCAAAGACCCGGACCAGGTCGGCGCCTAGATCGGGCACGAGCACGTAGGCACCCGTGGGGTCGAGGAGGGTTTGGTGCGGGTGCGGGGCCTCCTGACGGTCGGGGACAGTGCCGGGGGAGGAGGATAATTGGAAGGGGAAGACCTGGAGGGGGTCCGCAGCGGCGGCGGAGGAGGAGGAGGAGGAGATGGGAAGAGAGAAAGTGGAGAGGGCGGAGCCAGCACTGGATGGATTTCGTTTTTCATTAGTGTTTTTGTGTTCCATACATATATTTGCCATGTTAATCCGGTAGGTAGGTTAGGTATATCATCATCTCTTTTCTACCCTACCTAGGGTAGAGAGAAAGAGAGAAAGAGAAACATACTAATGCGCAATAGCAAGATACTTCCCCCCCCGGCCATCTTCATAAATCACACTGTTCACCCCCCCGCCCGGCGCGGCATCCGTCCTCGCCAGCTCCGCGAGCATCCCGTCGCCCTGGGGGGCCGCGAGGGCCGTCAACGAGCCGTTGGTGCTTCTCCCGCCGTTCTCGTCCGAGCAGTACAGGGTGCGCGTGGCGGCATCGAACGTCACCCAGCTCGGATAGGGACCGCATGTTTTGAGCGAGGAGGCGATCGAAAGCGAGTAGGAGCCGTTGGTGGCTCGGTCCAGGGATAAGCTGTAGACGGAGCCGGTGGAGTAGTGCGTGGCGTAGAGGGTTGCGATCGAGGCGGCGGCGGACGGTAGACTCTGGCTGAGGCCGAGCAGAAGGGAGGTATAATATGGATATTTCATGTTGTGGTTTGTTTTTATTTGAGGAAGAGGAACAGGCAATCAACAATATATATATATATATATATATCTATATTGGGTCCTGGAATGCGCCATTCAGCTGCAGATCATTCTTGCGCATACCGAGGCCCGGTGGAGATCTCGTATATATTCATATTCATAGTTACTCCGTTCTACCTTTCATTGGCTCCATTTATAAATTAGTGGTGGGTAACTACCTATCGCACCACTCGCATTCTATACGAGGTCTATTACAGTATACGAGACGAGATCTATCCCAGGGAAGCATAGCAAATACCATGGTTTTCTCATTATTCATTACTCGTTCAGGATATATCAGGTTGGGATCTCTCGTACAGATAATTCATTGTACAATCTTATAGTTCCCCCCGCTGACAATCTCGAGCTTCCCTTTGGATACCATGCCTGCGAGGAACTCACGCAGCTCCTCGTTACTGAACGGAAACCCTCCGGGGACTGCGATCTTCAGCATCATGACGATCCGCTGTAACGGCATGGCGCCTTGGTTGGTTAACATCCCCACAATAAACTGCCAGTAGAGATTCATTTTCTCCATCGCCGCGGCATCCGCAGACTCTTTGGCCGCCGCCGCCGCCGCCGCATTCGCTGCTGCTGCTGCGGTTTCCGCATCGGTCGTACCGCTTCTACCGCCATCCGGCATGGTGTCGTCTACCCCGGAAGCACCACCGCTCGTTCCTGCTGTGGCACCTGCTGGTGTAGTTGCGGTTCCTTGATTGTTGCTGTCCTTGACGGGCAGGGTCTCCAAAACGCGGAATATATCCCGTTGCACCTCGGCTAGGATGCGACGACTAACCCAAAACAGGCACGCACTGCGCACGAGCGCCGTAGACATTTGGAGTTCTTGCGAAAGCTCACTGGTGGTTTTGGTGACAATGGCCTCACTGGATGATGAAGGGTTGTTGAAAGCGTAGATCACCGTAGCTTGCCAAGTTGTTACCTCCTCAACGAAGACCCGGTCCTCCAGATCGAGCTCCACAATGACCTGTCCCAGCCCGTTGAGCCAGGTGAGTTTGCGTGACTGCTTGAGCGATCCGAACCCTTCTGCGTATCGCTGTTGCAGTTGTGCGATTTCCTCGGGCACTTTGAACTCCTGGCCCTGAATTTCGGGCCAGAAGAAATGCGAGAGAATCTTCGCATGGAGTTCTGGCATATCTGTAGTTTCGACTGCCGACGCACGGCTGTCATCCATGCCGCTGCCATCTGGTGTGAAGGGCTGCTGTACACGTCGTTTGCCAATCATGCCTTGGTCGTTTCGCACAACGGCATCGACTCGCCGCGAGTCAAAGATATCCCGTAACATGACCTCACATGCTTGCAAGGCACTGTCTCCAAATCGGAGCTTGAGCAACTCGAGGACAGACATCTCTTGATCGAAGTCGGTGCGCTTTTGAAGTAGTCGCTCCGCGAGCATATTCTGCATCTCCCGGACAAACGTCTCCTTGGAGTCAAACAGGCTGATTAGACTGCCGATAACGTCTGAGCTCTTTGATTTTCGGTAATCTGGCGCCGCATCAACAGGGTCTGGCATCCAATTCATGTCATCCCAGTCTAGCTCGCCACTGTCATTTCGCATTGAGGTTTGATGTGCTTTGTTTAGCTCAGCAGATAACTCAACAAGCGTCTCGCTTGATGAAGCAGTACGTCCATCAGCATTTGCGGGGTCCGCCAGAAGACCACCCACAATCACTTTGATTGTATCTTCGCGGTCTCGAAGATATCGGCGAATGGGGCGCGCGATCCGATCCAAAAGGACACCTTTTGGATCCAAGAGGTTAAATGCCCTGATGATCGAGATATACACCTGTAGGATCTCCACGGTAGAAGCACCCGGGTGTAATAAACGTCGGTTCAGTACTGCCGCAAACGAGTGTGTCAGATGGTGTCGTGATGCAGGGTGCGTCGTAAAATGTCGTAAGTCTTCGATGGCTCCGCTACTTGCAGGCCACTCAATGATTACATCGAAGAGCTCGCCAGTGCGGAGCGCTCCAAGCCGTGCAATCCCGATATCCTGCCATTTTTGCACGTCGCTAAGCTTCACATCTAGGTAGCCCTGGTCTCTTACCCCAGATTCGGAGACATTAATAACAGCCAGGACTTGCACAACCAGCTGGGCAAACACATTTTCAATCCATTGTCGTAGATGCAGAGATACCAGAGACGGACCCTCCCAGTGGCTTGTATAAGCGGCGCGAATAAACTCCGTCATCATGGTATCCATCACACTAGCAAAAACTTCCTGTGCCTTTTCACCGCCCATACCAACGAGCTGAAGGTTGCTCAAAAGCGACAGCAATCGCTCTCGCGCGGCATTAACGCGCAGATCCTCAACTTCCGTCATCAGCTGCGCCCGGATCTCCGCCGACGGTGCATCTCGCCAATCGTGGTACGACACGGAATACTGCCGATCGACTTCCATATTATCCACGCTAACGTCTTCAGCGATGTCCACCTCTTCACTCAAGCTATCAATGCCCAAGATAACAAGCGCATCTTTCATAAGCTCCCTCATCAGCAGCATTGATATCTGTGTCCACGGTAGAGCGTAGCCAATCATCATATGAAAAGAGCGTCGCAGCCTGAGAAACACCTTTCCCTGCTCTTCACCCTCAATCAGCGGAAGGAGGTACTCGACCAGCGGGACGAAATAAATCCTGCGTACGAGCTGCAGACAATCCACAATCATATGTAAAAGGTCATCCTTGCTGGGGGAATCCAAAAGCTATACAAAACCCCCCATCCAGCGTCACAAAATTAGCCACAATGTCTCCCCTCCTCCCCTTTCCAACGTAAAAGCAAAACCGCATATATATATAGATAGATAAGCTCATGGAAAGAAAAGATTTAAACGAACCTTACAAAGCCCCGCCCTGAAATTCCCCAGAAAATGCCGCTGGATCTCAGACCCATACCAATCAACGATACTCCTCCTCTCGGCATGTGAGCCCGAACCCGAGGAAGCCAAGGACACCTGTACTAGATATCGCAACGCATCCCGAACCTCTTTCGACGGCTTCTTATGCCGATTCCACAACTCCAGGAAACCCGCTTCCCCGATCTCTTCGAATCGCACGAGCGGCTCAAAGCCACGGTCCGGCAAGGCCAAGAACCCCGTCGCGGAGCGCCATGCGCGATCAAAGCTTCCTTTCTTACCTGATCGTGTCACGGGTTCCGATGCACCATGGGACACTGTGTTTGATTTTCTCGAGGATTGGGAGGAAGGTCCGGAGCCAGTAGTAGTAGTAGTAGGAGGAGGAGGAGGAGGAGGAGGAGATCGTCGTGCCGTCGTCGAGGTACAGTCTTCCACGGACGCGGGGGGGAATACGGATGCGAAAATGTGGCTGCGGCCCGCGCAGATCGAGCTGTCTGGGGCCATATTTCGAGGTGTCGTTATCTGTGAGGCATTTCGGGAGGAGCTAGCAGACTCCTTGGAAACTTGAGAGTGAAGGAAGGATGGATGGATGGATGGAAGGATGCTTTGGTCCTGACGAGTACGGTAGGTAAATACTTTGCGCGTCCGTATTTGAGTTAGCGCGCCGATGAGTCAGCTATCGATAAGATAAGAGCTTTATGGTGCCTGAGGCTACAGGTAACTGATTGATGCATGCATGCGTTTTGCTATTTACTTGGGTTGGCAAGAGTTGGCTTGTCATCTATCGGGTATCTTTCTGGCACTAGAGAGAGTGCCACGGTATCTCCAGGTAGGAGGAGATACAAAAAATTCAAAAAAAAAAAAAAAAAAAAAATTAATACACTGGCAGTTTCTTAGGGCATGTACTTGCTGCGTAGTCCTCGCACAGGGATGCAGCATCCAAACAATCATAAAAAAAACACACACATGCGTAGATCCACAGGGGGTTAGGCCGTGCCGCAGCACTGCAAAGTCCACATGGAGCTTGGGCACATATCTCTCTCTCTCTCCATTTACTCAATTTGTATTGTTGTCGTCCACTTTCTCCCACTCACTATCGGTGCTGGTGTAGCCAGAACTGTCACCGCCCACACTCGGACGCTTCCGAGTATCGCCCGCGCCCGGGAGCTGGAGAGTCGTCGAGGCCGTCGTCGAGGCAGATTGCAGAGAGGGCCTGGCAGCTGGTGCGCTCTTGCGCTCCACTAGGCCTTCCGTTTCCGTGTCACTCTCTGCGCCATCAGGAGATCCAGATTTGCGGAGCTTCCTGTCGCTCCCTGTGACTTCGCGGTTCTTGTTGTCGTCGCCATCTGTCGAGGGTTTCTGAAGTTGTGTTGGTTTCTGGGTTGAGGCGGCTTGTGCTGCTTTCACCTCCTGGGCGAACCAATTAATTGAGTACCACAGGGATCCTGAGAGGACGGATAAGACGACGAAATGAATGCTGTATGTGGCGATCAGCAGAGCGAGGAGAAGGACTTGGAGCGCGGCAAATGTGACGTTCGTTGCAATGAGAAGGGTAGGTGTAGGGCCTGGAGTAAAAATACTCGACCAAAGTTCCTCCATGAACGACCCCATGGCTGGTTTTATGAGTAGCTGCTTCAGAGATTGGGCTGTGGAGTTTCGAGGAGACGGTATTCTGTGTACAGAGAGCGTCGGAAGTTCCGCGATGATGAAATGAGGAGTTGGAGGAGGATGGTTTGCCTTGGAAATCAGGTACCAAACGGGAGGGAAGTGGGGAATAGGTAATAATCGCATCCAACTCAAGTAAACACGAACAATGAGAGCCGTCGTCAGATCCAAGACACGAAAGCAGGGGAAACAGCGATAAGAATCATATACTGATGGAAAATCCGATGATCCCAGGAGTAAAAGAAAGAAACAAAAGTCTGTGAATCTCACCAGGCCAAGTCACGTCGCCAGGGAAAAACGAGGGGCAGCTGCCGGTGGGTTATGTAAGGAATCCATCTCCCACTGCATCCCGCTTCCCCCCTCCTCTCTCTCTTCGTTGTTTCTGTTGTTGTTGTTGTTGCTAGTCATTGTTTCAGGCAATTGGGTATGACTTTCTTCAAGAACTACCCCATCTCAGGCATCGCGCAACCTGTTCGACTCCAATAACAGTGACCTGCTACCACCGTTGATCATTTTGGGCCGAGTCGTCCTGCAGACCAACTTATCTCGAACCCCCCTCAGTTATCCAGTTGGAGAGTCCACTGCATGCCCGTTTGTACCCATCAGCCTATCGGCCCTGCTGCTGTCCTGCCGATCAGATGATCGGGCTTCCACGACAAATCGGTGGTGCGGTGCAACTTGCATTTCGCGTCTGCTGCGACTTGAAACCACCTGGGTTGCAATCATAATGGCGGATTCCGGTGAGATCGGAATACTACATATAATAACTTGTGGCTAGGTGAGTGTATCTAGTCGTGCCACGTGCAAATGATGTATCAAAAAATATCATCCTCCAAAGAAGACAGCCGTTCCTATCATTCATGCTAAATCCTAAGCTCCCCAATCATAACCACCAGAAAGGTTCACAGACGTCTGTCTCCTCAGGTCCCAGCTACAATAAAGATAGAAAAGCAATACTAATACCCCATAGTCTCAACCTATCCCTAGACAGCAAGTCTTCTCAAAATGATGCGGCAATCACACAGTGGCCAACCCCCCAAGGTGTTCGTAGTTATTACAAATCATGGCATCGCCTGAACGAAGTGTTCCTCTATATCCTCGGCACGAGTCACTCCATCCGCAGTTTGATGATCAAACCCTCCCACGGGTGCACCACATTCGGGACAGAAATACTGTTCAATCGGTCCTCCGCACTCTCCCACTGTAAATGGATGGCGATTGCGGCAATAATACCAATGGCCCGTGCCCAAAAACTCACTGGCCATGGCTCGAGCAATTACCAGGCGCTCTTGATATGTGACTATCGTGTAGAACGTGGTTCGGAGCATCTCATCCACAGATTCAACGTCCTCCAATAACCCGCGCGTTTGATTGGGGAAATTTGACATGATGAGGCGTGCCGCTCCAATAGCCTCTTCACCAGTTTGAAAATGGCGTTGGCTATCCGATGAATTGGAACATCGGGAGCTCTCAAGAGCATGAAGCTGTGCGAGGTATACATAGCCCTCAGCTTCCTGCAATGGCCGCTTATGCTCCTTGGCGGTATCAATCAGAGTGCGACATTCATCCCTCGTCTCTTGAAGATCCATAAAGACGTTGATGCGCCCCAGAGGTTGCGCTTGCTGCCGAAGGTGCATGAAATCAATCAATAAGCCAATATCAAGACGGATCCTTAAGGCTGCAGCTAAGAGGATGCCTTTGTTTTGGAGGGCTCCGCTATCACACTCGAACCTCCCAATCAACTTATCTCTCTGCCGTGCATTTTCAACCATTATCAGCACTCGAATCAAAGGCTGTGCGTCCGGAGAAACGTGTCGTTGGTAGGTGAGAATCTTCTCACGTAGCCTAAGAATTTGACCCCACCGTGTTTCGCCGAACTTTCCCAGAGTCTCTCTCATAGTCTTGATTTGAGCAATAGATGGCCCTTTGATCTCTATGGTTTGTGGCCATGGTGACATCTCGCTAGGGTGGAACTGTCGCAGAGTTGGATTGCATGCGACCAATTCCTCGGCAAGTGGCAGATATTCACGGTTAACATGTAAGATAAACCTCTTTGTAGATTCGTCCAGCAGTGCCCGACGAACTAGACGGCCATACCGGGAGATGTCCCTCAAATGTCCACGACATAGGGCACAGGTCTTGATATCTTCCATGGAAAATGGGCGAGATGACCCTTTGAATTCCACTGGCTTTCCTTCATCATCGAGACAGTAGTATTTCGATAGTTGCATCTGTGCATCCATACTTTCCATCGTCAGGAAGTGCCCACATTTAGGGAAAATACAGGGGTTTTTGTCCAAATTGATATCCTTGTATGTCTCCCCAAGTATGAAATCAACAACATGATCACTGATCTCTTTCCTGGCACAGACTTGGCAGAACTTCATGGGTGGACATGCTTCTCCACAAATAGATGGGCATTGGTGGTGGCACTCAAGCTTTTTCTCACAACGCCTAGAGCATGGGATATGGTTGCAAGGGGCTGCACACGGCATGGTACATACGCTATGTGGACAGCTTGAACGACATATCTCTTCCGCACATGGTGTGCATGGTTCGGAACATTTTTTTGTACACTTTGAATGGCTGCAGCTAACGTCGCAGACCTCTTGGCAAGGTGGGCAAGGGTTGTTCCCATGGCATTTTGTTTTACAAAGGTGAGCGCAGCTGGAGTAGGATCTGCCGCATCTCTGCCCGCAGCTCCCATGATTAATACCTGCGATCGTCCTGCATTGGTTGCATCGTCGCTTGCAAATGTGGCCACACGCCAACTCTGTCTTGCATGGAGCCTGGCACTTGTAGCAGTCTGCTGTAACATCCATATAACAGGGCTCAGACACCATATGTTGGCACCGAGGTACAGTTTTTCGGACTTTGGTTTTGCATGCAAACTTGGAGGGATCCTGGTCCTGCCAGCACGGTAAGGCTTCTTTCATATGGCCGCATTCTAGTCTTCTGTGTTTTTTGTGCACAGATACAGTGCAAATCCGCGGACACGGATCTCCACACTTGTTAGGGCAGGCATGTTTACAACCTCTGCGTGGTCGTTGGCAGGAATTTGCGCAGTATGTTGTTTGATGAAATATCTCTGAATGGCATTGTTGCCCACAGGCATGACCACAGTCGAGGCGAATAGAACACCTCAAATTGCAACCTCCCTCCGGTGAAAACTGAAGGAAATGTTCGGGTTCCGATACATTAATGGGTGTCTCAGGATGGCGAGGACATTGGAGCTCAAGATGTGAACCAATATTATTCCCTTCTTGCAGAATCCGAACAACTTGCTCCCACATGGGAACATGTACAGCTGTCTCAGAATTTCCAATGATATACAATCCGTGCTGAGCCCGAGAGAGAAGAACGTTGATCCGATTAGACGTTTTGAGGAAGCCACACCGGTTCTGAGAGTTGCTCCGAACAAGGGATATTATAACAACTTTTGCCTCCTCGCCCTGAAAGTTGTCAATTGTGGCGACGCGTACGGTTTGGAGCAAGGTTGTCCGTTTCGCTGGCTTTATACTGTCTACCATCCCAAAACCCTCTATGTCGAGCTGATCTTGATCGCGTTCCCCAATGCAGATAGTGAAAAGGTTGCTCATTCTCTGCCGAAGTCGATGGAGCTGACCCAAGTAAGGTGTCAATACAGCAATTTCACCGCTCTTGTATTTTCCCTGGTTAACAAGATGGCTAACGAGGGCAATGGTCATTTCAACTTCGTAGTTGTTCCAGTGAGACGCTGTCCTTATATCGCCGTCTGTTCCTGAGTTATCTGCTTCAGGAACACGGTGATCCACCCAAAACAGTCTCTTTTTCATACCACAAACCTCAGGATACTCAGAAACATTATCAGCATCCTTAAGATCGGGATAAATAGTATCACGCACCAGTCGCGCGATAGACGGATGCATACGACGCTGCGTCTCAAGAGTGGCAAATGGGAGCTCTGATCCCAAGGCAATTCTCGGCTCTACTAGCCTCTCAAATAACGAGACATCAAGAGAGTAGCGATCTCCGCCGTCGTGATTCTCCCGAGATAAATTGTAGTTTTGAATGTGTGGACGGAGTTGCTGATGGTCACCTATCAAAATAACATGCTCTACAGACGGTAGTAGCGCGGTCAAAAGATGGGCCTCCAAAACCTCGCCTGCCTCTTCACACAGCACAAATTTTGCCTGTAATTTGCTAAACATATCGAGGTTTCTCGCTAGACCTGAAGTAGTGACTCCAATGACATCAGCATCAGACAAACACCGAAGGTCAAGTTCATTTCTGAGCGCTTCCAACTCATGTTTGGTTTTAGTATACGCGGTGAAACTCCGGATAGCTTCATCGTTGTTTGCTTGTCTCAGTTCCTGGATCCAAAATCCATGTAACCTTTCTCTTTCGGCTGTCGAGGTGGCGATAATGTCCGTTTGAATGAGCTCTTCAACAGGCCTGGAAACAGAATCCGGCAAGTTACTTCCCGATTCCAGCCAATCCCTGATCTGTCTGGTCGGATTCTTTAGCTCGAGGGCTTCAGAGCTGTTTGGGTCTTTCCCGAAAAGCCTTTGAAAGTGTTCTGGGTACCGCTGGCGGAGATGCGATGGTAAACGAACATGAGGAATTTGGTGAAGTCTCAGAGTCTCAATTTTCTTTTCACATTCACCAATTTCCAAGTAGAGGTTGTGCTCTTGAGCTTGCTCAAGCTTTGTCTTTGTCGCACGCTGGGCAGCGATCCTCAGCTTGCACGCCTCTATCTGGTCTGATTTGGACTGAGAGCCGATACGAATTATGTTGGATGTGATTCCCTTGTCCATGAAGGCTTCGAGAAGCTGATCCAATGCATGGTTTGTGTATGCAACGCAAAGTACCGGGCCAATATTAGCACTGCCCTGTCGTTTGTTGTGCAAAAGTACATCAACCAGGGCGATTCCTGTGTAACTTTTGCCTGTTCCAGGTGGGCCTTGTATAAGACCAACGCAACGTTGCAAGCTATCCACCACGGCAACCGCTTGCGCCTCATCTAAGATTGAGTTCTGCTTCAGCCTCGTGAGATCCACGGGTCCAAATGGGCCGACATAAAAGTCCGAACCATCCTTCATCAAACAACGAAGATTAAACTGAAAGCCGTTATGTAAGGAATAAAGAGGAGGGGGGACTTTAACTGGGCCGTCCCAGGTCATGGAAGAGAAAGTCAGAAGATTTTCAAAGGGCAGGTAGCTTGCTTGCTTCATCCGTTGCAGAGCTCGAAGTGTGGCCTCGAAACCAGCCATCAGGACTCCTGGAAATTCAATCATGGACAATGAGCCGCCCTTTGCGTTCAGCATGTCTAGCAGGAGTCGGATAGTATTCTCGTCGGGATTCACTGGAGTGAGTGTAATAAAGGCTTCCTCCGGATTCATCCACAAGACAGCAAGTTCGTCCTCTAAATTTTGGGACTTGTGGTTGCTCTTTTGGTTGTGAGCTACTCGTCGGAGTGGTATGTCGCTAACTGTACAAAATATCACTGTCGTATCATTGACAGTAAGACAGACCAGAGAGCCTTTCTGGAGACGTTTGGACAGCTTCCACCATGCCTCTCTATCGGATTTTTCCATCCCACGAAGATGTTGCAGCTGAGGAAACTCAACTAGGAATAAAATCCCAGATGCGAACTGGAGGCTAAATCTCACAACCTTCGCTCCATGATAAAGATACGTTCGCTGCTGGTTTCTTCGTGTGATATCCCGTTCGGGTTCTTTCAGTACTTGACAAATAATACTTCGCAGCGGTCCGACTGAATCCTCCCTTAGCAGGCGAAAATTTCTATCCAAAAGCCCCTCCCGGCCACCAACATGCCATCGGGAAGGATTACACTCAGGTAAATACTCCCCTCGAGGACTGAGGATTTCATCAAGGGTGGGGAGGATCTGTATTGCGGAGATATCAGCATGGTCATTATCATGCCGGCCACCGGGGGGATCCTGGGGGGCCATCAAAGTGAGGATTTGGTTTCTTTTTTCCGTCTCATTGAGTTCGGTTACAGCCGACATTTGAGCACCCATATCAAATCGATGTAAAAGCTGTTCCAAGTACCTGGAGGCAACATGAAGTTTATTTGCACTGCTCTCGGTATTCATTGACCTCAAGACCTCCTGCAGCCCGAGAGCGTGTGTCTTGAGTCCTTCCTGGACGAACGCTGTGGAGTTAACATCCAATGTTTTCGTAAATACCAGAAGTGAAAGCTCCAGCCACTTTACTGGGATATTTTCCTCTTCCGCGACAGCTTTTAGAACGGCACAGACGGAGCCGAAGAGTTTGATTGCTCTGGTTCCACCGATGCCGTATATGAAGTTGAAAATAGCCCCCATATGATGTTCAGCTACAAGAGACGATAGCACTTTTGGATGTGAGATAACCTCCAAAAAAGGAACCATCTGAGCCGCGAATACGGATTTCTTGGTGTGATGCGGCATGCAGTCAAAATCTTTCTCAACTAATTGCTGGATATACCGCAGCCCCGGTTCATCAGCCAAAAAGCGGACGACGTCCTGCATAGTCCCGGCATCACGCTCGATCAGTTGACGGGCACCACCAAAAAAGATTTCCAAGGATTCGGGAGAAATGTAGGCAGTGCAGCGAGCCTCTACATCTCTTTGCCATTCCCGGCAGTTCTTCCCAGATTTCAAACCACCTTCCTTGTTTCGTGGGCGGCCGTTCTGGGATTCTTGGGGTTTATGGGTATCAGCTGGCTTCTGATGAAGGAATCTGCATTGTTCCCTGTTGCAGACTCCTGATCTTGCAAACTGCCAGCAGATTCTTCTGCATATTAGAGACGTTGTCTTTATGAGAGTAGAACCAACTTACCTTCCAGGCGCCATGGTCTCCTTCCCCAATAACTGAGTAACTTCCAGAGCAAAAGAAAGTAAAATGATGACAGAAAATGAGAAGAACAGATACAGCACTTGAAGAGGCAGAGGGGGGGATGATATTATTAAGAGGAACAATTCTGTAAGTTGAAACGAAAGTAAGTGTGGATGTATGTGGGTAAAAGAGAGCGTGGAGAAGGAGAGAAAGAAAAGAAGAAGAAAGAAATAGAAAATACACAAGCGAGAGTGCGTGTAGGCAACAAAAAAAGGGCAAAGCTATCTATCTATTACATTCACTATAGTGTGTAAAATCTTCGCATTCATACTCAAGGTGTAGCACAAGCTGTGACGCCCCTCTCATCCAAGGCGGTATTTAATAAGCTTTCAAAGATTCATTATAAAGCTGCAGGGGCATTCCTACCCCAAAAGTGATATTTCATCAGAAGAAGGAGACTTTCCTTGAAGATGATTGAGGTGATGAACAAGGTAAGAGAGAAGAGGTCAGATAGAGAAGGGACGATGTACAATGGAAGAAATGTTCTATATCATATAGGTGTATATACAATTACTTCGTATTTGAGTCCATACTGTTTTATCGACGTGCAACAACGACGACATTGTCTAGTAGCAGAAGCGACACAAGGAGCATGATTCTTCCGGAAATTTCAAAATGGACAATGGACTATCCTCTCGAGCATCAAATCCTGCGGCCTATCCTGAGTTCGAGATCGACCAAATACAGACCAAAGTCCCCCAGCACCCTTCTCAACCACCAAGGAAAGAAGACCTAGCCATTCCCTGCCCAACGCACCAGACACCCCGTAATGAGGAAATAAAGATTCCTGTTCACCAAGACGGTACTATGTCTTGAATGCTGGTTCTGGCGAATCTCAAGTCCCTCGTGGCATGTCTCAGCCGATTTGGGTCACGTCGCAACCCTCACGAAGCGTACTTTAGTCGTCCAAAGTCATTAAATAGCACTTCGCTGGTCTTTTGTAAGTTTCATATGGGGCCCTACAACTTTGAAGCAGCAAAGGCAGATCCAAGAAGCCGTGAGTGAGTATTCAAGGCAAAAGCGTTCTAGAACCCCGTACACTCGGCTAGCAAGTTGAACCCCCGCCTATAACGGGGTTCCTTTGCGAATTATAGTTCTTCTCCTCCTTCTTCTTCCCCTGTCGTGGCGCATGGTTGGGGATACTTGGCTCTCTTAGTAGGGTATCGTTCGGTTAGCCCTGCATCGTCGTGCAGAACGCAGGTCTCACTCCAAGAGACACTAGAATGACTAGCAGACACTGTGCCTAGTCAAGTGCGAATAATATGTGATTAGGGCTTGGAGCCAGTAATATCCCCGGCGGGGGGGGGGGGTACGCCGGAGAGTTATCGGGGCGATCACTTCTGATCATTGAACCATATTGTAACCTATGGCGTGCGGATTATACATACGGCCGTACTGCAGAAAAGCGCCCAGCAGGTTTGTTTTCTTTGAACCAGGGTTGACTCTGGAACTGCAAAACGACTGCATAAACTCAATCCCCAGTTTGGCTTTTATCCCTGTGGGGAGCAGGGCTACCCTGTTCCCTAAGGGTTCGTCGCCGACTAATCGGCCCGTGGGCTGTAAGTATAGGTGCAGCGCAATGATACCATTCTCCTGTGTGATCAGATATGCATCTATGACGGTTATGCATGGGCGGGACAGGATATAAAGTGTAGGCTGCTTTTTGGCTTTGGCTCCTCTATCAACAATGAGCGCTTTTACCGAGCCTGCGGGCCGGCCCCAGCGTGACGGTCCTGCTCTGCGTGCATCCGCTATGGTTGCGGGTGATGCTTTTGCGAGAGCCCTCGGTGAGACATGCGACGTATGCTCTGTAGTAGCTCCTCAGATATTATGCCATCTCCAGAACTCCTGGAACGGCTCTGCAGCCATCGCAAATATCCCAACGAGCGGCCGCAGCGGTGTTGATGCGAACTCGGTTATTGCTTCGCTGGGCAACATTTGGTTGCGACGATACACATTCCAACCCTGTTCAGCCAGACAAGATCCAGTGAAGCCGTAAGCGGACGGGTTTACTGGCGTTGTGCAGGAGTATACCCCCCCCCCCCCCGTGCGGCCACAGTCTCTAGCAGCTATGCGACTGCCACGGCTGGCTCGTGGCAAGCAATTGACGGCGGGAACCAGTCTACCAATCTCTCTCAGCTTGTGACAAAGCCTTACCAGGCGGGTTAACCCCGTCGTCTAGTTTGGATCTTCTTTTCACCTGCAGTGTGGTGGGCCTCCACTTGGGGTTGTGATAGCTCCGAGTCTTGTATTGTACTGCAATTGTAGAACTCCCGAATATTAGCTGTGTCCTCGTCTGAGCTACCGAGATCCGGTAGCACCGAGGAAAGTCTCGAGATGAAAACTTTTTGGATGTCCGTAGTAAAGCCGTATGGCCAAGAATGGATCATTGTCGTTTTCAGGTGAATAAGCCAGTCATCCTCGGAAAGATACCTATATATCCAGGTATCTATCTCTATACCTTAGGTACGTACACTACATGTCCCGTTCTCCAATAGTATTATGTTTCTCAGTCCCGAGAAACCCGCTAGCCCTCACAAAGTGACAGATGCTGGATAATCATTCTACAGCTACAATGTAATCAATCTCACCGCTACTAAACGCTCAAGAAAGCTTCCATCACGTCTACAGAAAGCAGCGGTCACAATATGCTCACGTCACTAGAATCTCCCCTAGACGACGAGACGGATTCCAACGAACGCCCCCAAGCCGATCGGCGCGGTCCCGCCTCCGGAAGGATCAAGAAAGCGGCAGGGCAATGGATAATAGTAACTATACACACGCAACATAAGAAAAAGAAAGAAAGAAAGAAACAGACAGGGCTAACGGTTTCACATGGGCAGTGTCTTCGCAAGCCACCGTCGAAGCACACTGGATCAAGTCAATGGTACTTCGTAGCCTTGACAGTGGAGCGAATCAGAGCACTGGAAGGAGTTATTCTCGAGGCCAATGTTGGTGCCAAGGCGAAAGGACAGAGCGGCTACTCTGTACACTTTCTGACATGTCTCAAATTAGCCGGAAAGGGGAATATCAGCAAAGCATTTGGGTGGTTACGGGGAAGGAGGACTCCGGGAAGATTAATCAAATGGTTTAGTCTGTACGGAGTACGGACTACGGACTACGGAGTACATACAGAGTACATACAGAGTACATACAGAGTACAATAATAACACCACACTAACTTGGACGTACGTCGGTCGTAGCGTGCATGAATGGTGTGATGGAGATGGAGGGCTCCCTTCCCCCTCCACAGAAAATACGAGACGAGGGACCTGGATCCTAGCGCCCAATCATCTCAGACTCAGGATAGCCTAGGCTTCTATTTTTAAGTGAAGCGGTTTCTAGGTAGGTTTTTTTTTTTTTTTTTTTTCCGGCCATCACACCGACACAAGCGAGTTCCGTGTTTGGGTTCCGCAAGGCTCTCAGTCTCGGGGAGGACGTCTACGCCGTACGGTCTGCCCCACGGACGGAAGCGAGGCCTACCTTGCCGTTGTTAACGAGTGTGGATCAAGCCCGTGGTCCAAAAGGCCCCAGAGCGCCAGTAACCCGCCTTAAAAGGTCCAATCCAACCTGACGGCCCTCCCTCTTCTTGGCTAGGGGACACGAGCCAGAGAGGCCCGCCCTGTCTAGACGGTTCATTGTCCTCCGCGGCGCTGGTGATTGGTATGACTCGTGCATGGAGTCAGGGCCGTCGCGGTAATGGATTACGGAGTACGGAGGACACGGTTAAAGGAGTGAAGTGAAGCCTTTGGGAGTCAAACTGTAAATACACGACCACAATTTTGTTTCTTTTTTTTTCTTTTTTTTTAAGATTATTAATTAGAACACCCTTGTACGGAGTAGTTACCCTGTACGTGTGTCCTGGAGAGAATTCCAAGACACTCGGGGGGGAGGGCTATCTAGTACCCTAACTCGGTCTTCCTTCCGGTCCTAATAGACACAAGGGACGATAATGACATTGTTGTGCAGCGCTGTCTCGAGCGGCGTATTGCAATCTACTCCTCGTATCTATCTGATAAACTAAGGATTCTCGGTTCTTACTGTTCCTTGCGTTCACCATGACAATTAACAATTAATCTGGACCACACTCGCCAAATTAGATGAAACTACAGAAGATCCGATCAACAAGACCACACGTAAAATTACACCCGGATAGCGGCGAAGAAACACGAAACTGAAATAGAATAGAATAAAACATACTTTCAGTCTTGATTCTGGACTCTAAACTCCAACCGATAGATACCTAGATTGTATAAACGCTGAACACGCGCCGAATTCACGATCCGCTGGGTTCATACTTCATACTTCATAGTTATACCAAGTACCCACACATAATGAATATACGGAGAACTCCGTCCATAACTCTGGTACACTACTAGTAGACTACTAGGTACTCCGTATACAGAGAGTGAACCTCAAGATGCTTGCCCAAAATATCCACCAGCAGGATCGATTAAAGTGCCCACCGCACGTGGAACCCAAGTAGATCGTCAAATCCTGGTCGGTGTGGGAATGGACGTGGACGACGACAGCATTAATTAATACCAATTAATTAAAAAGCAGGATGAAACGAAATTGAAAGGCGCGCCCAACATCGTTTAATGGTTTTTTTTTTTTTTTTTTACCCCCAAGGCTCGCGTAGGCTAGCAACTGTGGTTGATTGGTGACTGCGCAATATGCGGCCGCATGCGATGTCGGAGTGTCTGGACGTTTCTATCCCGTATTTGCCGGCGTCCAGCAATCACAATGCAAGAAAGAAAAAAAAAAAAAAAAGCGAGCTCGACAGCAGGAGGAGGTCAGTCCCTTCGGATACACTTCGCCGAGAAACGGCCCCATTCCTTACGAGGGACTTATCACTTAACTCGCAGAATGGCTGTGACCATGACCATGGCCCATGAGGCGGATGCACCGCTTCCCCTATGGGGAATCAGAAACGAGGCCCTGGAGCAGAGCGCTCTCACTAATCGGGTCGAGGGAAAAGCGCCGATAAGCTCGAGTCATTCGTCGTGTACTTTGGATATACCTGACTAGCTGAACGCGTACTCCATCATGGATAAGGCTCCCAAGTCAGTATGGAGTCCGGAGTTAGTCCGGAGTGCTAGAACCAGATCCTCCCCTACACATCCCATACTCATCACAGAGAAAGAGAGGTTCTATCCCCAGGATGGTGACCGTTCGTTGATCCGTAAGGGACTTCATCCACTACCACCTGTTTCAGAAACGATCCGGTTGGAGAGATGAGATGCCTTTACAATGGGGTAGGTAATTCTTGATATTTCGTAGTCCCACCCGGTAGGTTCTTGATCCTGGCCGATCCCAGGTCATCTCTATCCAGGTCATTCCGAGAAAAAGAAAAAGAAAATAAACTCCGTAGTTGGAAAAGGGTGAAAACGTGTCATTATTGATAGAGTTTCGTCTGACAACCTCCGTCTCGCGGCGCTTCCCTCAGCAATTCCCGGTCAATGTCCATGTGATATCGTAGAGGGGAATGAAGAACTCGATTGGGGGACTGGACGCACCAGATCTCGGGTACAAAGAAAAGGCTCCCAGGGTTATGGTCTGTTCTTTGCGGGTCCCTCCTCCCCATCCTTTGAACCAGTTCTATTGACTTTTTGGAGAACAATCCAGAAAAATCCAGGCTCCAAACTCCCCAACAAAATGAATGAGAATCAAATCAGGATGTGGCTGGCTAACACTAAGTTTGGGGGCCAAATGCCCTGATGAAAACCGAAACGATGCTTATCGCCATGTGGTCCGGATCTTGCACGCACGATATTTATGTGTAACTGTATCTTCTGTATCACAGCGATCTTGTACAACTCCGCGTGTGTCGAGCTGCTCTCCTGCAATCGTTCCCGTTGCGATCTGGTTGGGTGGACGTGTTCTAACTCTGGGGTTGGTCAAACAAGGGAAAGAGAGAAAAAAAGGCATAACCGCTAAAAAAAAAATAATACCAGAGGAGGTAAAGAAACTAAAATTAAATTAAAGCAGAAAAAGGAACAGGGATAAAAACCGCAACTTGTAGCAGTGGGCCCTGTTACTTGTTAGTGACCTCCTGGGGCTGAAAAGAAAGTAATGTTGTTACTTTTCCATTCCCCAACACAGTAATCCCCAAATGCTGGAGTGGATGGCGGTGCGAGGAAAGCTCATTTCCCCTTGCGTGAGCTCGTTCCAGTTTACTGGAATGGGTATTCCCTTAGCACATCTCTCTGCGGCATCTGTCAGTCAGTCCACTCATCAGTATCATTATCCTGTCTGGCCCAGTTCGAGGGGAGCTGGGCTCAGGGAAATGAAAGCTCTCTCAGAACATACGAGAAACCCCTCAGTGAACCCATAGATAGGTCAAGGATATATCCAGTCTGAGCTCAGGTCTCCCTGAATCAGGGCTCCTCAAAGGTAGTGAACGACAGGTATCGAGTGGATGTGCGTGGCGGGTATGGAGTATTCTCTCTCATAAGACTTCCCGGCCAGTCATAGAAGAGATGTTTGAACAACGACCACTAGCGACACAGCCAGCCCAAAAATCAAAAATCAAAACCAATCTAAATCAATCCAGTTAGGGGACCAGTGAATTCGAGAGATTGGACCATCAGTGGTGTTGGTCGGTTGTTTCGAAGAAGTTCGGACTGGCAGTTACTATGTATAGTTGCGAGGGGGTTTGGAGTCAACAAGCAAAGGACAGAAAAAGGAAAATTCGAGAGATGACCACAGCATGTTAAACCTGGGAGTGGTTGTCAGGTTTAAGAGCAAGCGTAATTTCCAATAAACTACTAGTTGAACCACGGAGATACCTAGGACAGTAATTAAACACGAACGTCCACTGCACTGGAGGTAAGCTGAGAGAGAAAGAGCTGCCAAACTTGCAGACGACCTTTTTTCTGGCCCGGCCCCCGGCTCACGCTGAATGGGTTTTCTTGTTCATCCTGCATTTCCAGTGTTGGGGACGTTTAAATACCTAACCCTCCTCTTCCGACCTGTCTGGGAATGGCATCACATCACCTCTTGCGGTCTATAGCCTCTAACCACCACTGCCAAATCCGTTGCTTGCGGACGACTCGTGTGTCCCTGCTGTTGTCCATTGTCCACGTCAAAGGTTTTGATTGCATGTACTCTGTACTGGTAGGTAGATTCCACGTCTCGTCCACCCCCCAGGATCCCCTTGCTGGCTTCTCTCTGTCCGTTTCATACCCTCATGTTCTGTCGTATATCATCTACACCACGTCTGGTCTACTCTTATCTGCCCTGGTCCTTCTTAGTCTTATTCTTGCCTCATAGAAATATCAGTCCCAGTGCCCCTCCGTGACAACACCACAGCTTACTAGGAACCACCTGTCATGATTACTGGGAGCTGACAGGTTCTCAGCTAAACAGCCGAAACTCCTTTTCCACAGTCAGCGGCACTAATTGAAAGTCATTGTCCTGTGTTCTACCAGGCAGCCCTGGCCCAGATATTCTTGATTTTCCGGGTCCCCCAGATTAGTTTCGGGTCCTTCAATCCTTAGGCGCAGACTTGAACTCTTCGATCTCCAGATCCAGAGACTGGAAGAGACGTCCACTGTGGAAATCCAAGTTAGAACTCCTTAATTTTTGTCGGCCCCCAAATCAGCAGCCCAGCCAGCAATACTCGGGCTCCTTTTTTTTTTTTTTTTTTTTTCTTTTACCCAGACGCGACCCTCCTCTGCCTTATTCCGGGGCTTTCCACAGCTCAGCTAGTCTACGGTAGGTCAAAATTACGGGATGTAGTCCCCCCCAGCTAGACATTTAGTGCTAAGAGGTCCTGCGATAGACGGTAGCGGAGCATGACTGTTACTTCCCACCCGAATCAGGCCGCATTAGAAGGATAGTTCCAATTTTCACCATGGCACACAACACCCCGAGTATGGTTGAATGCAGAATCCTTGCGTCTCCATGGTCTGGCAGTCTTGAACTGACTGGTGACAGATTACGGCTGGCCAAGCCGATCGTCACAACCCCTTCAGCCTTCTTCTATGGCGATGGAGCAGCCGCCGTTCTCCCAACCTCAGGGCCTGTCGTCACACCCCGCATATCCTATCGGATACAATTCACAGCATCACCCTGCTTCCCAAAGCTACTACCAGGCAGGAGCCCCCTCTGGGCAGTATTTCTCGCCGGCGCATACAGGTGCACCGCACAACCGACACCATCCCCGAAGGTACAGCAGATTCCCAAGGACTGCCAGATTAAACTGAGTGCGCATGGCTAACCAGCAGGTTCGATAAGTGCGTCGATACCATACTCCTTTCCTAGTAACTCGATCCCGACCAGTTCGACAGCGATGCAAGACCAGCTATTTACCTCCCCGTGAGTCCGGGAAACTGATCCAGCGTCCGTCACGGATTACTGACGCTGGGCTGTTTAGTCCCTCTTCCTATCTAGTCCACCAGTCAGAGTACTACCTAGCACAAGGATCTTCGCTTTCGTAAGTCTCTCTAGCTGCTATCTTGGTCGCCAATTACCGCTGACCAAATATCGGCTGCAAGGTCGACCGCCGCATCATTAGCCGTTAGCCCTCAACCGCAGCCGATAGTGCCCTCCGGACCTGTTTACTCCTCACCCGACTCTGCTCCAGCCCCCTCAGACCCGGAACAACAGGTCAGGGTGATCAGCTTTCGGCCAAAGCCCCAATGTTGGGATCACGGGTGCAATGGGCGTGAATTCTCAACCTTCAGTAACCTTCTCCGCCATCAACGAGAGAAATCCGGCGTCGTTGCCAAGGCAGAATGTCCCAGCTGTGGGGCTGTTTTTACCCGCACTACCGCCAGAAATATCCATGTGGCTCAGGGGAAATGCAAGGGCATTGGGAGAGATTCGTCAAACTAAAAATTTAATTTAAAAGCGATGGGAAGAAGCCGGGGAACCAAATCCGCAGGCTTCGTATTTGTTTCTGTGCAACGGCTTGTTTATGGAGTTCAAGGGCAGAATGGGCACCGGACTATATATATTGATACCCCCTTACTACTGGAGAGGCAGATTGCTTCTCCCAGACGCCGTTCTCTTCTCGTGTACAGGATTCGGCTCATCCACGACATCAGAGGAAGAACGCCTACATCTACACATTGGTACCATTCAAATATATATATATATATCTCTATATATCTATATATATACACTTATCTATGGAAAATCTACGTAGATTTATGGATTTCACCACTTCTGCCTTTTTAGTGCTGTCTAGAATGTATGGGTTGGAATAAAACGTACCAAGAAGGTAAAGTAGGGCATATGCAGGTTTAGTTGCGTCGTTAGCCTTTAGTTTATCCAAATGTTACCTGGCATGCATCTTCTCCTAGGGCACGAGAAGCTGCCCCGAGACCCAATTCAACACTTCTGAATCTTTCGATTTCAGTCGAGGCATCTTCCACGTCCGAATCCCGTGTATAATAATGTGATAAGACTGGAAGAACAGCTCCTAACTTAGTAAGGTTCATAAATCGTGCGCCTGTGGGGTTGTGAATGTATCCATGGATGCTGGAATCTTCTGCAAGGATCTGATTCACTTTCACTATCATTATAACGAAGAGCATAGATTTTAACACTGTTTTATCACTAGAGAATCAAGCTCATTTACTGCTCTCAGTCACCACCTGCCTAACTACCTAAGTCACAAGAAAGAGTAGTTATTAAAAGATGGCAGCTAGGCTTTGAAGTTGAAGGGTATAGAACTAGATAAAGTATAGACTATATTATGGTACTCCTGGATAGTTACTGACTTGTAAGTTATCTAGCTTTGCATACCATAATTACTTAGTAGAGAAACATGTCTCTCCCATTAATCTAAATTATTTTAAAATATTTCTAACTAGGATGTATGTATGTTCTTAAAGCATTCTCCCCACGAGCGGAGCAATTAAAGATTGTTCATCCAAGAATATTATTATGAATGAATGATATAGAGACAGAGTAGTGAACTAGAACCCCACTTTCTGATAGAACAACTTAACTCAGAATCTAGATTAAAGGCTGTTTGTTACCTGAGGCTCTTCTTGGAAAAGTCCACTTTCTTATAGAGAAGGTGGTGGGAACGCGTCAAGGAGACTACTCTTATCCCCATCCTTCCATCCATCCACCTGTCATGTCATGCCATGGCTTTTCCCAGTATGTCGGCCGGTGATTGTGATGTGGTATCACTTGTTCATCTTATACGCCACCATCGTGAACTTATGGTGCACCCACTGTCCTGGACCTCCCGCCATGGTGTTGTTTTTATTAATAGCATACCTTAGGTACCTTGATGGAATGCTGAGGGTTGGCTCCCAAACAAACATCAGTGCAATTTTTCAGAGACACGCCACAGTATGTAACTGACCAGATTATAACCACCTGTTAGTAGAGATCATTGGAAGAGCTAAAACCCACAACAAAGATTGAAAACTAAACAATCAGACGATACAGTATCTCTCCTCAAGCAACTAGAAGATTCACGGGGATACAGCTCGGCGTGGGTAGAACCCCGGAACGGATTAACCTTCGGCATGGGTAGACTACCCCCGATGAGCTGTATCCCCTACGTACGAACAACAACCTGCACCCAACAACACCTGGTGACTCATATTCAGGATGTCGTCCTTCTTCTAACTGTCCAATTCTTTCGGCTTTGTGACTTTCTCGATAGACACAGTTTGTCCAAAAGCATTGCTCCTATCCAACGGTCCATTTGTGCCTCTGGCTTAATTGTCAACATTATTACGTTCTTGTCTCAAGATGACTTCATTACTTACAAAACATCAAATATCTGAAATATTCCACGTTAGCTGGCATAAAACACATCTATTACGACACTCTGTATCTCAAGTTGCTCTATTACCCGTTTGAGTCGGCTCTTGTATCCTTATTGCTACTCAGTTTATCTTACCCGCCAGCATTGCGGTTTACCGCCGCAAGTACATCCTGCCGACAGGACCATGGCGTCCATATTTACGTTCGACCCCGACCCTCCTAGGGTCTCTTCGCCGTGGTCAACTTCGGGTTCTTCCACCCCTCAAGTGACCGGGGCTGGAAATCGAAGTTCAGCGTCTCAAGCACGCTCGAGCACTCATTTAGTGAGTGTAGACCATGATTTCCTGTCTGACTATGGTATTACAAAACTGGAGCCGGAGCCCCAAGAGGGCCCGACGGAGTATAAGCTGCATCTACTTTTGCGCCCTCGGCGACTTTATACTTCAATATCCACGGGCAATCTTGTGGGTGGATCGTATCATTCAAGAGTAAACTTGAGCACCTCAGGCCCTATACTGTCATCAGTTGAGGAGTCAAGTTTAAGATTGCCGCAGGCCCGCTCCACGGAAAGCCGTCAGCAGCGTCTGCAACAATTGACAACCCAATTGCTATGGCGTCTGCAGCAGTCGTCGCCTTTTCACTCGTCTACTACAGCCAATCTTGTTCTGCCGGTTCTTCCGGAAGCAACGCCCAAACTAGGAGCTACCCAAAAACCGTCCCGTTTGCTTCCCGGTCTCGAGGAGAGCCAAGGTGCGTTGTACGAGATTGGAGTTTCGGACGACGGAACCTTTGTTGGGCTTATTGAGGATGAGTTAGAAGAAAGCTTGACCAACTTGCAGGCTATGGCCGCAAGTTTAGGCTGCAAAGTTGACATTCTCCGCAAGGTTGTTGTTGGGGATTGCGAATGGGCCGAAGACCTGGACCCAAGTAAAGTCCGCGCCGAAAGCCTTTGGGTCGCAGAAGCGCTGGTCAGTCCAGATTGGGACTATTACCGCGTAAAATCACCCCAAGCCGGATTACGCGAGCATAACCTTGTGTCGCCAAATGTCACGAAGGATTCTCTCCTAGAGGGAGGCTTTTCCAGTACCGACCAGGTCCGTGTATCGATTGTTGGGCCTAATACTGCCGGTAAATCTTCGCTTCTGGGCACTTTGACATCGTCTGTCCTGGATAATGGACGGGGAACAAGCAGGTTAGGTCTACTAAAGCACAGACATGAGATTTCGTCTGGCGTCACTAGTTCTGTTGCGCACGAACTTATCGGGTATACTGCGGACAGTTCATCCAACGATGGTGTCGATGTGATAAACTATGCTTCAGGGAACGTCGCGGCGTGGGATGATATCCATGCCGCTTCAGAGGGGGGACGTCTGGCCTTCGTCTCTGATCTTCCCGGCTCCGTTCGATTTCTCAAGTCCACCTTGAGGGGAATGATCAGCTGGGCACCCCATTATGTCTTTATGTGTATCCCTGCCAATTGCGAGGAAGATACATCTTCGGACTCTAGCCCCGACGCGGCGGAACAAGCTACAGATATCAATCTGGCTCTATCCTACTTGGAAATCTGCATAAAATTAGGAATTCCTATCGTCGTCGTGGTCACCAAGATGGACCTTGCATCACGTGCGGGACTGCGGAATACCCTTGCCAAAGTTCTGTCAGCATTGAAAGTCTGTGGCAAGAAGCCCGCCATGCTTCCTGTTCAATCTCGTATATCCGAGAAAGGCGTGGATTTGCAGCATATCGGACTAGCAGATGCGCAAGAAGCAAGAAAAATCATAGCTGCAACGGAAGATTGGGGTGTGACAGTCCCAATAGTCCTTGCTAGTGCTGTCGATGGTTCAGGGGTCGGAAAGCTTCATGCATTCCTTCGATATCTGCCGGTTCCCGTCAGACCATCCCTGCGAACCATCGACGTGCCGAAACCATTACCAGCCGTCCAACGGCCCGCGAATATTTTTGACATTGATGAAGTATTCGCCATTCCCCCGTCGAAAGTCTACTCGGAGCAACGACAACAAAACCACGGCGTGGTCCTTTGCGGTCTGGTCCGCTACGGCACTGTTGCGGTGGGAGATGAGCTGGTAATCGGGCCTATCATTGCCAATTCACCGTCGGACCTTGGAAACGGTCAGATGTCGCAAAAATCTCGATCCGAAAGACGTCCTGATCAGACATCCCAATATGGTTCCTACCGAAGCCGGCCGCCTTCCGGGGACTTTTCGGCATCTTTCCAGCTTGGTTCTTTTCCTGGGAAGACGTCCTTCCCTATACATGCATACTGGCAACGGGTGCGTGTTGTTAGTGCGAGGAATCTTCGGCTCCCTGTCCAAAAGTTGACAGAAGATCAAGTGGGCACAATTGGGATCGAATCTCTCTGCACTTCTCTAGATGAGCAGCCCGCCCGTCTAGGGAAGATCCGCAAAGGTGCTATTCTAGCCTCTCCGTTGGAGCCGTCTCCTTCGGTTCCCAAACCCCTACGGTTCCATATAGGCTTTATCGCCAGCTTCCACTCCAGTGAATTTTCGTCCTCCTTGTCTCCGCCAGTTCTATTGGGCGGCAACGCCATTGTTTATATTGCCAATATCCGAACTACGGTCAAGTTGACATGCATGGCACTCGCGGACGACGAGATCATCTCCTCTCCTCCATCTCCAACAGAGCCCGAGTTTTTCAGCTTTGATGGAGACTCACTGGGTCGCGAGACTACCCATGAACCAGAGGTGAATGAAATGGTGCGGTCCTCTGGCAATTCTGTGCAGGGCAATATAAAGATCACGTTCTCCTTCGTCACGTCGGTCGAATGGGTTGAGGTTGGATCAAAAGTGCTTATTATGCCTGGAGCATCTGCCGCACTGGTCTCGGCAGAAGGATCTAGTTCGCGATCTGGCCTTGAAGGGTTTGTTGGTCGGGTGAGTAAAGTGCTATATGCAGAAGGGAATGGAAGTCCATGATTGCTTTGAGGTTATGGGTTCTTCTCGGCTTTTTTTTTTTTTTTTTTTTTTTTGAACTTTTCTGGTCTTACTTTCTGTTTTATTTCACTCTTTAAAGTTCTCATTCGGGCTCATTTCCAATATTATCGTATCAGGTTCCAGTAGATATTTCATGTACTCCTAAATCAACATGAGCTCGGCTGGTGGCACGTGCTTCTGCCTTAGGCCCCCCACTACCCGCCGCTACTGATAGTCCCCGAAAGAAGCCCCGCCACTTCCTGTTGCAGAGACTCTGGCGTGCACTAGGGAAGGTCTCCTCATCCACACCCGCCACATGTCCTGAGTCGGGGTTTTAGCTCGTCATGGAACTGGATCACTGGGTTCACCCAATTCTCCTTTCGTGTACTTCTTGGGTGAGACATAACACAGGCTTCTTCAATACGAGTCAAAGCAGCTCCATGGAGCCTTCTGGCCGCCCCTGCTGTCGTCATTTGTGATTGGTAGTTTGGTCGTGGTGGAACGCTTTATTTGCTAGTGTGTTCCCTTCCCCCCCCCCAAATCCATCTGGACCTTCTGCTCATCTGTTCGACATCCAGTCCGTCCTTTCCATTCATATCGTCAACTGTCGATCGTCATCTACAGGCCTTAAGGAGCAGGTTCTCCTTGTTCCTGGCCAGCCGGTCTGTTCCTTCGTCGACTTCCCCCTCCTTTTCTCCCCCCTCCCATCCACCTGACCCTTGGCTCCAACGCGAGATCATCCCGCAATAATGGCACAGCCTAGCAGTGCTTATGCCGATTCCAGGGTTAGTTCTGATCTGGATCAGCTATCAGATGAGGAGGAGGACTTTGTCTCAAGTGCAAGCACAGCCTCCGTGGGTACCGAAGCTCGAGAAGGCGAATCGAAGCCTTCACTCTTGGAAATGACACTGGTGTCGAGACCACGCGATCAACCCGAGTGTACGGTGTCTTCGGAGGTGTTACCACCAGAAAATGACGATAATGAAAAGGAAAAAAGCTCGGGAACACCACGGACGGCCTGCGATCCTCCTAATAGTAGTCGGCCTAGTGCAATGGCAGAAAAGACACTGAACTTGCTTGATCTACCTGTGGATCTGTTACAGGAGATCATCAAAGAAGTAAGCATCCACCCCCCATCCAGTCGTCTTTTGCTGTATGTTCTGATCACGGGTATTGATCTGCCCTGCAGGTGACGCACACGAACGATTTAACGTCTCTTGCCCTCAGTTGCTCCGCCCTCCATTCTCTCGCGATACCCCAGATGTATTCTCGGTTCGACATTGTTTGGCCCGATGCCTTCCCACAGTCAGATCACCCCGCCGGTGTGGATGCCCTTTCGTACGGCCTTGCAACACTCGTTATGGGAGAAGATATATTTCACGAAGTTCCCTCGGGCATCTCCAGGCGTTCCTGCTCACATTGCGGCTGCGACAGCTATCATACACCAATTCAACCCAGTACGGATAATGCACGGAAAGTCCGTAGAGGGAACTATTTTGCACAGTATACCCGCAAGTTTTCCGTCGGGAATGGCCCTCCGGACTGGGTTCAGGAGTACTCAGTCACCAAGGAGACAGGCAAGATGCTAGGGACGTTGGTTGCTTTGGCCGTGGCTCGGATGATAAATCTGGAGACTTTCGTATGGGACATGCCAACCGGCGTAGTTCGAGACGTATGGATTGCACTCTCGTCGCTGGCAGACCGACCTGGACATGACTGCCGCCTCGAAAATGTTTGGATTCGATGGCACGATAACTCGGAAAATACGATGCGCTCTTTATCGGGAGTTCCCACCACCTCGTCACTAACTCTTCCGGACACTCAAAATACCCCTGTCCCTCCTGTCAGCAGCTCATCACTCCTACGGAAATACGGCCACGTAGAATACCCGTCGCTGTCCATATTGCCGTCGCTGAAAAGCTTGAGTGTACTTGATATAGATGAGCCCTCGTACCTCGAAGAAATGGCCGTACTTATCCAACGATCGCGGGAACGGCTGAAGGAACTTCGCGTCGGCATTTCATCAAAGGTTTATCAAGCTGAGTGGCTGAAGTCGCCGGGCGGCTCGCAGCCGGACCAACAAACTGCCCCTGCCACGATGTCAGGATGGCCAAAAGCCGGAGGCGTACTTGGGGCATTACTAGGCTGGCCTGGTCGTCAGACTTCGGAATCTCCCTTGAAAAAGGAAGAACCAGTTCAGGAAACGGGTAATCAAGGATCTGGTGAGACTAATGTTCAGATTGAAAGCTCCGCTCCCAGTAACGCAAGCCCGGAAGCTCCCTCCCCACAGTCACCTGAAGCAAATCCAACGGACAGTGTGACAGAACCACAGAACCCTCCTGAAATTACAAACAATACCTCTCTAGGCCTTGCTGGGCAGAGTGTAAGCCCATCCCCAGACTCCAAAGCACCTCGGGAGGCTGCAAGGAAGCCTTCGAAAACACCTCATTCATCTTCACCGGGCCCCAATCGCCAGGTTCTAAAGCTAGAGATTCTCGAGCTGGAGCGGGTGTCTATATCTGCCCATGTTTTACTGGACACCCTCGATTGGACCCGTATCAGCACGCTCACTATTCTTCGGTGTGAAGGTCACGAAAAGCTATGGAGAGCCCTTCGTAGGCGATTCACACCGTCTACAACGCCCCGCACGAGGCCAAAATATGGAAGAAAAGAGAGCATTAGCCACGAAAAATCTGTGCCTGAGTTCCCATTAAGGGTCAAACATATCCACACAGACGCGGTTTCACCTTATTTACTGCTGTTCATCAAGGACTCCCTCTGCCCTGGTACTCTTGAGACCCTGTTCCTGCACGGAGCCCCCCTTCACGACTCTGCCGTTCACATTGACGCAATATACCGCAACGTGATCCGGAATCATCGGTCGAGCCTGAGAAAGTTGTTGGTAGACAGCACTGAACGATCGACAGGGGGTCACGAAATAGGTACCACCCGCTGGCGGAAGTGGATGTTCACGCGGGAGATGATTACGTTTATCACTAGCGGACGAATGCCAAAGCTGCGTGAACTTTCCATGACGCTCGACTCCAAAGACTGGGTAAGAGGTTCTCCAGTACAAATGGACGTTGTTTTCCAGCTAATAGAAGATAAAGCACTATTTCCTACAAAGACTTCCTTACATTCCCCAACTGCGTGCCCTCCACATCCCGCATATTGTCCGTCCAATACATCTGGATTTGAAGGAGCTTGCTCTGCAGGTTCTAGATATTGTCACCCTCCGGCCGGAAATCGGCCTCGGTTACGTGGGAATGCAAAGCAAATGCTATGAAATCCTGGAGGGCAAGAGCAGCGACCCGTATGATTTTCCCGAAACAGACGACATTCATAGCGAAGGATTCGTTCCTGGAGCTGAGAATTGGGCTGGGTCGGATACCAACGACGAAGACACTGATGACGACGGTAGCACGATGGGTTCCCACTCGGAACTGTCCTCGGATGATCGTAGATCGCTGGACGATGGCGACTCTGACTACGAGAGCGGCCGGCCACACGTCTCGTTCCGGTTACGTGAAATTCTGTTTTATGATGACAAAATAGCCATTTTCAAAGCCCGGCATGGCGTTTTATAATAAGTGGATAGGATAGGCAGGCACATGGCAGGGCGGGCGTTGGTAATGATTTATTTGTAACTTCTTGCTTGCTACAAGATACCACGGAGCGATAAGCCAGTGTCGCATTTAATTAAGTGTTTATTCTCGGTTCTTCCTCGCTGAAATGTGTAAGAGAACGAACGAGCTCTACAACGCGCCCTACGTAGAGAAAAAGCGCAGTGGTCACGTGGACGGGCGGTCAGCAGCTTTGGCAGAACGGCAGTCACGATGACCTCCACGACACCAACCTGCGGGCCATTTTAATCATTGAACGGTGCGAGAAGAACGAGGTCTCGATTCATTTCCAGCTCCCATCGCTCCTGTGTGTTCTTTCGCCTGAGCGATCCGATTTACCGCCGCCATGAAGCTCGTCCGGTGAGTGAACCCGCCGAGGCGCGGATATTGCATCTTGCATCTTGCAGCTTATGGCTGAAGCTTTACAATGCAACAGTCATTACCACATGAGAGATAAAGGCTAATACATCCGGCGACAGGTTTTTAATGAAGTGCGCCAATGAGACGGTGACAATTGAGTTGAAAAATGGTCCGTCTGGCCTGTCTCTGCTGCCTCCTTTTTTTTTTTTTTTTTTTTTTTTTTTTGCGTCTACTTTTTCCCACCCCCCTTTTCTCGCTTGCTCGCTCAACAACAATCAAGACTAATATTGAAAGGGGAAAAAAAAAAAAAAAAAAAACAGGCACAATCCTCCACGGCACCGTCACCTCTGTTTCTCCACAAATGAACACTTCCCTGCGAACTGTCAAGATGACACCCAAGGGCCGCGACCCGATCTCCCTCGATACGATCAACATTCGAGGCTCCACGATTCGCTACTACATTCTCCCTGATAGTCTTCCGCTCGACACGCTGCTGATTGACGATACCCCGAAGCCTAAGAACAAGGCGCGCAAGGAAGCGGACCGTGGCCGTGGCGGTGGTGGTGGTGGTGGTGGTGGTCGGGGACGCGGCGGCCGGGGTCGTGGCCGTGGAAGGGGCCGAGGCCGGGGGTTCTAAAGGCATCATCATATCATATCTACATATTATGGATGTAATTCGATCTGGAGTTCTATTTTTTTTTTCTCTCTTCTCTCTTTCTCTTTCTCTTTTCTCGGTTTGCTTCGAGTCGAGACGAGCCTGGTTCTGATGCCCGGGGGGAGGGGGATATATGACGTCTCGTTTCGACTAGGGATTTTGCTCCTTTTGTGCGGGTGGATAACAGTGAAAAGCGAAAAGAAACAAAGACTTGGGCCGGCTTGAAAGCTGGCAAGGAAGGTTACTTGGTATCGGAACGTACCGTTGAATGACGGGAATGGAGAGAAAGAAAAAAAAAAAAAAAAAAAAAAGAACCAGAGGCGCTGCTGCTCGCTAATAGCTTAATCTGCTATTGAAGACAACGGCCATACCCTGGTCTGGGGTACTCCGGCAGACTGGACACATGTTGACCTTGGGTTTGTGATATTCACCATGATAGCCAGCCTTGTGGAATGGGTGGGCAATATGACGATAAATAGAAAAGAATCATCAGCCATGTATTCAAGAATTAAGCTCGTAATTCATTACTGACTCTTTTGCTTCCTCTTTTTCTTGTCTATAAAGAAGAAGAAGAAGAAGAAGAAGAAGAAGAAGAAGAAGAAGAAGAAGCAGAATATCACATCTCCCTCCATATACGGACAATAACCAACTTCTCCCAGCCAGCCTGCATCCCACTATTCCCAACCGTCTCCGCCCTCCATTGCTCCCCCCACCGCCGAATCCTCTCCTTCACCTCCTGGGGCCGATTCTGCGCACAAAGCAAGACATACGCCACGCCCCGCTGCGCATGCAACACCCCGGGGATCGCATCTAACAATCTCTCCGTCGTCTCCATGCCATCCTTCCCGCCCGCATACGTCAGGGAAAGAAAGTACGAGTCGCGGTCGAACTTGGCGCTCCCCGACCCGTCATCGTCATCGTCATCGTCATCGTCAAGACATGGCAAAGGTAACCGGGGCAGATCCTGCGTAGGCACATAAGGCGGGTTGAAAACCAGGACATCTACGCTTCCGGGCCGGATCGCGCTGCAGAGATCTGCCGTGATGGCTGATAACGGGAGGGGTTTGGACTGCTTCTTGTTCCGTGTTCGGGATTCTTGATCTTCGGGATCATTGTTGTTGTTGTTGTTGTTGTTGTTGTTGTTGTTGTTGTCGCTGCGAGGTGCATCCTGGCGCTCGTGGATCGCCTTCCCGATCGTCTTCTGGGTAGCGATGCATGCGTCGCGGTTGACGTCGGTGGCGAGGGTGAGGATGTCGCGCCGGCCGAAGATTCGGTGGGAGTTTGCGGCGAGGAAGGCGAGCACGACGCCGGAGCCGCAGCCGACTTCGACGACTAGTGGCGAGGGCGATGCGGAGGTGAAGCGGGCTGATAGCCAGGCGGACTCGGAGGGGGAGGAAAGCGTGTCGAGGAAGAGGTAGGAGTCTTCGGAGGGTTCGTAGATGGTGTCGAAGGAGACGTGGGAGGTGCAGGGTGTAGGAAGCATTTTCCCCTTTTTCCTTTTTTTTTTTTTTTCTCTCTGAGGTTGGGTTCTTGCGCGTCGATTCAAGACGAATATATATATTATATACTGGTAGAATAAATCTATGTAAGTATATATATATATATATATATATGGATGGATGGATGGTAAAGAAATTCGATGATGATTTCATCCATCAAGTCTTCCTGATTGGTCTGTTTTTCTCCGCCCAACCGGCTGGCACTTCGTTCTACTCACTCTCTTCAGTATGTCTTCTACCATAGCGAATTGACTTGCGAATTGACTTGCGAATTGACTCGCGAATTGACTCGCAGATTGACTCGCAGATTGACTCGCAAAATGAGGATCCTGACCCGCCTCCTCATGGCCTCCCCAGCCTCCATCGGCTCCAAATCTAGCCTCAGCGAAGCCCTCGCCCTCCTCCCGCCGCTACCGCTGTACCGCCGCGTGCTCCGCGTGCACCGCAAGAAACTCGACCCCGAGATGCGCATTCTCGGGGACTCGTACGTGAAGAGCGAATTCCGGGCTCATCGAAGCGTGGACAACCCGTTGCATATTGTACGTTCTCTTGTGCTGGTGGTCACCCGAGGGCGCGCAGGTGAATCGTCCAAGGGAGGCAAAAGGCTAATGCGTGGATGGTAGATTGGCTTCTTAACGGAGTGGCAGCTCTATGCGCAAAAGCTGGAGGGGGATGCGTGGATTGGGGAGAAATTGGATCAAGGGAAGCTGGACAAGATGAGTGGTGAGTTTGTGGTTGGCAGGTGGGCAGGTTGGTTGGTTACGAATGTGCTAACACTGCGTAGATCAGCAAATTGGTCAGTTGTATGAGTTGATGCAGACGATCAAGAGTAAGGAGTAGTTTTTTTTTCTTTTGCTTGCTGGATTATCTTGAGCGAGATCAGTCGACATGTCCACATAGCTTTCACCTGGTCAGAGAGCTGTCCAGGAGCATGTATGATATGGCCTGTACGATAATAACTGTATATATTAATGAAGGTCCAGATGTTCTCCGATCACGGAAGGTTAAAGCGGCGAGCACTATATACATACAGATAGATATATATATATATATATATATATCCACCTCAATACTTAGATAGTCCCGAAGCAACCAACTCAACCCAAATCCCCTCCAAGAATCCAGAACTCACAAAAGAAAAAAGAAGAAATGCCCTCTATACTAGAAGACCCCCTCACAACCCCCGCGCCCCCGCCTACCCCTCCAACCCCAACCTCAACAACGATAACACCCTACAAGACAACCCTGAGGGATTCCCGCCCGGTAACGCTGTACCCGTTCTACAAGGGGAGGTTGTGCTCTTCTTCTCCTTCTGTTCCGATTCCGCAAGACCTACTCCACTTCCTACATGGGGAGTTCAGCGCCGAGATCGAGCGCGGATGCACGTATCCCATGGACGAGGCGATGAGCGAGGAGCGCTTCACGGAGTACTGGTTTGGGGGGGTTGCAGTTGTTGCGGTTTTGGATGCTTCGCCTTCGCCTTCGCCTTCGCCTTCTGAGAACCAGAATGAGAACGGGAATGCACTGCGACAGGGAAGGGATTGGGGAAAGGAGTGTTTGGGGACGTTTTATATCAAGGCGAATTATCCTGGTGTGTCTCATCTCATACCTATACCTATACCTATACCTATACCTATACCTATACCTATACATATGTATATGTATCTGGAAATATACTAATATGAGTAGGACGGTGCTCTCATGTGTGTAACGCTGGGTTTCTCACGACTAGCGCCGTGAGGAATCAAGGCGTCGGGTTGGTGATGGGCCAGGCGTATTTGCATTTTGCGCCGTTGTTGGTATGTTTTTTTTTTTTTTTCCAGTTTCTTTTGATCTGTCTCTGTTTTATCAAATACTAAATATCCAGGGCTACAAATACTCCGTGTTTAACCTGGTCTTTGAGAATAACATTGCCTCGGTCAAGATCTGGGAGAAACTCGGCTTCAGCGTGATCGGAAGGGTTCCTGGCGCGGCGCGGCTGGCAAACAGTGAAGAACTGGTGGATGCATTGATTATCGGGAAGGATCTTTTAAGTACAGAAGCACAAACGCAATAAGAGACGTGGGGATATATGAATCAATCAATGTAAATAAATTCCAGTCAATATACTCCGTACACCTTTGTATACATTTGCGCTAATCAACATCAAGATGCGAAAGGGGGAATCATCGAAACAATCTGGCTGCCCTGGGAACTGTCGGAATGTCATCAGTGATACTCGAGAACCGGAATGCGGATAATACAAGAGAAGAAAGAAGGAAGGCAAAAAAAAAGAAAGACTACCGCCAAGGAGGTCGGTCTGCAAGCTTGCTCCGGGTCGCCGGGGGTTTGTCCTTGCGGGTAGAATTCTGCGGGAGAGGGAGTAAACTGAGCCGACGGCTGCCTGAGTGGCCAAGAGCGGTGCCGGGACGGGCGGCCTTTGTAGGGCTCAGTAAAGGTGGGTCTTGGTCGCTCGACACGCTCCGGCTGAAAGACAGTCCTGCAAAGCTTTGTCGACTGCGGGGTACGTTGGACATACCCTCCATTCCGGAGAGTCGTCGTATGCTGTAAGGGGTCGGCGCGTCGAGGCGCGTGCGGCTCGGTGGCGGGGATGCTGCTGCCGCGCGAGTCGGGCTGCGGGATGCCAATCGGCTGGAAACGCGGCTGGCCGATCGGGCACTGTGTGGCGCGGGAGATGCAGACAGATCCCGATGGGTTGGGCTGTGCATCGGCAGCGTCGACGAGGGACGTGGAATACGATTCGCCGCGGCCGGCGCAGAGGACTTGCGGAACGCCGACGATGGCTTGAACACGTGTCCAACCTCTAAATCGGTGGTGTTGGTGCTGCCGTTCCATCGAGGACGGTTGGGCAAGGGGGATGCTGTGGGGCGCGGGATCTTGCGTGTTGCGGGTGTAGGTGTAGTAGTGAATGCATTCAACTTTGGAGAGGGTGCAGCCAAGGTCGCTTTGGGAATGGCGGGCTTCTTCCCGGTGAGGGTCGCCGTGGGTTGCGGCACCCCCGAATATCGACGGACCTTGGAGGTTGCGCGAGTAGTGGAGCTCACCGAACTGCCACGACGGCTGGACGACCCCAAAGGCGTCGTAGATCTTTTGAGAGTGGAGGCGGTGGTGGTGGTGGTGGTTCCCGGTGTCATGATCACCGAGGAAGCGGGTGAGCTCCCGGGAGTATCAATAACACTTCCCGTAGCGGGACTATCCATTGTGACGATACTGGAGATCGAGTCCCGCATGTGCTGTGTCCTGAAATGCTGAATATCCTCCAGGGACGAGTCCATGACCTTGATGCTGGCTTTCAGGGCATCGATCCTCGAAGTCATGTCCGAGAGAAGCCTCAAGGTCTCTCCGTTGACGGTCAGTCGATCGTTGACTCCTTTCTGGATAATGGAGACGACGCGCTCAATGGCCGGAATGTAATGTTGCTTCTTGGCCTCATAACTCTCAATGCGCTTCGTGAGGCCCGTGGGGTTGTGCAGATGTTGCCCCGTCTCGATACTCTCCTGCAGTTTGGAGATACTGCGTTCAACCGATTCAAACATTTTCCGAGCTTGGGAACCGGCATTTCTGAAAACCAGAATCCAGCGGTCTTCACTGAGCTCCTTCCGCAAGGACTCTGCATCGACTTCCAGCACCTTATAATTCTTCTCCAGGCGACTCCGACGGTCTTCCAGCTCCTCGCAGGCAGACGGGAAGACGCGTTCCGCACGGGACTGGAACATCGACAGTCGCATGGGCAAGAAATCCAGGGATGCCCGCAGGGGTTGGATGCGGGCAAACAGGGCAATCAGATTCGAATGGTTGGTATCATCCTGCGCGGGTTGGATGATGGGGGTGTCGAAGGCGGGTGCAGAAGCAAACATAGGGCCCATACTGAACCGCTTCGAAGGCATCGCGCCACTGGACGGTGTTTCCTCCACGATGGTCTCAAGTTCGTTAATGTCTAGGCCCGTGTTCGTCGGCTCCTCGTTTGCCATGGCAAAATGTCGCTTCTCCTCCATTTCGAAGATCAAGCGACTCAAATTGTCAACCTCGGCTCCCACATCGCCCAGCACGTTGTTCCACAGCTCCTCCCATTCCATTGCCAATTCGACCTGTTCCTTTGCGGCTCGTAGTCGCACCTTGATTTGGGCCCAGCTCTGCAGGATCGTATCCATCTGGATGACGATGGTTTCCAGGCTCTCCGTGCTGACATTACCGATATCCGGGCGGAGCTGAACGTCTTCGATTGCTTTCACGTAGACGTTGATCAGACTTTCGAATTTCGTGATGGCTTTGTCCACCCCCTCCAGACCTTCTCGCCCCCCCGCGGCGGCCCACTCCACATCGTCCTCCGCATCCAATCCGCTGAGCACATTCGATGCCTTCTTGATCCAGATGTGGATCTGCTCTGCGGCCCCGGTGAGAGCCTTGACTGCAGCCGGGGCGTTCGATATCGCGGCGATGCTGGCTTCCAGTGACGAGGGCTGTGGGAGTGTGATGGAGGTGAGCTGCGAGAGTTGGTTGCTGAAGGAGGCCCGGGAGAAGGAGTAGATGGATTCTGTCCGATGGAGGCCTGAGGGGTTAAAGTAAGAGTGGGAGTTCGACGACGCACTCGATGGCGGCGGCGGCGAGCAGTCCTTGGGTGGTGGAGGTGGTGGAGGCGGGTCATCATTTGCTTCGATCTGGGAGGTGCTTTGGATATATTTTTCGAAATCGGTCTGGACCTCGAGCTGCTCTTCCACGTTCGAACCGAGCGATTCGGAACCCCGGGCGGCCGGTGAAGAGTCCACAACCGACATGGTTGCTGGCGTATCTTCCACTGCCGTATCTTGAACCTTATCCTCCTCTCGAGGGGGAGTGAAAGGCAGGACCCGGTCGGCGACGATTGGCGGTGCCAGGGACTCTTGGTGGCCTGTGGCCGGCACACCTTCTTCCGACCCAAGGGTTAAGGCAGCAACCGCAACTAGTGGTGGTGGTGGTTCGGGCAAGTCCGCAAACTGAAATTGTTCGCGGGCTTTGTTGATGAGCGAGAGCCCCGTCCACGAGCGGCCCTTCTTCTCCACTTTAATTGACAGATCTTGATGTAGATTGTCGAGCTCCTTAATATGTTCCTCTGGGATCCGACCAACAGCCCCTATATTGCGGAAGGTAGCAGAGGGGACTTTGCTGCTGCCGTCCAGTAACTTCACCCGGGCAGCTAGGCCGGGTGAGAGCCTGCGGAGGATAGATGGGCGCACAAGGGACTTATCGGACGGGTCGATGAGATCGTCGCAATCGGCTTCGTGGAGACTGCTACTCCCGATGCTTCGAATACTTCGCAGGGAGGATTTGGATTTGACGCGATGTGGTGCTGGGGGTTCATCGGCAGGAGATACGGAAACAAAGGGTGTCGACTGTAGTAGTGGTGGTGGAGGAGGAGGAGGAGGAGGAGGAGGAGGAGACGAAGCTTGCGACGTGGACGAGTTTGGTGGACGGGACTCCGAGGGGTGGTGCGTGGGCGCAGTAGTGGCAGTCGACCCAGTGAAGAGGGCACGCATGGATACGTCCACGAGGCGACCGGCCTAACCCTGGAACCAGATGACGAAGGAAAGAGGAATGAAGGGAACTATCCAGAGGATGAAATCTGGGATGCGTGGAATGGGACGAGTAGGGGCCGAAGTATGTGTATATGTGTCGTTGCGACGGCCCCTTTCACACCAGTTCTGTGAGTAGGGGGAAGGAAAGAGATGAATTCAATCATGAAAGGATGGACCAATTACATTCCCACAGACTAAAGAACAGGATGGATTTTATAAGATGATGATGATGAAGATGGAGAAAGAAATGATGAAGAGAGAAGGGGGAAAAGAAGAGAAAGTGAACGCTGGTGGTTTTGTTTTTTTCCTTTTCTTGTCTTTTCGGCTTCATTCCAGGGATCGCCGTCCACCAGAAGAAGCCTTCATTTCAATAATGAATCCCTTTTTTTTTTTTTTTTTTTTTTTTTCTGATCCTGTATAGGGGTTTCTTCTGTCTTTACCAGTAGGCCTACTAACGGTCGTTTTTGCTCCCTTTCTTCTATCTAGATTCTTCTATTCTCCGGTATAGGGAGTATATAGGGAGTCATCGGTAAGGACTGGGGGGTATATTCTCGCGACCAGAATCAAGGATATACATACGGAGATCCATGGATCATCCTGAAATATCCTTTTCATTTAATTGAGGTACAGAGACGGAGTATTCAAGAAAGTCCAATCAAAGATGCGATGCTTTTATATGTTGATACATGCTGCACTCCATAACTGTAGAGATCTCTACCACAACAACAATGCACCAATACCTCACAAATAAAAATATATACTCCGGTAGAAAAGAAAAGAAAAACAGGCGACAGTCACCAAAGTAAGGGGTATCAAATATGTACACACAATGTGGACTGCAAACAAACGTCATCCCTAAACCCGAGGATAATAAACCAATACGTGGTCCCATTCATCTCCTTCCTTCAATGAGACCCCGTCCAAAAACATCCGACACCGACTCATGCAATTAATGTATAAAATAACCAGAAAGAAAGTCAGGGATAGTTAGTCGTCATGCAGTGCTGACAATCAGCCCATCAACGCTGGCAGCCGTCGCCCGTCTTCTCAACACCCGCAAGTCTTTTGCCAGCTCTTCTCGGACGGCTTTGCACCAAGCAAGGATGGCACGGTCAAATTGCTGCCAGGCCTCGTCGCTGCTCCCATAGACAACTCCCATGACGTCCATTTCTAGCTTCGTCTCCCAGCGGATTTCCGCCGCTTTGGTCCAGTATCGAAGGTTGTCCGCACACCGATATGGCTTGGCTACGTCCTCGTGGAAGGACTTGATTTCGCCAAAGGGTCGCTTGGACTTCCGGACGCCCTGATTGTGGATTCGCACCAGGTCCCGGCCATCCCGAAGGCGCTCGAGCATTGGGGTGGGCAGGGAACCGTTCCCGGGCTCTGTCCAGGCCGGTAATGGGGTGTCGGGGTCTATCAAACTGGCCAGGAACGCTTCTTCCCGGGCTCGTTCCCGACCGGTCCAGTCGCCGTCTATCCAGAGCCATCCTGCGCGCGCCTTGACCTCTGCATCTTCCAGTTGGGCTTCTTGGGAGAGCATCTTGCGCACGTCCAGCATCCACCCCAGAACCGCGGCTCGCTCGTCGTCGCGGAACCCACCCGTAAAATTCCGAGACGCCCAGCGTTTCAGGACCTCCAAGACGTTGAGAAGCTCCTGTCGGATCTCCCGTTCACTCTTAATCGATGCCAGTTGCTCCGGGTGTTCATGGGTAGTGTAGTATATCTTTGCTGCGCGGATTGCCAGGGTCATGACGTCCAGAATCCGCATGCCCTGAAGCTCGTGCCAGCTCTTCTGCGTCCCGGCGATATCTGCCTGTCGTTGTGAATCTTCCTCCGGGTCCATGGTCCCATCGGGTGAAAGGCTGATCCTCGGGGGAAGCATCGCTGGAGAAGGTTCCTTGGGAGACATGGAATCGATCTCCTTCTGTGCTTTCCAGATTGCGTTCAGGAGATCCCTCCGCAACTGTAAGAGATCCGGAGGTGGGGGGATATGGTGCGTCTTGATGCTATACGTGCTCACTGTCGGTGGGAGCATCATTTCATCGGCCTCGTCGTATACGTATTCCTCTAGATCGGGGGTTTCGGTCTCATCCTCGATTGGGCTGGTGGTCAGATCATCCACAAATCGAGCATTCGGGGTGAGGAGCAAGCGGGGAACCTCGTCGGGGTTGGTCTTTTTCTTTCTATATTCCCGAGCATTGCCACCTTTGCCGTCCAACAACCCCGTCCGAGCGAAGTAGTACTGCAAGTGAGCAATACTTCCCAAACTCATCACACTCTCCCGGTTTTTAGCGGAGGCGGCGAACTCGCCCCCCTGAGGTCGAATATACCCTCGTCTCCTTGTTGAGATGGACACGGAAGACCTGGCATCACCGGAGGTGGCTGAGGATGTTGATAGAGAAGAGACTGTTGAAAACGTCCGCACTGGAGAAGGACACGAAGATATCGCCGGGGTTGGGGAGATGGATGGAGATGGGGAGGAAGCTCGTACGGCAGGGGCCATGGAATCAAAGTCGACTGAGTCCTCCATCACGCCGTAGATCAAAGCTGTTGATTAGGGTCATACGAGGGCTGGGGCTGGTTTTTATTTTCTTTTTTTTTTTCGAGAATGATAATCTCAAACAGTGGTGGGAAGCGAGTATGACCAAGATAACCGGACAGGTGGTCCCCAGGCGAATAACAGCGCGTGAGAGGGAGTAAGTAGTGAGTAGTGAAAAACAAGAAGCTGTAGTTATCCTGAGCAGGAGATGAATTCACAAATTGAAGATCGTGAGAGGATCAGCAGGCAAGAACCGACTTGATCTTTTTTCGCCGTTGTTTGAAAGTGAAAGGGGGGGGGGGGCTTCTTTTTCGACACTAAAAGGGGAAGCGGGTCAGGAACTAAATAATAGTAACAGGAGGCTAGGAACAGTCAACACACCACGTCCAGAATCCAGGACTAATATGGATGCAATCAAGGTATTTATAGAACGGGTTCTTTGCTTCTTTGCTTCTTTGCTTCTTTGCCTCCGGATGCAAGTATAATAGGATGCAGCATGCAGCATGCAGCATGCCCCCCTGAAGGTAAAAGACAGTGGATCAGGACAGAGTCGAGAGATCTTCGTGGCATATTCCCATCAATCTGTTCTAGAAACCTCTGCGGGAGACTAGAGTGTCTTTTCACGGAGTCTTTGATTGCCCTGAAGCTTCAAATGCTGCGACTTTTCTTGTCCGGGCTTAGTGGATGGTGTCTAGTGTCGGAGAAAGAGAGAGAGCGCTTCTCCTAATTTCAACTGTCAGACGTCAACATGCAGATTGGACCTGAGAGAGAGAAGAGAGGATATATTACTCCGTATATTACATTATGATCGACTAAGGTTAAATCTACCCATCTCGCTGCTGTTGTGCCAAATAATACAACCTCGGATTTTCACCCTCTCATCCGTCCAGCAGATGATGGAGATGGAACAACAACCCCCGTGGCTTAAATCACCTCTTCTCGTTCCCATCCGGTCGTTTTCAAATGTGCAATCCCCTTGCTTGGATGCGGCTTCGTCAGGTCCTTATACTTGGCGACATAAGGATTGGGATCCATCCCCTGGTTCAAATTGCCCAGGGTGTGGTTCACTTCGCGGTGCTTGGCTTCGTCCGCACGAACATACAAGAGTAGGTCCTTCATGGTCCGGTTTCCCTCGGGCATCTTCCAATACCGAACCGCCATCTCGGGAGCCTCTAGCTTTTCCCACCCGGGGAGTCGTCCGGTCTGGAGATCCTGGATCGCGCGAGTGTAGGTCAACACGGCTTCTTCTTCAAGGTATCCGACGAAACGGTGGCAGGTACGTGGCGAGATGAGATACGAAAGGAAGAAGCCGTTGAAGAAGACGCCCTGTGCCCCAAGAACCATGAGCCGCATGAACCACCCGGGTTCGGCCAGCTTGAGGAAGGTCAGTAGGTGCATCCGCTCGTTGTATGCTTCTTCCAGAAGGGTTTCGATCCTATAAAGACATGATTAGCATATATACATTTTCTTTACTTGGCGTATATCCCCGGATTCGCGTAGAACTGACCATCCGTTGTCCCGTTTCATCCTTCTAAGACTTCTTAAATGTCTCAACATGCCTCCCACCATCCCTGGTACACCCGCCACAGTCTCCAGGAAAACAAATCTCGTCAACCACTTCTTCTCTGTCATCTGGAACTTGGCCTCGTGCTCTTTCCCTGGCGCTGGGTGTCGATACCCTGTGACCAGGTCCATGCCCCATCGGAGCACACGCACACTTCCCAGCGCAACCCAGTCCGCCCAGTTCTGTGCTTCTCGGTGGCCGACGACAACCCTCTGCATTTCTTCTTCGGCGTAGCTAGCGTCCCGTCGATGTTAGCTTTGGGGGACCTTCTCGTCTTGGAAGATTGAAAAAAGAAACGGGGGTTGGCTTACATAGGATGAGCCCAGGCTGTTGGTACTTCCTTCACGCTGGGAGCTGTCGGAGGCGGGAAGAACCCCTTGGTTTGGGTCTGGGGGGTTGAGGAAATGAATCGTTTCGGGGCGGGTTGTCTGGAGCATTTGTTGGTGATGGCGAGGCTACTACATTGTAGTCCGGTGGTCGCGATACACCTTGAGTATGTGCTCACTGTGAAGTGCAGGTAAGATTGACGGAGGGCAACGACCCTGACGGGTGCTGCCGTGGACAATGAGTTCATTGCGAGTCGATGATATATTGATGTAAGAGTAGGAGTATGAATAGATATACTAGTCAAATGCAAGTGTATACTTGGTAGGGAAAGTATCCAAGATATAAAGACAAGTGAACCTTCTCCTGGACCATCCCCAACCTCTCTTGTATTTATACCTATCTACCCAGCGCAGGACCTACGTACATTCATAAGCAGAGAGAATGAATGCAAGGCAAAAATCGGAACTGCAAGAGCAAAGCAAGAATATCCAAGAGTCATAGAGCGGGCCGAGCGAACCCTAACTTCCAAATCCCGATTTCTTACCTTACTTCATCTCGACCTTGTGGCTAGGAATATCTCACCGGAAAACCAAGACTGAAGCATTCCAGAAAAGCCGCCGTGGGTGTTGGATTGAATTACGAAACGGTACAAGGCCTGGATTCTGCACCCACCCAGGGATCAACACCCTGAAGACCCATTGAAATCGATAGATATCCCAGCCCCATGTCTCTCTGCATTCCCTACAATCGAAGTGGAAGCAAGTCCAACACCCTCCCCATTATCATAACACGAGAGAATGCAATCGTCCATCCGAGGAGACAGTCACCGCAATACCGCGAGAGAAATAAGCCATCCGGTAAGATTGAAAATAAAAACGGTGGCCAGCCATGTGACCCGGAAGAAGTCGGGACGGGATTTGACAACACTTTTGACTCAACGCCGAAGATAATTCGGGATAGAAAAATGATTTCAGTTCTGGAGATGATTATTGCGAATTCTTTGCCCCCGGAATCTTCCTCATCAAGGAAAAGGAAAAGGAAAAGGAAAAGGGGGGACATTCACGCACATTAAAGAGATTCAAATATAGTCTCGGATGTCCTCTTCACTCCGAAATGTCCCTCCTCGTCGTCATCTCCTTTCACTTCCAGCTCCTTCTTTTCCAGTTTCACTACATGGGCCAGGCGAGGTCCCTTATCAAGATCCTGGACGAACTTCTGGATTGACTCTTCCGGACCTTGAGCTTCTCCTTCAACCTATTCTAGTAGTTAGTCTACTTGCATCTAATTCTGCAATTCCTGTAGAGGCAGAGGAACCACAACCCTTCCGCAGGGGGTATTCTTAACCCAACCTCGTAACGCGTACTCGGAGGCTCGTTGGCGAGTAAAGTCGCTAAGATTCGTAGTTATTAGATCAAGCGGAAAAGGGTCTTCTTGGGAAAGAGAGCTCACCGGAATCCAACTCCTAGAAAGCATTGCTCTGAATAGACAGGTCTAGCTAGAGCTTGGGGTGATACACCCAGGAGAAGAGGGCTGGCTTACCCTGAACAGTGCCAGAGACCTTGAATGCAATCTGGGGATGGTTAGTCTACTTCAAGAACAGTCAAGTGAATAAGGAAATGAGATTGATACCCTTTTCATGGAGGTGGTTGGTGATGATAATTCTTCCATCTGGTCAATGGGAGGAGGAGTTGTTACTGTAGAGGACCAAGGTTCTGTAGTATACATACATAACTAGAGAATTAAGTAGAATGACTAACCCCACGATTTAACCATGTTATCAATGTTTTAAAATTATCCTGAATTTATATAGAGTATTATTGTGCTTGGAATTAATTCTGTGAATATAGACAGGTAGTCTGTTTCCATTCATTCCCCTGATTCCACCCGGTTTCTCCGCACTTTCGTCTCTTCTTCTCCTTCCGCGCGCGTGTCTTCTTCCTACATCAAACTCCTGCCATGCTGGTGTTAAGATGATTTCCTCAATCCTCTCCGGGTTTCGACGCTTATACTCCCTCGATACTTTGGATACTCGATTTACCGTTCCCGCCAACGTCCCTCTCAAGCTCGCTGCTGAGGACACGCGATCTGCCTCCGCGAAAGATGCCCGCGCAAATGCCATCGCCAGCAACGCCTCGCCGTCGAAATGGGGCACTGTAGAGTTCTACGTTTATTACTTGATCTTTCTGATCGCGGTTCCGTTAATGTTCAAGACTGCAATAGAAGTGTCTCAAGGTGAGCCGCAATCCTCACCTCCGTGGCTGGCGACGGCGACCACGACGACCACGATGAACGGGCTCTGATGGAACTAGAATCACACCCCACCTATACAACTTACTCCCATCTCCTGTCACCGGGATGGATCCCAGGTCGGCAAGTGGTACGTGATTTTCAACCCTTCTCTCTCAATCCCTCTTCGAAAGGTATTGCTGACAACGTTGGTTGGCCCCCCGCCGCTAGGACAACTCCGACGCCCAGTATTCCAGCTTCCGTGATAATATTCCCTACCTTCTCGTGCTGTTGATCGTTCATCCTCTCCTCCGCCGCGTCTATGACTACTATACTCGTTCTTCGGGTTCGAATAATCCTTCTGCGAATGCCGGTGCGGCTGCGGCTGGGGACGCTCGACTTGCGCAGCGGATAAGCTTCGACCTCTATTTTGCCGTGTTTTTTATTATCGTTCTCCATGGCGTGTCTGCGGCCAAGGTCCTTTTCATTTTATATGTCAACTACCAAATCGCCAAAACGCTCCCTCGAAAATATATTCCCGCGGTTACCTGGACCGTCAATATTGCGACGTTGTTTGCCAATGAACTCTGTGCTGGCTTCCCACTGGAGCGTATGGTTGCTTTCCTGACATTGGCAGATGGACCGGGCAAGGACACCGTGTTGCTCCAATGGGCTCGGTATATTGACGGATTCGGGGGCTTGATGCCACGATGGGAAATTTTGTTCAATCTCACAACCCTCCGGCTGATCAGCTTCAACATGGACTTCTACTGGAGTCTCGACTATCCTGCTGCAAGCCCCATGGAAGTAAGTCTTGATCTCCTCTCTCTAGGCATCGTCAAGTCGGTCTCTGACGGTCATAAGAAGAAACAACTCGATCCGGCATCGCTTTCTGAGCGTGACCGGGTCCGGATCCCTGCCGAGAAATCGGCTTTCAATGGCCGTAACTACATCGCCTACACCCTCTATTCGCCCTTATACCTAACTGGCCCCATCTTGACCTTCAACGACTATATCTCCCAACAAAGATTTGCCCCGCAGTCTCTCACGAAATCCCGCACCATTCTCTACGGAATCCGTTTCTTCCTAACTCTCTTCGCCATGGAACTGATGCTCCATTTCATCTACGCCGTCGCCATCTCCAAAGCCTCCCCCAACTGGTCCCTCTACACCCCCGGCCAACTCAGCATGCTTGCCTACTTCAACCTGCACATTATTTGGCTCAAACTCCTCATTCCTTGGCGTTTCTTCCGCCTCTGGGCCCTACTGGACGGCATTGATCCGCCAGAGAACATGGTCCGCTGCGTCTCCAACAACTACTCCGCCTTTGCCTTCTGGCGCGGCTGGCACCGCTCCCTCAATCGCTGGATCGTACGCTACCTCTACGTTCCCCTCGGCGGTGGCGGCAGCAGCAATCGTTCTACCACCGGGACCCCAGAAAATAGGAAACTCTCGGCATCTTCCTCCTCTTCTTCTCCTTTCTACGCCAAAGCCCGTCAAATCTTCAACTTCCTCGTCGTCTTCACCTTCATCGCCCTCTGGCACGATATCAACCTCCGTCTCCTCATGTGGGGGTGGCTGATCACGCTCTTCGTCTTGCCCGAAGTCATCGGCACGTTACTTTTCCCCGCAAGCCGCTGGCGCTCCCGTCCAAACACCTACCGCATCATCTGCGGCATCGGAGCCGTGGGTAATATCCTGATGATGATGATTGCGAATCTGGTTGGGTTTGCCCTGGGCATCGATGGCATCAAGGGACTTCTGGAGCAATTACTGGGCAGCTATGCGGGCCTGGCGTATTTGGTTTCGGCTTGTTGTGCGTTGTTTGTTGGGGTTCAGGTGATGTTTGAGATTCGGGAGGAGGAATTAAGGGCTGGGATTCGCATGAAGTGTTAGTTGTTATTTTCTAACTCTCTCCTTCTCCCTCTTCTTTTTTTTTTTTTTTTTGTTTCTTTTCCTCTTCTTCTTCTTATTTCCTCTTCCGTACTTGTATTTGGTGCATCTTTTGCAATGTTTATATATGTGTAGTGGTTTTATGTCACTAGGAAAATAATTTAGATGTTATGATGGGTATTTATTTGTATTAGCGGGTATCTGGGTATCTGGGTTTGCCCATTCTGCCATAGCTCTAATTAATGGAATATGTAGGTTATGTCCATCTTGATATTCCACTCCACAGTCTGGTGTTCCTCAGTGTCTGTCTATAGTAGTAGTAGTAGTTGTTGTTGTTGTAGTGCGGAGCCGGAAGTGTTGTGATATCGTGATATAGTTTCAACAAGAAACTAAAGACCAAATATGCTCTTGTTAACAGACTTGAGAATCTGCTAGACAAATTTCTGTCGAGATATTGGTGTCCTTGGTCCTGTATGGTCACGGTAGCCCAGGATAAGGGAGGCGGATGAGCTCTTCGCCCCTAGATAAGTGGCGGATGGAAGAGTATCCATCCGATATATACCGTGATCTAATAACGTTCTGAGTGCCAGAGCACCAAAAGAAAATGGGGGGGGGGGGGAAGGAATAATCCCTCAAGGAAGATGAGGAAAAGAAATTCATTAGAAGAACGCTCCACACCGCGAGTCCTCATGAATCTTATAACAGTCTAGTCCACATGTGCGCTGGTGGCAATTCTTGCACCGGATCTTACCCCAATATCCACACATACAGCAAAAATGCCGCGGCGCTCTCCCCGTCCCTGGCGGCCCAGCACGCGAAGCATTGTACGTTAGCGGAGGCTCAGCGAGGAGAGCCTGCATGATACGTTCTGACGGTGCAGAGGGGATATACGAGCGGAGAAGCGGGTCGGTATCGTGTTTCGACTTGATGAGTTGGGTTTCCGATTGTTCTTGTTCTTGTTCTTGTTCTTGTTCTTGTTTTTCGTCGTCTTTTCCATCTTGCTTTTCGGCTTTCGTGGGTGGAGCTGCCGACGAGCCTGCCCTCCCCGCAGATATCTTCCGCGACAGTGGTTCCTTTTTTGATCGCGACGGCTCGAGTCCCGGCGTAGTTGCTGTAGCTGGCGTTGAACTTCTTCGTAGCGACGATGGCTTGGTAACTTTGCTTATCGACGGTCGTTGCGCAGGGGTAGGTGCCGCTGCGGCTTGCGCCAACGCGGCTTCCTCATCGTCAAGGTAATTGCGGAAGGTCTTTTGTGACTGGAGAATACGGCGTACATTCGACGTGACTTTACCTCTTGTCGCTAAAAGCCCGACCGAGTTAGTAATCGCTTTTGTTTGCCCCCTTTCCACCTCCGTCCCCCAAAAGAAACATCTTCGATTACATACCCTTCCCAGCATCTTTCTGCGGCTTCACTGGAATCGGAATCGAAACATCCTTGTGGTTTTCGCGATCGAGCTCTGCGAGGTGTCGAACGATGGCATTAGTTCGTCTAGAGGACACGTCGGTTCGTGCAGGGCCGCGGATTCCTCGTTTCCTTCCCAGATTAGGAGCGATTGCGGCTTTGGCAGGGTCGAAGCCTCGATCGGCGACGTACGTCCAGCCGGGGGTGACGTGAGTAGAAGTGTTGGCGATGAGTTCGACGTGATACATTATCGGTAGGATTGGAATAAGATGGAGGATTGCCAGGATTGAAGGCGCATGATGGGAGGTAAGATGGGTTGTTGGTTGTTGCAGACGGAAGGGAAATTTTGATATGACGTTGTGAAAGTTGCCGGTTTGCTTTGTTTGCACCAAAAGTTGCCAGGGAAGAGAAAACGAGTGGATTTTGTTATGGAGATGGGGAGAAGGAAACCAGGATAAGAGTATATTTTATTTCTGTACAGATATTAAAATCACAAGTTACAGATCTTGACAAGTATTTCATCCACATAGAACCCGTTTCAGGAGAGAGAGATATACCACAAGATGAGTTCACCAATGATGCTAGAAAAAGTCGACTCGAACACAAAGAGTAACTCCGGATGAAATGAAAATGAAATCAAGCACAGATTCTGCTTATCGAAGCGTTTATTTTTTCTTTTGTAGCTGGTCCATCCTCGACTCCAGCTCTCCAATGTAAGTTTGAAGTTTTTGAGTTGCAGATTGTAAAGCCTGATTGATTCATTGGTCAGTCACCACGAATACATACTTCGCAGAACACCTAGGGAGGAGGAGGAGACATAGTATTAAAGGGTGAATCATACATTGATATCTTCATTCAACATCTCATTGGACGTTCTGTACTCTCCCAAGATGTAGTAGTAGACAACTGCGCCCGCCGCAACCGCTCCAGAGAGGAAGCCAAAGATTCTGTATAGAAGAACCCCATGATTAGCAAAACAGAGGATACAACTTCAACAACGCAACTTTCGAAGTAGGGAATCTGGGAAGTATATATACCCTCCACGAAAGGCCCCCACGGGCTTCCTAGCAGGTAAAGTAGATCCGGCATCCTTCATGAAAGGAGAGGCCGAGAATCTCCGCGCAGGGATAGGTCCAGGCTTTGTTACGAGGGAATGGAGCCCAGGAAGCATCATCCGTCGCGTGCCGACATTCATGGTCATGTAGAGCTCGAACGGCTGGAACTCGAGTTAGTAAGGCAACATACCGGGAGGGAGGCTGTGAATCCGATGCAAATGTACTGTCTTACACCAAACAAGATAGAAGGGAGGGGGGCGAATTTAAAGAAAGGAAATGGTGAAGCTTGGGATGGGTGACGTTGGTGTTGCCGGTTTGGGCGGAGAGAGACTTGGGCGGTGTTGGCCAATAATCAGCCCCCGACGCCTTCCTGCTGTATATCATCACGATCACAACCACCACTACCTCACCATTGTCTACCATAAACAGCTAGCATTTTGGATGGGAATTCGAGAATGATATGCTATTTATAATTCTGTTACTTCCAAGTTTGCCTTCCCCCCCCCACCCTCCAGCCTAATAGTACAAGAAAATCTTCACAAGTGCTAGTTAGCCATTGTACTTTCGTTGAACAAATCCGCCAACAGATCGTCACGACATGCGTCCAGGTTCGGACTGCTGATGCTGTAGGTGCTCTCAAAAGCATGGATGCTGAGCTGGTCGAAAAATGGGCCAAGTACCCGATCGACAATTTCATCCTTCGCAGTCTCGCGGATCCAGTCTGCGGTAAGTCCCGGATACCTCGCGCCATGGTGAAGCTCGCGTGTTTCTCCAGCGCCGTCGGACGACGTACGCCCGCGTACCCCTCGATTCTGAGACACTTCATCGGCGAGTGCGATCGTTTCTAAACGCTCGGGAGGGTACACAGCGTCAATAGTATCCGTGACGTATAGCCATTCGATTAGTTGGAAGTCGTCTGGTGCAAGGACCAGCAGTGTATCTAGCAGCTTGCAAGCCTGTAATAGGGAGTAAGGATTATACAGCTCCGACTGGGGCCCTGAAGCAATCGTTGAGATAGCTTCCTGAAGCTCTGCATTGATTAAGGGCCAGAATTGACTCAGTGATGTCGTCGTGTTTTTCAGCGTGAGAGCGCGAAGAACCATGAATATCTCCGCTCTGGTAGTAGACGACGGGGATGAGGAAGCCGTGGCCCCTAGGAGATCCTCCAGCTTCTGCAGCAGTGCCGGCATTTCTCCAATGAAATAATCCCTGCTTGATGATAGAATAACTAGACTTATCCGGCGGAGATTTAACTGAGCTCTCCGGTCAGCCTCCAAGCGGGCCGCCGAAGCTCCGACACCGAACATGATACCTGCCGTACTCGGTGGGGTAAGACGAGACATCAATTCGGAGAGTCGGTCTCTATCAGCTAGAACCCATTGTCGTAACAGCCCCATCCAACCATCCTTTACCAGGTCGATCGGAGAGCCGAAAAACCTGGGATCATTGAAAGCTTCCGCGACATCTTTCTTCCAAAATTTGGAAGCCGCCGGAGATTTTGCTATAAGCTGCAACAAGGTCATGAAGCTATGGTTGAGATTGTTTGGGAAAAGGCGAGAACGTAAGAGAGGCCCAATTACGTTGGTGGATATTCCGGACACGGCGGTGGAAATCCGATCCGAGTCTCCCAAGGTCGTTGTGAAGGCAGGCATGGAGAGAGCGAGAATACTTAGCATATCATCAGGGCCAATATGTCGTACGGAGGAGCTATCATAATCCAATGACGCGCGTCCCAATAGTCCTTGCTCCTGGGAGAGCCCTAGAGGTTTGCTTGTAAATATCGCAGTGAGGAGACGCAAAAGCACATCCTGGACATTGTAAGTTTTAATTAATCACTGAGGATGGTGAAGAAGACATACCCCGAGTTCTTTTCTCATCCGTCGGTCATCCCCGAAGCTTGTGTTATCCAACTTGGCTCCCAAGATTGCCGCAAACTCAACCAACCGTGGGAGAATCTGTCTGTGGGGGAAAGGATTACTTAGTACATCGCGCAAAAAGGTCGTGCAGTCTGCCCATATCTCGTCAAGGACGTCATCGTCAAGTGATCTGGCGTAGGTCACTAAAAACCCCGCTAGCTCAGACTCGGTGAGATTAGAGGTCAATGTTGATTTGCGGCTGGGATCGAGGGCCGCAGGATTGGTTCGGGTATATATAGCATTGAAGATAGCGGGGATAGCAATTTTCGGGCGAGACCCATCGAGAGTGTGAAGCAGACTGAATATCAAAGGCGAAGTCTCGCTGTCAGACTTAATCCACATCTCCACCATGGTTTCAAGACATTCTAGTGCCTCGGCGGTGAAAAGGTGTTCAAGAATCCGTCGAGACCTGTTTCGCATTCGCAGGGATGTATACTGGAAGGAGGCTATGGATTCTGCATCCTGCGGAAGGTTGCTCTTCTCAGCCGCACCCCATGACCAAATTGAAAAACAGAGACGCACAGCGTCTTGGAAAGACAGTAAGACGGTAAGCCTGTTATTCATGGCGGTTGAGCGCGAATGGTTCGCATCAGATGTAAAAACTCCGGAGACCATATTCCCAAAAAAGCCTTGTGTTTGGTCCGGGCTCTTTACTACTGGAATGTTTGCCTCTTCTATGAGAAGGCGGTCGTGAGCAGCTGCGATACATGTCTCAAAGCCAGTGAGAAGAGAGATGGTCGTGTGTTCTGAGCGGTCCTCAGGCCATTTTTCTGTCTGTTTAAATGAGAGCTGAAGGTTTGCGTAGGAAAGCTTAATTTCTTTACAGAAGCATTCCACTAGCTTCAGAAGAATTTGGAATATGGAAGTCGAGTATAGTGGAAGGACTTCGCAAAGCAGCATAGTCCATTTCTCCACGATTTCCCGAGAGTTAGGAGAGCTAATGCCTTTGAGAAGGCAATCCAGGAGATGTTGAGGTGGTTGGGGCAGTGGCGCTAGCACTGGTGTTTTATCGCCCTTGTCGCTCGTGAAAGACAAGATCGAAGGGCTTGTCAACCGCTCACGAGACCCGACTCTTTGGTGCTTTGGTCGAGGAGGAGGAGGAGGAGGAGGGGGTGGTGGTAAGTAGGCTTGGGCGAAGCGGACCTTTAAAATGGCCAAGAGAGTATCGATAAGGGCGGCTTGGATAGCAACGTTGCCACCCTGATCAAGCGCAAGGCAAAGTTTATCAACAAGGAGCGAGTCAATCCCAGAATCCACGAGTTCTTCGGCTCCAGGGCCGAGGAGAAGCTGACGCATGACTGCAAGACAGCTTTGCTGTAACTTAACCTCCTCCCTCTCTGCTGGTGAAGCGGTTCTGTGTCCACTAACAATTTTCAGGGACGTTTGAAATATTATTGTGTGAAGACTTGGAGCCTCAGCATTATCTATACACGAATTATTATAGGAACTAGAAGTTGAATGCCGCTAAGCTCAACTCACCCTCCGAGACAGACATGTCGTGGCGCCTGTTAGTTTGAAGCAGTGTCTGGGTGAGAAGTGCGACCCATCCGTTGTGAGAAAGAGCATTAATGGCATTATGGATTGTTTCCAAAAGATAGTTGCACTCAGAATAGTCATCAGGAGAGACGATAACGTTCCCATCAACCACTTCAGACTGGTCTGATCTTTGCAAAACACTCTCCAATCTTGAAATAACTATTCGAAAGACTCTATGTAATGTTAGCTTTTGTTGGAAGAATTCCAAGCCTACGAAAGACACTAAACTCACTTGGCTATCGATGGCAGGTCCTGAAGCCAGAGCTGGACAACCTGTGTGGCATGGGTTGAGCCTCGTGAGAGTAAATCTAAAACAATGAAGAGAGGGCGTTCTAGCATTGAAGAATGATAAGAAGCTTGACATTGGGCTGAATCGTGGAGGTGCTTTGGGGGAAGCTCATATGTTCCATGGTGGCTGTGATTCCAAAGGATAAAGTATCTGTCAGCTTGGTCCTCTGAGGAGAGCTGATAGGACCCCGGCATTGATGAAGTAAACATTAAGGAGGTTATAGCAGATTCAACAAGATGGTCAAACCAGGAGATGGAGTGCAGATTCCACAAACAGCGGACAGCTTCGACATGGAACTTAGGGCTAAATGGCGAGAGAAAATTCCACAGTTGTTTGACAAGGAGCGGAATCAGGTCGGAGACATCTTCGTAACTAATGTAGTAGCCAGCTTTCTGGATGCAATACAAATTCGTTAGGGTGGAGGAGACGGAGGATATAACCGGGAAAGAGGCGGTAGACGATTCAGCTCTTGTCGTTTGAATCCTCTCATTGACTGAGAGATAAAGTCGCCTGTCACGTAAGACGCGTGACTTTGGCAGTTTGTTCAGTATGACTACCAGAAGGTTTAGCCGTTCTGGTATTGAAGCAGTATCGTCATGGCCATCGAGTGCTAAAATGGTTAGCTCGTAGGTAGTTTTAACAAGCAATTCCGCTAAATCTCTAGGAACCAGGGGGAAAGGTTGTGGATCGAGACAGTTTCTGCTTTGCTCGTAAAATCCGTGTATTTTCTTCAAGATTCCGGGTCCATCAAGGTCGAAGATGGACTGGCCGTTGACCAGATTTTTAGAGTCAGGCTTTCGGAGGAAAGCACGCTCTGTTAGAAGTCCAATTAAAGAGTTCAGTACTTTCGATAGCCCATTTGAAACCGCTCGTAATAGATCACGAGGGACCGCTAACAAATGCTCGGAGGAAAGCTCGGAGATTTTAAGCAAAGTGGACAAGGTAAGCAGTGGAGCGTGAGCTAGAACCATGTCTTCTTCCCGAACATTGAAGTTTTCCAAGATAAAATGAGCAAGTTCCAAGTTTTTCAAAGTCCGCTCGGTATGATGACGAAGGTCGTTCACATTCCAATCGACTAAATTCAACAGTTCGGAAAATATCATACCACTTTCAACCCCATCAAAAAAGGATGTGGCACTTCGAAAAACTTCCGCGTAATGGTTCTTGGGAGCGGTCTGTTCATAGGCCTGGACGCTTCGTATAAACGGTAGAAAAACTGCGGGCACAATGTGTCCACCGACCTCCCAGCGGTCCATGAGCGAAAGTGATATCCTGAAGGGCCTTGCACGTTCCGAGGGAGTCTTGGACTCCTGCTCAAGCATCTGAAGAAGACCTTTCACCAATGGACGTAACCCAAACCGACTGAAGTACTGAGACTGAGTGAGTTCATCGCTTTCAGCCGCGGGTTTCGGCGCAGGTTCTGATATTGAACGGCGGGCCTCGAATGACGCACGGTCACTTGCCGGATCAGGACCCAGAAACCAAGCCCATAGTCTCCTATTCAAGCCCATATCTCGCCGGGAGACCACGCCGGTTGCTGCAATAAGGAGTTTTTGAAGATCCACCTCGGTGATTCGGGACTGTAAGATAGGAGAGCTTAGAGGAAGGTGTGTTACGAGTAGATCAAGGAAATTCCGCTGGACAAGAACTTGCTCGTCTGCTAAACCTGTTGCAAAACACCGAATAAGAAGGCCAGGTTCGGGTAAAATCACGGAGTTTGCAGCGACCTGCATGGCATGAGGCATATTAGCCGCGTCTGCTTCATCACTCCTGCTCGGTCTACGGTGTGTTATGCCCAATTTCGGGAGAAAGCGATTCAAGTAGGCGAGGACGCCTGATCGACGGCTGGGACTCGTAATTGACGCGAGAAAGAAGCATTGCCAGAAGTATTGGCCAGTCGGGTTTGCTTCTGCTCGGGATCTCTGGGTATCCATCTGGCTAGTAATATCCCGGAATTTATTAATCAGGCGCAGGGTAGGGTCGAAATCATCGCTCGTCTCTTCCTCAAGTCCGGGAAGCAGGGCTAGGATGATCGCTTTCAAAGCCGGCCGAATCGCCCATGGTTCCAGTGCGCATACGTATGTTTCCATCAGGGATAAAAACAATGGGCGAACCGTGAGTGATGCGAATGTCAGGGTAGGCGCAATCCCCGGTAGGTATAACGGAAGATCGTGAGACAAGCCTTCTGGCCTGATGAGATTAAATACATAGGTGTAGACTTCGAGTGCCTTTTGGTGTACACCGGAGGGTAGAGAGGGATTCAGGCACTGAGATAATCGCTTCGAGACAGCCACTTTGTGAGGAACAACAGGCAGGTCTGGGGGATGGGATTGAAGTGCCTACATAGGAGTTAGGAAACATGGTTAGCAGCCGAGCTATGAAGAACTGCAATGCGTAATGTAATAACTTGCCTTTAGAAGTCGACTCAGGAACGAAATGTAATCCGCCCATTCCTGTAAAGCGGTGTCGAACAGCGACAAGGCGCGCTCGACACTTGAGGCATATCGGCGGTAATTTTTATCCTTTCTCAAAGAGTCTATATCCAGTGCATTAGATCCAACAGGTTCCCCGGGTGTGACGACACGAAGATGGGTGTAGAATTGACATTATACTGACCGTCTTTCCCCCGGAGCCGGGAGCGTGTTAGGGAGCTATCGGAGCTGGCGGGGGAATTGGACCTGGGAAACGAGCTCGGATCAAGGCTCATGGTGCGATTGTCGAACACTGAATAAGGGCGTAGAATCCGACAGATCGCCTCGCATCATAGTTCATGCATCAAAATCCCGTCGATCGAGCGAGGGGGGGGGTGGGTGAACAGACGCTGAAGCCACGCAGCCGAAAGCGAAAGCGAAACCGCCAACCAGGCAGGAGATCAGTTTTACTAAGTCCGTCCGCCTTTGAGGAGCTTCTCTCCTCCCACCAAACCCTGGCGTTGCTGTGATTCTTGACTTTTCTTAATATATGATAATATGCTTTACAGATCCTAACTGCACCCCTTTTGGTCATTCGTGAGGCAGATGTTCCGCTCTCTCCAATGCGCGCCAGCTACTTACTATGGACCCGGAAGTTCGCGATCCGCCACGGGGCTCATCCGGTGACGATGATGATGATGATGATGCGCAGGCCCGTGTGAAGGATGAATCTGTCTATTTAACAAGCGATCAATCTCGATGTATCAGCTCCGATCGCAGTTCTAGCCCCGAAGGCCGTCCCCCACCTTTACCTCCGCGTCCCAATACCCTCAGCCTGTTGGAGGATGGAGGCGCACCTCCCGGGACTCCGCGACTGAATACCCCAGTGACGCAGCTACCTCTGCAGTCAAGGGCTACCACCGCTGTGTCTTTAACGGATATTGCGTCTTATGAAAATGGAAGGGACGTCTTCCCCCCCGTTCGCCCACTCCCTGGCACTTTACGAGCCAAGGCCAGCCTGAGCCACCTAGCCCTAACTACCCCCAAGGGTGGGAGTGACGCTGGTGATTCTGCGAGTGTTCGAAGTTTTGCGCCATACACCGAACTTGGTGATGGTGACAATGTCTTCAACGATCTCGCATCATCGGACCCCGGGGTTGTTCAAGAAGATAGCACTACTGGTTTGATGCAGTTTCCCGAGTTTCAGGCGGATGACATCGAAGACGACTTCACAGGTGAATTTGAATCAGTCGGGGATATTGGTGAGCAGGGAGAGAATGAGGGTAGGTGTTCTCTGTGGTTTGGGGTTCACACGGTGGATTGCTGACCCTTTGTTTGATCATCAGAGCTGGTTTTGAAGAACTGGAAAGCAAAACGGAAACACTACATCATTCTTTCGGCTGCTGGAAAGCCGATCTGGACCAGACATGGGGATGGCGGGCTCATTTCAACCTATGTTGGGATTATCCAGACCATCATCTCCTTCTATGAAGATTCCGGGGACCGCTTGAGCAGTTTTACCGCTGGCGATACCAAATTCGCGGTGGTAACCAAAGGGCCATTACATTTGGTTGCAATCAGTCGAATTCTCGAAAGTGATACTCAACTCAAGCTTCAACTTGAAGCGCTGTATATGCAGATTCTATCTACGTTAACTCTTCCGTCTCTAACCCACCTTTTCTCGGTGCGGCCGTCTACCGATTTAAAACGCCCGTTGCAAGGATCCGAAACGCTCCTATCAACACTCGCGGACAGTTTCACCCGGGGCTCGCCTTCAACCTTGCTTTCGGCTTTGGAATGCCTGAAAATCCGCAAATCTCACCGTCAAACCATCAACAACACCCTTTTGAAGACAAAAGTAAGCAATCTCCTCTACGGCCTCGTGGTTGCAGGCGGTCGCCTAGTCAGCGTGATCAGGCCCAAGAAACACTCATTACACCCCGGTGACCTGCTGCTATTATTTAATATGATTTTTGAGGCAGAGGCCGTCAAAGCTGGCGGTGGCGAAAGCTGGATTCCGGTGTGTCTCCCCGGATTCAACAGCAGCGGATATTTATACATGTATGTCAGCTTCCTCGATCTCAGGGAGGACGCCAGCAGTGCAGCGGAAGACACAGCCACAAAGGAAGAATCGGTTGCAATTATCTTAATCAGCACGGATAAAGAAAGCTTCTTTGAATTACAGAAAATGAGAGATATCTTTGTGGAGGTATGATCGCGTTTTTGCCTTGGGAGTTGCTGCGCCATGACATGACCTGACTGACTTTTGTCCAGCAAATGGAAAAAAACGGCAGCATCAAAATAATCAAGGAGGCCATCGACAAGGGCCGACCAAGCACAACCGACATCGTCCCAGGGACTGTCTTGCATCACTTTATGTACAAATCGCGGGCGAATGTACAATTCACGATGTCCTCGTATGACCTAGAATTCTCGTCTGCCTCCCGACGTCGAAGGTATGTTGGTCGGTTTCTTCCGAGCCACGCAGCCCTTGCAGCTAACTCTTCTGCTCTAGGCTGATGTCGACGTATAATAACCTTCACGCGAGCGTTCACGCAAAGCATACCCATGTCAAGGTGCACCACTGCGTCACACAGTCCTCGAGTTCCTTCGCATGGGTAACCCCCGTATTCGAACTCTACTGTGTTGCTGGTCCACATGCAAATCGCAACGCGCTCGCTCAGAGCGCTAGTAAGATTGTCCAGTGGGTACAAAAGGAAGAAGAAAGATTATTCATCATCGGTGGCGCTGTAAGGCCCTTCCTTCCTTCCTTCCTTCCCTCCCTTCAGTTGAGTCTCAAGAAATATTACTAACGAAACCATCAGGTTTTTTGAGCCCTCGATTCCAATTTTTTTTTTTTTTTTTTGGAGTTATCTCATGGGTGGAGATATATTATATTATATTATTTATTGATTTTACCTATAGACCAAGAAGATACTCTGTATAAGTCCTGTAAATACTCCTTTGCTACCTCTCAACTGAAATCCTATCATTCATTTCCCGTGTCATACGTTGGTCATTTCAACCATAGGTCTTACATATTAAGCATATGTATGGCCTTAAGCCTACTACCTAGGTAGCTGGCATCGCAGAAGCATGCTTTAGTCGATCGTGTCGTCCCGAAGAGCGAAAAGCTGCTGTATAAGCTCATCCGATTTGCTTCGAATAGCGTTGTGATACATCACGTTCGTGATGAATTGCTTGATCCCCTTGATCTTTCCGGCGGTATTGGAGGCGTGGTCATAGTGGACATACATGTCATCGATGAAGGTCGCCGCGTAAACGGGGACTTCATTCTTCGCCAGCTGGGCTTCGTCGTAGAGGGCGGGCCAGTTTTCTGTCGTGGCTAGGATATCGGCGGCATCTCTGATTTTATTGAGCTCGTCGTAGGAGTCGAACATGTCTTTATAGATCTATTACCATATGAGTCGGGGTTTCGCGTTAGAAAAATTCAGCTATAGGAAATTTTTGGTTGTTGGAAGAGGAAAGGGGGAAAGGGACGGAGGCTTGCCATTTCTCCAGTAAATAAGATTTCTGGTGCATCATCAGAAATATTGAACTGGGCATTTGAGGAACGTAATCTGTCTGCAGACCAGGCCGAGGCCTCTCTGTTTGGCTGTTAGTAATGAACGTGTGCTCTTCTTCGTCCATCCTTACCCTTGACAGTAAATCGATTCATGGAGGATGGCATAGATGATATTACTATCGAGGCCGCCATAGCTGTCGAGTGCGATGAGGGTTGGATGTGTTATGAATCCAAAGATTTCCAAATCGCTGGAGGCGCGGAAGATAAGATCTAGATATGCTTAGCAATTCGTAAGCAACCTTAGATGAAGATTGGTATGTTACCATGAATACTATCAAGTCCGCCTATTAACGAGTTAGAATTTTTCTTGGTAACCAGGGATAAGGTGAAGATCTTTCCTACCGTGCATGCCGAACGCAATACCTAATTGCTGGATTCGCTCAGGAGTAAGTGTCCCGGATGGAAGAGGGACTTTGTTTCCCTTGAGATATTGCATGATCCTTTTAACCCGCTCTACATCCTCGGGAAACTTGGAGTAATATGCTTGGTTCCGCTCAAGGACCTTTTCTACTGAGAGTTAGATGGACAAATTACGCATACAAACTGGGGGAAACACCCCGGGTTTAGACCTACCATAAGTGCGAGCATACACTGCATCTGGACCATTCACGAGAGGAGGAAGCCCGCCACAGATAAAAACCTCAGCCAGGCCTTCTGGACTTTGGATGGAGGACAAGTATTAGGGCAAAGTGTCCGAGATGGAGGATGGATGGGCCTTAACTTACAACATGGAAAGGTAGGTCACGGCACAGAACCCCCCAAAACTCTGGCCGATTATACTCCATTTTCGTTTCTCCTCGGGGTAGTCTGCAGTAAGACACCGACGGATAGCTTCACAGTCGCGGACAATATTGTCAGCACGAAAGTTTTTCAGGTATTCAGCTTGCTTGACGGCATTTCCTTGCAAAGCTAGGGTGCCTGCTGTAATTGTAGAACTGAGGCCAGTGCCTCGCTGGTCAAGGAACAGAACCTATACGACCCTTAATAAAAAAAAAATTGGCGTAAACGAAGAGGGTCTACTGTGTATAATAAATCAAAATATGGCATAACGGACCTGGTACCCCTTATCAAGGGCTGATCCAACCCAGCCATACTCCTGCGGAGGGCGACAACCCATTCCTGGACCACCCTGTAAGTAGACTAGCCAGGGGATAGGAGGCTGCTTGTCATCCTTCACGGGCTCAACAGGCTTCACCCAACGGCGCACACTACGAGCAAAGAGTCGTAGCGTGCCATTTTCTGGTTGACTGTAGTTGATAGGAACCTCGAAGAACAGCTCTGCCACACGGAGTTTTCCTAGAATGGCAGCATATCAGCGCAAAGCCTCACTGGCAACGAGAATACCCCCCCAAATGTACCTGGAATCGTATGGAGCCGTCTATCAATAAGTGCTGCAGCCATTGTGCCTCTCAACGAAATCGTGGAGGTTTTGCGACAAGAGAGAATGAGCAGACGGGACGGGATGTGGAATTATTGCAAGAGTCCACTTCGTGCGCGCTGGTCTGGATTAGACCAACCCCCGATGGAACTTAACTTCCTTAACCCATTAGCGCTGTTACTCCCCGCCAAACGGATTGCTCCCCTTGGGCGATGTCCACAGTATCATTTCTTCTAAGTCATAATATTAATATGACTGGTGCTGCCCCTGCTTACAGAGTAGGAGTTCTACCGAATAACTGATCCCAATATATCCTCGACCTCATGAACACAAACACCCAACGGACCGCGGAAGAGCACGGCGAGCTCCAGCGAAAGCTATGGGAAGTTTTTCAGTCTCCCAAGTCCACTGTATTGCCGGATGCTCAAAGCTTAGCCAAAGCCCGGGCATCTCTACCAACTTCTCTTCAGGCGAGCGGCGTCGGGTTTGAGTCTGCTAGGCGACATATCTTAGAGGATCTTGTCCCAGCTTTCAACAACAGCAGCATAAGCTCCAATTACTATGGCTTTGTTACTGGCGGGGTCACTCCCGCCGCCCTCTTTGCAGATAATATCGTTTCTGCGTACGATCAGAACGTTCAGGTACACCTCCCTGACCATTCTGTTGCGACAGACGTTGAATATGTGACTCTGGGTCTTCTCGTAGATCTTCTACAACTGGGTCGCGATTGGCAAAATGGCACCTTTACGACTGGGGCGACAGCGAGCAATATCCTGGGGTTGGCCTGCGGAAGAGAATATATCCTGCGAACTGCCCTCAAAGAGAAAGGGACAGCGGCTATTGAGAGTGTAGGAGAGTCGGGACTATTTGAAACCATGCAAGCGGCAGGTCTTTCAGGCATACAGATACTCTCGACGATGCCACATTCATCCCTTGTCAAGGCAGCTGGGGTCCTGGGGATTGGCCGTGCCAATGTTAAAGATGTCAGCCAAGATAACGACCCACTGAGATTCAATTTGGAGCTGCTTGAAACTGAACTACAGAGGCCTGGTAAAGCAACTATTGTCGCCGTGTCGTGCGGAGAGGTCAACACGGGCCAATTCGCGACGGGCGGGGCCGAGGAAATGCAGGCGTTGCGCAGCATGTGCGATAAGTATGGAGCCTGGCTGCATGTGGACGGCGCATTTGGAATATTTGGTCGCATTCTTCCGCAGATTCCCGAATTCGGTGTGACTGTCAAGGGCTGTGAAGGAATTGAATTGGCGGATTCGCTGACGGCAGACGGACATAAGCTTCTGAATGTCCCATACGACTGTGGCTTCTTTCTCTGCCGCCATAAAGATGAAGCAGTGAAGGTGTTTCAGAATGCCAATGCGGCATATCTTACGGGCGGGAGTCAAGCACAGTCAATACCATCCCCATTGAATATTGGGATAGAAAACTCCAGGAGATTTCGAGCTCTACCCGCCTACGCATCCCTGGTTGCCTATGGAAGAACAGGGTATCAAATGATGCTCCAGAGGCACATTCGGCTTGCTAGAATGATCGCAGAGTGGCTTTTCGAACACCCCAAGTACAATGTCTTGCCAGAGGTGGGAAATAAGCAAGAACTACTTGATCGAACTTACGTGGTGGTGCTGTTCAGCGCCAAAGATGACGAGTTGAACCGCCAACTTGCAGCTAAAATCAACGAGACTCGCAAGATATTTGTCTCGGGCACATCCTGGCAGGGAAGACCAGCGTGTCGAATTGCCATTTCCAATTGGAGGGCCGATGACAGCAATTTTGCTACCGTGAGACAGGTTTTAGATGGTGTCGCTGGGACAGAAGAGAATAGAGTCCCTTGAATTATATTGTTGCTTTTTTTTCTTTCCAACCCCCCATACATATTGAATGTACCGAATTTTAAAATGTCTACAGAAATAACAAAATCACCTTCGTCGTCCAGCACCGCCAGCGTTTTCACGGTCAGCGATACTAACCACCTCACCGATGCCGGCTGCCTCCTGTTCATCTTCCAATGCCGTAATCTCTTCTCTGCTATCCCACCATTTCTCTTCCGCCATCTCAAAGGCATCCTTGCGCAGCTCTTTAACATTCTTCTCTGCACCCATTCCCTTCTCCTTCATAGTGTCGATTAAAATCTTCTGCCATTCTTCAGATGTACGGCTGAAGAATTCACGCAAGCTTTCGAAGGGACGGGGCAGTGGTCTGCTATCCTGGACGGAAGACTCTGCTCCTTGTTCCTCTACATCGAGCTGCTCCATCTCTAGGGTTACAGAAGGTACCGTTATTTCAGTGGGAGCCGGGGAGGCAGTATCCAATGACATAGCATCCTCCTCATCCTCCTCGTCATCTTCATCTCCTTCCTCTTCATCCTCTTCCATTTCATCGTCGCTGTCTGCTTCATTAAGAAGATGCCAGTTATCGGGCTCCTTGGAGAAGACTTCTTTGACCCCATTCATCTTCACGAGATCAATGGAATACATGTCGTTAAAGGTAAACTCCCGGTCGCCTTTTTCGAAAGTACCGCCGTAGATGAAAAGGGTATCTTCCTGTACAGCTAATTGAGCATTGAAGCGCATATGAGGCATTTCAAAGCGAACAACAGCGGGCTTTTCCGGCTGCTCAGGCTCTTCGTTCGTTTTAGGCGCATTCTGCATGAACTCATCATCGTCACCGTCATCGAGGTTGCGCAGTCCTCCTTTCGCCTCTAGGGCTTTTAGATTCTGCAAAAGCTCTTCTTCGTCGGCTTTCGTCCGGTCTCGCGACTTGCCCTGGTTTGCCTGTTGCTTTTTACCCGCCGCCTTGGGTCGACGCAGGGTCAGAGGAAAGAAACGGTTTCTATCGGTGTTCCACGCGAATAAAGTGTCGAAAAATTCACTATCAATTCCCTCCTCGCTCAATTCAACGTCATGAACACCACCAAACATGATGCCTCGGCCCTTGTGATATGCCATGGTGGCCCCGGCTCGAGGAGGATTAGGGGAGTTTGCAGGCTTCTTTCTCCGCTCCCAACGAATGGTAGGAGGCGCCGATGCGGGAGCATCGGCTGCAGGTGGCGTAATTCGAAGAAACCAGGTATCCTGGTGAACCATGGGCTTCATGGTCATCCGCTGAGGCCCGCCTTTACCTGGCTTACCTCCGACTCCGGTAGAAGCTTTAACCCGCGAGTAACCTCCATATAGAACGGCCCCAGATTCATGAGGGAGAAGGGAGAAAGACGAACGGGGATCCGGTTTCTGCGAAGCTGTTGAAAGAACAGGGTTGAACCATGCGTATTTGGAACAGTCATAGATCCACAAATCCTGAAGATATTTCGTCTGCTGTGAAGTGTCCTGGAACCCACCGAACAGGATAATATAGTTCTTCTAGGCTATCAGCGTGTGATCCTAGATATATCTGGAGAATAGACGGTCTATGCGCTAATTTGCTCACCTTGAAATAAGTCATTCTGTGGCCACTTCTAGCCGGAGGCCCTTTCCCTTTCGTCTCAAGGCGTGACCACTCTCTTGTCGAGGGATCAAGGTGCCAAAAATCGTTGTAGTGGTAAAATGTGCCTTGCTTCGGGGACGAGAATTCACCTTCAGGCTAGATGTTAGACATACTACGTACGAATACAGATGATTCTAAGGGTAACCCACCTCCAAATAAATAAATGCCTCCTGTATTTCCTCCACGACACCAGGCATGTCCACTTCGAGGGAGTGGACTGTTAGGGCTCGTGACCTCCCTCCATTCCCCTCGATCAATGAGATACACAAACAGATTGTTGAAGAAGGTAGCCAGTGTGCCATCGAAATACTCGCCACCAAAAATCAGTACCTCATTCCTGTTTGAAGGAGATGCAAGCACCGTTGCAGAGGATCGAGGAGATGGTGGCTCTCCAACGACCTCAGTGACCTTGAGAAACTTGGCTTGTTCCTCAGCATATTGGGCTAAGATAGCATCCAAGTCAGCATCTTCAGCATCACTGTCCGCGTCTCGACCCTTGGTTTTGGTTTTCTTGTCTTTCTGAGCAGCCTTCTTGGACTGTTTGGCCGCTACACGCTCTTTGTGCTCTGCGGACTTCTTGCTCTTCTTTCCCATGCTTTGTCAAATATAGAGCCCAAGCCCTTGAAAATGAGAAATGAGGTACAACGTCCGCTCTGGTGCAAGAGAAGACCAGTCAATTGTCACTAGGCAATTGATGTCACCTTTTTTTGGACTCCGAAGAATTGTTATTATGAAAATATTTTGTCAAAGTATATGATCAAGAAGAGCTACCTACAATTTGTGGCGCGGGGCTCAGAGAAAAAAATGTATCGAATCCAATCCCCTCCATTATTACTTATTTGATACGTGTATTGTAGTTACGTCCCTGAGTTGTACATACATAGTTTGCGATCTACTTTTCCATGCAGATTACAAGCAACAGAAGCACGCATATTAATCATTTCCTTAACTAGAATATTATTTCTAGCCTGGGAAATGTAAGCATGATAAAACAAAAGGCCGGATTCTCGAAGACAGTACTCTTCCAATGAAGATTTCAAATTGGTTGGCATGTATTGTCAACATAGGAGTTGTATAGAGAGTGAAATTCGGTGTATTGATAAGTTTTCGTGAAAGTCATCAAGTCAACCAGAACAAAGTATTCAGGTTGTACTTCAAGAGCATGAAAGCAATGCCCTCCATCTAGCAGATGCACGATATAATGATAAATGTATTTATTACCTTGAGCGCCAAATTCGACTCCTCCCCATTTCCAATTTCCATCTTGTTTTTGTAGAGAAGGTACTTACTCACCGCCCACGTGACGACGCGTTCGGATATGGAGACGCGTGCCGTTGGTATTAGAGCTTTGCAATGTTGATTGGATCCGAGTTGTTGCACAGAGATGAGTTCCTCTTGTCTCTCACTGTTGGGAATCGCCAGGCGGAATCATGAGAACGAGAACACGCCTCTATGACTAAAAACAATCTCAAAGCCCATCTGAAATGGCTGTTGGATCAAGGCCCATCGCTATACCCAGTGTTGACTCCTTCTGCGTGGGAGTCCCACGTCGACCAAAGTCCTTCTCTGAACGATCCGATCCCAACATATAGCCCGACTGCCAGTCAGATTGGCGGTGTTAGCATCAAGGATTCGCAGCCGGCCACCGCGACAAATATTAAGAATTTGAATGATGGAATTGGGGTTGTTTCCGACACAGATATGGCACGACTACTCTTTGCGCCTCAGTCGGCGATCAAGCCTCGAATGCTCAGCCGTGCGAAAGATTCCTCCCCGAACAACCCTATGAAACCATTAAAAGCTGCGGCGACATCTTCTCCGACACGACAGCGAGGATCTGGAACTCCTCGGAGTAAAGATGTGAAAGGTATGGTGATCTTCTCTGGCGAAATTGCCCTACGTACTAACGGTTGTCATCCACCTAAAGAGCCGCTTAGCTCTGGGTCTTTATTCCACGAGTCGGACACACTGATAAGGACCCCCCAAAGACCCAAAGCAAGCCAAGACATACAATCTTCTTTACAAAAGGTCGATACCATCGACTTAACCATCGACTTGGATCACAACACACACTCTTCTGACGCTATAGAAGAGTTTGGGGAGCCGTGCCAGCTTTGGACCGAAGAAGCCACACTCCGAAAAGAACCGTTAGAAAAGAGGGGAAAGAAACGCAAAAGCGACGAATACCCCTCTAAACTTCTCTCCCCCCCCAAAAAAAACGCCCATAATGTCTGCTCACCGTTAGTATCTGGAAAGACAAAGCTTAGTAGATCTCCACGCCCTTTGGAAATTACTCGAGCTAAGAACGATTGCACATCTCCGCCGTCCAAGAAACAGGGTCCATCATCAGCCAAGCGTACCAGAAAGAACCAGATCATCGAAGACTCGGAATATGAAGATGCTGATAGCTTATTCGATGACTGGGTTAAAAATAAGCAGGACTTGGTTGAAAACACAGAGGAGTCTTTGTATCCGGTTTTGCCCCAGGAAAGTCCATTCTACGGCGGCGGATTTGATAAGCTTGCAAAGCAGAATATCCCAATATCTCCGGACTCAATGGGCATGCCAAGCGTCCATCGTTCCGTCACTACACCCGAAAGCGAGGTAACACCTCGTGGTTCTCCTCCATCCTCCTGCCCTTCCGTGCCTCAGAGTGCCTCAAAATCAACTTCTGTGCCTGTTGACAAGAACGTCGAAAATTTTCTGCGACTGCCAGATGACTCACTCGACCGCCTTATTTCGCGCATGAAGACCAGTCTCACAAAGAATTCGGAAGTAGTTTACCAGCAGGCAATGAAGGGCGAGCTGGCTCCTGAACTTATTGCCGAAAACAAAGTTCTCGCAGATCGAATCGAGGCGGTCGAGTCGTTGAAGACACAGAAACTCGTCTACAGGACTTGCGAACAAGAATCGGAGTCTCTTAGAAATGCCATTTTGAAAGTCATACAACGAGGGGGCGATCCGCGAACAATTCCGGAGCTCGAGCAAAATAAAAGAGTCGCATCACAATTGAAAGATGTCGAAACTGATATACTTCGCTTGCTCAAGACAGCCGGTTTATTATCGGGTATAGACTCGGTTCCCGAGAATGGTCCTGAGCGACCAAACTCTTCAGCGCCGCCATCTCAAAGGAAACCTAGAGATATTAAAGATTCCTCAAGTTTGAGGAAACACGGTCACAGTGAAAACTCCCTTACCCGCCAGGTTCCCCAGCACTCGTTTGACGCAGATGGCTCTCGATCTAGGGCTGCCGCGTCTGTTGCCAGTTCCATGGCAAATGTTTCCACGAGTACTTCCAACCATGGACGTTTTGAGTACGATTGTCCAATTACGAGCGACGGTGAGACAGGATTTACCAGGACTATGGGATCTCCTACGCCTCTGCAAGAACGGGACGAATTTGATCTAGATGATTTCGACGAGGAGATGCTGGAGGCCGCAGATCATTTTCAGGATGACCAGTTTTCCACGACCCAAACACATGGGCCTGAAAGTCGCAAAGTTTTTGCTGAAACATCTGGCAACGCACCAAGGCTTCCCCCAACACAAAAATCGCAAAGCCATGGCGCTCTCTGGAACCAACACCCATGGTCGAAAGACGTAAGAAATGCTCTGAAAGACAGATTCCGCCTTCGTGGATTTCGGCTTAATCAACTTGAAGCAATCGATGCAACGCTGAGTGGAAAAGATACGTTTGTCTTGATGCCAACAGGTGGAGGAAAATCCCTTTGCTATCAGTTACCTTCTGTTGTCTCCAGCGGCGCGACAAAGGGAGTCACAGTTGTCGTCTCACCACTGCTCAGCTTGATGCATGATCAGGTCACTCATCTGCGTCGTAATAACATCAAAGCATTTCTGGTCAATGGTGAGACACCAAGAGATGAACGCAAATGGATACTGGACACATTGTCGGCTCCACATGCCGAAGAGCACATTGAGCTTCTATACATTACACCCGAAATGATGAACAAAAGTAAACATCTTACCCGAAGTCTAGAAGATTTGAATTGCAGAAAAAGGCTGGCACGCATTGTCATCGACGAAGCTCACTGTGTCAGTCAATGGGGTCACGATTTCCGCCCAGATTACAAGGAGATTGGGGAGCTCAGAACTCGGTTGCCCGGCGTCCCTATGATGGCATTAACTGCCACCGCAACAGAAAACGTCAAGGTGGATGTCATTCACAACCTCAAAATGGATGGTTGCGAAGTCTTCACCCAAAGTTTTAATAGGCCGAACCTAACATATGAGGTCCGGCCCAAGACGAGGTCAGCTGAGCTACTAGCCAGTATGGCTGAAACCATCACGGGCCAATATCGAAACAAATCCGGTATCGTTTACTGTTTATCACGAGATTCTTGCGAAAAAGTTGCGAAACAACTTCGGGACAACTATCGGATCAAGGCAGAACATTATCACGCGGGACTGGAGCCAAAAGATCGGGCAGATATCCAGCAACGTTGGCAGAGTGGTCAGTCGCATGTGATAGTTGCAACTATTGCTTTTGGTATGGGGATTGACAAGCCTGATGTACGATTCGTGATACATCACAGCATTCCCAAAAGCCTGGAAGGGTATTACCAGGAGACTGGGCGCGCTGGTCGCGATGGGAAAAGGTCTGGGTGTTATCTTTATTACTGCTATCGAGATACAACAATTCTCCGCCGCATGATCGATCAAAGTGACGGTAATAAGCAACAGAAAAACCGACAGCGCCAGATGCTTCATAATGTTGTGCAATTTTGCGAAAACAAAAGTGATTGCAGGAGAGTGCAAATTCTAGCCTATTTCAACGAACGGTTCCGACAAGAAGACTGTAATGCTTCATGCGACAACTGCAAGTCAGATTCCGTTTTCGAGCCCCAGGACTTTTCTGAATACGCCGCAGCAGCCATCAAAGTTGTACGGTATTTTCAAGGTCTGGGCGAGAACGTGACAGTGTCCTATTGCGTTCATATCTTCCGAGGCAGGGTAACAAAATTTAAATCAATTGAACATAAGAACGCCACTGGTTACGGTCACGGATCAGATCTCGACCTCGGGGAGGCTGAGCGCCTCTTTCACAAGCTGCTTCGTGAAGGTGCTTTGAAAGAAGAAAATGTACTCAACAAGGCCAAATTCGCGAATCAGTACGTCAAACTTGGACGACGTGCTGCAGAATTCGAGAGCGGCCGATCCCGATTGAAACTTGACGTTCGAATATCTCCGAATGGCAAGGGTCGAAAGTCAGGTCGGACTGAAACAAGGAAGGATTACCAACCACAGTCTACAAACGTGTCATCGCCGGTCCAATCTGCACACCAACGCCAGCTAGCCCGGTATCGCTACAATGGTATGGACGGCGATGAGTCGGATAGTGACAGAGATAGTGACGGATTTGAGAGGATTCGCATTGCCGGTGACCGGAAGAAAAATAAAACGAATCTTCCTGGGCCAAGGATCACACAAGACCGTCGCTTTGATCAGCTGGACTCTCTTCATAAAGCAGTCGCCGAAGATTTCATGGTCTATGCTAAGGCTTATTGTCAGGATGTAAGTCCTTCGCCGCCGTTCATCTCTTCCACAAATTCCCTCGAAGTCGCGAAACAAAATGACTAACGTCTGAGCAGTTGGTATTGAACAAAGGACTTCGAAACCAACCTTTCACGGACACTGTTCTTCGTGAAATGGTCATCGTCTTCCCTAAAGGTTAGATAGGAAAAATAGGCTCGGTACCTTTGCGGATCTTGCTAACATAGAAACAGACAAAACCGAACTACTTCAAATCCCAGGCATAGACGCAGACAAGGTTCAGCGATACGGCGACAGAATCCTAAAACTAATTCGAGATACCCAGCGCCGTTATACTGAATTGAAAAAGGACCGTGATGATATTGACGGTGTTGTTCCTGATCCGAATCATCACAATGTCGTCAATATCAGTAGTAGTGATGAATTTAGCGATTGCGATGACATCCTAGACCAGGCAACCGTTCTGGATCAGGGTGACAGCATTGTTTCCAGTCGATATTTCCCATCAACCGAGCATACTATGGACGATGATTCGACCGACGAGTACCAACCCGCGCTTGCAGAATCTAGCAGCGCGAGACCTCGAAAGCGAAAGGCCACCAAACGGTTTCGCCGCCAGAATACAGATTCAAAACCCAGAACCAAACCCTCCAAGTCAAGGAGTAAAACAAGCAAAACTAGTAAGAATGCGGAGGGTCGACCTTTCCCACGGAAAGACACGAAGGGCAAGCCACAAGCTAGCCGGATAGCCATGATGCCCGTGTAATTGTGCTGTACATTTTTACCATGATGAGTTTTATGATGCGTTGCATGATCAGCACCTTGAACTTGTATTGGTTGCATTGCATGTTTAGGCGTTGTGTTGGCTTTATATTTCTCTTTTTTATTGTGTGGGTGTTTAAAACATGATATCCATTCGACGATTATATAGCGGGAGGCGCTGATGTTTAGTTACTTCGGGAGTCATACAGTCGGACTCCTTATCCTCTTCAGATACTTAAGAAATAGATGTCAAGTTTATACCAGTCTATTTGTTATAGCCATGAATAGTGACGTGGCTTAATTGACTAGCAAACTAACTAACTAGTTAACTAATATTAACTAGTTAATAACAAGCTGATTCACACAGCATTAGCGTGCTTAGTTCTACCAGGGGTATGACTTCAGACACGAGCTATCACAGCAACCGCACTAGCCCTACATAAGCAGGTAAGAATAGTGATCTTTTTGGCACTCATTTCTCACACTGCCCAGGCAGTAAAATACTAATACTTAAACCTGTTTCTACGCTGTGGTCCCCTATGTAACTTGTTGGAGTGCTGCACTTAGTGAATGCAAATAGCACTGCCATTAAGTGAATAGCAACACGTGACTACCCAGTGTATTTAGGCCACTGTTTCCTTCTAGATCTCCATACTTCCTCCAAGCATCTCTCCTTCTCTCTATCTCCTAGCTAGACCTAATTGAATCCATTTCAGTCAACTCCTCCTGTCATCATTTGACGACCTCTTATCATAACTTAATCCTTCTCAGTCATTCTACAGTCTACTACATTTTGCCTACCCGCGTCTATTGATTATCACAACCATGCCTGAGCCTCAGAAACACAAGGAGCTACGGGTTGCGCTCCGTGCGCTCGCGAAACACTTTAATAGTCTTGAGACACATCAATTCAATCACAGCTATCTAAAGACGCACAAAGTAGACGTCTTGTCCATGGATCTAGATAATACTAAGACCATGCCGAAATTTTTCACCCCATGCGCCGCCTCTCTGTTGATAAACCCTGATTATGAATATGACCGGGATAGGATGATGTATCAAGACTTTGATTCAGTTAGCCCAATTTACAGGCTCCCAATCAATTGTACGCGTAACATGATCAGTTATTTCTCCTACTATATATTTGCCAGCGATCTTCATAGCAATGACTATGGCAGGTGGTCTAGTATCAGGTACCTCCTCCAGCCTCTGTGTATTGTACTCAACTTCTCACACAAGATAATAGTATTGATGATGAGCCTTTTACAGGCTTATATGATTATCAGTCTCCTGGATATGGAACCCCCACAGCTGCTGAATTTACAGATGGTTCATGTCCGCACGTGAAAGCCATGATCTATAATGATCTGGAAGGTAATGATGGTCAACTTTTACGAGGAGAGATTATAATTACTCTCCGCTTAATTTATGCACAATTCAGGAGGCCCCATTTTTTCAAACATCTAACTGCCCCAGTAAGTTCTGCTCTGCCTATAATCTATCAGCCCAGGAAAAGTGAAACTAAATCCAAGTACAAATATATAGGTTCTTCTTTTCTCCTTCATGGGGCCCCAACATGCTCGGATTATCGAAGCATATTTTGATGGCAGCTCGCTGGTGATGCGTCCAACTCGGTTATTTGATCTTCGTAAGAAGGACGAGGCCTTGATTAAAACTTTTGGGCAGTGGTTTCTTGGAAGCCCGACTGGAGATACTCAACAGATATGAGGAATGTCTATGATAGGTCTATTGGTTCTTTGTCTTTATCCTTGTTTTGAAGTATCTTTAGGTGTAGGGTCTGGGCTCAAAATGCTATATTTGCGAAGAATACAGGTCTGTCGAGAATCTTATTGTTGCTAGTGTGATTTGGATGTTTTAAACAATATTTTCTCTACATTTTTACTCTGCCTAGTCTGCATCCTTTCCTATATTAATTGCTTAGATATCTCAGCAGAAGATATCCTCGCTCAAGACTTATTTTGATGATAAATACAGGGCCTGGTTAAGTAGAGCATTTGACTGCAGGACTGAACTGGTGCTTTTTGTCGCTGGGCGAGCGGCAAGGAGGGGGAAACCGGAAAATATGCTGGTTTTCTTAACCTGAGCTGCAGCTTCGACTGCTTATTCGGTTTCCGAAGCCCGGACACACAGCTACAGGGACGAAAAAGTTTTATCACAACAGGGATCGCTCAATCATTCAATGAACGCCCAAAATCAATTAACCTTAACCGTCTAGCATCGCGAGGATGGAACTGGGCAACCTTTGCCTTCACTAGAAACCGGGATGCGGCGGATTCTTGGGGAACGTCTATGTAGGATGATCCCGCATCCAATAAGGTGTCGAGCAGCTCCTGTATCGCGACAGCCGCTGCTTCTCTTTTGTTCGATGGTTGTGTGCTCTCCTGCCCGGTTTGGCGACGGAGCAGATCGTCAATTCGATTTTGATTGCTGCTTTGATCTTCCGTCTCTGACGACTTGGGTTTCTTCGGTTTACCATGGCGAGTATAGCCAGATGCCAGGGTAGCGTCCGAGATGTCTGCCGCGTCTCCAACAGCCGGTCCCCCGAGGTCTTCGGCTGCGATCATCGGCGCTAGGGTATCTTCACAAAATTTATGCAGTGCGGTCTTCATGCGACCGGCGTCTTGATCCAGAGTAATGATCTTCTTTTGCTGCTCTTCTAAATGGTCACGTGCCAAATCAGAGGGGGATTTCTCCTTGTTGGTCGATTGTTCTTTCCTAATGCTGTCTATTCGCCTCCGTAGTCCATCTTGTATCGATCGGGCGTCACGTAGGGCTGTCTCTTCCGTTTTTAGGCGCTGACGGGCATTGACAAGTTTCTCCGCTGTCATTGAGATAGAGGCTTTACTCTCCTTCAGGATGCGTGTTGTCTCTTCAATCGCAAGAAGAGATGGCAGGGGCGATTCTGGCTTCGGAAGATCTGGCTCGGACTTGAGCAACGAGTCGTAGGCTCCCTTGGCTCTTCGCACTTGAGCCATCCGAGACCCGGCTTCGACTCCTATACTGGGTGTGGCATTCACTGCGCGCAGCTGGTTCGCCTGTTAGTTCAAACGGGTGCTTCATTTATCCTGTGAGGGTTTGAGGGTCAATTTCTGGGCGTACCCTGCGCAGGTCATCTTCCTGACGTCTAACTCGATCTTGGAGCTCTCTTAGCGTGTCATCCAATTTGCGCTCATAGTCCTGGATATCAGACGAGCTAATCCGATGCTGTTCATAGTATTCTTCGACCTTTTGACGATCCTCCGCAAAGTGTTGGACCTTTTCGACAGTCTCCTGGGACACCTCCATCGAATCCATGTGGAGCGGCGATTTGGGTGTTAAATCAACAAATCCTTTATGCGATCTTCACGCGACTGTAATCATTGCTATTCCAATACAAAATGTGCATATACAATTGGACATAATCAAACCAAATCACCAATCCAAACGCGTAATTGTAGTTTATTACTATCAACACACATACGGCGCCTTGGACGACAACTTTGATACAAGACCCACGTGATGGATCCCACACCTTACCCAGAGCAGTTTAGCGTGTCCCCGTGCCAGCAATTCGCCTCACTTCTTCTCTCAACATCCTCTCTTCACCGCGACATTAACTATCAGCACCTCCTTTTATCCTCACCTTCTTCATTCTTCTTCTTCACATCTCCTGCTCTGTGGAGGTGTTGGTTTGACCTTGGTGTTTTTCACCTTTCTTATTTTGTTTTCACTATCTCCCGTGAAAAGTCACTGCGCCTTCATCTGGTGCGGTTGTTGTGTGGCCAGACCTTTGTGGTGTACATCGTGTACAAACAAAAGCGTCGCGTAATCTAGGAAGGGAAGGGGATAGATTTGGGCTTTGGCAGTCATTTCAAGTCCTCCACTTGCTCTTTTTTTTATATTTCTTTTTCTTTCATCTCTTCCCCGCGCTCTACACCCGTCAGCTCCCAAGCACGCCCGGACCCTTTTTTTGAGTCCACCTCCTATCATCGCCCAGCACAAGCACCTTTGCTCCGTCTCATCGTACCCGATCCGATTTAGTCATTTTCCTTCTTTCCTCCTACCTTAGCACCGCTTTGCTTTCGCGAAGCTTCCTGCTCCTCAAGTTCCTTCAAGGCCCGTGATACCCAGCATCTCTCTCACCTCGTCGGCTGTCCTTTCTCCAGCCTCACTTCCTTCACTATCCACGATTACACCAATTTCCCAGTTCTCTTTTTTTTTTTCCAAGCACCAGATTCCCTTTCCAATCGATCGCCACACCAGCACGCTTTCCTGGGAATTCCTGGTGTACATAGTCGATCAGAATAAAGGAAAAGAAAGAAACAAAAGAAAGTTATTCTTACAATCCGACTTTCTGCGTAAGTGAAGCAGGGCTGCGAATTTTTGACATAATGTCCGCCTCTCCATCTGCGTTACAATCCACCAAGCGGCCCCTTGAGGACCCTTCCTCGCCATCCGGTCCGAATGATCAGCCAGAAGCCAAGCGCCCAGCTTTGGACAAAGTAGTAAAAGGAGACGAGTCAGAGGCGTATGCGGATGTCAAGACTGATTCTTCCGGTGCCGCAGATTCAAATGCGGATGGCCAAGGTGATACCGTTGTCCCCGATGCTCCTAACTCTAAAGGAGCTCACGCTGAGACGCAGCCGATCCAGTCGACTGCCTCTCATGGTGAGCAAGCAGGAAGCCAGAGTGACCAGCGCCCCCAGGATGAGTCCAGCTGGATTCATATCCGGGCTGTCATCTCCAGCCAAGAGGCTGCCACTGTCATTGGTAAAGGTGGAGAGAATGTATCCCAAATCCGCCGTTTGTCAGGCGCCAAATGCACCGTTAGCGACTACTCTCGCGGGGCAGTGGAGCGTATCTTGACCGTCAGCGGCCCACAGGATGCTGTTGCAAAGGTTTGTTCTCTCCCTGGCCCCTTTTCTTTTTGGGTAAGTAACTTATCTTCTTGGCAGGCCTTTGGTTTGATTATCCGTACCTTGAACAACGAACCCCTTGATTCCCCTTCCACTGCCCAGTCCAAAACTTACCCCTTGCGTTTGTTGATCCCCCACATTCTCATTGGTTCGATCATTGGTAAGGGTGGTGGCCGTATTCGTGAGATTCAAGAGGCCTCGGGTGCTCGTCTCAACGCTTCAGACGCTTGCCTCCCGCTCTCCACCGAGCGATCTCTTGTAATCCTTGGTGTTGCGGATGCTGTTCATATCGCCACATATTATGTTGCTGTGACACTGGTTGAGCAGCTCACGGAGCGCTTTGGCGGCCCAGCAGCCTCTGCGTATGCTACCCGGAGCGGTGGTCCTGCTGGAGCCGTACCAGGTGGCATGCAGGTTGTCCCCTACGTTCCGCAGCCAGCTGGTGGACAGTATGGTCATCCGGATACCTTTAAGCGACACCATCCTAACGCCAACCGTGCCGGTAGTGGTGCTTACGGCGTTCCTTATCTTCATGGCCAGCCTGCCCCAGCTCCGGTATCCCAGCCCGCTATGCATTATGGGGCTCCAAACACTCCATATGCTGGAGCTGGTCCACACCAGCCTGCCCCTTACGGTGCTCCTCAGGCCGCGCAGCCTCGTGGCGGTCCAACTCCCGCCGCTCCTGTCGGGGGGGCTATGCCCGGTCAGCCACTGACACAACAGATCTATATCCCGAATGACATGGTTGGTGCTATCATCGGAAAGGGAGGTGCCAAAATCAACGAGATTCGACACCTCAGTGGCAGTGTGATCAAGATCAACGAGCCTCAAGAAAACAGCAACGAGCGCCTGGTGACTATTACAGGTACCCAGGAATGCAACCAGATGGCGTTGTATATGCTCTACTCGAGACTTGGTTAGTATCTGTTCAGTTTTGCTTCCCAATGCAACTGCTAATTAGCTGTCACAGAAAGCGAAAAACACCGCATCTAAAAGGGGTGAGTGTGTTTACTCTATTTACATTTTTCTTTTTCTTTTTTTGTTTCAGGAGCAGCTTGGGCTATTTGATTTTGTGCGACATAAAAAAAAAATGCGTCGTTTCATGGTGGCCTTGGTGGTTTCATTTCGGGGACTATATGCTTTATGCTGTATTATTTGAAAAAAAAAACAACAACAACAACAACAACAACAACAACAACAACAACAGCGCGAGTCGCAATCATATTATGTTTCCATATTAATTTACACTGATATTCCTTCATCCTCTTTTCTTTACGATTCCCCTTAAAATCAACACCATGAGCTCACACCTTCTGAAACGTCACATGCTTCATCCCCAACCCTTGCAACGGCGACACCATCTTCTCCCTAATGGGCTGAATCGCCTCCGTAAACTCCTTTGTCCCCTTCGCAGCCACATGCGCCTCAACGCTCTCCCACCCAATAACCAGAAGATGCACAAACGCCTCCCCAGACGGACTCTTCTCCTGCGCAAACGTCCCAGGCCGCTCCACCTGTCCCATGGAAAACGACTTCGGTCTATACTCCGCCGCAGCCCGCTCCACAAGCGCACTCCGGAACCGAATCAAGCCATCACACACTCCTGTACGCTCCTGCGGCGAGAGCGAGGTCGGAAACGCAAGCGGGCATAATTCCGTAACAGGGTTCGCGATCAACGTCGACGATCTGCTGCGTCTGCCTTTTGGTTCGGAAAACAAGGAACGCTCGGGCGGGAAGAACGGCGGCGGCTGGAGAGTCGTGAAGATTGTTCCGATTTGCGTATTGGGTTCGAGAAACGGCGAGAGCTGGGATGTTTGGGTTCCTGTGTGTGCGTCTACCCAGTCTGCGGTGGGTTTATTTATTTATTTATTTATTTTTTTTCGTCATATGTGATGTGATGTGATGTGATGTGATATGATATGATGGAGTGGAGTGTGTGTCCACTGGAGGAAGGAGGTAGGTAGCTGGGGTACTAACCAATAGCCCATACGACGAGGTTCTCATCCTCTTTTGTTCTTCCCCATGCAGAACCTTTGTAGCCGCTTTGCGCTGTAGTTGCTTTGAATATCCGAAGGAGAGCAAGTCCTTCGTTGTTCGAGGGGTCTTCGGGCTTTACAGTATCCTTCAGATGGAAATATATGAATTCGGTGACGGTGGACATTTTTGTAGATTGTCTGAGAGGAATATATCCTTGCGATTGAGTATTGACAATAACTCTGTGGATTTTTTTTTTGGTTTTTTTCAAGTATAAGTAGAGGTCCAGATGCAGGGTGGTGTAGTTGATGTCATCGGCGGGGATTCTGTGATGTCAAGCCGGTGGTGCGGGTCGTAGCTCTCACTCACAATGGCCTTTATAGAATTGTGAAATTAAGGCTTCAGATAAGACGGATATTTTAATTAGTTGATTACTACAAAAAAAGAGAGTCGTCAGGTCTATGTACATACAGATACTCCACTGACATCCCCCCCCCCCCCAAAAAAAAACTAGTTGCTCCATGCCGTGACTCGTTGGTTTTTTTTATCATTCATAGCACAAAATAAACAGAGTAAATATGCTAAAGGCAAAAAGGCCCGTAAAACCACATAATCCTACAAGTCATCCATGCTTCTCACTTTCGATTGCTTCTCCCCAATTGCCTTTTTCAAACTTTCTACTATGTGCTGCTTGCGCTGCATCTTGGCCATCCATTGAGTACTCCATGACTTGCCCTCCAAGCCACTCATATTTTCCACGGTACGGAGCCGGCTCACTTTAGCTGACCCATTGATGCTCGCTCGGAAGTTGAGGCCTCGAGCAGAGGAGTCTGGTGTATGATATGAGCTGACAGGTACATCCACGGACCCACAAGATCCAGGGGTGCTAGGAAGCTTGCCCAGGCCTTTCCTCGGGGTAGTAAATGGGGATCCCTCCCGGCTAACGGGGGACGCCGAAGTATCAATGCCTAGCTTCTTCAGCTGAACCTCCAGGACATCGATATCACTGCTCTTGCTTTCCACCATATTCATCATAGTCGCAATGGTGGACGTGACAGCCTCAACGGTTGGGCGTTTCGTCGACTGGCGCGACCCATCCGCACGGGGAGCATCTGCGATCTTAGCGCGCAGAAGAGATACTGCAGACTCCAAATCGGCCAGTCTCCCTTGGATTTCCGCCGATAATGACCGAAGATCTTGCTGAAGATTTGCTTGCTCCGCAGAGAGACGAGCAGAGACAATGGCAGCCGCATCAGTGTGGGCGTCGAGGGTTTTCCGGATACTGGCACACTGACTGCGCAGCGTAAGAATATCCTTACTCAGTAGCTCTCGGCATTTCTCGAGCTTTTCTTCGACCCCTTGCACACGTTGTTCCTCGAGAGAACCTACAAGGAGAGTGACGGCATGACCTAACTCCTCAATTTCTCGTAGAAGTAGCTTCTCGTCCAGGATATCAGCAGGGTGATCACTCTGGAGAAGGCTCATCCAATTAGGGTTCGCTGATCCTTGTTGGTACAGGAGGAAGGAGGCCAAAGAGCGAGAATTAATGCCCAAAGTATCCACCATCGAGTTGATATCACGGTATAGCCGTTCGATTTGACCTGGAATACCCGGCTTTGTGGCCTGACCTGTATAATCCTGATGAGGTAAGAAAGGATCAAGAGTAGGCACAGGCTCCAAAGACCGACTAAGATCCGCACGAAGTCGCTCATCTTCGTCATCGGACAAGGTCTCATCTTGCGTCTGAACAATAGGCTGGGGTCGTGGACGCTGCACAGCATGGATGGGCTCAGGTCTTAGCGGACCGTCACGTTTAGCAATCTCAGACAGAGACGCTTTCCGGGCTGCAAGTGCGCTCCCTGGTTTATGAGGGGTGCTAACTGATGTGTAGCTCTCTTGCTTGAGAACATTCTGCTGTGCGCGGAGAGGTCGGACAGGGCTGGGCGACCTTGGCGGCTCACGGGTTTGAACTGCCTGAGGGAAGAATGGTTTGCTGATTTCTCCAAACAACTGCCGTGGCTGCTGTCGCCCCGGTTGGTTCGGCTGGGAAATTCGATCAAACAGGCCGCCAGCAGAACTTTTATCGGAAATTTCGGCACCAAAAGAGGTCTCTGGGCTAGGTCCGTCGGATTCTGGCTCGCCAAGGTCATGTGTAATGTCTTCACCACTATCCTCGAAATCTGACTCCTCCTCCTCTTCCTCCTCTTCCTCCTCTTCCTCCTCCTCATTGAAACCCTTCTCGGATTCATCCGCATCTGAGCCGTCGGGAACAGGGGGAGCTCCTTTGGTTAAAGTGCTGGGCTTCTGTGTCATAAAATCTGGAGGCAACGGTGCCTCTTCGGCTGGCTTCAATTTCTCTTTGGGCTTTGACGTGAAATCTGGGGGTAAAGGAGGTTCGCTGTCGGCCCCTGATAGTTTTGGGGCGGTCGTAAAATCTGGTGGTAGAGGCGGTTCGCCTCCAGCCGCTGGAGCAGTCGTAAAATCTGGTGGGAGGGGTGGCTCGCTGTCAGATTCCGAAAATTTCGGTGCAGTCTCGAAATCCGGTGGTAGAGGTGCGTCTTCTACTGAGCATTTAGAGACATTGGAGGAAGCAGAGGTGTCGCCAGGCCCATACACAGTCTTGCTTGTAGAATCGGGAGGCAAGGGTGGTTCTGGCAGGGAAATGGCGGGAGTAGTTTCAGGCTCTGGTAGCTTTGCCTGGGTTAGAGGTGGGCTGGCGACGGCCGTTTTCTCGGAAGGAGGAGATGGAGGGCTTAGTGTCTGTTTCTCAGCAGCAGCATTCCCCAAGATTGAGAAAGGCGACTTGCTCGATGGGGCGGAACTGAAAGGTTGAGGAGCTTGTGCCTGCGAACCGAAAGAGCCGAATAATGAAGACGACCCAGAGGGTGCTGGCTTGGAGGGAACACCGAATAAGGACGGTGCTTGTGCCTTTGGCTCCGGTGTATTTTGCTGAGGAGCAGACGAGTCATCCATGTCATCCATAGCTTCTGTTGGCGGGCTTTCTTTGTCCGGAGTAGACACCATCTCATCCAGTGCTCCAAGAGAGAATAAGCCTGAAGATTTCTCGGGTTTGGGGCCATCATTGACAGCAGTCCCATCACCCTTGAAGGTAGACCCAAGAACAAAGCCACCACTACCCAGTCCAAAGGGACTCTTTGTCTCGGTCGTCTGTTGAGTACCAAATGCAGACTGAGTGGCGGATTGACTACCAAAAACCGAGGGCTCCGAGGGCTTCGAGAAGGGACTTCCACCAGTAACCTTGCTGAATGGTGATTCCCCCGACGGTTTAGAAGCCGCTAGACCGGCAAACCCACCAGTGCTTGCGAATGAACCAAAACCGCCCCCTGAGGTCTGTCCAGCCGTTCCAAATGGATTTGCGAGTCCTTTTCCAGTGGTCGAAGGTTGTCCAAAGGCAGTCTTGCCAAACGGCGACCCTCCTTGACCCAAGGCGCTAGACGATCCAAATGATGGCCCTATTTGAGAAGGAGCTCCAAAGGCCGGGGCACCAAACGAGGGCTTCCCAAACCCTGGGGTTTGAGTGCTACCCAAGGATGATGGAGATCCAAATGCCGGCGCAGCAGATGGCCTGCCAACCCCTGAAGACCCGAAACTCGGTGCACCCAAGCCGGTCGAGCTACCGAAACCTGATTGTCCAAAAGTTGGTAGGGCGGCAGGCTGTTGTTGCACTGGCTGGAGCTGAGGCTGGGGTGCTGGCTGCTGCTGCTGCTGCGATGCCACTGAGGCTAGGCCGGAATATGGTGTTTTCTGACGGATGGACTCCGAGTATATGAACCACCAAGACGAGAGAATGCCTTCGTGGTTCAGGAGGAAAAGGTTAGGTAAGGGGGTCGAGCTCTCAGGAATATCTTCGCCTTGAATCGGAGACATCACAAGCTCCGAGCTAGACAAGTCGATTCCTAAACCTATCACTGAGGTCTCATCACCTGAGTCCATCAAAGGAATGCTAGCCTTTTTAGTATCATCATTAACTTCAGTTGTAACGAAGAGTCCAACAGCGGCTGCAGCACCATCGTCACTTGCCAGCGGTTGGTCCGACCTTGTGATTAGTCCCACGTCGGCGGAAGCGGTAGATGAAATTATCAACGCATCTTTCAGATGAGGTTTGTAATCTCTGAGGCGTGCAATGAATTGGTAAGCAGGGGCACGTTTGAAGCCCCAGGGCGCAGCGAGCTCTGGCAGCTTCTGGATCAAGAAGGGGGCCTGCTTTCTTCGGGTTATGATATAATAGGATGATGGAGGCGTATTTCCCATATCATCTTCAGCGGCGTTCGGAGTATAAACTGTCAGAAAGATGTCGTTTTCTAGCCAAGCGATAGAAGAAACTAAGGAGATTTAGTCATTGAAAGTGCGCTTATTTTCCCTACTTCACCAAAACTTACCATGACAGGGCTCTTCAAGATCGGAAGGGCAAGGGATAAGGTCCTTTTGTACACCATCTGGCGCCATCTGGTAGGCTGTTCCATCCACCAAACCGGCTACAAGTTGTTTGCCCTTATTACTCCAACAAACAGAGCTAACCCCAGTTTTCAAGATATTCCCATTCGGTCCCGACACGAGGCTTCCCGCCTTGAGGTCCGCAATGAGCAATTCCCCCCCTGTAGTAACAAGAGCGACAAGGGAAGAAGAGTGAGAATCCTCAGCTGGCGCGGGGTTTGGAGCGACAGCTCGGAAAGTAGCGCCATTCGTAGGGATAGACAAGGCCGGTTGCGCGTTTGGCTGTAATAGAGCGGTTGTCTGGAAGACGGACAGTTGTGGCCCGTTCTCTGTAGCCAGCACCAAGGCAGTGTCTCCAGACGCGAAGGCTATGTGTGTGGGTCGGGCAGGAAGGGATATCGTTGCTTGGGGCTGGAACGGCTTTGTCTTCACCTGTTCCTCTCCGGCAGATGATGATATTGCGGCTCTGACTGACTCGGAGGAGGCAATTGATAGGGAATTTGGTCCAGCTCCCACAACTATACCTTTGGTGGCCGCGACAGCGAGCAAGGTGCAAGTTGGGGCTGGAAGGGCATCAGTCGGCCAGGGGGTCGGAAGGAGTTGGACGTTACTGTCGCCGGAAACGCCTTTAAAACCAACTTCCTATTCATGCGATTAGCAAGCTCTCCCAAGACATCAGCCACAGCTTGACCATGCGACGTAGTTACCTCGGCACAGACGTCTGGAAGCTCAGCTCCCAATTCCGCTGGGATCCCCCCCGCAGGGTTCGAGGGCACAATGCTAAAGGCCATCCTGAGTTTGTCTAAATCGGCCGATATTGAACGAGGACGGTCGCCTAAAGATAACCTGGGCCTTGGACCATGGGGAGAAGGAGGAGTCGGCGGCAAGGCTGGAAAGGAGCGACGCTGGAGTTGCTTGGGACTCCGGTTGAAAAACTGCGCAAAAATCTTGATCGCCTTCCCAGGAGGGAAGGGGAAACGGCGCGGGAAACAAATGGAAGGAGGAACAGAGACGGAGACAAGTTGGCCGGGACCGAAGCGTGGTTGAATATACAAGACCAGACAAGACGTAAGCAAGTAATAGCAGGTAACTAGTTACTTCACTTCATGCCTGTGGTTCATCTTCGGGCGATCCCCAAACCCAACAAAAACAGCAGTAGAGGGTCGAAATTGTCCTATTCCCAATTCGACAGGTCGACTCTATTATGTAAAGATGGCGACAATCGATGAATCTCGACGAATCAAGCCGTGAATTAAATGACTAGAAAGAAAATAAGAGTCCAGAGTAGCGAATTTTTGACCCTATCGGAACATCATATCTCCGGCACCAGAGCTCCGGGCACGGGACCCAGAGTTGCCTGAGGCAGCTACAGGCTAGGCGGCGGGAAGCTTCGTCACTCACAGCTCTCCATCTCGTTCATCCTTATCCTCACCTTTCTCCCGAGTTCAGATTCCTCTACCCTGATCCCGTCCGTTTTGCAGACTGCACTCCGTTCTGTCTCTTTATTTTCACTCTGATCCCACTTCGCCGTCGTCATGACCGGCTTCGACTTCTCCAACTACAACCGCAACGCGGCTCTGCATGCTAAGGGTGCACCCCTACCAAAAGCTACAAGCACAGGTACAACCATTGTCGGTTGTATTTTCGATAACGGCGTTGTGGTTTGTTCTCTCCGACTCCCGTAGTGGTGGGTTGTGATGAACAAGGCTGACGATACCGATTTACAGATCGCAGCAGATACCAGAGCAACCAGCGGTCCCATAGTAGCTGACAAGGTAGCCACGACCTCTCTCTCATCTCCCATCATCGAATTAGTCTTTCCAAGGCCCTTTTACTGACACCAAGTTTGTCCCCTTGAACCAAAAACAAAAAAAAAACAATAGAACTGCGAGAAACTGCACTACATTGCTCCAAAGATCTGGTGTGCAGGTGCGGGTACAGCTGCTGACACCGAGTTCACCACCGCCCTGATCAGCTCCAACATCGAATTACACGCTCTTTCGACTGGACGACCCCCCCGGGTAATCACCTGCATGACAATGCTGAAACAACACCTCTTCCGATACCAGGGACACATTGGCGCGTACTTGGTGGTTGCTGGTGTTGACCCTACTGGCACGGGCCTCTACACTGTCCACGCCCACGGATCAACGGATAAACTCCCCTACGTGACCATGGGCTCTGGCTCGCTAGCGGCCATGTCCGTCTTCGAGTCTACATGGAAGCCCAATCTGAACAAGGAGGAGGCCATCGCGCTGGCGTCCGAAGCTATCAAGGCGGGTATTTTCAACGATCTGGGGTCCGGCAGCAACGTCGATGTCTGCGTCATCGAGACGGACAAGCCCACACAGCTCCTCCGCAACTACATCAAGCCCAACGAGCGTGGCCAGAAGGAGCGCAACTACCGCTTCCCCAAGGGCACTACCGCTTACCTCAACGAGAAGGTCTATACCAAGGAGGACTTGAGAAAATACGTAACAGTGGAAGAGGTTTCTGGCGATCCCAATCTGATGGAGGTGGACTCGTAAATAGAGAGGAGTAATGGAGAGCGGCTGGGAGGCTTGGTTCAAGAGAAATAAACCTACTTTTCTCATTCATTCGACGGGGACTGCGGTTATGTTTGTACTAAACCACCACTACTTTAAATGAAACAACGAGGACTTTTCAACTACCAAAACAATTCCATTTCCGATATGAATCCCACCAAGTCATAGCTATCCACTCAATCATATATAAGTCTATATACAAGTTGCAGTTACATATCTACTATCTTCGCGCAATACCCCCAAATATAGTTTAGTGGCCGATATGATGTGTACAAAAAAAACTAGGTACTCAACCCTCATCTGATCGATCTGATCTGATCTGATCATGTAAATCAACATTTCAAAGGTCGTCCCCCTCTGTCCGCAGGATCCTCGTATCTCTGACCAACCTGTAAAGTGTTATCCATCAACGCCTTGACAACCTCGGGGCCCTCGGCGTCCTTTACAATAGCACAAATATAGGCATACTGCGTTGGGGCTACACGCAGCCCATCGCGTCGAAACCGGACCACTCCGGCATGATACAAGGCGCGCACTAAGGCCGGCTGCACGGGAGCGTTGTGCTTGTAAAGAAAGACATAAAGCCAGCGGACTAGTTCGAAAGACCGACGCGGGCTGAGCTGCTTTGAGTAGGCAAATGCGATCGCGAGGAGGTTGATCATCTCGAGCGAGGCATGGGGGTCCGGGCAAGCGGCTGTCCTGGGCTCCGGGTAGTAGCGGACTAGCGCCTTCGCGGATGGGTCTGGGATGCTCTGCCAGGATTTGGCCAGGGCGATTTTGAGAGGCGTGTGTGATCGGAGGAGGCGGATGAGGGTCCAGACGGTTTTGGAGTCGCCTGTTCTCGCAAGGTTGATTGCGTGTTCGACAAAGGTAGAACTGGTAATGTCGATGTCGCGGACCATTTTTTCAAAGTTTGAGAAGAAGTGAGGGACGGCCGCATTGTAGGCGTGAAGGTCTGTGAAGATGTCGGAGAAGGAGGGTGGTGAGGATTCGAATTTTTGCAAAGTCTGTCGAGCCGTTTTGGTCATGCTTTTACCGGCTCTCAGGTCGACGGCTAGCATCAGCAGGCCATTGAATGGTATGCCCAGCTCATGGATTCCCTTCATTAAGCTACTCATGAAGTCCTCGCGCGTGTCAGTCCTCTTGGAATCATATAGGTTAAAAAGACTGAGTATGGTGGGATCAGTTTCTCTTGGGCCTCGCCTCGGGTGTGACCTTGCGGGAACATGAGAGCCAAGCACTCGCAAATTCCACAGACGAAGTATGATTTGATGCTGTAGCGGGAGTCCGGAGGTGGATGTACCTGTGGGCTGTTGTAGATCAGTCCAAACATCCGATGAGCCCATGAGTGTGGCATCCTGAAGCCCAGTCAAGCAAGTCTGCCACGTCTCCAACAATTGAGTCCTTTTATTGAGCACAAGGAGCTCCGTGATACGAAGGACTGACTCGGGATTCAAGATTCCGTCGGCATATTGTTCATCAAGCTTAGATTGCAACCCTTGATGAGCCTCCAACCAGTTGATGATAAACTTCGGGGTCCACTCGCGTTTTGTTGACAGAGAGGCATCGGTAGCCAAGATGATTTCCTTCGCCAGATGCAGATCATTCATTAAGCCCTTGTCCAGGAGAACACCAAGCCAGGTGTCGACAGTGGTCTTATCTAGGTCCTTATAATCGTAGACGTCGCACCGACCAATGGCATCCCACATCTCTCTATAGAATCGTGTCAAAGGCTTCCCACTCTGCTTCCCAGCCCCCCTGCTCCTAACCGAAAATTTCGATAGTGCTTTTATAATCGCACATATTTCATCCGAAGGAACAAGCCCAAGCTCCAAGGCTCGAATGAAAGCATCCAGGGGAGCACGTTGTTTAGTCAAGCAGATTCCGCGCGAGATATGATGCTCGACTGCGCCGAGATAGTTTCCCGCTCCACAAATATTCAAAAGAGGATCCTCTAAAAACAGTGCAATTTCCTCGACGGCCGTCTTCTCCCCAGCCGAGCCAGCCAACAAATGGTCGAATATAAGCCGACTATATGCGGGTTCACGTTGAAGGTCGACGTTGAACTGGCGAATAGCTTGTTTCAAATCCCGCATCGTCCGATGCTTCCTCAATTGCTCTCCGATATACTTGTCGCGAGCGACTTTGTCCGTCCCATCCCGAGCATCCGGCCAAGCCAGCGGCTTGTCGAATCCAATTGAGTTCGGATTCTCATCATAAAAGAACGGCACGGGACCGGTTGAGTGTGACGAAGGGCGAGGAAAGGCATCTTCAAAACATGTCAGTAACTTAACTCTCCCAACGCCACAAGAAAAATGAAGGGAATAAAAAAAGGTTCATAAATCGTTACCTAGCGACTCCGACAACGTATTATTCCCCCCATCATTCCACTTCATATGTTCTCGTCCATTTCGTCCAAACAAGCATGCAATATCATCCAGCGGCCCCGATCCCGCAAGACCTGCTAGCGCGGTATTCCGCCGCCTCGCCAGGCGCTTTCTTGCCTCCAATGGCCCCGGAACTCGACTCTCATACCGTCGTTGGCTATTTGCGAATCGCCGGAATGTCGAGGCGAGTAGCTCCTCACTGATCCATACGTGGTCAATGAAGGGAGTCGGAGAAGGCTGGATGACATGCCGGTAGGCATGTCTCCCGAAAGACATGAAGCAATAATGTCATGTACGAGCAATTGAGTGCCCCACGCTTGCAAGAATAGCTGATATGATCAAGAGCTGTTGCGGTTTCGGTTCCGGTTCAAAACTGGAGTTCTGTTTTCTGGTGACTAAGCTGTGAAGTCCGGTCTTTGTTGCCTGAGGCTACCATCCCGGCCGCTCGTTCCGAAAGTCAATCCATAAAACTATTCACAACAATAAAACATTCACTTTGGAAATCCAATTTACTGGAATGCTTTCCTGATACTTACATTTATTGGTTTTTTTTAAGCTTTTTGGTGCCGATGCGCTCTCTTATGTATCCTCTCATTGCTTTCAGGCCATCCGCATCTGTTTACTTCTCTATTTACTACATGACGAGGAAGGCTTTGAAGGTGGTATGTAATTGTGGTATATGTATAAATCTAGTGCACGCCGTTCCATGCATCCCCTCTCCCCAACCGGTGGTATCTAATGCTAATGCTAGCCAGTCATGAGAATTTAGGACAAAAATGGGAGTCAAGGTAGGAAAATCACAAAAGCAGGGCCAAGAACGTAATGATCAAAGACTTTTGTATCCATCGAGCTTACTCTCCCGGATGTGGCTTCCTTCCTGTCACCACGTGAAGGTTGAGATAAGCGTGGACGTCGCGGTTTTGTACACTCCTCCGGACATCAACAAGGAAGACTTCGATTTCCGGTTTCGACCAGCCAAGGGCAGTCAGCGGTTTATATGACCACCCTGATAGGGCTTCTAGGAAGTTTGTCTCGTTCCACCTGCCGATGTTGCGGAGGTGCGGGTCGCTCGACCAGGGATTCACAGGGGCTGGAAGGATACGTTCCTCGACATCGACGAAGCCCACTTCCCTCATCCATCGTGCAATGCGATGGGCGACCCGGAATTGCCTCGGGGGGTCAACTGCCTGTCCTGCACGTATTTGCAGGTCGCACCAATCCTGTAGTGCATAGGTGCTAAAGGTATCGGGGTCCTCCGGGGGCATTGTGCCATCGTCACACTTCGGCTTTGTGTCAAATTCGTGGCACTCTGCCCAGGCTCCCGGTTTGAGATGCTTAAACATTTTTCGTAACAGATCCTTGAAGGATGGAAGAGAGCCCGACAGGTGGCTTGTGTGGATAAAGTCGAGAGAGTTTGGGCTCCAAAGCCATTCCTCTTCTGTGGCGTCATCGACAATAAAGTGAACATTTTCGGGTACTTCGTTCGGTTGGACGGGTGACAGGTCAGTTCCTGTGATCTGGGCTTGTGGGAAGATGGGCGCTATTCAACGGAGAAGAATGTAAGAAAAGTCGAGACTATCGAGCTCCCAGGCGATTTCGAATAGAACTTACCCAGCTCCATGGGCCAAATACCCGAACCGGTTCCGATATCCAGAATGTTTCTCGGGTTTATTAAGGGAGCATAAAACAAGCGCCCACCGGTCATCAACTTCAACATATGGTGTTGCATGTCTAGACGATCTAGCTCCTGCTCATCATTAGGATACAGATATGCTATTTCATATGAGTCAGACACGTAGAACCCTTTTTTTTTTTTCTCTCTCTCTCTCTCTTAATGAACGTACCGCCTTCGTGGTACCTATGATATCTTCTTCCATTCTCTATAGGGTAGTCGGTTACACTTGCTGTCAACGACTGTGTATCACTAGAAACAGCTGTTAGCAACAGGTAGGGGAAAGAAGGATACCATCCCGTCCGATGTGCCTTTTTATCTGGCGAGATCTCTGACGAGATAGAGATATTTATTTTAGAGATAGGGCGAGAGGTGACCTACTAGTCAGCATCTATGTCCTGAGACATTACGAGTTAGCAACAGTTTAGGGAAAGCAAACGACTGGATGAAAAAAAATGTCTCGACCAGTACAGAGTAAAGGGGGACCAAAAAAAAAAAAAAAAAAAAGACCAAGATCAGATTTTAAGGACAAGTAGCAGCAGGAAAGAGAACCACAGAGGTAAAACCGAGGAGAGAGAAATCCTTACAGAGGGTCTTCCAATCGTTGTTCTACCGGATCTAGGCATTGCGACGTTCGGAACCAGTTACTGTAGTGGGGGGTGGGCTAGGAATCGAGAGAATAGATCAGGCAATGATTTTAACGAAAAAAGAAAAGAAACGAAAATAAAGAAAGGAAAAAAGGAAAAGAAGAGAAAAAGAAGAGAGAGGGAGACAGAGAGAGAGAGAGAAAGCAAAGATGAGCTCTGTAAAGTTGGTCCAGCTTTCTAAAGGAAAGTAGCTATTCACGGGAGTAGGTAATCAATATGTAAGAGATAGTTAGAGGAGAGAAATAGTAATCATACACCAGCAGTGGGAGGTCGTAATAGTAATAGTGGTAGTAGTAGAAAGAGTTATACAGAGCAGAGATGCACATCCAGACGTAGGAAGTATAATATGATTGAGGGAGGAAAAAAAGAGGGATGAGTTTGCCTTGACTAAATCATGTTAGCCACACGCTGCCACAGTACTCCATACGTTTTACTACCTAACTCCTCCTTCTCCTACTACTCTCCTACTAGTTCTGCTGGTCATACTAATGACAGACGAGAGAGGGGGGAAAGTGGGTAGTTCCTAAGGGGGGGCGTTGTGGACACTGAGGGAAACCCGTCTTTTCCCTTTTCTGCTTCCTGAACCCGACAGGATGGATTAAGTTTGATTTTAGTCGGAGAGGGACTCGGGAGACTACCCAGGTAACTGTTAACCTAAAACGTGTGTTTTTTTTATAATGATTGGAGAGGCAGATAGCCACGGAGCCTGGAGGATCCAAACTCGGAAGGAAACAGGAAACGAAAAGAAAGATACCTCTTTCTACAAGTATGTATGGGAGAAGAGAAAGAAAAAGCCTGGGTTGGTGTATTGATTACGGAGTACACAGCAGTCATAGTTAATTAGGGGGGATTATGCTAGCTATCAGGAAATAATTCATTAACCTATCTGGTACGTACCTACTTAGTACCTGGTCTCTCAAAACATTAAAGGAAAAAAAGCCTACATGACCCAGGCCAGCGGTTCGGGCGGCGGGATCGCACCCAGAACCCCATAATAGGGTCAACTTTTTCTCTTCTACAGCTCCCGGGCGGCGAGAACGGGGTCTGTCGTTGGGGAAGTTTGAGCAAAAGATCGGACTCAAGAAGCCCACTGCAATAATATCCATCTCTATCCTCAGCAAACAGAGACTGAATCTGCTCATGACCCAGATATGGGCCCAGAATTGCAGCAAAAGTTGAACTTCATTGCCCAAATCGGGTTCTGGCAGCTTCCCAGCGGGACGGAGGCGGTACCGGTGTTGTACAGGAGGTAAATTTAAAATATCCAATGATCTTCAGCAAGAACCGGGACCCAATGGCTGCTGGTGCCATGCTGCTGGATCAAGTCGATGTTACTTCCTTTCTCTCTAGTATTATCCGACTGGGCTGGAGGCAACGAAAGGTCTCGCCCTCGCCGTAATTTATAAGAATTTGGGTGAACTTAAATAGATTAAATCTCGGAATACCCTCTTGTCTACGGAGTACATTGGGTAACTATTCTCCCCGTCCCAGCTTTTTTCTACTAGTATCTTATTTAATCTTATTTTTGATTTTGATTTTTTTTTTTTTTTTTCTTTCTTGTCTTCTGGACAATATTTCAATCTAGTCCAATTGGAACCCGAGGAGCTATTCATACCCAGTCTGTCGGATCCTTAGGCACCGTAGGTAAATGGATGTGTCGGAATTACCCGTCCCCAGCGTCTACCAAGAGTACCCTAGCTACTACATATCTACATACCAAAAAGGTTATCATGTATCATGATTAGCATGAATTTTTAGGTATGAGCAGGCTATTGTTAATGCTGACTTCACTTTCAGACCAGATTTATTACTCTGTCTTGGGTTCTCTTACATGTCCTTCACGTTCAGTGTCTACATGCCACTGTTACCATCTCATGCACCAGTAGAGTAGATACGGGCCAAATCCTGACAACAAGATGTAGGGAAATTGCGGTCACTTCCTGAACAAATGTGAGGGTCCTACTTAACTATAATAATCCTAGGATACAGGGATATTATTAAAATTACAAGCTCTTAGAAAGGTGAATTGCAAGGTATAATTCTACCATATCCTATACGGTAGGGTAAAATATTGATGTAATTAATAACAAAATACAGAACCCTTACTATTAAGCGTGTCTTGGAAAATGAGCAGTTTGTCGTCGATGGCATGATATTTATATTCATCTCGAGGAATCACGAATGAATAATTAGAATAGATATGGTTACCTAACATCTTAAGACACAATTATCAATCATATTGGTAGAATTACTATTAATACTACTACTACCTACAACTAACACTACCTAGGTTTTGTTTAATGGCTCTGGCCATACTCCGTACAACAACGGGTGTTGTATCCGCACCCACTTCTCCACCACAATACAGAATAAACAAGGTAACCAAAACATATTAGCCCATGCTCTGTTCTGGAGACTACATACTTGGTATATGCAAGAACATTTGGAATCATCTCTGAATCAACTCCTACCTGTGGCTTAGAGTCTGACGAATTATACTGAGGTATAAATAAGCCAATCATTATAACTACAGGAAGAATTAGATTTGTTGGCGGGTTTCCCAAGATTAGTATCTTAGTAGCTGTGGGCCAGTTAATTCCCAAACTTCACAAGTCCAGTGAAGTAAATTGATATCTTGTAGTTAGAAGGCACTACCTCACTAGTAGTATAAGCGGGTCGAGATATGGGGTTCATCTCCCCCTCCCCCCCCCCAAATCTCCAACACCCCTGAGGCGTTCATGGTGCCAGTCCATTTCCAGGCTCTGTGCCGATTGAGAGTTTTTGGAATTTGTTGAAAGCTACCAGGTATCAATCATATGAGGTTCAGAGGTACGTACACGTGCCTTAAACCTAGGTACGGAGTACGTAGGAAGGGGGGTTTACTCCATAGTATGCACAGACGGTAGTAGTCTCCTATCCATGTCAGATGTATCAAGAAGGAAAAAAAAAAAAAAAAGGTTCACCGGCTGATCTTGTAAATTCTGCACTGATCTTGGGATCTTAGCAAAAGTTACTAAATCGATTGCGGCGGCTTGAGAGTCCTTCCTTATCGGGTTTAGCAATGAGTGACAAGTTAGCCCTCCTTTTTATTTTTTATTTTTTCCCTCCTGAGTGGATTCCATTTTAGCGTCTGGCTGGCCGTTAGCTGTATGTACCGGAGTAGAGTACGGAGGTAGGCCGGTTGTCTTGCCAGAAGACCTCGTTATAGAATGCCTGCTCACGTATAGTCTGAGTTTCCTACCTTCATGTTCTCAGAATCTCACTTGAAGATCTGTGATATGCGACACACAGACACTGCAAGAGGCAGGGCATGGTTTCTATTCATTTTCAAAGTTTTTGGGTGGAACGATGTCTGTCTGTCCTACGTTGGTAATCTGTTTGGTGGCCTTCAGGGATGCAGCGTACCTGCAATGTTAACTTAGGGAACTTTAAGTTAAAAAAAAAGGTACTTTAGGTCCATGTCATTCTACTAAATAGAAACTCAATCACTCTAGTCTTATCTATGTAAGTTTGATTAACTTTAGTTGCTACTGGAGGTGCATCTCAATTTCTGAACTCGGGAAGTACACACGCACATAATGAGGTTGCAATTTCTTTGAACAAACAACTAGGGTTAATACTAGTAACTGCCCGTTTCCGATACTTTCTTGTTCGAACTCGCTGTTAATCAATTCTCAAGGTCTCGTGTTTTAACACAACAAAGCTTGTCCCACAACATCCCATGCTTCAGCTTCTAACCTGCTGCGATATATATCTGGATTCATTGGCCACAGGTGCTTCAAGAACGATATCAAGATATCAAGTCGCCAAGAGTCTCTCTACCGACACCACACTTTCCTCCATCGGCTTGACCTTGTCCGTTCTATAAGTAGATTAATAAACCATCCTTTCTACTGGTCTTGGGCTTGCTCACTTACCTGGTGATCATACGGATATCTGTCTGGATCCTTGCTATTCCCTCCTGATGGAGCAACGTATGTGAATATCCAATTATACGAGCCACTTGATCCCATGGCCCCTCTAGCATAATACGGTTACAATCGTGGTTCAAATTCGATCTGAAGCAGGCGACACCTACCCACGGTGGTTCCGGTAGCATGCATCTGATACTTGAGACCAGACTGCTGCATCAGGCGCTGAACATCGGCGATCTGCCTCGAGAACGATGCACTATGAGCCCCGATCTAGAAGAAGGTCAGCTATATGCTCTGCCTACTTTATACTCTCGGGCTGGAAGAGATGTTTTTATGGAGATCTGCTTGATGGAAGGTCATGTCCTGAGGCTGCCTACCGGGACCAGGGAGAAGTCCACAGTGCAAACTGCGGGAGATACCAAACCTGCAATATTGGCAGCCATTGTTTCTCGCTTTTTCGGCAAATCCTGAAATTAGCAAATCTCGCTTGGATATGAAGACGCCTTTGAACAGAGGATCGAAATGGATACCCGGGTATCTACGGGTTTATGAATTTCACGCGAGGTAACTCGGCAGTGCAGCCAGCGACCTCATCATGACGTCTCCTCTAGAGGTTGGGGATCATTGGGTTACAGAGTAGGTTAATGCCATCCTTGGACCAACAGGAAAGACAATCCCATTCGTAGATTCGCCTTAGAAAGGTCCTGCAAACCAGCTCACTAGCTGTTGGCTTAGAGTTCACAAGGTATCAGCATGAACTCATTGTACTCCGTAGATGCTACCAGACCCCGATTCCCACGGCGACGGGTTCCTAACCTCTTGGCCTGCAGATTTCGCGCGCTTTGCAGAGGCTACCGACTCCCGCATTGAATAGCCTTCCTTGCTGCTAAATTTCATGAAATAAAATGAATGCAACAGATAGGAAGAGGTATATTATCCGGCATATGCATACTTTATACTAGTAGCCTCAGGTACTTTTCGTTCCTTTGGATTGAAAACTGTATGTCATGTTTGTGACGCAACTATGAGCTCATAAGCTATATCACAGAGAATTTTGGGGGAATCCATATAGGTATTCAATCAGAAAGAGAATTCCAAGATATTATGAAGAGTCTTTGAGCCACATTCAAGATTACCTGCTGTTTAATTCCTTAATTCTAACTATCCTTAGGAGGTGTACAGATATACTTTCCATTTTTGGAGATATAGTGACGCGTGCACGGACCTCACCGCCACCACATCCAGACGCGTCGACGCGTTATAGCCGTCTAACCTCAGGCATCAATTCATGACCATAGAATTCAAATCAGGTTACCAACCCATCATGAACGGCTACCTACTGGACAACTGCCTAGTCGATATCCGCGAGAACGCCTATGGCTTGCTCTGAATTTCCCCGAATCACTTTCCGTTGTTCGAATGGCGATGAGGCAAGGAGATAGATTCAGAACAAACGGCACGAACGACAACCATCATCATGATCGGGCTCGCACCCCCGATAGCACGTCATCCAGTAGGTTGAAACGAACACCTGCAAGTCTGAATTTAGCAGGAGGCTCTGCTTCCTTCACATCTACATCAAGGTCCTGGGGGAACTCTTCCACGCGAAAAGCGCCTGATCAGCCCACCCTCACGCAAATCGATTTCGTGACTGTGTCCCAGAATGTGGGCCTCGATGACGAACTTGATTATATTGGAGCCCCTTGTAACCCTCCCGAGGTGATTGAGGTTAATGATGATGATGATGATGCGGATTATTTACCAACGCGTCCTTCACGAACGAGTCGTGTTCGTGGCGTGAGATTTGGCCCAACTCCGACTGCCGATACCCTTTCGAAACCCAGAAGACCCGATGGGGAAGTGAAGAGGGGGCGTAGGAAGAGCAGTGATAGGGTGAAAAGCCACGGGAAGGATAAAGGGATACAAAAGAAGGATAAAACCCTAACCCAGATGGACTATGTTAGGCGGTATTTGCCTCTTGAGTCTGACGACGATGTGAAGCTAGAATACACGTATGTTACTTCAAAAAAGAAGGAACCCTTGCCGCAACCGGACACAATACTCAAACATGAAGATATGGAAATGAATCAGACTCTCAAGTCTGAGGTGCCTAGCCAACGCAAGAGAAGGAAGCTGACCCCTACTTTGGATTCGAATGATATGGATCGGGATGGTGAGGAACAGGGGATTTCACCACCACCGCCACCACCACCTGTCACGCCGAGGAAGACCGCTAGACCTGAGATACCTTCATCACAATCACCGGAGAGTCCCGGGATTGCTTTTATCTCGTCTTCTCAATTCAGGGGCGCCACCCAATCACCAGGAGTTCGGGCTTCCAAGGCCCTATCTGAGCTCTATGTTAAAGAGGAGTCACTTGAATTGGGCGACTCAGATGGTGCCCATGAAACCTCACGGCGAACGGTGCTGTTTCGAAGCTCTGCATCGTCGCCTCATGATATTTCCGATTGTCCAGCACCAGTGCCGCAGGTGTTGAATAGACCCTCATCGCCAGGACTGTCGGGCTCTCTAACTACACGCGCTGATGGAAGCCACGATAGTCATTCAGAGCACCCTGCTACAACGCAACGAACCGTAATATACGAGACTGACGCCGATACGGATTACGATGAATTTCAGGACGATTTACCAGATACTCTAAGTTCACGCGAAGAGCATGAGAATCTTAAGCATAATAACCAGCCTGCCGATGGTGAGGATAATTCTTCCTCCTCGATCCTTGATTCGCAAGAACTTCCTCCTCTTCCTTTGTCTGAGCCGGATGCTGGATCTGGTCCTCTGCCTTCCGAGAATCACCTCGAGTCAGACATATCTATATGCTACCAGAGGCTCCAGCCAGCTACTCAATTTCCACTTGAACCGATACCTACCATCAATACCCAGAAGATGGCCGAGCTCTTCCCGGAGTCGTCTACCACCATGCAACCCATGGCCAGCCCTCGTCAGGTGTCATCTATGAACGGCCACCACCCAAGCCACGACGAACGTGGACTGCAGACCCAGAACCAGACCCAATCTCAATCTCGATCTCAATCTATATCCGAATATCAGGCCGAGAAAACACCAGATGTCGTCCTTGAATCCTCTCCCATTACAAGGCACGCAGATAGTGGCCCTCATGGGCGAGTTGCGGTCGTGCAAGTTGAGTCATCACAGCCAGTAGACAAACTCCCCTTACCTGGAATCGCAGGACCAGATTCCGGTCCCAGGGGCATTTTGTCTAGAAGTCAAATCCTAACCTCGAGCGTTATGGAGAGTATCCCTATCCCGGCATTCTGGATGAGTAGCCAGGATAGTGTTGGAGAGCCTTTTACCTTGCCGGATTCATGATATAAGCATATATATATATATATATATATATATATATACTACACTACAGTTAGACACAATAAGACATTATGAAACAAGTACAATACTTTTTTTTTACCCAAAAAGTCTCTTAACTCACGCATGTAAGAACGATCGATCCCTACTAAACTAGGCTGCGACGGTATTTGGCGGGGGCGGGTCGGGCCATCGTAGACCCGACAGAGCTGCGTCCAAACGGCAAGCCACGGTCGGCCTGGTGATCTTTCCTCCACCATCGTTATCCCGACACAAGAAGTTATTCAGGAAACATGGATATATATGATCACATTCAAGGGGAGATCTTCTCCACAAACGAGTCCCCGAAAAAGGACGAATCACAGCAGGATGAATCCAAAACCGACCGACCGCCCGTCGACCTGAACTCCGAACTGCAGGAGACATTCCGTGCCTTTTCCGCAAGCCCTTGGGGCGCTCGCATTGGTGGCCTTTGGGATAATGTTCGCAAACAAGGAGAAAGCTACTACGAGGGTGCTCGACAGGAGTATGCCGCTGCTAGCGAGGAGGCCGCGAAGGGGTTCTCAGGCCTGAAAGATAGCATTGTCGGGCGGACGCGGGGCTTATCGTTGAGCACAGCATTTAACTATGGATCCGCCGAACGTGGAACGGAAGGATCACTTACTCCCACCGAAACCCATGCCGAGGAGCCCAGGGGAGAACAGAAAGGAGGTGATCCCGATACGAAGGCAGGCGAGGGCTTTCTTACCCGAATCAAGGCAGAGGCGGCAAGACGGCTAAAGGAGATCGAGAAGGCCGAGGAAGCTGCCGACGAAGCGATTCTGCGGTTTGGAATGAACATTACGCAAAAGCTGAGGGAAGCGGTCAGCATCGTCCCTCCGGATACGGAGTCCAGCAACGTGCTGTTTGAGAGTAAAGATTCTGACGGAAAGAGGGTCATCCATGCCACCCGCTTTGAAGCCCAACTACATGTTATCCATACCAACTTGGAGAGTTTCACAAAAGACCCCGCTAGTGATCAGTGGGCTGCATTCAAGGAGTCCTTCAAGGTCGATGACAAAACTGATGCTATCGCTGCGGATTTGGAAAAGTATCCCGAGTTGCGATCTTCGATGGAGAAGCTTGTCCCCGAGCAGGTCCAGTACGCAGAATTCTGGAGTCGGTACTACTTCCTTCGCCTTGTGATTGAAACAGAAGAGCAGAAGCGAAAGGAGCTCCTCAAAGGTACTTTTTTTTTTTTTTCCCCCTTGATCATTTCCCTAATACAGTTCTACCAGCCAGAAACTAATAGGAGACTATGTAGGTGCCAATGTCGAAGAAGAAGAAGAGGTTGGCTGGGATGACGATTCCGACGACGACACCGACTCACCATCTACCCCACAAGTCTCCGACAAGACCAAGGCTGGTAAGGCTCCCGTTGGCCAAACTTCCACAGACAGCAACAACACCCTGAAACCGAACGAGCCCCGTCGATCCAACGACCAGATCTCCCAGGCCGACAGTGAGTCTAGCTATGACCTCGTTAGCGGCGCCACAAGTCGAACTCCCGCTAGCCCCAAGGAGAAGCCCAAAGACGATGACAGTGACGATGACTGGGAGTGAACAACCCCATTTTCAGTCTGGTGGAACAAGGGAGGGGTAAGCGGCCAGCGGCCAGACGTGTTCCCTCCCAGGCACATACGCTTAATACCCGGTTCTAGTTCTCTGCTCTGGCCACTGGTTGGCCACGGAGCTTTGCCTAGATAACCTCAGGCACAAGGAGTTGGGTGTCGCTTTTTCTTCTCTACGTCTTTCTCCTCGTCTTTTTTTTTTTTTTTTTTTGTTCTTTTTTTCTGGGGTGTTTATGGATTGCCTACTGTTTTATTCTTGTCCCTCTTTCTTCTCTCTCTCTCTCTCTCTCTCTCTTCCGGTTAAGGTTAACGGTAATCCTCTTGATATCAGGTAGCAAATCTCTCATGTCTGCTCCTATCGAATATATACATCGCTTGAACTTTTTTCCGACATGACTATCTGTAGTAACATAACTTCATGAATCTAGGACGGCTTTGTAATGATGATGTGTTTGTTTATCATAACATTAATGTAAGCTTATATCTAGAAATGAAAATTTAGTATTAAAAAAAGACCGTTTTGCTATTCAAATCGTCGTGATCATTATTGTGAAATATGTATGTATGTCCCTGGAACGAATCACCACGAACCAAGAGACCTCTTCCTGAAATCTTTCATCGGGCGTAGTTTGAAGTGCTCCGCATGCCACTACTACGTCTTGAACCCAAGGGCGGCTTCGAGCTGGAGTGTCGCGAGTGCGAGGGCGTCTCGGGCGTATTCTCGCGTGACCGTATATGATAGCCTCGAGTAGTCCTCTCGCTGGGGGTCTGAGGAGATTGAGATTGAGATTGAGATTCGCTTCCATCGTGAGAATAGCCCAGGCCAAGCGAGGCGTTCCCTGACGTACCGCCGTACTGGTAATCTTCTCCGCGGCGTTTGACGGGGCTCTCGTCGTAAGGATCCCAGCCAACTCTGCGTCTTGCGTCAGATCGCAGTTGCTGGCGGTGTTGTTCGTCGCCCCCGGCGCCGGTTGTCGAGGATTCCTCGAGGAAGAAGTTGAGTAGTTCGTCGCTGATTGATAGGTGGGATTGTTGTTGGAACTGTTGGAGGGACATTAAGCGGAGAAGGGTCTCGAGGAGGGAAAGGGAGGTACGGATGTTGTCAAAGAGAGGGTTTGATACCGTCGTTGTGGATCGGGGTTCTCTGCGGCGGTGCTGTCCTTGTCCTGATGGAGCTGGGCTGCCGGAGTTATTGCCGGACGGATCTAGCGAGAGCTGTGCCATTCTATTTGCATCTGGTGCTTCTCCGTCAGACTCTGTGTCGGAAGCTTCGGCTTCATTGTAGACCTCAAAGGCGATCCATTCTGGATCGAGGTCCTTGGGTAACCGCCATTCATCGGGAATGGAGCTCTCATGGAAGCTGGGGGTTGAGGATTCATTGCCCCCGGATCCGATCAACTGGGCGTCTAGCTGAGCCTGGACCTCGTCTACTTCTCCGTCGTCTAGATCGGATTCGTCACGGGTAAACTCGTCTGTGTCGCGTTCCACCATACGCCGTGGAGGTATAGCGTTTATGTCTCTTTTCAACAAAAGGACCGGATTATTCGTTTCTCCTTCGGCGCTGATGTTAAGAATCTTGCCAGTGTCTGCATAGAAGATCTTCGAGATCTGATGGATAGGTATAATTTCACGCATTCCCGCAACATCGACTCCTTCATAGGATCGGGGCTGTGGCTCGTTTTCATCGAACGTATGTACTCTCCCATCGTCTAGGTCTTCTATGATAAGAATCTGGTACGCAAACTCATCAACTCTTGCTTCTGCAGGCAGCTGCAGAGATCGGGTTTGATTTGGGCGAGTAAATGCTAGACCCATGGGTACTCGTCGCAACTTTAAGCGTGCTTTGTGGATGACCTCTTTCCACGTAGTTTCGCGAATGCCGTCTTCATCATGGGGGCGAAGGTGGCTTGCAAAGAGCATGTACATTGACAAAGTGAAGGTCGGACCGACTTGAACGGCGCTTGAAGGGGACATGGAGTACTGCGTATCTCCAGTCGTAAGGAACGTGCTGGCTTGCAGCAACCGCGATGGCGATATTGCTGCTGGCAGACTAGTTGATAGTTTGGCGCCTGAGGTGGTGATAGCAAGATTCATGAGAGGGACTGCATCCTCAATTCGGACCAGAAGACTTTTAACGTCTTGAATAATACGCCTGATCAGTTCTTTATTTCTAGAGCGATTTCGAGCAGAGTTTGCGCCTTTTCGGTTTACTTCTTCAGACTCAGCCGCAGTGGCTAGCTTCTGGCCGAGTGATTGGATATCCAGTCGAAGTGATTTTGTAAGGAAAACCGCGGACTCTAGAGATGTGTTTCCTCGAGCAGCACTGGAGACGGTAATTTAACCCCACTGTCTCTCTAGATTCCTCGAGCAGCCACTTACATCAGTTCGATCATGTCAATAGCAGGTGAAATAACCTATAAGAGATCAGTTCCGCGTAAGTAATCGCTTACAAGGAGACCGACCTGTATCTTGCTTTCTAAACGCTGCTGCAGGGTAATCAACTCGTCCCGCTCTTCCCCCTTGTCGACATTCTGAATAAATCGATAGTCAGCCTCGTGTGAAGTCGATGGTAAGAAAGCCATCAACAAACCTGAAGTAGTCGAGACGATTGACGGATCGCATAACTAGCTGTGATGGCAATACCCGAACTAGAGAAGTTCATACTCAGTCCCCATTTCGTCTGCAAGAGAAACCATATACCCTCTCCCCGAAGTTCATAAGGAGTAGAATGAGCAGTTATCACTTACCGGATAGCATAGTTCATCGCCTGCTGTGTGAGCTACCAATGAAATCAGTCCCCGCAGAGATGCATAATATCCGACAGAGGGAAACGAGGGCATACCCGAGAAAGAAAGGCGTCCATCTTGCATCAAGGAGGTCCTGGGGACTCTCGCTTGACCGTAATACTGGGAATAAGTCACAAGGAGAGCAAAAGAACCGACGACGGGGAATATTTATTTCTGAAGAAGTACGTAGTAGTAAAAGTACGTGGGATAATGGATTACATGTTTGATGTGGCGCCCCTGAAATTGGGACTGGCTTATCGATAACAAGCCACTGTGGCGGGTGCATCTAGATTTCCTGATTTGGACAATGGACGAAGTACCCGGCTGTAACCTCACCTAGTACCTTGCAATCGCAAGCCCATCTTGAATGCAGAATAGTTTAAAATATCTTTTGATATCGCTATACTTGCGCTGCCACTAAGCAAATCAGCAACGAAAGCGAAAAAAAAGTCTCGCTGCGCCACAATGCCAATGGGTCCTGTTAAAATTGAAAAGCGGGGGCCGATGCGGCTGAGTCATCATCCAGTGCAAATTCGACCAAGGGACTAAACTAAACGGAAACACCCCTCCTTTGCTCTCTCTTCCTCTCTTTTGTCTCGCGACTATTGCTTCGATCCTTTGATTCTTTTCAGTCCTGTTCGGTCGTTCTTTCTGTGAATTTTCCCAGACGTATCGAACATGGCCGGCCAAACCCCCGATTCCTGGGAGGATGAACTCTCCAGACAGACTGAGGGCGTTAACCTGAACAGGAACGCACAATCTCGCCCTCAAGCCCAGGCACCTTCTTTCCAGCCTGGAGCCGCTAGCTTCCAGCCTGGAGCAGCTTCCTTTGTACCGGGACAAGCATTCCAGTCTTATGGTGGCTACCCACAGTACGGCCAGTATGGCCAGCAACAGCAGCAGGCCTATGGTGGTGGATACCCAACCTACGACCAGCAACAACAGGGCTACGGTCAGTATGGGGCATACGCCCAGCAACCTGGTGGCTACAACCAGGGTTACAACCAAAACTATGGTGGCTACCAGCAGCAGCAGCAACAACAACAACAACAACAACAACAACAATTCTCACAGCAACCCCGCCAGGCCGCTCCCGCTGCTACTAAACCCGCGCCCAAACCCGCCTCCCCAGCCAACACTACCGCCCCCAAGGCCAAGGTTTTGTCTATCGGTGGTGCAAGCAACTCCCCCGCTGCTCCCAAGACTAAAGTTCTTTCAATCGGCACTCCCACCCCTTCGTCGACCACACCATCCTCCGAATCCAGCAATCTCGCGGATGCCAAGGGACCCGCCGCTGTCGAGGCTGCGGCTAAAGTAACCGCCGCGAAGGCTATTGAGAAGACAGAGAAGAAGTCGGAGCAGAAGACGGCTGCTAGTGGCAAGTCTTCCCCTGCTGCTTCGGGTCGCTCCAGCCCCGCTCGAGGCGAGCCAGCCAAGGCTACTCGGGATGCGAACGCGGTTGCATTAGAGCAACGGGCCGATGTCGATGAAGATACTTTGAAGGAAATCTATGGAGAGAAGAAAGAGCATGTTAACATTGTTTTCATCGGACACGTTGACGCTGGAAAGTCTACTCTTGGTGGATCCATTCTTTACGCAACCGGAATGGTGGATGAGCGAACAATGGACAAGTATAAGAGGGAGGCTAAAGAAGCTGGTCGAGAGACTTGGTATCTTTCTTGGGCTCTTGATTTAACCAACGAAGAGCGATCGAAGGGAAAGACCGTTGAGGTTGGCCGTGCCCACTTCAATGTTTCCGTTCCCTCCGCGGAAGGCCCTATTGAGAGACATTTCTCTATCCTCGATGCACCTGGCCACAAGTCCTATGTTCATCACATGATTGGTGGTGCTTCTCAGGCTGATGTTGGCGTTCTTGTTATCTCTGCACGTAAGGGTGAGTACGAAACTGGTTTCGAAAAGGGCGGCCAAACACGTGAGCACGCACTTTTGGCGAGAAACTCGGGTGTCACGAAACTTGTTGTCGCTGTCAATAAGATGGACGACCCCACTGTCGAATGGAGCAAGGCTCGTTTCGAGGAATGCACAGTTAAGATCTCCAAGTTTTTGGAGGCCCTTGGCTACAAGAAGAACGACCTGACTTTCATGCCCATCTCTGCTCAGAAGACCTTGGGTATCAAGGACCGTGTTCCAAAGGAGCTCTGCCAGTGGTACAGCGGTCCCTCTCTCCTGGAATACCTGACAAACATGAAAATGCCTGAGCGTAAGCTCAATGCACCCTTTATGATGCCCATTAGCACCAAATACCGTGACATGGGCACCATGGTTGAAGGACGTATCGAGGCCGGCGTGATCAAGAAGAACGCCACTTGTATTATCATGCCTAACCACACTGAAGTCCAAATTACGGCTCTTTATGGTGAGACGGAAGATGAGATTGTCACCGGTACTTGCGGTGACCAGGTCCGTATGCGTCTTCGCGGCGTTGAGGAAGAAGATCTCCTTCCCGGATTCGTCATGTGCTCGCCCAATCGTCTGGTCCACTGCGTGTCTGCTTTCGAAGCCAAGATCAGGATCCTTGATCTAAAGAGCATTCTGACCGCCGGGTTCAACTGTGTCATGCACGTGCACTCTGCCGTTCAAGAGGTCACTTTCGCAGCTCTCTTGCATAAGCTCGAACCCGGCACTGGACGCAAGAGCAAGCGCCCCCCTCCATTCGCTAGCAAGGGACAGACTATCATTGCGCGCCTTGAGGTTACAAGCTCTGCTGGTGCTGTTTGTGCTGAGCGTTTCGAAGACTACAACCAAATGGGAAGATTCACCCTCCGTGACCAGGTAAGTTGCGTCTTTAAATCCGATTCATCCTGTCCATTGTATTAATTTACATTTTTAATATTAGGGACAAACCGTTGCCATTGGTATGATCACCAAGCTCATCCACGAGGAGACAGCCGAGTAGATATCTTAACTTTCGCCCCTGGGCAAACGTCTCCGTGACGGCATTCCTATTTTTTTTTTTTTTCGATAGTGTCGTGGGAATCGAGACAAAATGGTCTCCGGAATTCCGCGATAAAACGGACGGGTCTTTGTGATTGGTTGATAATGATGATGATTTTTTTTCTCAATTCCTTTCGTATAGATTCACCATTTCCTTTTTTTTTTTTTTGGCAGGATATGAAAAGTCGTCTCGCTCAATTGTCAAGTAGACCTTACTAACCGATTTACAAGAGCAACTCATGAAATTGTAGAGGAGATAACAATACATGCAAGACATGTCTACCTTGGGGAATCACATTACAAGTCCGTCCTGATGTAACTTGGCTCGACAGCCTCCTAAAGCACAAAATGAAACCAAAAAAAAAAAGGTCGTATATGCTGTTTAGATCACCGCCTCTTCTTCCCAACGACCTTGGTAAACCCATCTTCATCCACCTCAGGCTCGGCCCTCTCCCTCGGAGCCCTAACCAACGGAGGTGCCTCGTCCATATCAACATCATCCTCCTCATCATCCTCATCGTCATCATCATCCGTCTCCTGATCCTCATCTCTAGCCTCCACCCTCCGAAACCCAGCCACGGCGGTATCACCGCCCTTCTGGCTCTTCCTCTGCCACGCCTCCCACATCTCCTGGATCGGCCCGAATTCCCCACGAGCCACATACTCGCGGACCTCCATGATCTGCACCGCAACCGAGCCCGCGCTCTCATCATCCACAACCACATCGAACTCGTCGTTCATCACTTGGATCAGCACGTCCTCGAGATCCTCTGCGTCGGTTTCCGGGCGCTCGTTTACCATTTCCGAGATCGCCCCGCACAGCCAGTCGCGTTTGTCTGAGGAGGTTGGGCCGCCCCAGTTGGATTGTACGGCGAGGTTCATTGCGGGCCAGCTGTTGATTGCGAGGGTGATTCCTAGGTCGAGATAGGAGGAGGAGGAGGAGATGCTTGCGCTTGTGGGGTCTGCCATTGTAGGTGTTTATGAACAACAACAATAAGAAGAAGAAGAAGAAGAAGAAGAAGAAGAAGAAGAAGAAGAAGAAGAAGAAGAAGAAGAAGAGATCGGGTTCTTGGTTGGGTTGTATAGTTAGTTGGTGTAGTAGGTAGGCGGGAGGGGAAATGGCTTCCGATTCTAATTGAGGAATTTAGCGGCTTGGAAGGATATCAACTTTGGAGAAAGATGGTTTCTTATAGAACGAGGTTCGTGTATTCGATGAGGTGGGTGCCTGTAGGACTTTTCATCTGTTTGTGTGATCTCGGATTTATTTTTTCTTTTCCCCTCCCATCTTTATCAAGGCTGACAGATTAGATATGATAAGATCTCTGGTCACATGACTCAACCCGGCCTTCGCCTTTATGCAGATTTGTTGACGGCAAACTAACGAGCAAGAATTTAGCGAAGATGAATGGAGGGTATATAATTACTACATGCAATTTAAAAAGTGGGTATAATCTCGTCACGCGTAAAAACCCAGGGTCCCAAATGTAAATAGGATATCTTATCCGATGAAGACCCTCAACCAACAACGTATATACATCCACTAAATGAACCTGCCTTTCTTTCTTCTAGAACGCCGAATAGCCAAAGTAAAAATAGAATAAAAACTAATATCAAAGAACATAGCTCAGAATTTCTTGAGCTCGCACCGCAGTGGCAATGTGCCAAGGCAAGGTGCTAGATTGCACGATTCGCGTTCCCCGTGCCCGTGCAAGGGTCGCCAGGTCGCGATACATTCCGAGAATTTCTCGGAGAAGAGTCTCGTTTGCAGATGAGGGCCGCTGCGTGTATAAAAGATTCACGTTCATCGCGAAGGCCCCATCGCTATCTGAAGTGCCTTTCCTGCGAAGCAGATACCCGCTGACTAACGCAGGGCGGTACTCGGTCAAATGGAGGGTACTATTCAGGCGGTGCGATAGAACAATCCCCCAGGATTCGTCACAAATGTCGGTGAGCATCGATTCGCCCTCCGCTTCGAGAAGCGCGTCTGTCGGGGTTGAAGCATTTGCAGGGAAGTTTCCGGCACCAGGAGGGGTGGGAGCATTCCCCAGCTGATCCGGCGAAAAAATACCGGGATTTGGTGTGGTAACAGGTGTTGCGGAAGGGTGCTGGTTGAAAATACTCATCGGTATTTGTGGGAGAGGAGAACTGAGGAAAAGGTCGGGAGTTGTATTCACACTCAAAACTGTCAACTCTATGGGAACTGATTTTATCTTGTTGTATTGGTCGGCAAAGTTGAGCCACGCTGTAATAGTTGGTTAAAAAATGGCAGTTAAAAATTAGTTATACGTGGGTATGCCTTACTATCGTGTTCGTCCTGGTCCACGTTCTCGGTGCTCACGATAATGACCCTCCACCTTGCCTGGTTTTTCTCCATAATATCTATCGTTGCCGCCCATATTTCATTGCGGACCGTGAATATAGTTCGAGGGGCGATAGAGTTCCTAAAACGCACACAGTAGGACATGGAGCGTTGGAGAGCGCCAGTATTGTCCGACCAAGCCACGCTCACCCAGCGCTGGTCTTGGCTCCGAGAGCATGCAATGTGAAGACACTTCCCTTCTTGCAAAGGAGAAGACCTCTCCGAGACAAGTCTGAACCCTATGGAGCCCGGGAGTGGTTCAGCTATAAGTACAGGCGGTGCACAGCTTAGCAGGCTCGATTGAACAGGCTTTGGGGGGCATCGACTGTAGACCTCCAGCGCCAGACTTAGATATTCTGGCTGGGGGGGCACCACCAAAGACTCTGGGGATGCAACAAAACTCATTGGTATGACCTGTAGAACAAGCTCATCGAATTGTTTAGTTTGCTGCTTATCTGCGTCGGCGATATACCTCCGAAAGAGACTCCAGAATGCAAAGCATATGTCCACCAGGGATGCAGCATGCAGAAACGGATTTATGATATAGACGACGATATTGTCCTTACTTGGTGGGCCGTTGAGAAGAGCAGTTCCTTGACGCGGTTAGCGTATGGTTAAGTAAGTTTTGTCAGTCAACATACCAAGTTCCTCACAGATGGCCTTCAGGTGCTGCATCACCGAGTGATAACCGGACTGTCCGGATGAAGTGACATCCCATGCTCTGAGGCCTTGCTCAAACGCATCTGACTTGTCCCCTCGCGCGTGATTCCCAAGGTTGCAGCTAGAGTATATAACGCCCAGTCGCTCTAAGAATGCGTCGGCTGCCTTGCCAGCTATGTTGGGGTGTATACAGTAAGCTGAGATATTTTTCGGTCCATGGGCAGGCTCCAAGCCGAAAGTCTCCCAGAAAGATACCGCGGGCGGCAGCGTCTCCAAGAAATCCTTGCCCCGGCGAACACGGAGGTGTGGTGGTGATAATTTCACTATTAGCCCTTTGCCAGCGTCCCTCCGCTGAGGGGTTTGGCGGGCAACAACAGGGCCATTGGAGGCGGGAGGCGATAGGCTGTTAGTCTCTTGCAAAGTAACAAAACCATTCAAATCCAACTTTTCAACCCCCCCCAAAAACTCAGTACCTTCAAGCAATCCACGAAGAAAGAAAGGCTGATTTTGAAGGCACGAGACTCCGAAATTTCCGTCAAGTTTGTGGTCCAGGGACGACTGGGTAACTTGGTCGACAAAAAGTTGGGCAACTTGAACCTGCGTTTCCCTTGAGGTTAGGACCGGGAAGACCTGGTTTTCAGTTGACGAGAAGAAGCCAGTCATTGACCAATCCGCAAAGGTCGACAGAAAATTCCCCAGAAATACCGAATCATCAGTTCTTGGGGTGCTCATATCCTGGTCAATAGTCGTTGGGGGTTTCTCTGAAGACAGTGCGAGTGAAGTTCCCGAATTCGAACGAGCCCGTTTTCGTTTCCGTGCTGACAAGACAGCAGGTGACATGATATTTTCGGCTCCACTATCATCGCTGTCGTCGCCCGTTTCGCTGCTAGAACCGAGGCTCGACGGGGACTCCTGAACCATTTCGCTTGACGGACTTCCTTGGGCATCGCGGGCTTTCAAGTAAATACCGGCATGGTTGAGCCTTCCCCTACCGCGGGGAAGACCAACCGTAGGGATATCACCGGAGAGACTGGGAGAGTCTTTTATTCTAGATGCGCCCGAACTCATGAACCAAAATTTCCCCTCTGCACCATATTTTTGGTCCCATGAGGATAGGTTTTGTTTGAACTTGATCGGGCTGTAAAAACTAGGGGGTTGGCCTGTTTTGATGGAAGTTTCGTCGTGAGCATCCGGCTCTGGGAAGAGAAATTTCTTAACCTCTACAGGGCTTAGAGGGGGGCTGATCGTTTGAACCTGTTCATCATGGGGTGATGGAAGGGCTGCAGTGTCATGTGGAACCGGCTGCTCACACGGTAGTAGGGGTTTTTGTTCGTCAGGGCTCGGCTGACGCACATACGTTTCTTCCACTGGGGGCTCATGAGATTGAGGTGCATCGGGCTCGGGATGCGCTATATCCTCTGGCTTGATTGGGTCGACAAAATCAGAAATTCCGTCGATATCGTCGTCTGGGGGGTTATTGCCCATGTTCTCAAAGCCGGGTTCGTCAAAAAAGCTAAAATCCTCATCGGTGATTCCTTTGGTCCCAAAATCCCTTTCATTCATATCCCCGAATAGGTCGTCATCACCGTTGGTGTCGTACAAACCAGACCCGACCACGAGCCCGGCGGAGGGGCCAAAACCCATCGTCACATCTGGGTCCGAACGATTTCTCGTGATGGGCTGGCTATCAAGCCTTGGTTTAGTTTGCTTCAGAGCAAAAGATGAGCCATGATCCAAGTCTTCAACAAAAACATCAGACGAAACCGGGTGGCTGGGACCAGTTCCAGCGGCACCATCAGGTGGCGTCGGGTATACAAGACTTGCAGTCTGTAGCTCAGGGTACAATGAGGCTCGGGATAGGCTCTCGATACCATCCGGAAAACCAGGTAAGCCAGGCGATAGTGTTCCCTGATCATTAGTCTGTCGGTCTTGGTGGTCGGGAACCAGTTTGACACTAGGCTCAAGGATAGCTTTGGGGATCTCAGTAAAACACCATTTCTCTGCGAACTCCAGAGGATCACAAGCAAAGGGCGAAATCCCTTCCATCATATCGCAAGGCTCCGAGATCGATGATTTTGTTCTTCTGAAGCAATATATTGCCGGCCAAAGAAGACGCTTGAGGGGGATGCGAGGGTTTTCTTCATTTGGCCGCGCCGCCTCGCCGGACAGTTTAGCGTAGAAGGGTTCCCAAACCTCAACCTCAACCCAGTTTTCTTCCTCAACGCAATCGACTGGGAGTCCAAAATAGCTTAGCCATTCCAAGGCGTTCGATTTCCACCGCTTTGTGCTTGCCCTGTCATGGCCGATACCTTCCGAGTTGGCAAGAGAGTTGGGAGTATTTCCCGCGACGGGGCTCAATGTTACGAGTCTTGCAATTGAACCATTCGGGGCGAGCCACAGATCAGTCCCTGGCGAGACGTCGGAGAGTTCGAGAGGATCGCGTGGTTGACTAAGTCGTGTAAGGCCGGTCTGTGCTATAGTTTGCAACGTTATGGTTAGCTTTCCAACGGATGTCAGTTGAGCCTGAAGAGTGGTCAGGACTGAGACGGAAGTTGGGTCATTGTTGACGATGTCGAGGCCCTCGTAGAGATCACATTCAACGGCATTATAAAGGGTGCGCGGGCCGAGTGGGATCGCATTATTTTGCCGGATCAGTTGAAGACTAAACGCTGCCGTAACAGCTGAAATAAAAGACGCGTAGATAGCGGCTGAGCCGCCGGAAGTGTCGACTCGTCTAGGTGGCATAGAGCCATTTTGCAGCCGTTGTGAACCAGTCGAAGAATTAACACCGGGCGTCTGCGATTCTGGACAGAGACTCTTTACCAGGTCGCCCGCCGTAACGCTTCCAGATGTCCAGACTAGGCAAAGATTATCAGTATGCCCTTGACTAAGGCCTAGTTTCAAATCTGGTTTGGTGCACACCTTTAAGAATCGTGGATCCAATAAGTAGCCTGTTCGGTTCATCTCTCCCTTCGTTCGCAAGCAAAGGCAAAAGATGCTCAAATTCCGATGTTGCAGAGAATATTAACAGACCCAGGCGCCTAGGATAACTCAATACTAAGCAGCCTAAACTTCGCAGTCGAAGTTCAAGCTCCTTGAGGCGGCTGATATGTTTCAAGATGGTATGGCCATTATTGGGTGCGTCGGCTAGAGTATTAGTCGCATTTTGCTCCTCTGTGTAGATCCTCCAGTAAATGTTGGAGAATCCATCCTAGAATGTTTGAATTAGAACCGCACACGGGGAGAGAGAAGGTGTGTGTTTGGGAGTGTTTGGAGAGACATACAATGACGCGTATGTTTGTGATGGATCCTCCGGGAAAGTCCATGATTTACCAGTTGCCCCGAAGGAGACTCTTGGTGATAGCTAACAGCGCCGGAAAGACCGAAGTCAACTTCATTTCCAACGAAATTCGAATGGATCGCAATATCACAACCCGCAGCCCATCGCATTTGGAGGTGGAGGAAGAGGTCAGCAATGGGATGCAAGGCTTGATAACACCGGCTTCAGCCAGCCGAAATGGACACAGAATCAGTTCAAAACAGGTCAAAACAAAACCCCTATCATCTTCAAGGAAGAAATGTACAAGGTAAAGACCGACGATATCAACATTTCCAGAGATGAGCACTGCGGAGAGTTCCAGACGTTCGTTCGCTCCAGTCGAAACCGGAGTCACGGGAGGTTCGACGCGGTCCGGCCCACTTAGTGTCCGTTGCAGCCAATCAGCGGCCAGGAACCATGCGGCTGGTCACGTGCCACGTCTATCGATATCAAAAGGAAAAAAAAAAAAGAAGCCCCAGGCACAACTTCTCGTGCAGAGTTTGGGATCCTTCGCAGTGCGCGCCGTTCTCTGTCTTTCTTCGGGATCCGTGCAGATATGAAGCTCTCAAACCAGTCGGAAGTCCCCGTCTATACGATCTCCGGGTCGAATACCGCTCGTCCGCTTCCTGAATGGCTTGCGAAACGCCGAAAGCGCAGTCTGAAAAATGACCCCGAATATGCGAACCGCGTTGAACTGCTGCAGGACTTTGAGTTCGAGGAGGCCAGTCAGTGTATTCGAGTGAGTGAAGATGGCGAATGGGTCATGAGCACAGGTAAGGCCTTTCTATGTCCTATCCAATTACGGTAAAAAAATTTTTGTCGTGGACGGTGATTTGACTATTTCGCTTTTCAGGAACCTACAAGCCTCAAATCCACACCCATTACCTCCCTCAGTTGTCGCTTTCATGGGCCCGTCACACAGATGCGCTTAATACGACATTTCTATTGCTCTCCTCCGACTACTCGAAATCCCTACATCTGCAGTCCGACCGATCGCTCGAGTTTCATACGCCTTCCGGCTGCCACTATAAGACGAGGCTTCCGCGATATGGACGTGATTTGATCTACGATAGAGTATCAACGGATGCTCTCATCCCCGCTGTCGGCGTCAACTCCGAAGGAATGGGGGAGGTGTTCCGTCTAAACCTAGAGTTGGGCCGTTACATGCGCAGTTTCGAGATCGATGTAGGAGGCGACGATTTCACTTCGACCGGGGGCGGAACGCTGCAAGGCGGCATAAATACCGGTGCAGTCAACACAGGAGCGACAGCAGAAGACAGCCACAACCTTCTCGCTTTCGGTACCTCGTTAGGTACCGTTGAGCTCTGGGACCCGCGCGCCAAGGGCAGGGCTGGAGTGCTGCTGCCTCCCACTCAAGCGGGCCCCGATGACCTGAGAAACGAGGTCACGGCACTGGAGTTTCATCGTTCAGGGCTGACTCTTGCCACTGGTTCCTCCAACGGACTGATCCATCTTTACGATCTACGGTCGCCCGTTCCCTTACTGAAGAAAGACCAAGGATATGGGTTCCCTATCCATACCCTCAAATTTCTGCAGCCATCAACGGCTACCCGTGAACAAACCCTCGATCCCAAGATTCTCTCCGCCGATAAAAAGATCATCAAGATCTGGGACCCCCGTGATGGAGCCCCCTGGACCTCTGTCGAACCCGCCGTCGACATCAACTCAGTTGCTTGGTGCAAAGACAGCGGGATGATCCTGACTGCCAACGAGGGCCGACAGCAGCACTCCTTCTTCATTCCCCAACTTGGGCCTGCCCCTCGATGGTGCTCATTCCTGGATAACTTGGTCGAAGAAATGGCAGAGGATCCCAACGATCCGAACGCATTTAACCCTGCGCAGGCCGGCTCTGTCTACGACAACTACAAATTCTTGACTGCTCCCCAGCTGAAGACCCTGAATCTCGACCACCTGATCGGCCGAACCAATCTGCTACGACCTTACATGCACGGATACTTCGTCGCGCAACGACTGTACGAGGAAGCAAGACTCATCACGAACCCATACATCTGGGAAGAAGAGCGCGCCAAGCGAATCAAGGAGAAGATTGACCAGGAACGCGAGAGTAGAATCCGGGGCAAGAAGAAGGCAGCCGTCAAGGTCAACAAGAAACTGGCCGAGAGGCTCCTGGAAATGGAGGAGAAGAACGAGCGTCGCAGAGCCAAGCGCGTCCTGCAACAAGGAGGCGACGAGGAGATGGTCGATGCACCTGCCCCTGCCCCTGCCCCTGCAGCCGCAGCCGCAGCCGCAGCCCCCAGCACCGGCGGCGTCCTGGGCGATAGCCGTTTCGCCAGGCTCTTCGAGGACGTAGACTTTGCGATCGACGAGACCTCCCGAGAATACCAGCTACATAATCCCAGCAGTGCGCCTTCTCGTCCTGAGCGCAAAGAACGGGGTCTCACCGCAGTGGAGCAAGAGGAACTCGACGACGTCCCACAATCCTCCTCAGACGAGGACTCCTCGTCCGACAACGAGGAAGAACGCCGCGCCAGGTCCCAAAAACAACCCGCCGCCAGATCCTCCAAAATCTCATCGGCCTCGTACAACAAAGCCACCCGGTCTCAGCACCATCAGCAGCAGCCTCACATGAAGATCTCCTCGTCAACAGGCGCTACTTCCACGCGGGACCGCTCGTTCGGGTCCCGTGCCCAGAACATGCGCACAAAGGAACGACCCTCTCGTCACGGCGCAGTCGTCGGCGAACAAGAAGTCACATTCACCCCACATGGCAAGTCAAGGCGGAATAATGCTGGTGGTGGTGGTGCTCCTCCTAAGAGGAACTCGGATTCCAGTTTCAAATTCAAGGAGCGACGAAGCGCGTCCGGAAATGCTTTCCGCAGAATGTGATGCTCGATAACTATCTCTCTCTCCACCTTCTTACGGTGTTCCCCCTTTTTTTTTTTTTTCTCCATTCTTTCTTGTATCGCCATCAATCACATCACGTCTCCAAATAAGAAAAACGAAAACTTGCCACATACCATATCTATCGCGGGAAATGGCACGTCGCGCATGGCAGCACGATCCTTCGCGTCGCTTTCTCTCCCCTCTGTCCACCAGGAGGAGGAGGAGGAGGAGGAGGAGGAGGAGGTAAAATAAAACGATGACCGGTTTTAGACCATGCAGGGAGAGCCAAAAGACAAACAGACAGACAGACTATGCTATCTTACCGACACTGGAACCAGATACGAAAGAAAAAAAAAGAACGACTTTGCGCCTTTTGCTTTATTTACGTCGAGAGTTTTCGTCTACAGCTCGATAGAATTGCACAGGTACCAACTACTATACGGAATACTGCAAAGTGCCTACCACCTACCTACCTACCTACCTACCTACCTACCTACGCTACGCTAATGCTCCTAACTGGCACCTTTCTTCCTCTCTCTCTCTCTCTCACGCTTGGTGTCAATGATAACGAAGAAGAAAATTTGCATGGGTTGCTTTATTGTGTATGGATGTATATGTGGCATCAAATAGAGACTTGGAAGAATCAAACATGAGATCCTAATATATATATGTATGCTTGTGAATTTGCCCGCTCGTGTCAAGATAATGAAATACTTAGCAGGGTCTCTGATCCCCGGTGCACCACAAAAAAGTGAATTTGATTTTCTATGAAACCTCAACATCATCCATAGAAATACAAAAAATCATAAATGACAATGTTCCGCACGTCCACATGTTCGCAAAATCTATTCATTGTGGAAGATTTTTGCAGAGAGACCGGTAAATTGCTGCCATATCTTTGCAACAGGGGCGTGTTAACCCCCCTTATTGTCTCGTCTATTATCTGTCAATCGCATAAAAGACAGCAGCGATGCACTGAATACAGTTCAAGAAAAGCTTTATGAAAGTACAAGGCGCAGAGGAAAGTAGAGTGTTAACCAAAAAAAGTATATGTATAAGAATCGAAAGTATGTTCAAAGAGAGGACCGAGACTAATTAGGTATTGATTGGCTTCTCGCGCCCTCTCTCCCGGCCACGGTGACCTCCTCGACCCCCACGACGAGAAGAGCCGGCAGCGGAATTTGTGTGATGTCCCTTTGGAGCTTGGAGTTGTTGTTGTTGTTGCTGCTGCTGCTGCTGTTCTCGACCAAAGGTAGTCGGGTTGTCCTTTGGCGCAGGTCCGGAATCGTTCCGCGGGGTTTGTTGGGCGGATGCTGAAACGCCTCCCTTTCCGCGTCGCTTCCGTTGCCCTGAGCCCTTGCCAGGAGCTCCTCGTCCTGCGCGGCCGTCTCGTTCCTCCTGGTTGGGTGTCGGACCAAGTTCTGGCAGGCCCTGGACTCGCCTACTCTCTTTGTCCCACCATTCCTGGAATTCCTGCTCTAGCTGGATGTCCTGGAGGTTGTGCTTCGCCGTTGCTGCTTCGCGCAGCTCATCTTTCTCAGTTTGCTGCTGCATAAGAATGGTGGCTAATGACATTGAATTGGGAGAGTCTGCATGGAAACTCGTTTGGTAGGGTTCCGAGCGTGGGATATGGCGGATAGATTGAATGGTGGGCACGGCATTAGACGATGGGCTAGGAGACGTCGAACGCGCCACAGTTGAGGGCCCCGAGAGGGAGGGCCGAGGCGGAGGTTGGGTTGTTACGGATACACTGCGACCCTTGATTTGCATGGGTGTGGCAGGGGGTTCGGGTCGTGGAGGTGGTGTACCGGCCACTGTTTGGCGAAGAGTCATTCCAGCCCTCTGTGCAGGCTTGCTCGGGGTTGGGGATAGAGCCTCTTGTCCGCTTGCCTGTTGTAGAGGGGCAGGCTTGCTTGGTGTCGTAATTTTCCACGGGTTTTGTGGGGCCTCCTTTGCCTTCTGTTGAGCAGTCGCCTGCTCCTCCTGCATTTGCTGCTGTTGCATCTTCTTTCGCTCTTTTTGCGATAGCTTTGCAGTGAAGGTGTTGCTGCTTTCTCGTCGGGCGGACATGCCCAAACTGAGGTTTGAAACCCGGCTTTCAGAGGTTTCCTTCATAATATCCATCAAGTTCTTCCTGGAATTCGAAATCACGGATGCGGTCCATGGGGCCTGCGAAGCATTTTGCGGAGACAGAGACCCATTCTGCTTTCTCTGGAGCGTTGCTGTTCTGAGTTCGGAAGGAGACTCAGCAAGACTAGTAGTATGCGGAGAGGCCATTTGTCTATCCAAGTAGCTTTGATTCCCAAATGACCCTCCATCTTGTAAGCTAGAGCCAAGTCCTGATATATCGTTCGCATCAGCTGTTTTAGGTCCACGAACAGCTGCTTTTCCTTTGAGGAATTCCCCAGGTGAAAGTAAATGCTCATCATCCATTTGGAACATCAAATCGCCAGTTGACCGCTGGGACTTCAACGGTGGACTACCATAGAGAGCCGCTGGGCTGTCTTTGGCCGGTCCCATCTTAGACTTTGAGACAAGTGGCGATGCAACGGTCTTTTCGTTGTTGTTGTTGTTGTTATTCATGGTTCGAAGCTTTCCATCGTAATCTTCAGAGTGGTTGAGGCGGGACCTCAGCCTCATTGAGTCGACACGACGTCGTTTGTCAGTTTCGATTAATGAGACGAGTTCTGGATACTTCTCAAATAAATACTCGTCAGTGTTACGGCCCCTCGATATAGGGAATGTGGCGAGTTGATTATCATGACAGATAGAATCCAGCGCACAAAGTAAGTAGTCGTCTAGATCTCCCAAAACTCTATTGCGTGGGTTAGAAGACATCGAACCCTAGGAACCAAGGGACTCGCCTGTTTGCAATGAGATCTTCCAGGTTTAAGCAAATGTACTCCAACGAGGCATCCTTGAATTCGGTCACTGAGCATGGTGCAATAGAATTCAGAAGATAGCACACGTTGCGTGAATTCACTACAGACATTAGCGATGGTTGCAGGACCTAAATGGAAACTGTAACTCACCAAATGTCCCCAACACCTTCTGACATATTTGGGCCAGTCTATCAATCATCAATTCGTTGGCTACAAACGCAACGTCAAGAACAAGATCAATGAAATCTTCATGATCCTTTGTCCGAACTTCATCGAAGAGCTGGTCGTCGGTGTCTGCGTAGATGTATCGGAGAACAAACTCGAAGACTTGTCGGTCAATGTGCTTCAAGTCGATGTGGATCTTGTCCTGCGGGTTTTTGCGGCGGGATTCTAACCACCTACCCCCGGAACGACCGTAAAACAAGGCATTGAAAAATGGGCATCGTTGACAGATGATTTGGCTGTGCGCAATCATGTGTTCATCATTCAAGTCAATAATAACATCCCCACTCTCAAAGAAGGTTGGATCGGTGATAGCCCGCATAAAATCAGACTTCATATCTTTAGAGGGCTCAATCATCAGTCGCGCAGCTCGCTCCAACGCTTGGAGGTTTAACAATGTGGAGATCCGCATCACCTCGGTGCGCACCTGGCGAAACCGGGACGCATTCATTGGTGATTGTCGAGCCTGTTGCCAAACATCCAAGACATTGTCGGTGTAGAGGAAAAACACTATATTAAGGATAGTGAATATGTCCAGGCCCTGGAAAATTATCTGGCGCTGTCCATTCTGGTCGTGCTCGATGGTCAGCAACTCAGGGGCGGATAGATAGTGTTTACGCCGGAAATCGTGAAACATTTTTCGCAGAACCGAGCTACGCCCAGTCAAGACGAATTCATGGATGGGAATCCGGATGTCAGAAAGAGTTGTCATAGCCCAGATTGTTCCAGCAGGTGGATCGGCCAGTGTTGGTTGGAAATAGGACTCGACGTTTGAGGGACCTAGAATGGCTTGCTTGATAGCCATGGCTGGTTCCGGGTGCCAGGTGCCAGCGAGAGTAGCATGATCCGAGTCCGTCGATCCCATTGTTGACCTGAGCGAATTAAAGGGAGATAGAGGGAGGATATCTTTCCAAAGAGTCGTTTCTTCAACGTTTATTTGCTCTCTAGTCACATCGCAATCCCGCTGGGCAACTGCAAAGGCCCCAAAGGCATTGCTGCAGACGCCTACAACCCGAGAGAGGCCTGGAATGCGGGCAAACTTGTAGTCTTTGGACGGCCCATCTTTTGTCTTCCCGCGTTTCTCTTTTCTCCAAGCGGAGCCGGAGGCTGTGCAAATAATGATGGAGCCATCCTGGCCAACATCGACGTCTTTCACCGCCATATGGGCCTTCTTGATAGACCAGACGCGAACGGGAGACGAGAGTGAGTTGCGGATCTTCGCGGGATTAGTCGTCGACGTCAATGTTGGCTGGTGTTCTAGCTTATTAACCTGCGCTGTGAAAACTTCTCCGGAACTCGACAGAGCGCAGATAGTATTTCCGCCCGATGTGATTTTGACGATATGATTCGTTGACAGATCATAACGGGTGGCCATAAAACTGTCGCGAATAAATCTTGAGCTGACTTCCAAGGGGAACGAGAGTCTCGAATAGCCGTAATGGGAGAAAACCCAAACTTCGTGGTTTTGAAGCAGGATCGCCGTTGCCTGGTCGATTGCAGACACGCTATGGATTGCGGCACTGAAGAGCGAAGCCCCCACACGTCGAGGAGTTGTTTGTACTTCCAGGGACCTGGCGTCTGAATCCACCAATCCGAGTTGGCCCTCGTTCTTGCCAAATGTGTACAAACCGGAGTTGCTGAAGACGACAGAATGGATCGCCGACGCTGCTGCTCCTAGGATGATCTCCTTTTTCAACGGATTGAAGATTTGTCGAGGGGATTTCTGCATCGGAACGTCGTCCCGGCTATTGGTACGGGGGAGGTTGTAACCTAGTTGACCGGATTTGTTGCTTCCCCAACTGAAGATTTCGCCATTCGCGGTGATTGCAAGGGTGTGGTCTTGACCGAGAGCAACGGAAAGAACCTTCTTATTCGCAAGTCCCCCGTTCTCGATACAAACAAAGCTAAACTTGGTAGCCTCGTCCCCCGTACCTAAACGCCCACCTGGGCCAAATCCACACATAAAAAGATTAGATTCGGGGTCGGTGGTTAGAATAGCCGTATGAAGCTTCGACATTACAATGTCCTGGATTTTGATAGGTTTGCTTTTGATGAGAGCGGGAAGGTCCTGGTTGAGGAATGACTCTTGAGCTGGTTCGGATACAAAATCCTCCGATCGTTCTTCTTGATACTCGCGAAAGAACCGCTGCAAAAGGTGTGCCGGACGTTTGAGCGTTATCCTTTCGGGATACTGGCGGTCATCCTGATCGCCAACGCCCAAATTCAGGTTCTTGTTGCTCCCAAACGTGTACACCTCGTCACCGAACAGGTTGAACCTAGGCTTCAAAGAAGCTCGGCTAATCAACCCGTCCTCCCCTATACTTAGATCATCCCCGTTAATGGATCCACTAGAGGATACATCACTGATGTCAACATCTAGGAGTAAAGGGTCACGGGAGGTGGGCGGGGAGGCAATTCGTTTGATATCGCGCGAGGTAATAGTAGCCGCGTACACATCGAAAGGGCTATAGCCCTCCCGATCCTTAATTTTGATAAGACTGCCGCTTGGATGGTTCGAGGCTCCCGGTTTGCTCAAATCCGTTGCGTCCCGGACATCTTTGGTCATCAAGGCCAGCGCAATCGTGGCATTGCCCGCATACAGGGCCCGGTGTAGAGCCGTCCATCCGCTCTCCCAATCCTGCGCATATATATCCAGGTAAGGCACTTCGAGCAGGGCCAGGGCAAACCCGGCAGCGGTAGGACTCTGCGATGATGCGACATGGTGAAGGAGAGTTCTCCCCAGGTGGTCTCGAGCATTCAATTCATCCCGAGCGAGGGTCTTGCTGAATCGACCCCCACTTCCTCGCTCCGGAAGCGGTGTGCCGGGGGAGGTGCCGGTCAATTTCTTCGCCTTCGGGGAGGCCCCCAAAGAAGAATATATCAGCGCCCCGGGACTTCCTGATTTGAAGCTTGAGGCCCCTCCTCCAGACGTATAACTGGCACCAGCCAGGGAACGCTGGAAGGTCTCAACATCATCACGCAGAAACAAATCCCAAAGATTGCTACTCATGTGCCCAGACTTGTTGTATGTCAGAACCTCTTTTCAGCCCAGGGACCAGAGCATCGAGTTCACGTCAGTGGATGGACGGCGCACTGGGCAAAATATTCTGTGGGCGATAAGAGTATTCTGCCGGAGGAAGGAGGGAAGTGACCAAGGTGTCAAGGAACGGATTATCTAGATCGATTTATCAGAGACACGCGAAGTTGAAGCACGTAGGGTTCGGAAGACGCGACGGTTGTTTGGTGGACAGAAAGATCCCGCAATAGAAAGAAGAGAGAAAAAAAAGGTGTTCTGGATGCGAATGTGCGGTGGTGGTGATGACAGGTACGAAAGACTGGTAATCTCCGGGTCCAACGGCGCAGGGAGGAAAAGGTAGGAGGGGAAATATGCGACTGCGAAGAGATACTGATGACGATGGTGGGGGAAGGCGGTAGTCGGAATGAAGATGATTAGAGAGAGAGAGAGAGAGAGAGAGAGAGAGCGAGGGCTCCGCGATGCCTTTTCTCCCGTCAAGAGTACTAGTTGGTAGAAGTGAACTGAACGGAAGGAACCGTGGATCAGGATGACCAATCGGCAAGGCAACACCCCTCCATGCGCCCTGATGAGAGGATGAGAAGACATTCAGCCCCTCATTTATGAGATATAGTTACAGCAATTGTAGTTTGAGGTAGATGCTCGGGGTCTATATATATATCTATAATTTAGAGATTAGGAGATCTGGCTACTCTTGATTAAATATACATCCTTTTATAGGTAGAGAGAGCTGTAATGTGGTTGATCCAAGCACGCGCCAACAGGTTGCTCAGTTATCAACTAGTTAGCATAGTTATTGTCTTACAAACAGAGGCTATATTAATAGTTGGCATTAGTCGCGGATCCCAACCTGCTCAGCACTTCCAGTGGAGCAATGCATAGAGAATGTTGCAGACAAGGCAGCCAGTAAGGATGATATATCTTGTTGGAGTGCTGCACTCAGTGAATGCAACCAGCACCACCATAAAGCAGCATCACCATAAAGAAGAAGATAGTGACACGTGACTACTCTATATATTTAAGGCCACTATTTCCTTCTAGATCTTTATGCTTCCTCCAAGCATCTCCTTCTCTCTATTTCTGTCACGGCGACCACGTGACATGCAACCACATGCCGAACCACATGCCAAACCACATACCCAGTAACCAAGGGTAATCAGGAGAATGGCAATATTTAAGTCACCTGCACCGCGCTAGTAACTTGACTAGGTAATATAAATAATAATATAATAACTCCTGAAGTATTAAGAGATAAGTACTTTATTTTATTACTTCTAATACCTTTCTACTATTCTTATACTCTATATAGCTTTGCTTTCTTTACTAATATTACTTATACTTAAGCACCTTGCTAGTAAGATACTTATAATTTAAAGTACTTCTTTACTAAGTAAAGTAATATAACAAGTATAAGAAGGATTACTTACTTCTCCTTCTAAGAAATAGTAAATCTAAACTTTATAAAATTTATAACTATAATTCTAGAAATTATTATTAAGAAAGATTTAATAATACTAGTAATTCTCTAGTACTAATCTATTAAGTTAATAGAAAATAATAAGCTATAGTATATAGCTTAATATATAGCGCAAGCTATATAGATAGGTAAGAAGAAGATGCCTAAACCTAAATTCTTTAAGATATAAAATTTAAAAGAATTTAATATTTTCCTAAAAAATTTTTAAGATTACTTTAGATTATAAAAGAAATTTTATAAGAGTAATATAGTTAAGATCTGCTATATTATAGGTTACCTAAAAGATAATATAAAATAGGTATAATATTTTAAGTATAGAGTAAATTCTAAAGAACTTACTTATTTAAAATTTATTAAATTCTTATAGAATTTCCTAGAACTAGAGAGAGACTATAAGTAGATAGTAGCTTACTAGCTCCTATATATAAGATAAGAACTATAATAGAGTATATAAACTTTAATAACCTAGATAGAGAAATTTATTCTAATAATTAAAGCTAATCTTAAAGAATTCCTCTACTAGCTAGTTATCTAAATAGCCTGGCCTAAATTACGCAAGAAAATCTAGCAGGATATAATAATATTATAAAGTCTAGTTAAAGTTACTAAACTAGAGGTAAGGTATAAGAAACTTTAAAAATAAGAGAAGTAGGAAAAGCTAAATAAAATATAATTAAACTAATTCCTGGGATCTTATATATTAAAGGATAATTTAAGGAAGAGAAAGAAAGATAATAGTAAAATAATAAATTTCTAATTAAATAAATTTTAGTAAAAAGAGTTAAAGAAGGAGTAGTAGAACTACTAGAATTAAAGAAAGGAAGATTAATACTACTAATATAATTAAACTAGTTATATTATAAGAAAATGCCCCTAGTATAAAAAAGGTATTAAGGGGGCAGGAGAATTAGAAGACTAAGATTAATAATAATTAAATATTCTAGAATCTCTAGTACTCTAATAGAATAAAGAGGTGCTAGTAGGACCCTTTCTAGCTATTATAGTTATTTTAGTAGGTAAGAAATAGATTATAATAAGGGTACTTATAAATACTAGAATAAATAAAGATTTTATTTTTTACTATTTCTTAATTAAAGAAAGAATAAATTTTAATAAGATAAAGATAGAGTAATCTATATATTTTATTAATAGTTTAATAGTACTATACTATATAAGATTTTAGGTAAAGAGCTAAATTATAAATAGTCTTAATAAAATTAGAAAATTTAATATAAAATATTATATAATAAATTTAGAAAAAAAAGAATATTAATTAATTTTAAAATATAACTAGTTAAGTTTAATTAATCTTAATATTTTTTTAGCAGTAAATACCTAGTACTACTAAAAAAAAAAATTAAAAATTAAAATTAAATTACTTAAGTAATTTAAGAGTATAATAAGATAAGGACTTACTATACTAGTCTTAAGCTAACTATATAATAATAGTAATATAATAAGGGCTCTCCCTAAATATTATAAAAAATAAAAATTAATATTTTTAAAAAAAGAGATAGAGATATTTCTCTTTAAAAAAACTAGTTATAATATACTATTAATTACTAGTATAGTACTACTAATAGACTAGCTATATAATATATTAAGAATAGAGTTAGTAATTTTAAGGGAGTATATTAATTAAATATTAGAAAAAAAATAAATCTAGCTCTTAATAAGTATAGTAGGTGCGCTAGTATTTTTTATATAAAAGGTTAATAGGTTACTATAGCTCTATATAGATTATAGGGGCCTAAATATAATTACTATTAAGAATTAATATCCTCTCTTATAAATTAATAAACTAATAGATTAACTAGTTAGAGTTAAATAATTTACTAAACTAGATTTATAAGATACTTATTATTAGATTTATATTTATTAGAGTAATAAATAGAAAATAGTATTTTATATAAGGTATAAATATTATAAATATCTAGTTATATCTTTTAGATTATATAATACTCTAGCTATCTTTTAAGTATATATTAATAAAGTAATAAAGAAGATTCTAGATAAATTTTATATAATATATTTAGATAATATCTTAATTTATTTATAAATAGAGAAAGAATATAAATACTATATTAATAAAATATTATTATATCTCTAGAAGTATAATCTTTATATAAAATTTTTAAAGTATAACTTTTACTAGAAGAAAGTATATTTTCTTAACTTTATTATAGAAATTAAAGAAATCTAAATAAATCTTAAATAGATATATATTATAAGTAACTAGCTAGAACTATACTTATTCTATAATATTTAAGTATTCCTGGGATTTATAAGATATTTTTAAAGATTTATTTACTAGTACTCTAAGATTACTGCCCTATTAAGTAATATATTAAAAGAGATAATAAAGGGGAGAAAGAATAGTCCCTTTAAGATAATAGAGAATAGTTAAAGTACCTTTAAGATACTAAAGTAGGTATTTTCTAGACTCCTAGTACTATAATATTTTAACCTAGAATAAGAGATATTTCTAGTAACTAATATATTAGATTTTATAATTACAGGAATTCTAATATAATATAATAATATCTAGTTTATAAAGATATAGTATACTACTTAGTAATTTATAGTCTTTTACTTAAGGAAGTTAATTAAGGTAAAGAAAAGGTATAAAACTTATAACTAAGAATTACTAGTTATAGTAGAATATTTTAAGATATAATATTATTATTTTAAAAGTAACTTATATATAATATATATATAAATAAATTATATAAATTTAAAATATTTCTATATTATTAAAACTCTAAATTAATACTAGATTAGATAGGCCAAGCTTCTAGTAGTATATAATTTCTAGATTAAATATTAGCCTAGTAGCCTTAACCTAGCTAATATATCTTTAAGATAAAAGGATTATAAACCTGCCTAATAAGATATAATTAAGGGACTCTTACCTATACTTTAGATAAAGCTAGAAGGTTTATAGAATAATTAAGATAAGAGTAGGATAGTAGCTTCCTAAGAGACCCTAATTATATAGTTAAGAAATCTAGAACTTTTAACCTAAAGAATACTAGTATAAAAAGTAGCTAGTAATAAATAAGCCTATAGGATACTATTAACTATTCTATAAGATTTATTTTAGGAAATATAATATAAGAATACTTATATAAGTTATATTTAAAGTAATACTAGTAAGAAATGCCTAGCATGCTAGAGGCATACTTAAATAGTAGAGAAACTACTTAAATAAGAAGTAATAAAATAACTTAGGAATAATATTAAATAAAGGTAAATTTATAAGAATAGATAGTATATTAATAATAATAGGCTAGTATAATATAATAAGATTATCTATATTTCTTCTAATTAAATAGTATATTAAGAATTACTAAAAATATATTATAATAACCTATATATAGGCTACTTTAGTTAAGAAAAGATATTAGATTTTATTAAATAAAAGTTCTATTAGAATATCCTATAATATAATATTAAGGAGTATATAAAGAGCTATTTAATCTATTAGAAGATAAAGATACCTAGATAGCTTCTACTAGGCTAGCTCGCGAAGCTCCTAGTACTAGAATACCCTTGACAGGACCTAACTCTAGACTTTATTATAGGCTTATTACTATTAATATAAAAGGGGCGCGTGTATAATACTATCCTAGTAATTATAGATTAATATATTAAGGGAGCTAAATACCTCCTAATAATAGAAAATATTAATATTAAGGAGCTAGCTAATATATTTATAGAAAAGATAATACTTAAAATAGGAATATTAAGAAGTCTAGTAAATAATTATAGCTTGCTCTTTACTAGTAAATATTAGATCTAGCTATATTAAGGGCTATAAGTTAAAGAATAATTAAGTATTATATTTTATTTATAGATAGATAGCTAAATAGAATATTAGAACTAGATATTAGAGACTTATTTAAGAACCTATATTAGTTATTAATAAATTAATTAAATAAACTAACTAGGTATAATAAAATTTATATATAATAATATAAAAAATATATTATT